ACTCAGTAGTTCTGTCGTTTTGAATTCAAAATTCGTTTCATAAATTAATGTCGAACGACTGGATAAACGATCAAAACGCTTGTGCCAAAAATTCCCTAAAGTTTTACAAATGTAAAATGTCGTTACGTTTTGATTTTCCGTTCTTTGTTAGTTATCTTTGGCAAAACAAGGTTCAAATTAGTTTAGAAAGACGGAAAAAAGTAATTTTGTTGGTGATACCATTGTAAGAAATGTGTAAAATATGACCATTCGAAATTAAAACTTTTTTATGAAAATATTCGGCATATCTGGAGCCATTAATCTTTATGTGAAATGTCGGTTTGGTTACGCCTAATCTTTTGCCCTCGCTGCCGTGAGTCGCTTAAAGCTTTTCAGTGTCGATAGTAGCATAGCGTAGATGTATAAACAAATCGCACACCGAATTAAATTTCATATTAATTCAAAGTGGGAAAATCTGTTTGCGCGTTTAATTCATGGAGAAGATGGAAAGCGATGGATGTTAGTTTTCTTCAACTCCCATTCTTGTTTTTTGGCAAATTGAACTTAATCTTTACTCTTGTTACCCGTTGTTCCCTCTTTGTTTTAAAAAATTATTTATTCTTTTTATCGATCAATGTTGCACTCCTTCCTTACAACAGTTATTTGCATTTATCTTTGTTCTGCAGAGAACGTTTTATTTCAGTTTCTCATCTTTGGCTTTATTAGTCACGCGATCAAAACACTTGTCACGACACACTTTTAGAAGGTGAGCAGTAAAAGGTATCGATTTAGAAACAATATTTTCCCGCTTTACAAACTGAAATGTTTTGTAATGAGCATTCGATGGCAGAGGAATTTTTGTAACCTCGAAAAAATCCTAGATTTTTGTGAAGAATTTTACTGAAAATTTTTGTCTTAAACTGGTAATAGTCTAGAAAATAAAACGGCTTATCCAACACGAAGCCTTTGTCTTCCATGATCTAATTTCTAACTCTCCTTTTAAAGTGCTCTGATGTTATTGTGAATGATTTAAGAGAATATAGTATTACATGAAGAAAAACTAACTTTTGATATTAGTTGAATAGTTTTTTCAAAAGTCAGTCTGTGAGTGACAGAATGAGATTAAAGATGGAATATTTTCTCTGTATTTGTATGGGAAAGCTGTATAAAGTTTCCCGATTTAGATTTTTTTTCACATTAGCTGTTGTTATTATCGTTTTTTTGCAGCAAAAGCATTATTTCAGTCGCTGGTTTCTGGTGATTTCAGTTTCTGGTTTTTTCCTTGTTTCTCGGTCATACGGTCAGAATACTAAACAAGACACTCTTCTCTGTGCGAGGGTAAGAAGCCAAATGAAAAATAAATTTTCTTTCCTTTCCAGTTTTCAAATTTTTTTTCGCCGCCTCAAATCAGGCACAACAGAAATCAAATTCAAGAACAGCAAATTCACAATTCAAAGAAAAAGCCACAATAATGTACAACGCTCCTCATGGCGTTACAAGGTATTCATGTTTACACGTCGTAGACTTACTTTTACAATGATGTTATTAACCAATCAAACTCAGTACTTTGTTCTTAACCGAGCTACTTGCATTTATCTGTTTCTTGCAATCAGTCTCATCACGTTAACAACTAGCACCCTGAACAGCCCATGTTTATTTTTTCAAAGCTTTACAGCTGAAAAACTAAATTTAGCAACAATCATTCTTTTCCCGTTATAAAAAAATTGAAATATCTTTATGAGTAGCTGATGTGATGATGGGGAAATTTAATGATGTATGACTTTTTATTGTTTCAAACAATCTAACAAAAGTTTATCTTATCAGCAATTCTTCCTTCGAGCTCCTTTACATAACCTTGCTAGTCATTAGGGAGAATCTGGTATTGTATCTTATTCTCGCCACCTATTCGCTGGAGGAAATGTTGATATTGTAAAGTAAAGCAAAATATTCCTCACTTCTGTGACTTGAAAGTCTAAAAAATCGGTCAAAGCGCGATCAAAACCACTAAGCTCTTATCAATGATATGCGAGGAGCTCCAATATTTACTGACGATCTTACGAGCAAGTTGTAATCCAACATCCATCCTTTAGATTTTTATAATAATTATTTAAGCCGATCATTTTAATATTCGATCCAGCAGTAACTCTTTGTACTTGTCTTTTCTTTGTACAGATAATTTCATATCTTCGTGCGGTTTCCTAACTATCCAGATATCCTTTCTTTTCCAAAGGTGAGCGGCTTAAAGTTTATTTCAGAAATATTTAGCGCTAAAATATAGATTTGCTATATCTTAATGACAGACATAAAACCTTGTTGATCGATCTGATTACTCTCACCACTTGATTTCTGTAAGGTATCTTGATATTATAAGGAGAAACTACATTTCCATCATTTCTTTAAAGATACAAAATACGAAGATCCCGTATGTTATTTTACATATATTATAAAATGTTCAGAGAAATGCGCGCGCTGTGACTGGTCAGAACGAGTTCATTATATTTCCATAAAGCACGCGCCTTACGTCACACGAGTGCACTGTTGAAGAAATGTAAAATGGTTTCTATGTTTACATAGCCTGATGTAAACACGCGGGAGGTTGGGAGAACACGAGATAAGCGTAGAAAACCACGACGCCAAGCGGAGTGGTTTCCAGCTTATCGGGTGTTCTCCCAACCTCCCAAGTGTTTACATCAGGCTATGTAAACATGGAAACCATTTTACATTTCTTTTATAAAATAACTAATGAAAGAGGAACGAAAACCGTGTTTACATACGCTCATGTAAATTGGTTTTATGGCCAATCAGAGCGCGCGTACTATTTGAATTATTTTATAATGAGATATAATGCACGCAGCCTACGTCAACGGTCCGCACTTCTCGAGTGTTCATAAAAAATTCCCGCGTGCTTACATAACTTAACAATGCACTCAGCGCGTTTTTTTATTTCTTTATTATAGACAATCTAGAAAAAAATGTTCTTCCTTAGTTTTTTTTTTATGGTTTCTTCTTACCAAACGTGTGAGTAAAACGTTCTTATATTAGCTATTTGCAATAACGTTTGTTTGACAGCGAAAGTCTAATTTCACTCTCTTACTTATGTTTTTATCAGTCACACCATCGGGAGACTAAAGAAGACGTTTTCTGTTTTCAAAGGTGAGATTTTTTTCCCATTTTTAGCTCTGTATTGTCAATGTTTCCTTAGTTTCAATTAAGTTGTAAAAGGTGCTGTACCAAGAGAACTAACCAGGGAAAAAACCGAACGTTCTACAAGTGTGACTGATAGAGTTAACAAAAGATATTTAACAAAGCAATTTAACTGTTTAAGTCTCTAAATATACTAGGGAAAGCGAAAAATCCCATGTCTAACAAGCTCATTGAGATCAACGGCATTTATATGTATGATTTCACGCATCTCAAAAGCGAGTTTCTGATACTGACACACCGGCTTTATCTGTACGGGACACAAGGTTAGAAATACCAACACATATATTTATCTGAACATTCTGGAGACATTGAGTGGTTTCACACTTCGTTTTAGAGTGGAATGTAACTTTTTTTATTGAATTTATTTCCATCAAATATTTCTGCTACCTGACAACACAAGATTTGTGTGGCGTAGAAGAACGTCCCTAGATCAATGAAAGATGTTTTGATTTGTCTCGATTCATAATCAGATTTAAGTACTGAAGAATTTAATGAAGAGCAAGCGATTAGAGGCAAATTAAGTCCCTGGATTTTGAAAGTCAATTTGATAGCTTTGGTATGATACTGCAATGAAATACAGAAATATCAAAGACAATTGAAAGTTTTCGAGACTGCAAGAGTTATCAAAACAGATTACCAAAGTAAAACAAGAAAACCTTCTCGCATGTTGACCATCCTGGCTGCGCGGGTAAAAAATATCAACATTGGTAAAACTACCATAACCAAAATTTTATAATTTCTTGCCGTAAAGTATGAAGGGGATGATTTTAAAAAATTTGAGGATACATTCAGGTAGGCAAAATATTTTTTAAAAAATGACAAAAAAGGAAACATCTATCTCGTTAAATTTTTCTGTTGTTGAAGGTTTATATGTACTGTATTCTTTCAAGTAATTTTCAATTCCAAATTGAAAATCTAATCCGGTAAAAATCTTTCCGATTTAAGCCGCTCACTCGGCTGGAGCGAGTGATAGGGGGGGTGCATGAGGGCGAAAAAACGGGTGAGCACAAGGGATGGGAAAGAAGAACCTAGCTCCTTCATAGTCCTACAAAAAAAATTCAGCCACTTACCGTCCACTAAGAAAGAAGGGACAGCTTGCGCTTTCATCTTCTCTCCTGATAAAAATCACAGATATAGGATTCTTCAGGAAAAGTCAAAATTGTTCTTCAAAACCAAAACATATCAATAACATAAATGCCATCTGTTGAAGTTAGAAGTCCGAGGAAATCTTCTTCCTGAGCAAAAAGCATTATTCAGGAAAGTTCTTTCAACTAACAGGCAGATACAGCGAGTTGCAGAGGTCAATGTGAATGACATGAATGCACGCGCAAGACGCGTCGTGTAGAATACATTCCCACTAAAATGGTCCCGTTCTATTCACAATGTCTACCCAGTAGAAGTTCCAGAAATAATAATGTTGATGTAGATTCAACACATTTTATGTCGTTTAATTTGTTACACAAACACCAATTTAACAATGCTTTGAGTTGAACTTAAATTTTAACGGCTAACGGTGCTAATTTTGATTCACCCTCTCATGAATGTAAGTGGAAGTCACTTTCAAACAGAACACTGCGACCAGATTCAGTTCTAATTAATTGTGTGGCATGTAAAAAGTAAATAATCAGTGAGTTGAACGCCAGCATAGCACGATCAATGGATTAACCGATGATCAATTGGTTAAAAAAATTGATAGAGCTTGTCTTGAATTAAACAAGAAAGACAAGAGGCGCTCATGCATCTATAGAAAGTCTTCGTTTTTGCTGATTCTTTTCTCACGTTTGGGGAAATTCTTTTAACATTCAGGACATAACGTAATGAATAACGCCGCAGAAATCCTAAAATCAGTCCAGATTGGTTTGGATGTCGCCATATTTCTCCTTAACACTGATCGTGGCCTACAAGCGACCGAGTTATGTAATGAATGTTTATTTCTACTTCACAAGCTTGACTCTGGTATTGACCTTGATCATGATATCGCTGATGTATTATTCAATGTGTTCTACGCCACCTCTGGTTACACAAATGCAGCACGATACACCACAAAACTTATTGACAAGTTTTTCCTCGCTGGAGAACTAACCATACAACTGGTAGACAAATACAAGGCAAAATGTTGGTTTGCAGAGGCAAAGCAACTTTGTAAAAGCGCTCTTACCATCATGAAAGCGATTGGCCATCGTAGAGAAGAGGCAGTGGCTTACGCGAGACTTGGATCTCTTTGTTTTATCCTCTGCAAGTATCTAAAGGCGAACGAATATTATGAGAAAGCAATTGCCATCGCGATAGAAATCGGCGACAGAAATGGTGAAGGAAGAACATACGGGAACCTCGGAGTTGTGTTTCAATCCCTTGGCGAATATCAGAAGGCCAAAGAATATTACGAGAAAGCACTTGCCATCGCGATAGACATCGGCGACAGAAATGGAGAAGGAACAACATACGGGAACCTCGGAGGTGTGTTTCAATTCCTTGGCGAATATCAGAAGGCCAAAGAATATTACGAGAAAGCACTTGCCATCGCGATAGACATCGGCGACAGAAATGGAGAAGGAACAACATACGGGAACCTCGGAGCTGTGTTTCAATTCCTTGGCGAATATCAGAAGGCCAAAGAATATTACGACAAAGCACTTGCCATCGCGATAGAAATCGGCGACAGAAATGGAGAAGGAACAACATACGGGAACCTCGGAGGTGTGTTTCAATCCCTTGGCGAATATCAGAAGGCCAAAGAATATTACGAGAAAGCAATTGCCATCCAGGTAGAAATCGGCGACAGAAATGGAGAAGGAAGAATATACGAGAACCTCGGAGTTGTGTTTCAATCCCTTGGCGAATATCAGAAGGCCAAAGAACATTACGAGAAAGCAATTGCCATCGCGATAGACATCGGCGACAGAAATGGAGAAGGAACAACATACGGGAACCTCGGAGGTGTGTTTCAATTCCTTGGCAAATATCAGAAGGCCAAAGAATATTACGACAAAGCACTTGCCATCACGATAGGCATCGGCGACAGAAATGGAGAAGGAACAACATACGGGAACCTCGGAGCTGTGTTTCAATTCCTTGGCGAATATCAGAAGGCCAGAGAATATTACGAGAAAGCACTTGCCGTCGCGATAGACATCGGCGACAGAAATGGAGAAGGAAGAATATACGGGAACCTCGGAGTTGTGTTTCAATCCCTTGGCGAATATCAGAAGGCCAAACAATATTACGACAAAGCACTTGCCATCGCGATAGAAATCGGCGACAGAAATGGAGAAAGAGCAACATACGGGAACCTCGGAGCTGTGTTTCAATCCCTTGGCGAATATCAGAAGGCCAAAGAATATTACGAGAAAGCAATTGCCGTCGCGATAGAAATCGGCAACAGAAATGGAGAAGGAACAACATACGGGAACCTCGGAGCTGTGTTTCAATTCCTTGGCGAATATCAGAAGGCCAAAGAATATTACGAGAAAGCACTTGCCATCGCGATAGAAATCGGCGACAGAAATGGAGAAGGAACAACATACGGGAACCTCGGAGCTGTGTTTAAATCCCTTGGCGAATATCAGAAGGCCAAAGAATATTACGAGAAAGCAATTGCCGTCGCGATAGAAATCGGCAACAGAAATGGAGAAGGAACAACATATGGGAACCTCGGAGGTGTGTTTCAATTCCTTGGCGAATATCAGAAGGCCAAAGAATATTACGAGAAAGCACTTGCCATCGCGATAGACATCGGCGACAGAAATGGAGAAGGAACAACATACGGGAACCTCGGAGGTGTGTTTCAATTCCTTGGCGAATATCAGAAGGCCAAAGAATATTACGAGAAAGCACTTGCCGTCGCGATAGACATCGGCGACAGAAATGGAGAAGGAAGAATATACGGGAACCTCGGAGGTGTGTTTCAATTCCTTGGCGAATATCAGAAGGCCAAAGAATATTACGAGAAAGCAATTGCCATCGCGATAGAAATCGGCGACAGAAATGGAGAAGGAACAACATACGGGAACCTCGGAGTTGTGTTTCAATTCCTTTGGCGAATATCAGAAGGCCAAAGAATATTACGAGAAAGCAATTGCCATCGCGATAGAAATCGGCGACAGAAAAGGAGAAGGAACAACATACGGGAACCTCGGAGCTGTGTTTCAATTCCTTGGCGAATATCAGAAGGCCAAAGAATATTACGAGAAAGCACTTGCCATCGCGATAGACATCGGCGACAGAAATGGAGAAGGAACAACATACGGGAACCTCGGAGGTGTGTTTCAATTCCTTGGCGAATATCAGAAGGCCAAAGAATATTACGAGAAAGCACTTGCCGTCGCCATAGACATCGGCGACAGAAATGGAGAAGGAAGAATAAACGGGAACCTCGGAGGTGTGTTTCAATTCCTTGGCGAATATCAGAAGGCCAAAGAATATTACGAGAAAGCACTTTCCATCGCGATAGAAATCGGGGACAGAAATGGAGAAGGAACAACATACGGGAACCTCGGAGCTGTGTTTAAATCCCTTGGCGAATATCAGAGAGCCAAAGAATATTACGAGAAAGCAATTGCCATCGCGATAGAAATCGGCCACAGAGAAGGAGAAGGAAGAACTTACGGGAACCTCGGAGTTGTGTTTCAATTCCTTGGCGAATATCAGATGGCCAAAGAATATTACGACAAAGCACTTGCCATCGCGATAGGCATCGGCGACAGAAATGGAGAAGGAATAACATACGGGAACCTCGGAGCTGTGTTTCAATTCCTTGACGAATATCAGAAGGCCAAAGAATGTTACGAGAAAGCACTTGCCGTCGCGATAGACATCGGCGACAGAAATGGAGAAGGAAGAATATACGGGAACCTCGGAGGTGTGTTTCAATTCCTTGGCGAATATCAGAAGGCCAAAGAATATTACGAGAAAGCAATTGCCATCGCGATAGAAATCGGCGACAGAAATGGAGAAGGAAGAACATACGGGAACCTCGGAGCTGTGTTTCAATCCCTTGGCGAATATCAGAATGCCAAAGAATATTACGAGAAAGCAATCGCCATCGCAAACGGAATAGGAGACAGAAGTAACGAATGGTCTAGTCTATGGTAGGTCTAGTTCTGATAAGAAATTTCCATTTGCTATCTTAGGGACTATTAAGCAGGGGGGGGGGGGGTTGGGGGCTGTTTGAGGATTTTGGTTGTCTCTCAGTAAAATTCACCTGAACCCCTGTAAGGCTCCATAATATTCTTTACATTCCCCTCCCCCCCCTCCCCCACAGAACCAGAAGATTTTGATGAATCATTTTCAAAATTGGCCTTGAATCAAAGTTGCTTTTGTGTGCGAAATCTTCAGAAATTATTCTTCAAACGGAAGCCCAAGAGGATGATAGACAGGCCAAAGTAAATGCAACGAAAGCAACTTGAGAGATATAAGCTACCTAATGACTTTGAAGTTGATAGCTATTTGAGCTGTATGTCTGGCTACTTTGAATCTTTTAGAAATTCTGATCTGTATAATGCTTTAGAGTTGAAATTGTATTATGTTTGTTTCAGGAAAGAGGAACACAAGGAGGACAACAATGAAGCAGAGAAGAAACAGAGTAACAACTGATCCTGCACAAAGATTATCTTCCCTGCACATTGTTTTTGAATGGACACTGGTATTAGTTTGAGCAGAAATTGTTCATTTTATTGTAGATAAATGGTTATTTTTGAATGCTCTTTCAAATAAGGCTGAATCGAAAGCTAGTGACACTGAAAGCTGCATTTCAGCCCTCAGACCTATTAAGGGGACTAAAATGAATCAGGATGAAAAAATTGAAAGCATGAAATTAACTAAATGTTTATTTATATGAGAAATTTGGTAAAGTTTCCTTTGGATCATAATCGGGAAACTCTAAAACTAAACACTAACTTGTTTTGTGAGTTATGTAAAAAACAGAAGAAAAGGAGAACAAGCATTGCACAAAATACTACTGCAAAAGTCAAACAGATGAGTGAAAACAATTCCTAAGATATCAATGAAACAATCTCCCAGAATTCAGAGCAGAAAGATAACTGATATTATTGAAAAGATAGTTGGAATACCTGAAGGAAAACAAAATCACAAACCAGGAATGCATGGCTTTGTTGTGTACGATGTTGTACAAATGGCAGTTTTCTATGCATTTTTTCCCTCTACCTTAGGGGGTTGGGTGGGGAGGTCAGTATTATAATATTTTTGTCTTTTAGAACTTTCAGGAAAAGGTAAATGCTAAAGAAGTTGTTGATATGATGTTTTAAAATGGTTCATCAAAAGGATCTGTTAGGAATAATATAATTAGTGATGAGATTTTGTAACTGATGGCAGACTTTTGTTCCTAATGGTCAGTGGCTCCTAAAAACTTATTGATTCCTAGGAGGCCTACTTATTCTTTGGCCAACTTGAAGGCTTTTGTTCCTGTGGTCACTCTACATTTTTCTCTTATTTGAAGTACTTTTGCATTTCTTATTTTTCTCTGACTTTTCAGTTTTGTTAATTAAGTGAAATTTATTATTTTTCTAAGATAAGAGTAAATAAATAAAACTGAGAATGGAATTGGATTGTTGGAGTTAATTCTCAGATTTATTTTGCAGCCTTAGACTTGGTCTGACAAAATACACTAAACAATTGTTTTCTGCAGAGTTTTATGCACAAGTTCACAATCGTGTCACATTGATTTTCTTTTTTCACTACCTCTTTTAATGTTTTGGCCTTCATTAATCTATCCTTGTGTTTTGCCATTAATTATCATTTTTACATTGACTCATGGCCAACTGTATTCAACAGTTCAGAAACTTCATCACCAAACTACCCCTGTATTGGAATGACCACACTGAATTTTGATGTAGTATGGGGGTTGAAGAGCAACAGTCTGTGGAGAGAGATTTGTGCTGAGGACTGTGTGGCGTTTGAAAGTGAAATGATGGTGAAGGTGGGGGAGGGGGGAGACAAGCCATAGTTCCTCCAGCCTCCCTCCTCTAGGTTTTCCTTAGGTTCTCTTATCCCTGATGCTCCTCCTTATCTCACTTCATACCAGCCAACTTTCACAATTCATTTTCAGCACTGAACCATTTAGCTACCAAAAGTGATGAAAATGCAACTTCCCTAAAAACAAGGGGTTTTCTCTATGACAAATCACCAAGACCAACAAATGGATGAAACACAAAACCTCTCTGAGTTTTTAGGAGAAAAGAAATGTCTCTAAGTGTAATGAAGACCCCTATACATTTCACCCTTTAACTCTCATGGAAATCATGACTGAATTTCTAATTATAATATCAAAACAATATCAAGAAGACAAGTGATGAGAACAAAGAGAATCAACACCATCATCATCTTCATTATCACAAAGTAAGATCTCCATGTACACCTCAGCAGTCTTTTTAGGTAAAAAATCATCATCATCAAATTTGAAGTACATAAGACAAAGGAAATGTCTCAGGTCAAGGAGATTTAAAGAATCCTTTAGATGAACAGTCAAACACTTCAAGGAAAGATTTCCCTATAACCCCATACTTTAAAGATGTAGTCCTAAAATCAGTGCACTGTTTATGCCAATGTTTCTATGTTCTTATAACTGTGTGTATAATGACCTATGGGTTACACAGAAATCTTGCCTACTCTGACACAGAGCAACACATGTACAGATGACTGGCCTCAATTCAAATCATTTCAAACCTCATAATTGTTTAGCCATGTGAGACCTTGAGATGTCAAGGTTACATATATATCACATATAAGTTATCCCTGCCAAATTGGACTAGTTTTACCCTGTAACTCCCATGAGTGACCAAGACAGAATTTCTCCTTACAATATCAGTACAATATCAAGCAGACAAGTGATGAGAATAAAGAAAAATATTAATATAGGAATGACTAGTTGATCCAATACCAAATTCTCCAAACTTTCATCACAAGAACTATAAGGCTGACAGTAAAGAGAATTACTAATGAGATCTTAGGAGTTAAAGGGTTAAGGTGATTCCTCAGTAATTAGCCCTGCACATCATGTACTGTGCATAATATCACATAATCAAGCTAATAAGCATATATGCATTCCAAGAATATTGTATTGTTTATCAATCAATGGATCAGGTAAAGAGGTGCTATGGTCTTTACCTCTTAAATGAGCAAAGTGACCATGTTTTATTTCCCATAGTTTCAAATTATGACCCTGAAAGGAATGACTCTAAGAACATTTTGAGTCGATATCGTTTAAATTTGCGTGATATTCCCTAAAATTATACATTAAATTGTTCCATACACTCGAGACTTACTAGCTATCAAGCTTTTTTCCAGCAGCAGCAAAATGTACAGTGAACCGATGAAATGACGGGCATGATTAGTGCCAGTACAGGCATAAATGGGGTAAGTTTGGTGCATATATCTCCTAAACAAGCGAGATGACCTATCTCTCTTTTTGTATTTTTCGAAACAGACATTGGTAAGGAACATTTAAGGAAAGTTTACCAAAAATTGTCCCATAACTTCTTTTCTGAAGAATCACCTTGAAGGTAGTTAAATAATTAAATCAAGTGAAATCAATTTCAGAAGTCGTATGTTGTCACTCCAGTCATTTGTAATAGACCATCTTATTATTCATCCACGACATTAGGTCATCGACTGAAAAAATTAAGGGTAAAATTTCCGCACAGCCCCATACTACATTATGCATTCAGTTCTTGGATAGAGAAAACAACGACAAAACAATACAATACAAGAAAGTACAAAGCGTACCCAGATTGAAACACTATGACTTTTAATATTCAGAGCTGTACACTGAAACTTTCTTTCTTACCTCATTCTGGAACAATTCTGTTAGAAAGGGAATGTGCCTGAAAAAGTGTTTAGTGAAAAGTGTTTACCAGATGACATCGTACAGAAGATCATTCTGAATTAAGCCGTTTTGAAAATTCGAGTTAGTAGTGGTTACAATGAAATTGCTGCGTTAGAGCTGCGTTAGTAAACAAGAAATGGCTTCATTTTAGAATCCAGTTTCCTCACGGCATGTTTCAGGAAAGGGTTGCACTGGACTGGATCCAGATCTGTTCAGATATGTCCTCTAAGGCCCGTGAGAGGAACATTTTTAATATAAAGATTGCCAGTACTCTGAAATACCATAAAATTACATGAATGTAGGTTTTGGTTGAAATTTTAACTTTCTGTTTTGATAGCAGGTAGAAAGTATTCATTTCAAGGCATCACGGAAGTTAAATGCGCTGTGAGAGATTATTCAGCGTTAGTTGATTTCCGGTTGATTTTTTCCGATAAGTGACAGATGATTGAACCATAGGATCATATAATATGTTTAAAATGAGAGAGACCAGAGACAAAAAAACAGTGAGAGATAGGTAGAAATAGGCAGAAACCTTGCGATTCACTCAAGTACTCTTTGGTTTGGCACCATCTCCATTCCTCTTGGCCGCAGTTATCAAAGAACATCTACAGCGATACAAAATGGTGAACCCGGAACTAGTGGAGGAGATAGAGCGCAGTATGTACGTAGATGATTTAATCAGTGGCGGGGAGACAACAAAACAAGCGTTAGAAATCAAGATGACAGCCACAACAATCTTTGGTGAGGCGACTTTCAAGCTGCACAAGCGGCATTCCAACAATCGGGAGTTAGAAGTTGAAACTGCGACTTCAGATGAAGAAAATCAGGGTTACGCCAAACAACAACTCGGAACCAGAAAGAGCGAATCAAAACTGCTGGGAGTCCCCTGGGACAAAGAAAAGGACGAAATTCAAGTCAGCTTCCCGATTTTGTTAAACGATAAAAATACAACTATATTTAATCTGAAATATCGCAAGAGTTTCCTTATATTGGTGTCGAGGAAAGGACTGGAAATATTGTATTACTTTAAACCATTCCTGCAAAAAAAATATAAAAAGACAGGTTGATTACTTTTTATTCCTTTTGGAAGCCTTATCTTAAAGGTAGAGTTTGGTCACGTTTTCCTCGTTATGATAGTGAAGTTGACATAGAAACAGTTGTTCAGTTTCTATGGTAATTAGAACTCGTGATAGTGTCTTGGGAAAGATATGTTATTAATTAAGTTAATTTGTTAGTCCAGGAAGAGTGAATCTCTCTGGTAAAAGGTCACGTTCGACACCTCTCGTTCTTAAAGGTGTAAACGTGTGATACCTTCACGTTTTGCAATTAGATAGTTATTGTGACTAGCACGTAGCAACTTGGGGGTGGTACGCCCCTTCTTCTCCAACTTTTGTAATCATGATGTTGTTATGTAACGGTCTTCTAAGGCAATCTTCTCTTAAGATACCCCTTTAGATGTGAATAATATTCCGTCAATAGGATAGTTATGATTTTTATATTACCAATCTCGTTTCTGTTCTGGCCTATCTCGACTGTAAGAATAAGAAATTTAAGGTGGAAAATGATTTTGTAACAGCGCAAATAACTCGAAGGCGCATACCTAGTGGACAGGAACTGTCATACGTAATCTAATGTGATTCGGCTGAGATGGAACGATGACGATACAAGAAGATTGACAGCTTGGTAGTGTCATCTGCAGTGTCACTCTTATAACAAACAACGTGTGTCAGAAATTTTACTTCTAACAATTTCAACCGCTGAGCCGACAAAAAGGGGTATCCTGGGAAAAGTCGCAAAAATCTACGATCCACTCGGTCTGGCTTCACCAGTGACCCTCTCTAGAAAAATGCTCTTCAGAGATGCCTGCGACACGAAGTTCGCGTGGGATAGCCCCATACCAAGTGACTAACAAGCCAAATGGAAGAAATGGGAACAAGGACTTCCAGAGCACGTGAACGCGCCAAGAAATGTCGTGAAGCACGTAGGGACGGGGCGGGGAAAGGAACACTCGAACGGGCAGTACAACACCTTTACCCACTGGAGCTGTTCTGCGATCGGGAGAATGTAAAGGCTCCTCCGCAACTCAACCCCGAGGCCCTGAAATTCAAGCCCAGGAGGGATGCAGCGGTAGCTGCTCGTTATCGCATTCAAGACGCGAACATTGATGCTGATTAGAGATATTTAGGAACACTGAACTGATATACTGGACTAACTTTCCGTTTCGTTCATTGAATTTCAAATTTTATCGAGTGTGCCATTCTAGTGTTTTTCCCCTGTTGAAAAAAAACAGGGGAGTGTGTGAGAGATTCAGCGTTAATTGATTTACGGTTGATTTTTTGCGATAAGCGACAGATGATTAAACAGTAGGATCATATTATATATTAAAAATGAGAGAGATCAGAGCGTGAGACAAAAAAAACGGTGAGAGAGAGAGGGAGATCAAGTCGATTTTATAAATGAAACGTGAAGTTTCGGAACATAGCAGATTCTTTTGTCTCATTTCCGACAGCGCGTCTTCATGCAAACTGAAATAGCATGCAAATTACTCACCCTATCCTTATAATAACATACATTTTCTAACGCTTAATAAACAGTGATTTCAGTCATTTTAATATGGTGTTAAGTGCAAAGGGGTTAATGATCGAATAGCTCTTGTCGATGCCAAAACTATGAAAAAGGGAGGACTTAGTTGGGACAAAGTTTGTTCATTGGTCAATTGACAGGTCGGGGACTGGGCAGGAAATTCATAGAATAGGTACATGCATTACACGTGCATCAAATGTATTTTTTATACAAAACCAATCATCTTACTTGTGACGTCAAACTCTCCGACTGTTGTTCCGTTACTAACTCGCGCACTCTAAGGAATCTGTTTCGATCGATTGTAACGTCAGTAAAACTTGCATTAATAGGAATCTCTTTCAGTTGATTGTTACGTCGGTATCACTCGCACTCTAAGGGTAACCGGTCAAGTCGCCCGAAAGTCATCTCGCCCGAAGTCATGTCGCCCGGAACCAGAGTCATGTTGGCCGAAATTCATAGTCATGTCGCCCGAAATTTTATCGAGTGTTTAATCTTGAAGAAAAGTAACAATCGTAAGGAATAAACTCGTAAAATGTTTTCGTCCGCTAATCTATGCAAATATGAAGTAAAACAAAGACTCAAATATCGCTGTTCATTTCAGCGTTAATCGTTGCTATGAACTAAACTACTCATTCTACAGTACATACAGTACACTTTTTGACTTTAAAAATTACTTTCAGTGCATTGGAAACCAAAAATATCAGTAGGAAAAGATAGAAAAATAACCAGATGGGAAGCTTAATTAAAACAGAAACAAGGATGGATGAAGTTGGAGAAGATTAAGACGGATTTAGCTTAATTTTCCATGATGGAAAACTGGTGACGTTGGTCCTTCAGAAGGTCCGTCAATATTTGCTTACGTTGTAACTCAACTTTTTGTCCATGAAAATACATCGCAGCCAATATGCAACTTCACTAGAGAGAGATCTTCACTTTGTGAATCCACCTAACTCGTCACATATATAATTCATCACAATATTTCTTACGGACGTATTTGGCTCGAAGTCTTATTTCTATAACTCTGTAAAAGTATGCGGAGCGTTCCTTTGCATCCAGAGTTTAAGCGAGTCAGAACTTCTACTGAACTGCCGCCTACAAGTCTGTGTACAGGCGTTGAAGAGAAATGGAAGATTTTTAACGCCAAAGATGGAGGACGGGGCTTTGATTACCCTTACTCCGCGACCAAACATTGGACCGTCACAACAGTCACAGCGAGTATAACTGAAAAAAAAACCAATAAATCAATAGACTGGAAAAAAAAAACAACAAAAAACGTGGTGATGCGCCACCAGCATGCGCGCGCGCTCTGAGACTTGAATTTGAAAACATATCGAGGAAATTTGTTACGTGTACGATTTTCGCATGTGCGAGTTTTTTTTTTTTAACGTTTTTCTGCCAAACAAAAACTGGTTCTACAAGAGCTAGTATCAACATGACCAAGGACTGTCTCACCTTTCTAGAATATTTTTAATCACCGGCGGTAAATCGCGTTTCTTAATATGTAGTCCTTGTCCAAACACAGCTAAAGCAGTCAAGTCTCCGAGCCGCTGCAACGAAAAACAAACCAAACTCAGATTCAGAATGTATAGTCCATTACTACTAAAGCGGAATTGGCTTCTTGTAAATAAATGTAAACTTCCATGGTCCAAACTCAATTCTGGTTCAATTCGGCCTCTTTAAACTTCAAATAGCCTGCAGAATGGACGTAATTTTTTTAGATTTTTCAGTCGAACGGAGGCAAGCGCGAGGCGAACTGGAACTGAGAGTCACGAGCGAGAGAAGGAGCACAAAACTCCCCTTTACGCGTGACTCGCACTTCGCGCTCGCCTCAGTTCAACTGAAATTGCACCCGTGAGGTTAGGGAAGATAGTGAAAGATAACAGACCTGGGACAAAGAAAAAACATCTACCTTCAATACAGGTTAAACAACCTTTTCGCCTGGTTTTTCTTCAATATTTTTGAAAACTAATTCATTTAGCTTTTCCCTTCATCTCAAAACTTGCCTTATGTACTTCTCGTCTTACCTGAGGCTGATTTTTAGCTGTCTCTCGCCACATTAGTGGATGTGTGAAGTTATTTTGTATTCTGACATACTTCAAGTTCAGATGCAGGGCTCCTACTGGCAAGGCTCCAAGTTGATTTCCTTCCAGATTCAATTCCCTTAGAGAACTATATATGTAAACAAGGGAAGGGTATAAAAAAGAATATTTTAACCTTTACATCATAACATCAGTATGCATATTCTCCATACTGCTCTCAGTACATTTCCTAAGGAGCTGACAAGGAGAATTTGTATAACAATCAAGAGCTTATTCAGCTAGTGATCATTTCCTTTATTCTCATGACCTTAAAGTGTGATTCAGAGGAGGTGGTGTTGGGAGAATTTAGATGCTGGTCACTCTCAGGGGTCAGTTTTAGTTGTAAGACTATGAGGTGGAAACAGCAAACATACCTTAGGTTTCCAATGTCTGAAGGAATAAATGAGAGCAGGTTGTAGGCCAGGTCCAGAAGCTCAAGATGTTTCAGCTGGAAGAGACTACAGAAATAACACAGCTATTAGTAACTGGGTGCTTATCTGAAGACAGTTCAAGACCTGGCCAGGTCATTGTGTTGTGTTCTTGGACAAGATGCTTTACTCTCAAAGTGCCTCTCTTCAACCAGGGGTATAGAGGAAATCCTGATAGAATCCTGGGGGGGGGGGAAGAAAAGGGGCTGGTAACCTACAAAGTACTGACATGCTATCCTATCCAACATCCTATCCTAAGATACCCATGCAGCCTGAGCTTATTCCGGTTTCAGTCACTTCATGCTACAGAAACCGGAATAAGCTCTGGCTGCATGGGCTTCTTAGGTAAAGAGCAACTTTCCTTTAAACCTATCTGAACTCAAACAGGTACATCTTTTTTAAGAAGAAAGTACACAAGAAAAGACAAGAAAGTAAGGGCATTCTGTAGTGACAAACATGCCAAAACAGCTGATAAACCAATTTAATGCACTTGACATTTTGCTTTCACATCATGCACCTTCAGAAATGACTTTTGAACAAAATCACAATTAAATCTAAGTTTAGGAGTTCAAAAGTAAATGTTCAAACAGAAAAGATATGAAATTTGTTGACAATAAAGGTAAATATTGCTGGAAAGGAGTAGTATTGACAAATATTAAAAGGAAAGTGAAAGAAGTCAAAACCTGGATTCCAGGAGTTTCAGTGACAGAGGGAGAATTTAATTAAATGTTGCAAGAAAAAAATAGTATTGAAAAATATTACAACAGAATTAAGCAAGGGAAGTCAAAACCTGAAGTTTAAGTGATAGAGAGAGAATTTACTATTTGCAACAAAAGCATACCTTGATGGTAAAGATGTAAGAAGGTTGAAGGACATTTCAAACACAATGAGCCTCTTCAGTTTTTTTATACCTAAAAATGGTTACATCACAATCTCAGATTAACAAAGTAGCTCACAGATTCATCTTTTGTGTATTCACCACCTAAATGTAATGTGTCAGACAAATTCATAGTTTGATTTGGTGATACAGAATGAATTATATACTGTTCTCACTTCTTTCCTCTTTCACAATCTTATGAAAAGTTTAATGTTATAAATTTCATCTTTGTATAAGCTGCAAGTATCTTATTTATTTGGAGCAGTTTCAGAAAACCCTAAACATACTGCTTCAAGGCAGGAAAGTACAAAATAAATTGCTCTTCCAAGGAAAAAATTAGCAGGAAGGTAAAAAAATTACTATTGGATAAAGATCAATAGTATGAGAGGTTTTATCTACCTTTCAGACGACCATATATACTGACCCACAAAAATAAAATGGGCCAAAAATTGAAGCATTTGACAAATTGTCCTGTAGGGCACATAATCTAGAGCAGTGTAACCATTCCCTCTTTAAGTGTATCCCTACTTTATCCTAAAATCTCATACATCTAGTATCCTAAATAACTTTTGATAATTCCAAAGAGGTTGGAGATCAGTAAATTAATCACACAGTACATTTTTTTAATGACAAAAAAAGTCACAAAACTGCATACTCCCAGAGGTAGTAATGGACAGTAAAGAGATTGCCATTTTCCTACATACCATGGGGAATTTCTTTTATAGGATTGTTCCTTAGTTTTAGTGAAACCAAGTTGACCAGCTGTAGAATCTCTGGAGGGAAAACCTAAAAGAATTTTGAGGATAAAAAATGATAAAAAGTATAAGGAATATTATATAGATCTGAGTCTAAGACTGGTTCACCTGCCAAATTTTTTTTATTCAAAGGTTGAAGATTTTTTGTAGAGGGCTCAATCATATCCAAAGATGTCCAAAGATTTCTGAAAATGTGGCAAAAATGTCTCAAAGGCTTTCAACCCAATCTCTGGTCCCCCCCCCCCCATTTTTAGTTAGTCCAAAGAATTTTTTTGGTGCAAGGCACAAACTGGTAAAGGATAAACATTTCTGGGTTATTGCCAGGTATGGTCCTGTTGAGGTCATTAATTTGTCTTTAAGAGTTCCCATACAGTTCTTCTAATGCAAAAAACAAAAGACAGCTTAAGATCAGTGCTCACCCAAAGATCATTAAAGGACAGATTCAAATGTGTTAGCATCCCTGCCAGTGGGCTCATATCAGGAAGTTGATTCAAGAAGTGTGCCCTGAAATTAAGAATTGATGAGCCTGTCATCATGGCATTTAATACCACAGCTTCCAGTGGAGACATTTGCGCATCATAAACATCAGCACTCACTAAGAAGGAAAATAAAAGAACAAATTTAGGATTTGCAGTGTATATGACCACACTAATTAATTTATTACTGGAGCTTTCCCTATGATGCATGCACCCTAAATCCCAGTAAGATAGTGTTGTGAAATACCATTATATATTTCATGTAAGGGGCATCTATTGAGGAAAATACTGTCCTTGGAAAAGTGCTGAAAACCATCTAAAAGGATCATATTGCCAGCTAAGGGTAAAAAGAAAGGTGAGTGAATCCTGTCCCAGGAGAGAAGGCATCTTGTGGTAAGTGCCCTGTGCAACACCAACCAGTGAAACAGGCCCACAGTACAGGGAGCTGTGTTCCATACAATCTGTTTACATGTAAGTGTGTGACAGGTTTTATTATGTCCCCTAATAGCGATGGAGATGTTGGAGAGAGAGAGGACCCTCACCGACAGTTATCAGTAAAGAGTGCAGTCACAAATTAAAAACCTTAGGGTTTTAATCGGTGAATGGACTTTTTACTGATAAGTCCACTCTGAGGCTTGAACTTTACACCTCCTTGAGGGCAGTTAAACCATCTACACTTACATCCAAAAATGCACACAATAACAAAAGTAGCAGATTTGATAAAATTTTGTCACACCAAGTGAATGTTCATGGTTAAATTTGTCAAAGCAAAATCAGCATGGTGCAATTGACGATTTTGATGAATTTTAGGTTGGTCAGATTACTTAACATAGCTAAACCCATATAGAGTCCTTCTTATAGAAATTCCTGGCTGAGCCCCTCTGAAATAGTTGACAAAGGCTACAATTTGCAGATCAAAGTAATGTGAATTTACAATTCTTAGCATGGGAGGGAATTAGGGGTTCTTGAAATATGGGTGTCAATTAATTTTTAACCCTGATATGACCCAAAATTTATGGACTTTACTCAACAACAATAACATTTATCAGCCACTTAATAAAAAATCAGGGTAGGTATTCTAAATTCAGTTTGGTCTTGACTGAATGACAAGTTTGTCAGACTCGTCATTAGCATAGAAGAAGTCAAATAAAGTCTTTCTAATGTTTTCCTTCATAGCATAATACAAACCAAATGGAGATGATGTTCTTGGCAGCTCTTCTCCTTGAAAATATGCTGGCTGTGAACTTGGAAGTATTACCTCCACACTCTGATATGCTGGTGCTGATTCACTAAGCAAAAACAAGTAAAAAATTAAACAATGAAAAGTACTATGGGCTGGTTATTAAAACAAAGTTTAGCCATAGAGTAAGAGAACCACATTCTAAACTATCTTCAATTTGGCTGAATCTTTTACTTTTACGAGCATGTACTGTCTAGAGTACCAAAGGCTAACAGTGAAAGGACAGTTATTTAATTAAATCAACCCCCTTATAGAGGATAACTGAGGCCTACTTCTGGCAAAAACACACAGTTTAGTTTCACAGTTCAGCCATTTTCCCAAGTTTAACCATTTTACCAAGTTGAAAAATAATAGTGAGCCTGGTATGGGGCCATCAAGGACCAAATGTGAGTTGATATTATTCCTCAGCTCAAAAGAATCCTGTGAACAGCATACATTTCTTGGATTGAAAACCAATAATTGAAATAGAAACTAATGTGAGCTTTCAGTGGTTTGTATAGCTTGTACTGCAGCACCATCTCAGTCAAACAAGTAATTATTAAAATTTGGTTTGTCTTGGAGATTTGGACTCAAGAGGTTAGGGGAGGGGGGGGAGGGGGGGGAGGGGAGGGGAGGGGGGGGGGGGGTTGGGGGTTATCAGAAACTTTTAAGGTTCCAAGCAGTAGAAGAGTAGGAGAGGCAGGGGGAGGGAGGGGGGGGGTTGTAAAAGCAATCACTGTAAAAAAGGAATTAAACTATGAATCAGATCACAGCTCAAACACACAACACAATCACGCTACTTACATTTCTAGCCTTAATGTTCTTTCTTTTACAGCTGTTTTTGGTTTGTCTGACTCATGATCAACTTTTCCATCTCCTTCAATTACATCGTGATCTACATCATGTTTTAAAAAAGAATCTTGACTCAAAGCAAATCGAGTTTTTTGTTCTCTGGTTCCATATCCCTCTTCAGTTTCCATGGCCTCTTTCTTTACACCTTTTTCCCGAGGAGATGACACCATTTCAGCCATTGTCACTTCACCAATAGTTTGAACTGGAATGTTCGCCATTTTCTTCCGATGATCATCTCTTCCGGAGGATACTTGAGTATCCTTGTCAATGTCAGTAACACGTTCTGTTTCTATTGGTGGTAGCAGTGCATATCTAGAAGCCGGTATTGTCAGTTTAGAAGCTGCTGGAGTAACAGGAAATACAGTGGATGCTCTTTCTGGAATCAAAGTCAATTCTTGATCTGGTGTCTGGAAAATTTCCATTCCTTGGAATTGCATCTCTGTGGGAAAAAAATAAGAAAAAGTTATATGGCCCTAGCCCTTTAACTCCTCAAGATCTCATTAGTAATTCTCCTTACTCTCTGCAATAGTTCTTCTGATGTTTCTTCAGAGAATTAGGTATTAGATCAACCAATAAGCCCCTAATTGATACTTTTCTTGGTTCTCATTATTTACCTTCTTGATTTTGTATTGATATGGTAAGGAGAAACTCTGTCTTGGTCACTCATGGGTATTAAAGGGTTAAAAAATTATACAATTCCACTGTTCAGTGGCTGTAACTGTGCTTAAAACAGATTCCTTATATGATCATGCTATTGCTAAAGAGAAAATCACAATTAGAGCAAGATCTCATTGTTGATTCTCCTCACTGTCTCTCATACAATTTTTATGATGTTAGTTTGGAGATTTTTATACTGGATCAACTAATTATTCCCCTAATTCATACTTTTCTTTATTCTCATCACTTGTCTGCTTGATAATGTATTGATATTGTAAGGAGATATTCTATCTTGGTCATTAGTAATAAAGTGATAATAAAGCCTAAAACAACCTGATGTACCCATGCTTGTCAAGGAAAAGGCAACCTCTGAAAAATTCATGCTTCTTACTTTTAGTCTAATTTCACATAGACACATTTATCATTGAATCTTTCTGTAATAATTGTTTATTTCACCAGCCAATCAGCCTGTGCATATTGGCCAAAGTGGTCCCCCCTCTTTTAGGAGGAGGGGTGACTGCACACTTAGTACAAGCCAATCAGTTGTTAAGGGAAAATCTTAGGTGCAACAAAAGCCAGACTAACATCTGTCCCCATGCAAAAAGAAAACTAGGGTCTCTGAAATAAGATTAACATTACCCTCAGCTCTTACTTTTCTAATGGTTAAATCTTGGCTTGTTGCTGTTTTTTTTTAATACAATCAGTCAGACTGCAATTTCTCTAAAGAATACTTGGCTAACTTTCCCAAACAGAGTCCAGAAATTAACCCCTAACTCCCACAAGTGACTAACATGTAACTTCTCCACATAATAACCATACATCATCCAATAAACAGGTGATGAGAATACTCAAATTTATCAGTTAGAGGTTGAAATCTTGGTCTAACGCCAAATTCTCATAAATCATTCGCAAGGAGATGTGTAGCAGCTTTAGAAGAGAATTAACAATCATAACTTGAACTACAGTTACTGTAGTTATTGTCAGATTTTCTCACCTATAAACAACTGTCTCGCTGGAACTCTTGGAGTAACATCTGGTACATCAATAACACCTGTATAAAGAACATTTGATCAATCTCTTTGTGATTCACAGCAAAAAGTACTAGGAAACAGCTGTCGCTTCATTAACGCGTTACACCATGGTTCACAAAGATACGACGAATTCATTGATCGATAGACTAAAAATTTGAATTATTAATACATACTGTCTATATCGAGATTATGAATGGAAGACTGATGAGGTCTGTTGGCAGCAAACCAGCTTGTCAATTTCTCGTAGTTTTGATCAGAAATCATTGGTTCTCCATCTTCATTGACTGCAGACCGGGATGGTAGTCTTTTCAAGAAGTCCCTCAGAGTAAATTCAGGAGGTGGTCTCGAGTACGAGTCTTTCACAAAAGCTTCCAAAGGCAGTTCTCTTAGTTTTCTTGGAGGTCGAAGAGGGAGAGGATCGGGTCCTTTTGTCCTGAAAGGCTTCACTAAAGACGCGATCGGCAGAGGTACATCGCCATGAAATCTCACTTCTCTGCCCGCTGAATCTGCGACTTTTGACTTAACAAGTCGCTTTGTGCTTGACACCTCGGGTGATTTTGACCACACTTTGTGATTTCTCTCCTCCGTCGAGGATTTATCTTCTGATTTTGAACGCAGAGAGGGCGGTGGTTGTGATTTTTTAGGTGGTAAAGGCCTGCGTAAGAGAGGTATCGGTCTTGGCGAGCTAGCAGCCGCCATTATTTTGCTCTTTTCCTTTTGCCCGCTTCGCTCATTTCCATGACAACCGTTATTGACGAAACTGACGAGATTTCCGTAAGTACTCGTAGTAAGTCGGAATATCGCTCGGAAGAACTCGTATATCAGACCCAGTCTCCTACGCAATTTAGCTCTTCGACCGGCTTTCTAAAGACGTAGTATGCTTTCAAAGTGACAACATCTGTGTAACGATGTCTTCCCCAAAGAGTTCTTCAGGTGAAGCTAGGAAACAGAATGGTTCGCGGAAAAGAAAACGCCCTGATCCACAAGATTCGGATTTAAACGGAAGAGCTAAAAGCAAGGCTGTCCGCGTGGTGAGAAATGAAAGTTATTTTTCTAAATACAGCTGAGACGCTGTAGTTTAGATCCTAGGAGAGGGGAGATTTAACGGTTTAATTTTCCTCCACAGCAAGATTGCAGCTGTTAGATTTAATATTTTTTTGCAGTTCTCTTAACAATTAGCCAAGACACATCGAGCAGTTCCGTCCGCTGCTAATGGCGGCTCGCCAATTGAACAACTTACGACAACAAAAGCTTGAACGGAAATAGACAACTTTTGTTCTTTTTGAAATTGACCACTGTACACCTTTTAAGCTTGATATTTCACTTTGTTTACAATCCATTATACATGCGCATATCGTAAGTACAGCTACATTACGCAACTAAGGTGATAAAGATTAGAGCTTTAACAGAATGGCTTTGTTGTATTGTTTTCATGCGCTTTTTATTTTTCCTCGATTCAGTCACCGCGTGAACCCGCTTTCTTGTTTGAACCAGACTTGACAATTTCGTCTCCCGAGGAGCAAGTTTCCGACAATCTAGAGCCGATCACTTTACAGGACGCAAAAGATGGAAAAGGTATTTGTGTCTTTGTTTGGGACAGACGCTTTACAATGCAAATGGTAATTTAATTTCATCTTAAACTTTCGCTTAAACAAATGCTTCCTACGTACCCGCACTTCTTCGACCAGCTGGTTTTTGAAATAACCAATTTTATACCCTACCTAATTATTGCAGTGAAAGCTTTTACTATCGATCTTTTAGTAATTCTTTAAAAATTCACTTCTTCCTTGCAGCAACAAGGCCAATTCGTGTCTATGCTGACGGTGTTTACGATGTGTATCATTTTGGACACGCGAGGGCACTGATGCAGGCGAAACAAGCTTTTCCGACAGAAGTATATCTGATGGTGGGAGGTATGAATTTTCTTAATTTATTATTAATGGAAAAATAAAAATCGCCTATCTTTTATAAACCCCTTCATTTACCAATCAACCGTGGAAAATTGTAAGAAAGGTCGTTAAAACTCTTCGATAGAAAAACGAGTTTGACCTTGAAATGTAACGCAATGCCTCGGAAGACATCAGCTGATATCAAAGTTCAGAACAATTCCCGCCTGATTTTGAGTTCAAGTCTAAAGTTCAATTATTTGGAGTTCCCACCAAATGCAGTTACTTTATCGGCCATAAAATAGACTTGAACAAATACACTTTACTGAGAAGTTGGAAAATTGGGCATAAAGAAAACTATGCTCCCAAAAACGATTCTTCCATTGTGTATCGTTTGCCTATGTTTGATTCCCTTAAGAAAAAAATTTAACATAAATTTTTCTGCAGCACTGAATCTTCCCCACCCTTTGTCCCAAAACTCTTGTTATCTACCTTTCCATCTTGAAGGTCAGGCCTCAAATGGATGTCTTCTTGAACATTTTAACTCTAATGAGTGACCAAGACAGAATTTCTCCTTATAATTTTGATACAATATCAAGCTGACAAGCAATGAGAATAAAGAAAAATGTCAATCAGGGGATTATTGGTTGGTCTAGAACCAAACTCTCCAAACTAGCATCATAAGAAATGTGTGACAGGAAGTAAAAGGAATTACTAGTAAGATCTTGAAAGAGAAAGGGATAATAATTTGATGCCTTCGGCAGGTAGTAGTCCTGTTTTCAAGTCACAAGAATTATTGCTTAATTCAACTTCCCCCACAACAGGAAAATATGAATCCTGCAGAACTGTATGTGTCTAACACATACTTTGTCTCATTAAAAAAAACTTTCTGAAAATAAATTTCCTTGCTGCAGTGTCTAATGACGAATTGACACACAAATACAAGGGATTCACAGTCATGACAGAGGATGAAAGATATGAATCCCTGAGGCATTGCCGTTATGTTGATGAGGTTATCTGTGATGCTCCTTGGGCAGTTACTCCTGATTTTATTGAACTCCATAAGGTATGTAGAGTAGCTATTATTACTAACTTGTAATAAGTAAACAAAAAGGAGCTGAAGGTGATTCCTCAAAAAAGAAGGTTATTTAACAATGTTTTAAAAATTTCCTTAAATGTTTCCAACCAATTTCTGCTTTGAAAAATACCATTAAAAAGATAAATCACCGTGCTTGTTTAAGAGATATGATGGACCAAACTTATCTCATTTATACTTGTACTGGCACTAATCACATGTCTTATAACCCTTTAACTCCCAGATCAAATTTGTACTTCTCCTTACTGTCAACCATACAATTCTTATGATGTTAGTTCAGAGAATTTAGTATTGGATCAACCAATTATCCCCAAATTTATATTTTTCTTTATTCTCATCACTTTTCTTGTTAATATTGTATGATATTATAATGAGAAACTCTGTCTTGGTCACTCATGGGAGTTGAAGGGTTAATCAGTTCACAGTACATTTTGCGGAAGCTGGAAGCAAGGGTTTCTATCATAACACTTGAAAAAAACCTGATGGGTGGAAAGTCTCGAGGATATGGAACAATTTGATATACATGATTTGTGGAAAAATCATGCAAGTTTTAACAACATTGACTCAAAATATTTCTCTAGTCATTGCTGATCAAAAAAAAAAAGTAATGCATATTTTTAGTTTCATGAAAAGGGTTAACTCCCATTATATTATATCTGAGATTTATTGTAAAAAATCTGATTGGTCAAGAGCATTCAATCACTATACAATAGTGTGTAAATTTGAAACGATGAAAGCCATATCTGTAGCAGATATTGTATTTATCATATCTTGTATACTCAGTTCATATCTCACAGTGTGGACCTCGTGCACGGTTAGTAAGAGGTATATATTTTCATATGGCTCGAAAACTATTGTTTATTGGATTTATTTTTTCAGATTGATTTTGTCGCACATGATGACTTACCTTACAAGAGTGCTGGTGCTGATGACATTTACAAGGAGGTTAAAGCCATGGGGAAGTTTGTGGCCACTCAAAGAACAGAAGGAATTTCTACATCAGACCTGATTGCAAGGGTGGTCAAAGATTATGACGTTTATGTCAGGAGAAATCTTGCAAGAGGTTACACTGCTAAAGAACTGAATGTCAGCTTTATTAAGGTGAGTGTCACTGGAAAGGTTCGGTACATTTTGCTATCCTTTGCTAGTTTTATAATTATTGCTATTTTTTTTGAATGAAGAAAAAAGTTAGTTGAATCAGCTGCAGTCTGTAAGAGATTAACAGCTAACTTCTCTCCACAATATTCATACATTGTCCTGCAAAAAGGTTGTGAGAAAAGGAAAAGCCATCAGCCTAAGGAAATTATTGTAATTAGAGACCAAATTCTCTTACCTCATTGACAAAAGATGTAGAACACCCAGAGAAGAGAATTGCTTAACCATTCACTCCCAGAAGTGATTAACACATAACTTCTCCCCATAATATCCATACATTATCCAGCAAAAAGGTAATGAGAATACTCAGACTTATCAGGTAGAAGTTGTCATTTTGATCTAACACCACATTCTTGTAACTAATTTACAAGGAAATGTGTCACAGCTATAGAGGAGAATTAACAATCAGATCTTAGGAATGAAAGGGTTAATTATATCTTGCACTTGACTTACAGGAAAAAGAGGTTCAGGTCAGGCAGAAAATGGATGAGATCAAAGGGAAACTAACAGACAAGTCCCAGGAGGTGCTTCAAAAGTGGGAGGAAAAGTCGCGGGATTTTATAGGCAGCTTTATCGACATGTTTGGAAGGGATGGTCGATTGGTAAGCCTGGTGAAATCTTTCTCTAAAACAAACATTTTTCATGAGGATGAGAACAACAATGGTGCCTCTAAAAGTGGTTAACAGTTTGATTACTCTTAAACAGTGATCTCCCTGGTTTTAAGCACAACTGGTTAAAGAAATCTTTATACTCATAGAGCAATCCTTTTGCCTGTTGAATTGTTAATCATTCCAATTGATTTTAGGGGGTAACAAGAGAAATTACATTCAGTAAATTTTACTGGTTACCACTTGAAAACGAGAACACTGGTTAGGATAATTTGGTTTTATCAACTGAATTGTTAACCCTTTAACCCCCATGAGTGACCAAGACAGAATTTCTCCTTACAATATCAATACAGTATCAACCAGATAAGTAATGAGAATAAAGAAAAATATTAATTTGGGGATAATTAGTTGATCCAATGCTAAATTCTCTGAACTAACACACAAGAAGTGTATGCTTGGAGAATTACAAATTTGATCTGGGAGTTAAAGGGTTAATGCAAATTGGCAATCGTGAAGAGTTTCAAAGCAGACATTTCGCAAGCCCTTTGTCTTTTGCTCTGACAAAAGGCTAACACTTGCATCTAAATTCTCCTTACAGTTTTACCGCTGAATCACACATTAATGTCATGAGAATGAAGGAAATGATCACCAACTAAAGAAAACTCTTGATTGTTAGACAAATTCTCCTTGTGTGCTTCTTAGTAAATGTACACATAACAGTATGGAGAATATGAATACTGATGTTAGGGTGGAAAGGGTTAATTGCTAAAGATAGAGGGCTGATCCCCAAAAATGCAATCTCCGGAGACCAAATTTTTCTTTTATTCTTTGTGTTTGTCTGGTTGCCTTCTATAATTGCTATAATAACTAAACATTTAAGCAGTGAAATACTTTGCTGGTAAAATTCAGGAATGTCAGTTTTAAAATATTCTTATATTAGCATAATTAATTGTTAAAATATTGTTAGAATGATCTATAAATTATGAAACAAGTGTTTAAATTAATAAATATGTAGCATTTTGTAGTTTTTAGCTTTTTGGTGAATTTATTTAATCCAATGGTGAAATTTCACCTCACTTTCTACCTTTTAATTACAGCCAAGTAAATGTTTTTTAAATTATGATATTTTTGACCACTTCGTCTCATCTGGTAACCCCCTCGCCAAGAAATTGATTAAAATTCATTTTGTTGTTTTTATGCTTTTTTTTTGCTTTTTTTAAACTTGGTTTCTTTGAACTATTGATGATAAAACCTAATCTAAACTACCTGAAAGTTTGTAAATTATTGTAGTAATTTCAAGACATATGGTTAAACCTCTAGGTATTTGACAAACTTTAAAAACTAGACACTTTTTTATTTTAATACTTTTAAAACTCTGATGTTAAAGTTGCAAGGAGCTTGAATGTTGACCTTAACAAGATATGTTTTCTTAAATTGATATTTCTTATAAGTAATTTATATCTATGATTAAAAAACAAAAATTCATGGATGATTACCTAAAAAGAAAAACCAAGCCTTACTTGAATTTAATGATAATTTTTGTGGTAAAGTTGATGTAAAGTTAAACAATAAAATTAACCTTTTTTGAACGAGGTGCTGAATTTGAATTGTTAGTAAATGGATTCTTTACCAATCCTTTTTAGAAATAACATTTAACCCAAATAATATTACTGTAACAGTTAAACTTTTCATTCCTTGAGCGCTTCTGTGAGAAGAGGTGTGTTTACGACAGTCAAGTCGTTTCTTCTGTTAAAGGTACTTTTGACTTAAAATACAAACAAATATTTAATTTTGTTTGTTTGTTATAAAGATTAAAATTTGTTTTTTAAATTATCTGTAATCAGTAATGAAGTGAACAAAATTGAAGTAACTAATATTTTGATATCCATGTTTACTGAGGGAGATGACAATAGTTTTTTTTGTGCAAGCATATTTATAATATGTTTTAGTTTCTTGCTGGCCAAATTGACTGCTTTTTTTAATTCTTGTTGCAAGCAATTTTCTTTCTGTGCTTAATTCTATATTACTTCTATTAGTCATATTTATACCCATGTACGATTATTTCAGTAACATGAATTTATATTTTTCTTGTGTTTGACAGAACCAGTTGTTTGGCAAAGGCAAAGACACTATATTTGATGCAGGGGCACGTATCAAGGGGGCTGGAGTCAGAATAAAGAGGGCGCTGTCACCAGGACGAAACATAGACCCAGTGCTGGATGTGTCTCCATCTTGTTCTCCTTCATCATCACCCAAATTTCCCCACCTGTCTCTTCAGCCGGAAATTAGTGACGATGAGGATGATGGCATTGATGATGGTAGTAACATGCCAATTTGATTGGTTAAAATAAGAACACAGTCATTCAATTAACTAAATTATATTTGTCATTGTTAATAGAAATTTATCGATAAAATTGAATTATTAAATAGCTATAATGTATTAATTATGATGAGGATGATGGCATTGATGATGGTAGTAATGTGCCTATTTGATTGATTAAAACAGGAACACAGTCATCCTGTTGACAAATGTTACTTGTCATCGTTAATGGCAATTTATCAACAAAATTGAAGAATTAAATATATCATTTTTTTATCATTCTTTTCATGGTGATGAAGAAGAAAAGTTGATTTCCTCTCCAGATGTTTTTGTTTTTTGGGTGATAATTGGCCAATTGAGGCTGGTATGGATTTACCACAAAACATGAAAAGTGTATTAGAAGAAAGGAAAACAGAAGAATGTAACAGTTAGCCCTTTAACTCCCAAGATCTGATTGTTAATTCTCCCCTCCAGCTGCTACACATTTCTTTGATAATTATTTAGGAGAATTTGGTGTCAGATCAAGATAACAATATCAAACTGATAAGTTTGAATATTCTCATTAACTGATTGCTGGATAATGTGTGATAATTTAGGGAGAAGTTACATGTTAATCGCTTCTGGGAGTTAGAGGGTTCAGAAGATAGCAAGGGTTCACTTTTAGTTTTATCATTTTTGCTTATTCATGCCAACATCGTGAAAAACAAACAAATCTGATCTTTTGTGCTATTTTCTAAGCTGTAAAAGTCCTCTGAAATGTGAGGCCAAATGCAAAATGTTTCATTTGAAGTTGAGTTCCATTTGGATGAGATTGTAAAACTATTTTTCCATTGAAATCTCCATCATTAGCCTCAATCTAAACCGAAGGCTTCAAGAATCTTAGGAATGGTTGACTGGCCTTAGCTCTGTTCATCATTTTGGTCTCAGATAGGCCTGGGAACAAAATTAATCTGTAGTTAATTGAAACTAACATATTTGAAAAAAAAAACAAATTAAGGATTTAATCATTTGATATATATTTGCAAAAGAATGAGATATCTACAAAATTTGAAATACACAAAACAATTTTTTAAAGATATGTTTGGACATGGCTTGTGTCATCTTGAGTGTAATGAAAGCTTGAATTTGTCATGGTGATGCAAAGATATCCTAACTCCAAATATGAAAATGAACTTGGATATGGTGTGGTTATAATTGTAGTATTTTTTGCTATTTAGAGAATTTTCCGAAGCAGCTTGTGTTTTTTTTTCTTCTGTCTCTTCTTTAAACAAAATTAAAGAAATGACAAATGACATGAGTTAATTAACCTAGTTTTGAACAATTTTTACCAAAGGAAAATTGGAATAAAAGCAGATGTATCTTAGAGTTACAATAATAAAACTCAACAAAAGATATCCGCGAACGTTGTTACTAGACTTTCACATTGTATTGGTTTGTTTTGTATTTGTAGCTTGTGTATGTATGTATTGGTACATTATAAAATCAATTCTTTGCTAAAACAAAAGATGGCATAGGAGACACATCTTTAAGAAGAGATTTCTTGTTTTTTAGATGTCTTTTTATTATTTTGCTTGTAGATGTGTACACTTTTGTGCATAGGATGATCACTAGTATCATTATCATCATTTTTGTTATTATTATTATTATTATTATTATTATTGTTGTTGTTGTTGTTAATGATTCCACAAACTGGAACTTCACAACATGTGTAGTTACTATTTGAAGCCCAGAAAAAAATCAAAGGCTATCTTTCATACAGATGATTTAGGATTTTCCAATTCTCGTACAAAGTCAATACAAGTAACCACTAATGAGTGGAGTTTGCTTTTACAAACAGCACAATAAGTATATTGTAACTTGCATGATCTATGAAGTAATTCTCTTTCTTGATTGGTGGGTGATGTACTGATGTCTTAAGGAGAAGTTAAATTTTAATCTTATCTAGGAGTCAGAGGGTTTATTGGCTAAATTAAAACACATAGAATCTTTGTATTGTAACTGTGTGGAACTAAGTTCACAAAAAATTATTGATAATTGTTTGAAACTCTATTAAACTTATTTTCTATATACTCTCTTTGTCAAACTGACAGAAAATTAAAAAATAGTCAGTGTTGACGATGTGTCGTAAATATTTTATTTCTGTTCCCAAAAATTCTCAAATTCACATCTTTTCTTTTCCTTCTGGTTTTTAAAACATCAGGATATTAAATAGCAATTTTTAAGGTGTGTCGTAAATATTTAATTTCTTTATTTAAGGGAAATTTGACGCAGTACACTAGATCTCTCAAAAGATTATGTGCTTTTCCTAGATATCAGTCGCTTATAATCCCTTTTAGCACCTGTTAGCGGCATGACGAGCTTTGCCGGGCGGAAAAGTCCTAACTCTTATTTAGAGGTCACAAGAAGATGAATTGTTTATAACGCGGAATATACATTTTCTCGCGTCCATTATCGATATCCTCATTCCCCGTTTTTGTAACTTCCTGAAACGGAATGTGTTTCTGGTACTTGCCCAAAAATTAAGCGTAGGAGCGAATATCAGACCGTTGGAGCTACTGCATTTCGTTCATTCCAGTTGTGGATCAGTCCTTGTTTCCTGAGATGCAAAATTTCCAGGAAAACCCGACGAAGCTGCCTGCTTTGCCAGCAGTTAATTACAGAGTTAACAAGAGAAGCTAACAAAACCACACACATTTCAATATACTGAGACTGCTCAAAAAATACTTATCCATGATCATGGATTCAAAAACAGTTCGTTTACTCACAATAGATTCCTTAATTTCTAAATTAAAAGTGTTACAAATGATTTATCGTCAATTATTTCAATATATTGAGACTGCTCAAAAAGTACTTCTCTATGTTAAGGAATTAAAAAAAAAGGCGATCATTTTCTCGCAATAAATTTGTTGCTATTAAGAAAACTTAAGCGCGGACAACTGTCAAGTCGGCAATGTTGAGCAAAAATAATTTTTCTGGCTTCGAATCGAAACTAGAGCACTCCATTACTCCTCATCCGATTCTAACTCTAATGTTTCTGGAACATCACGAGTATAATTTGACATTTCCCCATTGTGTAATCCAATATTTTAATAACGCTGTTCGGTTTAGTTTAATATTCCCGTTGTTAAGCTTCTTTATTTTCGCAATTGGCTCAATTCTCGGTTGTTTATTTTCTTGTTACGAATTTCACTTCAAGAAAAAAAGGAAAACCAACGAAAGCAAGAGAGCAAATACTATCGTAGTTAACCCTTTTTCCCCCAAGAGTGACTAACATCTAATTTCTCCTTACAAAATCACCCCTGAATCACACATTTAGGTCACGAGAGTAAAGGAAATGATCACCACCTAAAGAAGCTACTGATCATTAAATGAATTCTCCTCTTCAGCACCTTAGGGAATGTATAGAGAACAGTATGGAGAATATACATACTGATATTAAGGGTGTAAAGAGTTAATTTTCTGGATTAGCAAAATTTAAGAAGAATAAAAGTTACAATGATTGTTATCAACACAAGCAGAGTGATGGTCCCATAATGCATTAGGGGAGTGATGGGAACAGAACGCACAACTTCTTTAGCCTTGTTCCATTTGTGCGGACCTTGTAGTCGCCATTGCGCTGCCCCACAAGAACCTACGATTAGATTCCAAGCCAAGGATGGGTGTCTCCATAACTGCGGCTTTGCACCGAAATAAGACGCAATCTCGTCAATGTAAGGAATGGGGTCTTGTTGAATGGTGTGCCTTGCTGAGGCATAGTAAGTGCTCTCACTTCTCTGCTGGTCTTGTTTCATGTTGTGGAACATTTTCTCTGCCGATGGAAGTTTGGTTTTTCCTTTGCACAGCTCTGAAAACCATCGAGCTTGGATTTCAGAAACTGACAGTAAACCACCAGAAGCTGGCTGCGTGAAACCTATGAAAGCCAACGAAGCTCCAATTTCTGGAGCGAAAACATTTTTGAAAAGCTTAATTCTGTTACTGCTCTCCTCTAAAACTTGATCTTTAATTTTGTTATCTAAAAATGGCAAATAAATATGATACCCAGTGCAACAGACTATTACATCTGATGCTGTTTTAGTTCCATCAGTAAAAACAACATTGTTTCTTTCTAATGCTGCAATATTAGGCTTAACTTCAATGTTCCTTCGCTGGATGTGATGAATCAACGTTGGGCTCACGGTGGGCTGGGTTTGACGAGCTTTCATTTTGGGGTTTAAATTCCAGCGCCAAGGGCTTCCCACTACACTTTGAATGATCAACTGAAAGACAAAATTTGACAAGCTCCATGGAAGCCAGAAGAAAAGACGACATGCGTAATGATCAGTAGGGTAGCCATGAACGTAGTTGGGTACTACCCACGCACCAGATCTTGTAGAAATACAGACGGGTTTTTTCCTTCCCAATTCTGCTACATTTACTGCAACATCTACAGCACTATTACCAATACCTACAACCACAACTTTCTTTTCCATGAGCTCATTACTGATTGCATCTTTATAGTCTATACTATGCAGAATTTGGCCACTGAATCTTTCCTGACCATCAAAATGAGGAATGTTTGGTTTGGCATGATGCCCAGTTGCTATGGCAACAAACTTAACAAATGTTTCCTCGTAACCGCCCTGATGCCTTCCTGCATTGTCAACTTTCACCGATTTTATTTTCCATCCTTCAGGGAGTTGTTCAATACGATCCACCTTGGTTTTGAAACTGATGTGATCTCGGATACCAAAATGTTCAGCATAGCTGTTGATATATTCTGCCATGTGCGAGTGATGAGGATAATCAGGAATGTCGTCAGGAAATGGGAAGTCAGAGAAGCAGTAGTTGTGTTTTGAGACATTTCTGTAAAACAAAAATTCTGAGTTGAGAATTTAGTGAATCATGCAAGTAAGAGATATGCCAGTAATCAAACTTTTAACTGAAGGGGTGCACAGAAATAAATACCCCAAGTAACTTAACCCTTTAGCTCCCAAGATCTGATTGTTAATTCTCCCCTCTAGCAGCTACACATTTACTTATAAATTAGTTACAAGAATTTGGTGTTAGATCATGACAACAACTTCTCCCTGATGAGTTTGTGTATTCTTATCACCTGTTTGTTGGATAATACATGGATAATATTGGGAGAAGTTACATATTAATCAGTTCTGGGAGTTAAAGGGTTAAAATAGACTACTGGATTCTCCTTCTAAATTGGTTTGTAATTCCCTATGAAACAGAAAGAGAATTAGATGTTGCATCTTAAGTCAGTTAACCTTTAAACTCCCAAGATCTGATTGTTAATTCTCCCCTCTTGCTGCTTTACATTTTCTTGTGCATCAGTAGCAAGAATTTGGTTTTAGATCAAGACAGCAACTTTGAGCATTCTCATTGCCTGTTTGCTGGATAATGTATGGATATTACACAAAGAAGTTACAGGTGAATCACTTGTGCGGGTGAAAGAGTCAAGGCCTTTTTTTCCTGCAGACCCCTGCTATCTAGATGAGAAAATAATCTGGATTTGGATAGTTTCACTTCATTCAGTGAGTCAAGAAAATTTGCGCCACCTTCTTGACCAATCAGAAGCAAACTGAAGCCCAGTGCCATTTGGTCACTTGCAGGGGTGGAGAGGGAGAGGGAGGGTTTGTCAACCAAATTAAAAAATTATCATTTTTCAGATATTGACATTGTTATTTATCTTCAGAGATAAATACTCTCACTAACTGAGTTTGAGGTTGATACTATAGGTGATGGATCAAGTTTTTCTGCATGGATTTATGGCTTAAGAGCAAAGTATACAGGCCATAAGTTTCAATTCAATTAGCAAATGTGAATTTAGTGTGCTGTACAGTGAAATACAGCCCAGTTGAGAGATATAGTAAATAAGAGAAAAATACATGAGTGCATGAAGATGTGGAAATTCTCTGCTCATGTTCAACTTGATATCTCCCAAATGACATATTAAGAGGAACTATGGAAGAGAAATTACATTTCTTCAAGCAACCATGTATTTTTTTGTTTATAACATAAACACCATAGGCCTTTACCAAAAAGAGAAGTTGACCTCAACAATAAATGAACTGGCACAAAAGGTGAGTGATGCATTAGCAGCTTATTGTGGTTTTACATGTGTGCAGTAATAGCATCTCTCAGGACTAGAAATCCTTATAAAACACTGCAGTTCATAAAATAAATTATGTTATTTTTCCAACATACATATGTGTGAATCGCATTACTCCATATCCATGCTCTGTGAAGTGCCACAGACCTCCGATATGGTCAGTCTGTTCAAAAACAATGATCTTGAACTTGTCATCCAACAGGCATTTTGCTGTAGCTATCCCAGAAATCCCTGCACCAATGACTGCAACATCATAGCCTGAATGACTGCTCATTTTTCTGTCCCTAAAAGTTACATAAAAATGCAGTGTTTAATTGATTAATGACTAAAAGTGATCAATGAAGAAAAATAGGTTAACTGTATTTCCTCCAAGAAGATACATGAAAAAATTACTCAGTTCTGATTGGTTAGGACAAATGCAGTTTTCAGGTAATTCAATGCAGAAGAGGGTTAATTCAGTGCAAAGAAGTAACCAACCAGACTGAACTGTTTAGCCAGACTTTGATTTTTTTTTCATCTTTAAGATGTGAAAATATCATTATATATTATCGTTTTGATTGTAAGCAGTTGTTTTGACCAAATGAACAATTTCACTTGCAGGGTTTGAATAAATCATTTTTGTGCTTGATGCGCACGCTTTGCTTCTACATAACTATGATAAGCTATCTTGTATTTTTCATGTATATTATTAATACGTAATCACATGATTGTTCTTGTGCAATTTTGAATAAATAAGCACTTATAAATTTTTTCAAAGACCACAAATTAGACTCACCCTATGGACTTGTGGAATTTAATAGTCTTTGAAAAAATTTACTCATGCTTATTTATCCCAAATTGCACTCGAAATCATGTGATTACCAATAAAAACATGAGCCCAAACTTTAATAAGCACCTCCCCTGAATAAGCATCCATCCCCTTAAACAAGATAATTTTGGTATTATCAACAGAGTTGATAATTAATGTAATGTAATTAATGTAAATTGGCCAGCATGAAGAGTTTCAAAGCTGACAGTTCGAGCGTTTGCCCTTCATCACAGTGAAGCATTAGCCTTTTGTCTTTGGTTCTGACAAATGGCTAATGCTTTAAACATTAGCTTTGAAACACTTTATGGTGGTCAATTCCCATTACCAACCTAGCTGATAAAAACAAAATTGTCTTGTTGAAGGGGTTCGGTGCTTATTCATAATATTGAACGAGTGCCCCTCTAGACAAGCACCCACCTCCCTCCCCTCCTAGGGATACAAGGAAAACTTGTTTCTATTTGTCCTGTTATTTTTAAATTTTTAAGCTTCAACTACAAGCACAGGAGAATCATAAGCACCCCCCAGGAAGTACGGAATAAGCATCCATACTTTTTCAATTTCACATGCATCATATTAGGAGATGGGATACTGCCAATTTCGCAAAACCTGATCTTGAAGACTCTCAAAAAATGAACACCAGCTTCATCAGATATTAGACTTTAAAACAGAGGACGATAAAGAATAATTTTGGATATAGAATACACATAAATGTCTTATAGAGTACTTTCTCATAGAAGGCATGAATGAGTTCAAGTTTTAGTGGCCTTGCCCTCGTACTCTCCTATGGTAATGTATGGGAAATAGAACCCGCATCTGAGAAATAACTACGAAGGTCTTTCGGTAAATTTGTTCCCACTGGATCAATAGTCGTAATCGATCGTAACGACTATATATGGAAACCACGCCAATTTTGTCATTCACGACTCAGCTGAGAGCGAAACACAATCGAGTCGAGCTGTTGGTTGGCCATGGGACGTCCTGATAATCTAACTAATTGGGGCAATCGGGACGATTCGGACGATCGAAAAACCCTCACCTTATGCGTAGGCGAAAGCCAAATGCACTAAATCGACGTTCAAACAGATTAAGAGGCGATGGACCGCAAAGAAACTGTGATCACCTATCTGTGAGACTCGTGACCAACTTTCCCTACCCTACTTGGTACAAATTTGACGTACCCTCACCGTATTTGGAAGTCATCAATCCATCTTGAAACTTTCGCGCCATTTACAAGCTATTTCAAGATGGCGCCAACTTCAACTGGAGAGAGCACCACAACCGCAAACCAAGATGGTAAAGTTCTACCGTATATATTTATCTATGTTTGGTCTGGCAACATTATTTATTCACATTTCTGTCACTTGATTTAGCAGATTCTCAATCGACAAGGAGATCTACTCGAACTGTCAAGCGCAATGCTGGAAAAACCTCGGCGCTCGATAAAATAAGGTGAGAGATTTTGCGATCAAAAATTCTTCTCGTGTTTACTGGTTTTTGCCATTTGTCTCGGGTGCAAAATGTATCAACTTTATTCTGAATTCTTCACCAGAAAATTTCGTGAGACTGGAGAGAGATCAACGTTTGAGGTACAGAGTTAACTGCACGTATAGTCCGGCCATGTAATGATCGATAATTCTAAACAGTTGTTAATTTCTTTCATCGATGTTGTACGTTTCTACGGTTTATCGTGATTTTGAACCAGCTATAGAATACAGGCTATTGAGATATTTGACATCGTTTTCTCTGATTTGATCAAAGACTGGATCGAATGAAAGCTGGGAGACCGTCAATTTATATTTCGTTATGAAAATAATTGATAAAATTTCCGCACAGCTCCATCCTACATTTTGTATTCAGTTCTTGAATAGAGAAAACAATGACAAAAACAATACATTTCCATTGGGAAAACAGATTTGTTTAACAATAGTATAGGGCTGTGTGGAAACTTTACCTTAACTTCCAAGATCTGATTGTTAATTCTCTCTTCTGGCTGCTATACATTTCTTTGTAAAGTTGTGATAAGAATTTAGTGTTAGATCAAGACAACAATTTCTACCTAATAAGTTTGAGCATTTTCGTTACCTGTTTGCTGACCAATGTATGGATATTTTAGGGAAAATTACTTCTTAATCACCTCTGGGAGTTTAAGAGTTAAATGGCAAACTTTCTTAGATTATAGGTTTTTCTAAATGGAGACATAGTAACAGAAAGAGAGGAGCTAAAATCCTCGTGGCCGCCCTATTGGTGCTGCTGACCCAATCCCAACCCAACTTTTAACTGTTTAACTTTTAACTTTTTTCTTTTAACCCAAGGGTTAAGAGGACTTCCCTCTCCCTCCCCTCTCATCCTATCCTCCAAGGAATGATATATTTAAAAAGAAAACTTCCAAACTTTTCCATATATTTCTTTGGATTAAGGTCACAAGAAATATTGTGGCTAATTTCCTTTTCTGTGACTATCTGTGTATTTTTAACATAAACCATTGTCTTAGAGAAGACTATACTGCTGTGGATTCAATACATGTGTTTCCAGAATTGAGACTCATATTTTCCTCACTAGGTTGGAAACCTTGATGATGTTTATCAGGTAGTGAATGAAGATGAATACTCTGACATTGTTAGAAAACGACAGGAGGATGACTGGGTGGTTGATGATGGTAAGAGCTGTGTCCAGGATTGTGAAGAATAGTTGTCTTTAAGGGTTCTTGTTGAGTTATATGGTAAACACCAAACTTCAAGTAGAGTCATGCATTGCAAAACCTTTTAACAGACCAATTCATGTTTAAAAAATTTTTTGGATCCCTCTAGCCAGAGACAAGGGTATAAAATAATCATTTTTCTTTATCTCTGTTTCCTAAGACACCATTGTGGAGTAAATGCAAGGGATCTTTATCATACACTATGAGCAATGTCTTTTCTGCTCTGGGGTTGTCTGCGTACATGATGGTTGAATGTGCTTTTGTTTTCAGATGGGACAGGATATGTGGATGATGGACGAGAAATATTTGATGATGATCTCGATGATGAGCCACCAACTGGTCAGTTGATAAATAATTAATAATTGGTCATTAATATTGAATATATTTTTAATATGTTTTTAATAACTTCCAGTAGTCATTTATTGAAAGCTGTTTCAATTTTTTCAGGAAAGAATGTCCCCAAATTCAAACCAAAGAGGCCGGTATGGTTGAACTTGTTGATTCTTGTTGTTGATATTTTTCTAATCCTATTGGAATGAGTTGGGAAAGGGGGCTGGTGAGGGGAGGGGAGGAGGGCACTTGGCTGTGTGATTCTCAGACCATCACAATCTGACCCTGGTCAACCCAAAATTTTTTCATTTTGTCACACTGTTCAAGACAGCTAATCAGGTACAGATTTTGGTGATTGCCCTCAGAAGCCACATTCAGCTTATTGAGACAGCCTGAATATTTTCAATTTTCGTTGTGGTTTGGTCGGCTTAGGTTGTTGAGCGCTCAACTGCTGTGCAGAAGGTGAAGGGTTCACGTCCCAGACTGTACCAACACTCAGGGTCTTAAAATAACTATGGAGAATGTGCTGCCTTTTCTATGACATCTGGTTAATCATAACCATTACAATTTCCTCATTAATCATTCTGTAATTGTAATCGGAGAATTGGTGGCAATAATGGGACAGTTGGCTGTAATTGGACACCTATAATTGGACAGTTGAAGCAGCCAATCATACAAAGTCCACTCAGCCAAATCCACCAATCACAAAATTAATCACAATAACCATAGCAATAACCACTTAATATAAAACTGAGGAATTTCCAAAAATGGATAAATTTCTTTTTCTTTAGTCATTTGTCTCTAAATGAAATTATTGTTTTTGGAAATTGTAACGGTTATGATTGATTGGTAACAGGACTTCTTGTTGTCCAATTCTGTCTGTAATTGTACTCGTGATTGACAAATTGGACTCCTATTTTGCAGTTGTCTAATTTTGTTAATTACTGGTATGATTATGGATGGAAATGGACTCCACTCTGTCCTATTACCATTATTGATCATTCTAGTTTTCATGGATATGGATGAGAAATCATTTCTTTCTCCTGCATATTCTCTGTACTGGTTAGCAGGTGACATTACAGAACCACTCACTTTTCACAAAGAGTACAGAACCTAGCACCTGGTTTTGTGGTCTGGCATTGTTTCCCAAATTGGAGGCATATGCAAATCTTTTTAAAAAAGAATTGTGAACTGTGCAATGCAGTCTGACCAAAGTACCCTGGAAAATGTTATAAAGTGCATTGGAACATTAGTAGGGGTTATGGGCTATTAGAATGCCTCATCATCATTATTATGATACTGTTTAATAGTTACTCCAACAAGTTACTTTTTATGATTATTTAAAGAATGTGAAAAAGCCAACAGTGAAACCAAAGACAATTAACAAGATGTTGTTGGCTGCAAGTGCCAAAGCAAAGAAAATCAAGGTTAGTGTGGTGAACACAGTTTTTTTGCTTATGACTTTGACCTTTGGTAGTAATATTAATATGTAATTGTGTAGTCTGGCTGTACTAGTAAGAGGAATAGTCCTAGGAAGGACTTCTGTCAATAAGAGTGACTGGGGCGTAAACAACTTTAGCAGAAGTTTTCATCAGAGTCAAGTTTTGAGTTGTTGTTACTGGAGTGGAATGTGTGTTTGTGTGAACTGATTAGTCAGGTTCAAGTGATATTATTGGCTGTTGTAGCAGAAGTCAGTCCTGATTGGTTAGTTTTGATCCATCGGTAATGTTCAGTTATTCTATTTTGTTGGTTTGTTATATAAATGTCATAAATTTTTTGTTTGTATGGTGTCTGTAATTGTTGACATCTGCTATCAGAAGTCTGTTTATGATAGTAAACAAGCTTACTGCAATAAGATTAACTGTTGTTTAGATGGAGGGAATACCAAACTGAGAATGGCATCCTCAAGCTCTAACTGTATAAAATTTACAAACAATTATTTTGCAGACTGAAGTAACATCCATTGGTGAAGATGATTTGTTGAATGATCTCCTCAAGGAAGTGGAAGTATGTAGAAGAAATGGAAGCATGCCTTTCATATTTTAATGGACCCTTTTAACTCTTTAACTCCCGTGAGTGACCAAGACAGAATTTCTCCTTACATTATATCAATACAATATCCACCAGATAAGTGATGAGAATAAAGAAAAATATCAATTTGGGAATAATAAGTTGATCCAGTGCTAAATTCTCTGAACTAACATTATAATAATAGTATTGTTGACAGTAAAGAGAATTACAAATTTGATCTGGGAGTTAAAAGGTTAATTGAGTACTTCAGGGGAAAGAGTAATTGTTGTTGAAGTTAAAAAAAAAATAGAGCAACAGAAAGGTTCACTTCCGACTCCAAGTTCTTCCTATCCTTAATTGAACCCAGGTGGCTGATGCCAATCAGGCCTCCTTTGACAAAATGAATTTTTTTTTTGTCAAGACCTTACTTATACATTCTTCTTCATTGCTAACCAGTTCCTCAGTGTGTAAGACTTTTGAAACAATGGTATCATTAATTGTGTAATATTTGATAAATAGATTTTGAGCTGAAGATGTCTTTTGCGCAATAGTGTATTAGGGCAGTCAGTTGCAAATCATTTTGCACTAGTTGGGAAAGAAGGTTTATTATAAATGATTCTATTCTATATATCTAGCAACCAAGACCAGCTCCAGTGAAATATTCAAAGGGAACACCACAAGTTTTAAGGTATTTCTTGCTGTATTGAAATGCTTCTCTGAAAGATTCTTGCATTATTTCCTTGGCAGTCAGACTGATGATATTAATGGTACTTATATTATTCATATCTATCTAGAACTCCAACATCAGCTTTGCCAACTGGTAGCACTCCAAGACGACTTCAGGTATGACTTCTTGTTGTATTTAGCAGGGGAGAATTAAATGATAAGTCAGTATAAGATTCTTGATTACCAAGGACACAGACCGCTAGGAAAAATCCGCTGGCCCAAGAATAAACACCTTTACCTGTGGGAGTGACTTAAGAGGAATTTCCTCTTTCAATATTATAATACTTTCTCTGATACTTAACAGCAATCATCTGGGCCACGGCAGAATATTTTTAAAGTGGAACCAAGATCACCGCCCAAATCCAGCCATGCCAAAAATCTGCCAGCCAAGAGGAAAACTGTTGTCAAGGTTGAACCAACTGAGAGAGGGGAGGGGAGGTACAGTGGGATGGTCGGAGACCCATCAAGAGGAGAGGAGAATGAGAGTTGTGAGACAGCAATGGATATGGATTTAGGTAAGTATGGAAAAATTGTTGGTAATAGATGGTCACAAAAGATGTGTGACATTTAGCTTATCTTATGTCACAACTTATCACTAGTTGATATCCAGTGTGCAGAACAGGTTTAATTTTGGCAAGGGAGTACTCAGTATTTTCTTAACAAAAATTATGGCTGCCATCATTGATTTTAATAGCAGTGGAAGGCTAGGAAGAGAAATAAATTTGTACCAAGGGGGTGGGGGAAGGGGAGGCAATGATACTGCTTTCCATTCCCCTGCCCATGCCCCCACCATCCACTCTGACTCCAAATCAAACATGGTCAGTCTGATAAACAATCACCAGCTTATAGTGTCAGCTCACCCTAATAAGATGCCTGCACCGCAGGCTAGTTGATATCTGATGATTGTTGTTCCAGGTGATCCTATTATGGGTTGTGATGACTTTGGAGATGACGACCTTGGTGATGCAGAAGCAATCCAGGCATTAACAAATGTTGAGACAAATCCCGATGAAAAACCCACTATAAAAGTGAAGGTAGTACAAATGCTGTAATAAGTGTCTCCTCCTTAACCCCCCCTCCCTACTGAAGTTTCTGGTTACAACCCTCCCCCCCTTCCTGGAAAATTTATTTTCCTCCTCCCCCATCTCCAGATCATGTGTACTATAGGTGGCCTCGGTTGACATATAGGCCGACAATTGACCCATATATCGGTCGACTATCAGTCGACTATCGGTCAGCAATCAACTGACTATCGGTCGACAGTCGACTGATAGTCGACCGATAGTCGACCGCCTATCTCCCATGGTAAAATTCACCCTAGTGTTGTTATTTGTTTAAGCTTGGCAGGTCCTACATTCAGAATATTCTGACTTGTATGTAAAGGCTTCAAACAGTTTGAGCAAACCTTTTAAAAAAGGCACAAATTGCATTTTGATTGTAGGTTGAAACAATTGAGAAGAAGACTGACAGGAAATGTGCTCTCCCTCAAAAGTATGTATAGTTATTTTAAGACCAGCCTTCTGGATAAAAATCACATGGCCATTTAAAAAAAAAATTCTGCTTTCCTTATGATTCTTGAAATTTATCTTTTGTTTTTGATATTGTGGTATTTTTTATTTGGATTTTTTAAACATCATATTTCTTATTTCCAGATCAACAGAAATTTCTGGTGATTCAGCCTGGGAGACAATTCTAGAGAATGAAGAATCACATCAAGAGGTAATAGATACCAAATTTTTTTACAAAATTTTTTACAAAATTTATATTCTATTTGATTCCCTATGCACAGCCATATTAGTGCTGATTATGGTAATAATAACAAGTATTATAATTGGAAAGTAAATTTGATTCTTTTGTTTTAACACCAGGTACTGTCAGATGTCAATGTAGATTCCTCCTCCCTCCCTCTTCAGGAATTTGAGGGTAAGTGCACTTTCACAGTCTAGAATTAGACTGATTTGTTACCAACTCTTCCACTCTGCCATGATGAAACATTTCATTCTATAAAATCATGTAATTTATCTCATTTTGAACTTGCAATTTCAGGAGAAAAAGTCCTCAAGTTCTTCTGGTTTGATGCCTATGAAGATAGATTTAAACTGCCAGGTAAATAGATACAGTGGTTTCAATATCACCAAGTGAACTCTATGCTCTTTTCAGTTGCTCACAATGTAAATCATTCTCTCAGGTACTGTTTACTTGTTTGGAAAAGTCTGGATTGAATCTGCAAAAACTTATGTCAGGTGAGGTATCTAATTTTAACCATATTTATGGTTCATTCGCGATCTAAGAACCTGTTACACTGAATGCTCACAAGAGAGAAAACAAGGAAGTCAGAGCAAGAGAGAAATTAAATGCGTGGACAGAGAAAAAAGCTATATACATTTTTACACTGAGGCAAACTCCCATTTTTTTAACCCTTTCACTTCCAAGATCTTATTAGTAATTCTCCTTGCTGTCTGCTATACAGTTGTTATGATGAAAGTTTGGATAATTTGGCATTAGGTCAACAAATTATCCCCTAATTGATATTTTCTTCTCATCAATTGTCTGCTTGACATTTTATTGATATTGTAAGAAGGAATTCTCTCTTGGTCACTCATGGAAGTTAGAGGTTAAAATGTAGTATTTGTAATTGGTATAGTCAATGTACTTGAAAGGAGTAAAAAACATTCAAATTTGTTTGTGTTCAATTTTAATTTTACTGTTATTGTTGCAGTTGTTCTGTGGCTGTCAAGAACATAGAGCGCCAGATCTTTATTCTTCCACGAGAAAAGGTTTGTTAAAGAAGGCTTCTGCAGTGCGTATTTAACAACTCCTCAATGAGGGCAAAGTTAAAAATGTTGAATAATCCCCCAGACTCAGTAATATTCACTGTGCCTTGGGAAATAATTGGTATAATAGCTTAGGTGCTATCAAATTCTGCAGCAAATTCCTTTTGTTGTCAAAACCATTTATTGACAACTGTTTTGATTCCTTGTATTGAGATATCTTAATTGGCCACCTTTACGGTGGCCAATTTATGTTATCATCTTAGTTGATAATACTAAATTACCCCTTTATACTCTCTTACTAATGCAACACCACAAATTCTTTAGAAACTTTCCCTCTTTATCCCTATAAGGTGTACTGATTTCAGCAGCTTTCAATGTTTTATGTTTTGGGTATTTATCTGCTTCTTTTTTTAACCAAACAGAAACATGAAGTTGATGGCACTGTGACAAATGAACCAGTCAGTTTTATTGATGTGTATCAGGTAAAAGATAAGAGAGGAAATTATTGACTCACTTTTTTTGATTGCATCTTTCTAAAAGCAGTATGTAAAGTATTCAATTTCTTTTCTTTTGCAATTGTATTTTCCAGTGACTTAAAAAGTAAGCTTCTATATTCTCTCTTTGCCAGGAATTCAACGAGAAGATTGCAACAAAACACAAAATTATGAAGTTCATCTCCAGGGTAAACTTAAATTTTGAATAGTGTATATTAGATGCTAGAATCTGTTTAGATGCTAATGGTTGTATTTCAGATAGTTAAATTGTTTTTTCCTCAAAAGTGTTTCTATTTGTCTGTGTAGAAAGTTCAAAAAGCTTATGCCTTTTGAAATTGAAGATGTCCCTGTCACATCTGAGTACCTGGAGGTCAGATATTCAGTAAGTCAGAAACTTGTTTACTGGTGTCATAAACTTCAAGCAACATTACCTCATTATGTAACTTTTAGGTACTAAGTTACTTAAATTTCAGAGAAAGGCTAGAAAGTTATTGATTGGATTAAGTAATTTGCTGCTTGCAGGTACACTGGGTTAATTCAAAGTTAAACATTAAGGTTACCTTTCAATCTTAATTGTTTCACTCAAAGGAGAGAATGAAAAGGAATTTACACCAAAAATATCACAATATTCTTGAGTAGAAGAGTAATGTGAAGAAGGAAAAATATCCACTTAACCCTTTAACTCCCAAGATCTGATTGTTATTCTCCCCTCTAGCTGTTACACATTTCCTTTTAAATTAGTTAAGAGAATTTGGTGTTAGATCAAGATAACAACTTCTACATGATAAGTTTTAATACTCTCATTACCTGTTTGCTAGATAGTGTAAGGATATTATAGGGAGAAATTAACTCTAAATCACTTCTTAGAGTTTAAGGGTTAATGGATATTGTTTGATTTGACATCAAATTCTTAGCACTAAAATGATAGGGAATGTGTAGCTGGCAGTGCAGAGAAACAAAACTTAAATATTTGAGCTAGCAGTGGAGACAACAGTATCAAATTTCTCTTCTGTGCAGAGAGTACAACTCTGTCTTAGAGAGACGATTACCTAAAAATTGTCTTCATTTGGTTCTCAACAGGCAGATGGCCCTCAGCTACCATGTGACTTGTCTGGACAAACATTCAGTCATGTATTTGGTACTAATACCTCCAGGTAAGGTTCACTCTGGCGTATACCTGGCTAATCTTAAGGGTGGGGTGTTTTGGTTAAGGGGAGAGGGGTGGGAAGACATTGAGTGGGGAAGGAGGGGGCAGGTGTGTAGAGGCTTAACCCTCCCCTCCCATGCACACTTTGTCCAGTTAGTTTTAACCCCGGGGACAACATCATAGAGAGTGGAGCAGGTGTTACCTCGAATTTCTCAAATTCAGAAATCAAAGTATTATAGTGTAGGAAATTTAAAAATTAGTCAGTCTTGCAGCAATGATTAATAACTTTGCAGTTTTTTCTCTTTGTGGATATTTCATGTGGTTGTTTAACTTGGCTGATAATTGTTTTTTTAAAGTGTTCTTTAAAGGAGATTTTAAAGTCAAGTTCATTTTTATTGCAGTCTTGAGCTCCTTTTACTGAACCGCAAGATGAAAGGACCGTGTTGGCTCAATGTCAAGTTACCGCGTGAGTACTTACAGTGATTAAAAACTAAACTCTCTCAGCTGATTCTCGTACATTTCTTTTATTGTCAGTTGTGAGATTTTTGCGATACCTCAGGACAATATTTGTAAGAATCTATTTTCCTGGTTTTTTTTTTCTTTTTAATTTTTTTAGAGCTTCCTCAACAGCCGGTCAGCTGGTGCAAAGTAGAGGTTGGTATTCTCACTGATAGAGTGTTTGCAAAAAGTATCTAAGGTAGTTACCAAGGTCATTATTGGCGCTTTCCTTGCCCGCGGGAAAATACGAGGCTTTCATTAACGCGAGCCTGCGAGACGTCTGCAAACGGGTCTAGCACTGATGAGTCCCAGGCCCTTGGCAAACCTCTCCCAGCTTGTCTCAAATCTTCCCGCGGACGGAGAAACGCGCGTCCTGCAGCAGTAAAATTATTTTTGGGTCTTTTAGGCAGTGATCCCAAAACCGGACCTTCTTGAAGTAGCAAGTCAACAAGATCCTCCACCACCTATGGTAAGAACAGAGATAACGCAGAGTTTGTTTTTTTAAATGCCGATGTCAGGGATTTCATCATGAAACGTGGTTACAGGGAACTAGTGTAAAGGAACAGGGCTCAGTTATTCAAAGGAAGGATAACGCTATCCAACGGATCAATGCGGATAAGAATAACAAAACGCATCCCGCCATCCGCTGGATATAGATTTGTCCAAAGGATAGCATTATCCACCTTTTGAATAACCGCGACCAGGCGAGTGTCCTCCACGTCTGCATGAAAAGTAACGGCTGAGCTATTAGAATTTAGCCAGAGTGTTTTCTGATCTTTTTTGTGTACTGAATGTGTTAGACTGTGTTTCAGTAGCTTCATAAGATGCTGTTTACATGAAGAATGTTTATGCTGTTTTTCTTTCCTTCTTTAGGTTGTCATGAGCCTCAGTTTTCGGACAATGTTGAACACCAAGACTCACACACACGAGGTTAGTTTCAACAGTTCATTCAAATCTTGAAATAGCATTGAAATGGTCTGCTTTACAGTTGAGTCACTGTGTTTCAGTGATAGAACATCGGAAAGTGGCTCGATTCCTCATACAGACTCAGAACTTTTTCTGTGTCCCACAGTCGTGACATGGCTTAAAACATCATCCTCTACGTTTTTTCATGTTTTGATTTAGATCTTAGCTGTGTCAGCTCTGGTACACCATGAAGTTTCAGTAGACAAAGCTGCACCTAAACAGAAGTTTCAGTATCATTTCTGTGGTGAGTTGAGCAACCATACTTGCTTATAACATTTAATGTTAACCTTGTTGAAAATGAAACGCCTGTGACTACTTTTTAAAATAGGCACAACCTCGATAACTCGTAGATAAGGAAAATAACTTGAAAAAGAAGCTGAAATTACGGAGTGTGGAAATTTTACGTGATATACATAAAGAGGTGAATTTATTTTGCAGAAGAAGGGTTTAAATCCACAATCCGTTCAATTTTCACATTTATCAGATTCGGGTAACTTTTCGGGTCTGCCCGATTCAAGACGGCGTCATCAGATTTTTGACGCTTCCGTCCGATTTTGGGCGTCTTTGTCAGATTTTTGACGTCTCCGTCCGATTTTGGTCTTCTATGGTTCTGTCTCATGGTTCCATGTCAGGTTTTCACGATTTCTTTTCATCTTTTACACCCTAACATCAGTATGCATATTCTCCATACTGTTCTCTATACATTTCCTAATGTGCTGACAGGGAGAATTTGTTTAACAATCAAGAGGTTCTTCATTTGATTATCATTTCCTTTATTCTCATAACATGAATGTTTGATTCAGGGGTGATATTGAAAGGAGAAATTAGATACTGGTCACTCTCAGGGATTAAAGATTTAATGCATCATTCAGAAACAATCACATCTGTATATATTCTACTTTTCTGCTTTAGCTGTAAGTAAACCCAACGATCAGATGTATCCTTACGACTTCAGGGATGCTGTCAAAAAGAAGGTAAAAGTAAACACATGCAATAGGTTTGACTGTAAGACAGTAGATGTGGGGAATATTTTCTGTCGGGGGATGGTATAGTGTGGATGAACGTTTCCTTAGGGGGTCGTTCGGTATTTGGCAGGATTTGAGATGTATGTAAACACAACAAACAATCTACAGGCAATTTGCATTGAATTTAGTGATTCTCTTTAATTTCTCATCTTTACCTCGTTAGCAAATAAACATGGAGATTACGACGTCAGAGAGGGCTCTTTTAGGACTGTTTATGGCCAAGATTCACAGAATTGACCCAGATGTAATTGTGGTATGCGACTTTTCCGTTCGAAGTATTTTCAGTGATGTTATACCAGCATGCAAAAGGGGAATGTATCACTGATGTTATGGCAAGGAAGTTTCAGATTTTACTAGATATTCAGCTCTAGCGCACACAAATTCCAAATTCAAATGAATATGGTCGCACTCATTTGGAATTATCAATGTCAAAGTGACTTCAACAACTCAGAGTATTGACTGAATTTCAGCGAAATGTAACAGTGTAAGGTCAGAACGATGACTTCTGAACATATAAATTGATGCTTGTCGTTGTAGCTTGTCGTTTAAGTTGAAGAAATGTCCTCAGCACTAATTCTGCCACTAACATTTGCAGTTTTTTTTTGTCTTTTTCTCTTAAGGGTCATGATATCTACGGGTTTGATCTTGATCTTCTGATGCATAGAATCAGTGCTTGTAAGGTAAATACTACAGCTTCGAGAATCTGCTTCCGAACAATGCGTTAGCGAAAAAAATGATGATTCATCCCATAACTACCCTGGGGAAGAGCACTGCGTCTTATTTTTAGATAGTTGGTTCTGCAAGCAGCCAAGTTGAAAGGAATTCTTTTTTCTTGTTGGGTCACAGAATCCATCTCGCTCGCGTCTGCCTATTGCCTCTGCAAAAGCGAAGCTCTTCTGCCACATTTCCAATTTCGTTCGTTTAGGTTGGCCAGATTTTGTTGTCTCTAATATCCTTGCGTATTATAGAAATATGCCAAAAAAAAGACTCAGTATCTTGTCATCTTGATCTCACGTTTGGTCAATAACGCATATATATATGGTTTATTTGCCTTATACAAAAGGCCAGAATTAAACTATCGTATGAAATCTTTAGTTACGCCACAAGTTTAAACGTGATGTCTGAGTCGAATTAAATTTTTTTAAATTTAAACTGAATTCAGCTAATGTATGATTTTTCTCTAGATTCCCCATTGGTCTCGCCTTGGACGGCTGAAGAGAAGCATTATGCCGAAGCTTTCTGTAAGTGTCTAGTTCTCAACTTTATGTTCAGAGCGCACAAAAAAAACTACTAACTTTTCTCCTTTAAATTCGAGTGATTTTCGCACAGGTGGCGACCAAGGGATTGATGTTTGAATTAGTGGGTGTGGAATGGCAATAATTTGCTGTTGCTTAGCGGAAATCCCGACAAACTTCGTTTTGGGAAAGATCTCTAAAAGTCCTCGACAAATTTATTTCTGGATTTTGTCTTTTGGGGTAACGCCTTCCAGTTGAGCGAATTACAACCAATTGAATATGGCCGTTTCAAAATTATGATACCGCCAAGTTTGTCGTTGATTTATCAGCCGCGGCAATACTGTTTATGGAAAGAACTCAAAATTAAGTTCTTAGATTCCTTTTTTATATCGTTACTCGACTTAATCTCCAACGTTTGTGACAGAATGGCGGGCCAGGCAGAGGCAACAGTCTTCTTGATCGTTCCATAACTTCTGGACGAATGGTGTGTGATGTGAAGATTTCGTCAAAAGAACTCATACGATGCAAGAGTTATGATTTGACAGGTTTGCCGCCATGACATACCAACCTCTCTATGTTAACTTTCCTATTGCTAACAAAGTCGAAATTATAAAGGTTTGATTTAGGTTTTACGATAAACCAAAGAAAAGTTGCCAAATGAAAGTGCGTGGGCTTTGATGTCCTCATTTAGGTGGTCGCAAACCAGAGTTTTATCCAAGGACTTTTAAGTTAAAACCCCTGTGCACAGTTTGATAAACTGAAACACATGAGCTAAAGAACTGCTCGATAGCTTTCATTTGAATCGTTTCACCGTAGAGTTTTATCAATTTTTTCTTTGTCTCACTTTCGTGACAAGACGAAAAACATCTTTCTCAACATTCTGCTTTGTTATCATATAAAACCAATCGATACATGTTGCCGTGGGTCTGACCAGTGATAGATCACAGTTGACGTCATGATGTGGTAAGAACATCAGTGACACACTCAGCTGTGCCTCATGTGACATCATTTTGATGTCTTCTGTGATCGATTACTGGAATCTATTTGTTAATTAGATCAAACGGTACCACATGAAAGTACTGCTTAGAAGCTTTCTTTTCAGTGGTTGCACGCTTAGGTTTATACATACGTACAAGGTTGATTCAAATATTTAAATACAACGTAAAATTGGCGCTTGTTTATTTTTCATTTTCCAGCATTATCGTGGGCTGTTCTTCAATCAAGAAGAGAAGAGATTGATCAAGATGAAATACCAAACAAATACAAGTGAGCCTCCTCTTCCCCCCCCCCCCTCTTTGCGCTTCTTTTGCTTAAACATACGTTAGTGTAACCTTTGATTTTGTAAAACTTTGGGGCCTAGACTTTTGCGCGCTGAACTCCAGATCAGGGGGTCTGGGTTCAAGCTCTGGCCAGGTTATTGAGGTGTGTTCTGAGGCAAGGTTCTTTAATGTCACAGTGTTTCTCTCCACCCAGGAGTATAAATGGGGACCAACAGATAACATTGGGAGGTAACCTGAGAGAGATAGACTAACTTTCCATTCAGCGGTAGTAACAATAATTTTTTTGCTTTATGCTTCCGAAACCGGGATTAGGTTCAATAGTTTGGGCCGCATAGCTCGTGTACAGGTTTTTACCTTTCACGTTTCAACACCGCATTTGATATCCTGTAAATTGAGAATTTATAAAGTTAAATTTTTTGTCTCTTTTTTTCCTTTTTTTTTAATTTTTATTTTCAGCTCCACGCAGGAATTGCTTCGTATGTTTGAACTCACTTCGGTAGGTAACCTCCATCATTTTTGTAGCATTTAGCAGTTTTAGATAATCTTTGCTCAAATCTCCTCGTTCGAAGTGAAAGACAAATTTGAAAATATACTGATCTACTCTTTTTCTGTCTACAGATGGATGCACTCTTAACTCTAAGGATAATGTATGATCTAAACGTAAGTATTTTCTACACTTTTTTGTTACACTTCGTAAAAACGTTGTTCCCTTCAGTGTTGCAAGGTTAATTTTACGTAGGTTTGTAATTCTAATTTTTTAAAATTTTTTCAAGGTTTTGCCCCTGGCTTTGCAGATAACAAACATTGCTGGAAATGTTATGGTTAGTATGTTCAGCAATCTTTGCTTCGAAAAATGATCTTTTAGATTTCGCGTTTGAATGATTCAAATGTCATTCTTTGGAAAATCACTGCATTTCTCTCATCACCAGATCATCTTCAATCAAATTTCTGGGCTTTTCACGTATTTTTTAATGGAAATTACCAAAAAAGTTAACTAAGATATTATTGTGTGATGCTTCTACAGATTAGTTTACGGAAGGTTTTTGCATTTGTAAATTGTTTCGTTCGTGAAACCATGTGTAACGGAGAGAGACCAGTATGCCTCTGTAGCGCGCGCAACTTGAAATCGAGGCTTGCCTCACTAGAAACGTTATTATGACGTTTTTTGACTGTTTTTTTAGATTTCGTTGCGGCGTTTTCCAACCACCTCATGCGCAAAGAAGCCTGAGCTAAGATTTTGGCGCTCAACTTTCATTTCTTTTGTGTTTAAACGCCTCAATTGACGTATGGTATTTCTAAAAACAGATGCTAAATCTTTTGTTTTTCATTTTTCAGACTCGAACACTTCTTGGTGGCCGATCAGAGAGAAATGAATTTCTTTTGCTTCACGCCTTCAACGAAAAGTAAGACTTGTGAATTCTTTTTGTCGTTGCTTCCCGCAAAATGGGAAAAGGGTAGGGGGGGGGAGGGAGAGTTCGTCTTAACCAAGATTTCACCCGTCAGTTTTTTTTCCTTTTTTCCTGGGCCTTGTATACAAACATCATATTGGCTGTTTTTCAGCTGCGCGTAGGCTGGAAAACTCAACGCGTCAGTAGTTATTTCTAAATAACTGTTTCGCTGCTTTGGCGGGCAAGTGAAACTCTTTGTTGGTTATCAACCATAAATTGATCAAGGCAAGAAAACCGTTGCTAATTTTAATGTAGGTGTTAGCTTCCGCAAGAGCAAAGTAAGCGCGAAGAGCTATAGTTTGAACTATCAGCTTTCCAGGAAAAAATAGCAGACAATTTCTTGTTTCTTTTTACACCCTTCAACTTACGTTTTACACCTGCTTTGTCCTTCTTTGAACAGAAATATATTTCTCTCTATTACCAAATTTTGATTATTTTTAACAGTGACTATAATATTTTATTTTATTCAGGAATTTTATCTGTCCAGATAAAAGTTATGGCAAGAAACAAGTGGTATAAATATTTTTGTTCTAACTTGCTTGCTCGAGGTTTCTCTTTTCTTCTCTCGATATTTCTTTCCTTCAGCTATTTTTCCTCAATTTATCACAATACATTTGAGTTTACTCCTTAAATTACACTTGTTGATAGCGTGGTGTGTTTTGAACAATTGTTTTTAAAGCAATTTTCAATTGAAGTCGAAAGTAACCTGGTATTGCATTGGTTTTGCTTTACTTTGCTCTGTGATTGGTCCTCACGCTAATCTCTCAACCAATCACGTGTAAAACTTGAACCAATCACGATTTGATCGCGTGCGTTTTCCCCCGCTTTCGGTAGTTTTTCGGTTTTACTTTGAGGTCTCATTGGCTCTACTGGGTAATTTCCTTTTCTTCTGATTCGGCTTTATAATTGATTGGTTTTGTTTTTACGGCGCTCAATCGAAAAGCACTCTTAAGAGACTAGGTTTCTCTGGAACTCGCTGGGAGGAACTTTTTTTTCCCTGTCTCGTGTTTCTGTCAAAGGTTTAACTTCTTAAAAGTTTCTTGTTATCCTCGTTCTCAGGTCGAGGCAGACCACGATGAAGACGAACAACCTTCGACTTCCAAGGGACGAAGAAAACCAGCGTATGCTGGGGGACTGGTGTTGGAGCCTAAGAAAGGTGTCTAATCTTTTTTTTACTCTGCGCTGTGTTTGGTCTAGGATGCAAAACCAAACCGATGGCGCCGTAGTCACTCAGGTTTTCCCGCGCTTCGGGCCGTTTGCTCGTTTTTACCTCTAGTTCTCATTGGCTATTTTTACAGCTTTCTTCACTTTGATTGGCTGTTGTGATAACTATAGTTTTGATTATACGGCACTTTACGAAACATACTTTATTTCGACTTTTCTCTTAGGTTTCTACGACAAACATATCTTGCTGCTGGATTTCAACAGTTTATACCCGTCCATTATACAGGAATACAACATTTGCTTTACTACAATCAACAGAACAAGCTCCAAATCTAAGGGGGTGAGTTGCATTTAATATAATCGCGTCATCTTCATTTATAGAATTATGCCTACAAAATGAAGCTCACTAACAAGGAAGAGGATAATCTTTTTGAATTTTTGCTCAATCAAGTGTTTCGTTGAACTCTCTATCTTTCAGTCAATTATTTTTCTTGTTATTTTTCAGAATTACCTTAATCCGGACCATAGCACTTTACTTACAATTAAATTTATGTTAAAGATGTTCCTCATTCTTATTTTATCAGCTAGCCGAGGAAGAAGAAATGGTTGAGTTACCTGATCCTGAATTAGAACCTGGCATTCTACCAACGGAGATCAGGAAATTGGTGGAACGAAGAAAACAGGTTTGTTCCTGTCTTAGGCTGGTTGGTGACGACTGTAAGAGCATGCGCATACCACGTTTTACACAAAGTATTTTAATTGCTTACAAAAAGTATTCACTTTTCTTACTAGGTGAAGGGAATGATGAAAAACTGCGCTCGTGATTCAGATCAGTACCTGCAGGTCAGTAATGTATATTAGGAAAAATTTTCGAATGTAATCCAAGGTTCGCATCGATGACGCGTTACTTCTTTCCTTTTCTGAAATTCTCTGTGATTGGCCCATAATCCCTCAAGGAAATGTACTTTAATTCAGCCGCTTCGCCCGGCAGTTGGGCCCTTATCGCATCACGGACAAAAACCTTTAGAATTTCAACCATTTTTTTTTAATACCCTTTTTAAGCCCATGATGTGAGGATTTCAAACGATGTAAAGAGATGTATTTTTTAAAAATTATTCATTGTTGTATGTTTTTTCTTTTCAGTATGATATAAGACAAAAGGCCTTAAAGCTTACTGCAAACAGGTAGGTTTATCATACTTGTCTTCCGTAGTCGCTTCACTTAGGGAAACACAGCAGACAAAAACGATAGGCATGCGCAAGTGAATCAATTTTATCCAGCAGTGCGTCAATTTCCCGCCCAAAATTTCATAAGAAAACATAAGAGACAACCACTTCCACGCCAAAGATACAAAACGATGGAATTGTTCGTAGAAATCTGCAGAATGAAGCAAATGTAGGATAAAGGATAACTAGGTACTTTACGAACACAAAGTTTATTTAATTACGGGTATTCTGTCAGTTGATTTCCATTTTGTTTTGAGCTTAGAAAAAAAAGTTATTCGCTTTTAATTAAGAAAGCTTTACTAGTTTGGTAATGTTATTTAGCCTGAGATTTTGTTTTGAGCTTAGAAAAAAAAGTTATTCGCTTTTAATTAAGAAAGCTTTACTAGTTTGGTAATGTTATTTAGCCTGAGATGACTTTGTCGGGCCGCCTATGAAAACACTTCGGGAAGAAATATGGCAAGCTCTTTAGTCACATTACAGTCACGCATTGCTTTCACATCTGGAGTTGTGTAGGCTTGTTCAGAGCAACTCGGCACTAATTTGGGGCTTGTTGGTTTTCTTTCTATTGTAGCATGTATGGCTGCTTAGGATTCTCCCATTCAAGATTTTATGCCAAGCCACTGGCTGCCCTGGTTACGAGCAAAGGCCGAGAGGTATGTACTATGATACTATGACAGCGTGACAGTGCGATAGCATGACGGCATGACGGCAGCGTGACGACAAGATGATTATGACAACACGGCGCTAAAGCGTCACAGCGTGACAACATGATAGCGTCACAGCGCGATAACATGGCAGCTTGTCAATGCGATAACATGGCAGTTTTCCACCTGTTTCGATTTTAAACATTCCGTTTCCCGGAAATATTTCTGGAAGACCTCATCGAAACCTTATCGCCAGTTTTCCAAAGCTATAGCATTTAGTGGTGGTAATCTTTTCGGCTGCAAACCACAAGCGTAGGAGTGTTTTTGACTGAGACTTCTTATCTCTCTAAAGTTACTCTCTTTCTCGTCATGGAAAGAAATATCTGGTCGCATTTCCGACACCAGGCGGTACACTTCAGATTTAACCAACTGTTAAAGAATTCACAGCATTTGCCGAACCATAACGCTGCGTCCAAATCTCCAGATGGAAAAATCACACTCAGTGGAATTGCATGCAAATAAATTGGTTTTATTTTCACGTCTTTTTTTTGTAGAATATTAAAAGGGAATGATAAAGACAATGATGTGCATTCGAGATAGCCATAATTCAGCAAAAAAAAATTGGAAAAGCCTTTGACTGCAGTTTTATTTCCCAATAAACCCACAATGACAAATTTTGGCTTCAATTTGTTTTGTTTGTCAAAAGAAAACCCATGAGATGCTTATCGTTATTTATTTATGAGGTTCGTATGGCCATTTCTGTGGAAATCGCAACAGATGTTTTAAGTTCATCAACTAAACGCTGTGGTTGACAATTAAATTCCAAAAAATAATTTTTACTCGCTACGGGTGAATTTCGGAATTACTTTGCGCCTCTGCTAGACAGACGTTTATAAGACAAAACGAATTCGAAATTGCTTCAACTCTAAACTTGCTAATTTTGAGATGACTTTTATTAGTTAGGCACTTGACACTGAAGTAACGACATGTTTTGTAGTTTTTATTGAAAGTTCCTGGTGACATTCAGGATACTTTTTAATTACAATAATTTTTAAGTCTGTCAGTGAATTTGATGAATTGGTCGTTCGTCAATAAAGTAAATTTTTTATCGTAGACATTTACCTATCATGCAGTTTCTTGCAAATATTGATGCTCCGTCGCTGTTATTAATGTTTAATTCATCGTCGTAATCTCTCTATTTCTATCAGGACCCGTTCGGACTAATTGTTAGGTTTAGTAGAACTATGGAACACTTGAAAAGTTTAACAAGTTGTTTGAATAAACTTTTTTACCGTATTAAAATTACGTTCTTTATCAATATATGACAAGTTTTATGACCATTTCAAGTTTCTACAAGAGAACTTGCCTCGTTGTAGCCGAATTTCTAAATAAAATCCGACTCGCCAAAAATTTGAATAAACTCGTCGAAATCCACTCTCTCGTCTCCCTTCGTGTCGGCCATTTTGATCATTAGATCTATGTCAGACTCGGTATGATCAATGTTGAGCCTGCGTAAAACTCTTTTTATTCCTTGTGCTTCGATGTAGCCTTTCTTCTCCACGTCAAATTCTTGAAATACTCTTTTTAAACGCCGCTCACGCTTTGTCTCGCGGAAAATCTGTTTGGAGAGTCGCTGGAAGCTGTCATAAGAAACCGTCGTGTTTGGTCGGTTATTTATACCTGTAGAATGAGTCAGATATCGTCTTGAAATGGAGAGTAGACAACAAACTATCCTAGAGTCGTTCACACACTGGCACTAATATTCACAGCGTTTCTTTTTACATAAAGTTTCATGAAACCTGACACCAATTTCCAAATTATTCATCTATTTCTCTAAGGACACACGCTTTTTTTTCGTTCCTGTGTTTCCACTTCTCGTCTAAAAATGAAATATTTCTAGAAGAAAACCTGAAAAAAAAATGTAATTTCCAAAGAAATACTGTCATATTTATTCATCGTCATTTTCTTAGTCTACGGGGCTTCCTATGAGTCGTTCAGACCGTGCAGTACGGTAATTTTGGCTATTGTTTTTATAAGATTTGCAATGGACGCTGCAAGTTAATATCATGAGTCTCAACTTTGAGAATTTTGCAGTCGCGTATTAATTTGAATATGAATATTTAATTTACCTGTGATTCGAAGATGTTCTTTCAGTTCTTCATCGCCTATTTCTTCGCCCAAGTCCTTGAAGACGTTAACAAGGTCTTTCACACTTATAAATCCGTCCGAATCTTTGTCGTAATTGCGAAAGATAACCCTCATATTAACTTGTTTTTGATGGGGAATGCCCGCCATTTTGAAATTCCCAAACTGGATCGCAAGCCAAGGAATTTTCGTGGAAGCGATGACTCGTCGTCGCTCATATAACCAAAGATTTCTTCTTCCACGAGGCTAGTTTAGCTCGCAAAGCAATACACTTTCAACGAGCTGGACATTGTGTTGACGACCTATACTATTGTTAGGAAGACAAAGACTGGCTTCGATCAACTTATTTACATGTAGTCTTATAAAAGAAGATAATTACTCCCCGCTCTAAGGAGGGCTAACTGCGATGATTTCGTCTTTGATCATTAAGTTCCTTTTGTTAAAGAGCTCATAAAAATTAAATCAAGGCTTTGAGCTAGAAAGAGTTTGTGGTAAAACAAAAGATAATTAGACGAAACAGAGTCACGTAGACTGACATCAGATATCCCATAATTCGCGCAAATTGCACTAACTTTGCTCAAATGTGTCTGCAAAATAAATTACATTTCTATCAACTCCAACCATGATATTTTCTTTGTGTACAAAATTTCCGCCTTTTATTTCCTTTGATAGTGATGGCTTTATTTTTTGTCTAAACCTCATAACCATCGTTTATCTCCTTATTCGCCTTTTAAACCTGAAAATCCACCCACTTCATAATTCTATAATGTGATATGGTCGGTCATGTGTGGAAAAACCAGTCAATTTGAAAAAAAAAAAAAAAAGCATCAAGATAAAGTTTCTTAGCCCATGAAAGTATTTGGCTCCGGTTGTCTGAGTTAAGACCTATATTTTAAAAATGCGAAAAATCAGAAATGTTTTTCCGTTTAGTGGAGACCCGAATTTTTTAGCTCTTGAAACGCTTACAAATGCAACTTCAAATTTTGGTATGTTTTGTCGACTTAATAATTATAGTTGTCAGACACTTCAAACCACGTTTTCCATATAAGGTGTTTTCTTGTAGTGACAGCAATTTTAATGAAAGATTGAGGCGCAAATTGTTCTGAAAACTGTTCCAAACCCGTCACAGGCCAACGACAGGTAAAGTGATAAAAACGATAAAAAAAACTGACTTTTAGGTATTAATAAGCAGTTTAAAAGCTGGTCTGTTCTCTTTATGAGCCAATTTTAAGTGAGATGTCTCTTTTTTGTCCAAATTTCAACATTTAGGCTGATGTGTGAAAATTAGAAGGAAAATTGAAAGTTGGTTAACCAAAAAACAGCTTGTTGTCTTTGTTGATAAGCCAGCGGGCTTTTGATCGTTTGGTGAAGAAAACTCCGCACCGTGCTCGCTAAAACTTCCGAATTCTCACTGGCTCCTAGCGGTCTTGATGAGTGAGACCTTGTCTGTATTTAGTTGACGTATAAGTCTTTTCAACAGCTGTTTATTTGACGGCGCAACACGCGGAAGTTTTTGCCTTTTAGCACTGGCTGAACAGAAAGTTAGATTAAAATAATTTAAAAAAAAAAACGTTTCAACATTTAGGGCCTAAAATAACAAAACAAAAAACTCTTTTTGTCATCCCGTACATAAAAATGAAATTCGCGCTTGTGCCAGCTTTTTAAAGCAATTATCAGTTTGTTGTCAAAAGTATTCGGGATTGCTCAGTTTTGGGTTGCTTCGCTCTGTGATTGGTTGATAAAACTCGCGCCATTCTCGGAATCAATCAGATTCAAAACTAAACCAATCACGAATTGGTCATCTTGGTCGTTTCTTGAGTTCTCTTAGTTCTCATTGGCTCCTTGTGATATTTCCTTTCATCTGATTGGCTGTTGTGAATACTTTAGTTTGGCTTTACGACACTCAATAAAAAAGCGCACCAGGTTCTTTCGCTGCCATTTAATGGGATCGTTGCGTGTTATCCTAAAGAATGGCTGCAAAGGAGACCACTCCTATGTTACTGATCTTTAACTTTTCTAGTTTTTCTTTTGGAAGAGATTTTAGTGTCTTACTTCAACTTTTTCCGAGTTTTGCACCTTACACACGACGTTAAATTTAAAAATTTGGGGCGAGTTCCATGCAAGATGTCAAAGATGATTGTTTTTGTCAGTATCCCCACTCGCTTTCTTGGCAATCTACTACATTTCTTGGGAGAAATTGTCTCTGATCACACGAAACTAAGAACCCTTCATTCAGACATTCATCATCGTCATAAAATCGTCGTAGCCCACGAGCCCATCACCATCGGCGTCAGCGGCTTTTACCATAGCCTCGATTTCGTAATCTTTAAAGTCCTGACCGAGGAGCTTGAAGACTCGGTCGAGTTCTGCGACTCCAATAAAACCGCTGCCATCTCGGTCGAAAACCTTGAAGGACTCGCGTAGAATGTCTTCAGGATCGCAATCATCTAGGTTTTTCGACATAAGCGCGAGGAATTCGGGGAAGTCGATAGCACCATTTCCGTCTGCATCTAAATAACAGAGAGAAACTGAACTTACTTTTGGTCACCAAGTGATTGGCTTTTTGTATAGCCAAATATTTCTTCCCAGCCTCCTCGTCAACCTTTCTGCCAGGCAAATTCTTCCCCCCCCCCCACTACCCCTGGGTAATTCTATTCTCACCTATTTGGTTCATCATATCCATGAGTTCCGCCTCTGTTATGTTGTACCCAAGGGAAGTTACCAATTTCTTCAGCTCTGTTGCTGTGATACAACCATCACCATTGGTGTCAAACACATGAAAAGCTTCTTTGACTTCACGAATTTGATCAGGAGTCAGTTTTGAGGATTTCAAGGCCTCCTCTTCCTTTTTAGATACATTTTTGACATCATTATTGTTTTTTTTAGCTGACAAATGTTTGTCTTTGTCCAGAGGTTTGTTTAAGTCCGGGTTATCTTCGTCATCGGCGAAGATGTATTCGTCGTCGGAAATCGAATACCGATCACTTCCCGATTCGTCCTCGCTCAAAGCCGAAGTCGAAGATTTAGTAGGTTTAAGCGACAGAAATCGTCTCAACAACTCGCCGTTCTCTGTGCTACTGCTTGGACTTTTTTCCTCGCTCGTCTTTGCGTCAACTGAAAGTGCAGCATTCTCTTAAAAAAAACAAAATTAAGAGATCTAATAAACGTTTATGTACTTTTTGTGGCTTCTCACCTTAGAACTGAAGCGCGCATTGTGAAATCTAGTTTAATCTTTTACTGTTAGATAGTGTTGAAATCTTGTCTTAATAATACAAATTGTACCAAAACCAAATATCTTCGCACTTGGAACAAACGAAGTTTCCATCTCCATTGAGTACATAGTAACAAACTTCACAACTGAACGATAGTATAGCAATTAATTGTGTTAGGTTTAGAGAAATGATATCACTAAATACCTTGCGCTGCAAATGGTCTGAAAATTTTTATTTATGTGAAATACACTGTCAGTTCTCAATTATTTGATTGACTGAAAGAGACAAGAAACGCCAATACGTCTCGCGTTTAACGAGCTTAAAAGTTTGTTTCTAAATACATAGATCTTGAAATTTGTCCAACCGTAACTAATGGTCAGTGTTCAGAGTTTAGCTATTACATAGCACGTTTGGTTCTCTATTTAATTGTTTTGTTTTCTTTCGCGTTTGTCATCGGCTTGAGGATTTAGAAATTCCACTGTTGATACCCAATAGTAATTAAAAAAAGAACTAAAACTTCCTTAAAAGATAAGGGCTTTCTGTTCATAAAGCGTGAAGTTAACTTGACTAACTCCCAATGAGGATTTGAAATGATACATTTAGGACACAATAAATATCCCTCCCCGCATAGAAACAAAACAGTACAGCTTGGCAATCTTTTGATGTTAGCGTAACTAGGTTTTAGCATGGGAAAATCGTACCCTCTGGGCAGATTTAAATTGTTTCCAAGATTCGTTATTCTTTGTTCATGGCGAATTAAGCTCGTGTTTGTTTATTTTAAACGTATGTTGTGATCTAAAGTGGCTTACCGGCACTTTCCACTCCTCTCGCTGAGTTCTTCTCGACTTCTGGTTCTTCCGCGATCGAGGTATAACGGCGACGTAACATTATAGCTTGGAAGTGTTAAAAAAACCGAAATCTTTCTCTTTCCGCAAACTATCCAGTTGACTTCTGCTCGTTCTCAAGTATTTTGTTTATCTCTTTGTCATCTTTGCATGTCTTTGCTGCCTGGTTTCAAAGGTGCGGTGTACGCTAAATAATCCTGGTTCTCGATTTCTTTCGTTCACGTTTAGTTACTGAAATTTAGTAATTTGCGTGTGTCGCGTTAATATTTAATCCCCGTGTCATTAACCGTCAAAGTGCCGCCAATATATGCGTGTACGGCGCAATTACAGTGTAATTATCAGTGAAAAGACTTTCCTAAATTCCACTATTGTCACGTTTGACTTTCGCTGCATATTGCTTTGATTCGATTACGCTAAAAAGGTTGAAAACATCCTAATATCGAAGTGTTCAAGCATCTTGCTGTTGCATTAATGGATCATCTTTTAGTAATCAGTGAATTTAGAATATTTCATGGTTTAATCGATCTTAGATGTTTCATGGTCTTTTCAGATGCAAATTTAAAAGGGGCAGTCGGTCTTTGTTTTCAATTATCGCACAATCTTAGATCTTGGCATGATCTCTCAAAGTAAAGGTGGTATGAAGTTTAATCCAGTCATAACGTCTGGCTTTTTATTTTGTTCTTTTGTTCTTTTTTTTTTGTTGCTTTGTTTAAGTTGCTAGGCATGTAATTACATGAATGAAGGGGTAACTGTGGTGCTGCGTCGGTGGGGGAGTTTAACAGGGTAATTTAGTGTTATCAACTGGGTTGATAACGTAAATTGGCCACCGTAGATAGTTTAAAGGCTGACGTTTCGATCGTTAGCTTTTCGTCAATCGCTCTGACGAAGGGCTAACGCTCGAAACGTCAGACCATGTAATTACCATGTAATTACATGGTCTGGTTCAACATCTAAACTCTTTTGCGTGATATGTCTGCGGAAAGGCGGGAAGCAGCTTTTTTAAGAACGCGAAAATTGAAACCCGACAACACGTTATCGAACCTTCACCGAGAATTTCACCGAGTGGTTTTCGATTTTGGTCATCCAATCAGATCGGAGGAAACAGCTCGAGAAGTCGTCGGGTCGACGACAGTTTTGTGCGATCGAAGTGTGAAATATGCACTTCGCTGACCCAAATCGGAACTCGCAAGCTCGTTGGATGTCAGGGAAAGTCTTTCCTATTTCCTCTTACTCCTTTAATCAAGATATCAATTCTCTGCGCTGTTTTCCATGCATCTCTTATAATTTTAGTTATGAGAAATTAATGCTCAATCAAACAATATCCGCTAGTCAATATTTATCCTTCTCGCCACCTGTTTTGCTTGAAAATTAAAAGGGTTAAGGATTAATCTTCAGTTTTTGTTAAATTTTCATTTCTTTCGTTCCTATTTCAGATTTTGCTTAAAACAAAGGACCTGGTTCAAAATGTAAGTAATCTTGGTGTAGAAACGTGTTGTGTGTTTCTTGCGACAGCAATTCAAACCTTATTTTGAGCTGTTATTGTTGTATGTTTGTTAGAAAGTGATATGAGTGATTTCACGATGAGTAAACGCGCCTGCTGCTGGTAAAGTGAAGGAAAATTGTTCCTATAGAAAATCGAGAAAGAGCAGAGCAATTCATTATCGGTAAAAAATTCGTGGTTGTAAGCCACCAACGCACTCATGTAAGCAAATAAGATCCAAAATTTCGCACATTAACATGCGAATGATGCGAATATGATAAAAGCGATTTTGCAATGAACTTAAGAGGCTGCTGGAAAAGATCTACGTGTTACTCTATTGTAAGAAACTTCGTATGTTTAGAGTGTCACAGACACTTAGAAGAGGAGAAAATTTAATATTTACCTTTTTTTTTTAATTCTGTCAGTTGGGTCTTGATGTGATTTACGGAGACACAGACTCTATCATGATCAACACAAATACCACAGACCTGGTAGAAGTACGCAAGATCGGAAACAAGGTATGCAATTAACATGTAACTCTCTTTGCCATACCAACCATTATCTTGTAAACAGTTAATGAGAACTTACACACTTAACAACTCGCGAAGGGGAATGAGTTACGTGGTTTTTAGGGATTTTACCAAGGAAGAAGTCGACACAGTCCTTTTTACAGTCGGAATCAGTTTGTTTTGAAAACTTTAATCAACTGATGCCGGTTTTATTGGTTAACTTTCGTTTTCCTTTAAGGTAAAAAATGAGGTCAACAAGCTTTATCGGTTATTGGAGATCGACATTGATGGTATATTTAAGTCCATGCTGTTACTGAAGAAGAAAAAGTGAGTAGTCTGTCTTTACATCAGTTTGTCTGTCCTTCTGTCTGTCTGTTCGTCTGTCTATACATCAGTCAGTCTGTCCGTCTGTCTGCCCGTTCGTCTGTCCGTTCGTTCCTCAATTTGAACTTTCGTCTGCCTGTCCATCTTTCTGTCTGTCCGTCTGTCTACCCGCCCGTTCGTCTGTCAGTCTGTCTGTCCCGCGTTCGTTCCTCAATTTGAACTTTCGTTTTTTCCCTACATCAGTTTGTCTATTCGTCTGTTCGTTTGTCCCTCTATTTGTACGTCCGTCTGTCCGTCTATCTGTCTGTCTGTCTCTGCCTGGGACGTGCCACTGAAGTGTAGAATGATGTATCCAAGTGTGTAAGTGCATTATTTTATGCTCTAATTCCTTTATTCTTTCTCTCAAGGTACGCTGCAATCAGTATTTCAGAGAATGAGGATGGTAAGACGGTTTTCAATGATAAGATTTTATTTAGATCCCAGACGTCAAAAAACAAACAAGACGACAAAAAAATGTGTTTGGTGCGGATGGTCAAGCGTTCGACTTAAAATTGGTAATTTTGGACGCGCCTTGACACCCTGTTTAAATAATTCATCCCAATGATATTTGAAAAAGGTCATCTCACAAGTCTGTGTGATCTCTAAGAGAGTTTTTCAATGAATAATGTCATCAAAAATCTCGTAAGATATAAAGAGTCTCAAAAGAGTGGGCCAACGAATTGTGGCGATACCAATATCACATGAAATTTCCACTCAAACGACACGACATCGCCAAATTTAACTTTCAGGAACATTGAATGAAATCAAGGAGATGAAAGGTTTGGACATTGTACGGAGGGACTGGTGCGATCTCGCGAAGGATTCTGGGAAGTAAGTGACTCCATGGTCGGCAAATTAATAAGCTAACAATGAGATGATAGAATGATAACTGTAACGAAATGTTTCGTTGTGATTTGTTTATAGCTACGTTCTGGCTCAGATCTTGTCATCACAACCCCGTGAAACGATTGTGGAGAATATTCACGACTATCTTATATCAGGTACTGTATGGCCGCTGGTCAAGAAAACTCATTGAATGTTCAGGTCAAGAATGTAAGTAATTTGACTATATTTTACTATTGTTGTAAAGCTGTTGCCTTGAGGTATTTTTTTCTTCCTTTCTTCAGTTGGAGAGAATGTTGCCGAAGGCAAAGTGGACATTCAGAAGTATATCATAAACAAGGTTTGAAACTTGTTTGTTTAACAGTTTCTCTTCAGACACTAAATATCAACGGGTAAGGAGGTAGAGGAATGAGTTAATCAGAACCTGATGTGTAAACAATAGGGACCTTACGATCCGACAACGGCGACGGCGAAGGCAACGTGAGAAGTCTGGGTCGAGCGGGGCCACGTCGTGTTGGCGTTCCCGCCAAATTTGAGATTACGAATTTTACGAGCGAGAACGTTGACGACGGTCATTGATGTTTATCGTGTTTAAGTCAACGAAAGTTTTTTAGAAAGCCATGCCAAAGTTCCGTGACACTATTCTCCTGGCTCATGCTTCCCGTTTGATTAACGCTGAGCCAGTGAGTTCCTTGTAAAATAAGGTTAATCTACGATTATAAATGAAAATTAGCTCAATGAAAGTATTTATACACTTTGCATCGGTCGAATCTGGTACCGCTGCCGACAAAATCTCTCTACTATTTCCTAGTAAACCCAAAATAAAATTAAGCTTAATTGTTCTCTTTTTTTGATCGAGAAAAAAGTTGGAAAGTAAGTGATAAGAAAGCTCAGTGATAGCGAGCGAAGTACAATCACAAACAAATACAAAGCAAAATAAGTCAAATCTCTCTCCATTCAGTTTGTGGTCATATACAAAAGACTCCTTTAGTCGCAAATTTACTAAATTTAGTAAATTTAGTCGCAAAGTCTCGTTTTTACCTTGATTCATTTGCCATAGTTGGGTTTTAATTTCCACGTTTTCGCACAACGTCAAACAAGGCTTCTAGACGTCCGCGCGTGAAGGGACACCGCCGTCTCAGAAATCTACTCATGCGCAGTACGTAACCGGAAGTAAAAAAGTCCCACGTCGCCGTCGCCGTTGTCTGATCGTAAGGTCCCTAATGTTAAGTGGGGGAACAGTGCTTACCGTGAGGGCGGGAAAATATGGAATCCGCGTCATGCGCCCGCGAAAATAGAAACGGTGAAATGGCGGGAAACACGCGAGCAATTTCAGTCGCATGAAACTTATCCCCATCCACATCGAGGAAAACGGTCTGTAATCACCGAAAAACAAATGTTTCCAATAATCATTTGTAGAGTCCTTCACTTTGAACTTATCAATATTTCTTTTTACAGCAATTGACCAAATCTCCCCATGACTACCCTGACAAGAAGTCACTCGCTCATGTCAATGTGGCCTTGCGGATGCTTAGTAAGGGAAGGAAGGTCAACGCTGGCGATACCATACCCTATGTCATTTGTGAAGTAAGTAAATCAATTATTTCTCATCAGCTTGGGAGAACAGACTCCCACCAAGATTTTTGTTACAGGAGCGCTTTTTCTTAATGTGTCATAAGGGCAAAGCCAAAGTAAAGGTCCAAGCCAATCAGAGAAAAGCTGAACATCATAGAGAACCAATCAGGACTTGGAGTAAACCTGTGCAACTGACCGTAAGCGCGGGAAAATGCCGATTAGCATCTGATTGGTTGAGAGGGTGATGCGAGTTTTCTAAACCAATTGCAAAGCTAAGCGAAACAAAACCGATCCGACTGTGGTTTACCTTCGATATTCAATTGAACTTGTCTTTTTTAGTACATGGGTATTTGAGAGTTCTTTTTATTTGTTTTATTTACAAATTTTTCGTTTTTTCATAGGATGGCTCGTCGCTGGCTGCCACTCAACGTGCCTACCATCCTGATGAATTCTGCAAGTCTGATACACTGAAAATCGGTATCCTTTGAAATACAAACATCGTAGAAGTGACAAAATTTTATTACTGAACATTTGTTGGTAATTTTTTTCATGATATCAAATATTCATTTTAGACCATCAGAACCACAGTTCACTAAAATTCACTGATTGCAAAAGGCGTTGTGGGATGTGGGACAGTTTGTGTCACTCTTTTTCAGTCACCTGTTTCATCTCTTCTTCTTTGCAAGCCGTTTTCAACTGAACGTGTGTCGTTCGCCACCATCATGGGATTTAGTCATCTGATCTTTTTCATGGGCCCTTTTCTTTTAACAACTTTAAACTGCAGACGTGAAGTATTATCTGGCAAATCAGGTTCACCCTGTTGTGTCTCGTTTGTGTGATCCTATCGACGGCACGGACGCCGCTCACATCGCACAGTGTCTAGGTATGTCGGTAATCGGTTCAAAGTAGTATAATTATCACTGATACTATATCCTAAGATCGTTCCCAGGGTCCTCTTTCTCCCTCCCTCGAGGAAGTATGAAAAAATAACTTGGGAACTAAGTTTACTAGGTCGAACACTCGCTTAACGTGACGTTTCTCGCGGTATTGTTTTGGTCCATATTTGAACCGTTGCTTCGGAAATATGTGGCACACGAATAGCGTTTATTTTCCTATTGGCTTGGAAATGCAGTCGGGAAAGTGTATATGACACTTTTTTTTCTAATTTCTGACAGGTTTGGATCCGTCTGGTTACCGTGGTAACACTGGGCTGCATGATGACGAAAATGACGCTTTGCTTGGTGGCCAGGCCTTGATGACAGACGAGGAGAGATTTAAGGTACTGGAAATCACTAAGATTTAAGCTTACAAAAGGGGTCTTACAGGAAGAGTTTCAAAACTAAGGGCGATATTTTAAAATGAAAACCCAAAAATGTAAAACATGGTTGGAATATTCGAAGGGAAAAAATAACCACAATTAACATAATTGTTCCGGTTTATTATAAAGATGCGCGCGCTCTGATTGGTCAAGTTTGAGTCACATATCGATACAATCATCTCGCGCGAGCTGATTATAACTGGAGCGCAACATTTCAAAATGGCTGCCTTGCATCTAGTCAATAACTCCGTGAAAATAATAAACGCGATAGAGGAAAATTCAGTTGCGAAGGGCCCAAAATATGTTACTGAGCTTGGCGGAACACCTTGTAAAAGAGATATGTGAAGTTTTTGCTGAGTTATCAGCTCAATTGCAACAAAAAAATCGCAATCCTTTTTTTAGTGAACAGAGTTTACGACAAAACTCGAAAGCTGATGAGTAATTCTATTAAAACAATTAATCGCCGAACGCGAGGTGAAAATTGTTGAATAATACCCCTCGGCCTCCTTCTTAAAGATTATTCAATAACCTTCACTTCGCCTTCGGCGAATAGTTTTTTTTTAGTAGAATTGCTCATCAGCTTTCAAACTATAGAAATAGTTATGACAGTAGTAGTGATAATCATAATCTTAATAATCAAAAGCTTTTGTTAAAGCGTAAATAATACTTGTGACGCGCGGCGTGTTTGCATCCAGGACAGTTTAACGCGAAAGGAGCGTTGGAGAAACGTACAAAAATATAACAGAGATCTTTGTGGCAGTTTTGGTGCTTCCTGGGTTTGGTAGGTAGTTTGGGCGCGGGTAACACTTGTTCACGCTTGTCAGAGCAAAATTCCACAATGTGCCATTTATAACCAGAAAAGATGTGTCAACTAACTTCCAAAACACAAAGTTTGTATTTATATACACCTGAATCTCCGAATCGTCCTCATCTTTTACTACTTCCTCTATGCAGGACTGTGAACGGTTTATTGTGAAATGCAAGCGTCCAGGCTGTGGTAAAGAAACAACTCTCGAGGTGCTGTTTAAAAATACTGTAAGTACACACAGATAATCGCTAGTGATAAATTCGCGGGTGTCACCAGGATTTTTCAAAAGGGGGTCACACTGTGTCAAAAAGAGGATGCTAAACAGTTTTGGCCACCCGAATACTGTAGGTTGTTTGCTTAAAAGAAGGGCTTGCAAAGAGGGGGGGAAAGGTGGGGGTTGTCACGGGCACCCCAGGACCTCCCTCTCGCCACGCTCTCGAAATTTATGGAGCTGCAACCAGTACTCTCCCCTCCACTTATCTCTGTTTTCATACATCTGGCACTCATTTAGTGTACTGCATGTTACAACCATTTTTTTGTTCTGACACGATTTGAGTCGTTTCTGTTTACTTACGTCATGCGATGCTCTTTATTTTACAGTCCGACCCATTTGGCCTCAATGATACATGTCCCGGATGTAGAACCGAGTATAGCGCGGGCGCTGTTTCAAACCAACTCACAATTGCCATGCGCAAACATATTAAGGAGTACTATATGGTAAGACGAAGGATTCTTGATTCCAATCTAAAAAAAAGTATTCGAGGGAGATATTCTTTTATTCTCAAGTACTTCAAGGTAAAGAAAATAACTGAACTTGCTTCACTCTTTAAACACAGTTTTAAAATTTTTAATGTCACAGGGATGGCAAAAATGCGACGACCCGTCCTGTGGTTACACCACTCGCCAGGTGCCCCTGACACTTCAGCGGGGCGCCCCCATGTGCACGTCCTGTTTCAGGGCTCATTTACTTCCAGCGGTAAGCGGAGTAACCGATTTTTGTTTTTTAATCAAACAGTTCCTTCTACTTAATCACTGCGTGGTTCATTTATCGAAAGCCATGAATGGTACTTTAAATTTGAAGAAAGGCTTTTACATAATAGCAGACACACTTATTAGCCAGCAATTATATGCAGAACTGATGTTCAGATCTTGTTGGTCAATAAGTCATCTTTATCTTTTTTGTTTATATCCTGTTTAACAGTATTCAGACACGGCGCTGTACACACAGCTCTTGTATTACTCGCGCTTGTTCGACTATGAGTACGCTCTCAAGAATTCCAAGGAAGAAATAAAGAAACGTAAGTTAAAAAACTAAACTCATTAAGTGGCTCGCCTTGAACAGAATTCGAAGGAGATCGTTTATGAACGCTTATGGCCTTTGAGTGTGGATATATGAAAACCTTTCGCTCATTCACTCTGACGAAGGGCTAACGCTCGAAACGTCAGCTTTGAATCTCTTTGCGGTGGCTGATTTACGTTATCAACCCAGTTGATAATACTGCATTACCCTGTTATATTCTCCCACCGACGCAGCACCACAGTTTCTTTAGAAACTTACCCTTTTCATTCATATGAAAATCATATATGTGAATTGCGAGTTAAGAAATATTAAAGCGATCTTCATAGTAATGAACACTACTGAAGCAGTAGTGAAAATAAGGTTTAAGGATTTGAATCCATGACCTCTGTGATACCGGTGCAGTGCTCTACCAACTGAGCTAACAAGCCAGTTGAGAGCTGGTCATTATGTTGATTTGTAATAAACCCTTGAATCGATGACGAATGAACTACGAATCAATCATTGCTGCGAATATGGCTTTTATATAAATTTCTTAATCCGCGGTTCACATATATGATGTTCATGTAAGTACAGTCATTGAGTAATCACTTCACGGGTTTATTACGAACCAACATAAATGACCAGCTCTCAGTTGGCTTGTTAGCTCAGTTGGTAGAGTACTGCACAGGTATCGCAGAAGTCATGAGTTCAAATCCCGTACAGGCCTGATTTTTTGTCAGGCAATATTTTCACTACTGCTTAAGTAGTGTTCATTACTGCGAACATCGCTTTCATATTCAGTGCTTATGATCTTCCGACTACCTTTCTGGTCATGGAAGCCTGGGCACGGGTTTAGGACGCCTTATGCTCTATTTTAATGGTGAAGATGGTGAATGTCCAAGTGTTTTTTATCTATTTGGCTCATCAAAACTTCCCCCAGTTAAATCAAATAATCTACTGCATATTTGCTGTACAACAAAATAAGACAGTGACACGAGCAAAGCTCTGCGTGTGTTATCCATTTGCGTTATACCTGAGTGTTTCCTTTGCATTGCGTGACTTGTCGCATTTGTGACATGTCACGTTTATTTCGATAAACAACTTCGCGTTTTTGGTTTGGTTGCACTAGCAAAGTGATAGTCGTTTTTTTGTGTTTACAAGGAAGGAAGCGATACTTGTGAGGTTCAATTTTAAAGAAGTTTTATTTTAAGAACTAAAACCTTTCTTTTGTTCTACTTTCAGTACCACTCGACAAGCGCACTGCTACGCCATTTTACACCGCTGTTCACTCAACAGTTTCCAGAGTTCTGAACGCCAACGGTTATTCTGAAGTGAACCTTTCCAAACTGTTTAGTGCTTTCTTCGCAGTGGATAAATAGATAATTCTGTAAAGCTGGAAAATAATTATTTCATTCAGAGCAGCTTTCAAATGGCGTGAAGTCGTTTTGGATTTTCCTGCGAATTTGCCGAGTTGTATTATTGGTTGAAAGAAAACAACGCGCGCATCGTGTTGTAGCCAATCGGGTTCAAGATGTGTAACTAATCAGTTGCAATCAAGACAGCACACGCGAAATTTCCCGCGCTTTCCCATCGCAAGTGGGTGATATGTTTTGTTGCCTTTATCACAATTAACCCATAAATACGAGACGACGCAATTGTCTTAATAAGTTTTGTAGTTATGTAGTGTATTTTTCTTCTCGAGGTAAATCGTTTGAATAAGTTTCTACCATCCAAAAAATCCTATGCATTGAAAATCTCACCAACTTATTGTCTTTTTTGACGTACAATTCTAGAATTTTCTTCATAAAATGCTGGCCATGTTATCTCAGTTTACGCTGGTGATCGAATGTGAAAAATACTGAGTTGTTTTACCATAAACATTTACGATATTGTAACTTCATATTGAAAGGTGAAATAAATGAAATGTTCCTTAGTGATATACTTTGAGTTCGAGTCTATAATTGTCCTTGAAATTACCAATAGTACAAGTAAACACTTCCACTGAAAATTGGTAACAGTGAGAGCCCCATATATTACTGAATATAGGTACCCAACAAGCGTTCCCTAATTACTTCAACAGTATATTTCATATATTTATCATATATTTTACTCGATAAGCTGGAAACCACTCCGCTTCGCGTCGTGGTTTCCTACGCTTATCTCGTGTTCTCCCAACCTCCCGCGTGTTTACATCAGGCTATGTAAACACGGAAACCATTTTACATTTCTTCATTCTCAAACAAAGTTCTCGAGGTAAGTTCCTCGTCTTCATTTCTAGAATGTGTTTCTGAATCATATTCCTGAACTGTTGCTTTAAAATCCGTCTCAGAATGAAGTTTGGGAATCACTGACGTTTACCAAACCAAATTTACAGTAACGGCTTACAGTAGCTTTTCCTAAGTACGTTAATAAAAAAAAAATTGCGCTCTTCTCATCTATCATACATACATTCTCAAAATGCACATTTGATTGGTTCTTCTCAAATGACCTTCCCTTCTTTGCCGTTTCCAATCCAGTTCTGAAAAGACGTTCGTTTAAGGACTTTTACAAAATGCGTTTCAAGAAATGCGTTCCCAGAGTTACGTCACAGAGGACGGATAGCTATCGGTCGCTCGCGGTAACTTGAACATGGGCGAGATCGGAGACATTCGTTAGTCGTCGTTGTTCACTTACGGACAAAGTTACGTCATGTTCGTGCATTCGGCGGGTTAGGACCGATGCGTGATCATTATACGGGTTATTCATTAAAACCTATCCGCCATATTTTAATAATTAATTTGTATCACGCGAGGTAGCATCGGAGGCCAGGGCTTTCAACCACCGATTCAGCAGTCTGAAAAATGTCAGGTATTTTCGATGGTGATTCCGAAGATTTAGACTGGAGTGGTGATTTAGGGGTAAGCTGTAACTTATCGCGGGATTTCTCTAATACTTGCTAATCACACAGTGAAGTGAAACGGTACTGCCCTCCATTTTGAAAGGTACCTTGTGCTTTGCCGGAAAAGAAACTCGAGTAAACGAACGTTTGATTATCAATAGAAAGATAAAAAGCGCTTTGATAGCAACGATATCAGCTTCCAGTGATTTTCATGCTTTCTCATCGTGCCGAATTGTTCGTTTACAAACGACAGGAGTACGATGGGGAAAGAAACGACCTTGGTGAGAGACATGGCGAAGGAAAAGCTGTCCTACCCAATGGTGATGTTTACGAAGGGACTTATTTTCATGGAAAGAGGCACGGGAAGGTATGGGTTTTGAAGAAGCCTTATTCCTATTTGTTATACGTGAGAGAAAAGAAATTTAAGATCGTTAGAAAGGGGACCGAATTTCCGTCAATTTTACGCCTCGGGATGTTTCGCCCTAATTTTGTAGGAGTTTATTTAACCACATGCAATATTAAAGTAGCTTACATTCATGCACTTTTTACACTATTTTTAAGTTGGAGAAATACTTTGGAAACGTTTCCAAAGCGTCTTGATTTTTTCTTTTTCGGAAGGGTGTATACATTTTTCGAAATGGAGCGAAGTACACAGGATATTATGATCAGGGCCTGAAGAACGGCGATGGCTTGCTTGAGTATCCTGATGGCTCTAAATATGAAGGTAAGATTGCCTTTATAAAATTGGATTGGTACAAATCCTTTTTGCAAGCTAAAGTTAGAAAAGTTTTAAGTTTCTCTCTTTGACAAGGATAAAATAAACCCAATTCACAATCTCAAAAAAATTGAAAACTTCTTAACTGATGGTTCTTTTCCAAAGCATTAAATGTTCAGAATGTATTGGATATAAAATAGATCAATTAATTTTCTAAATCATTTTATGTTTCATTGTACCAGGTCATTAAGGGCCGGTTATTTATACTAAGTTTAGCTGTTTTTTTTTTCTAGCAAAACCGCATTCAAAACTTACTTGTCTCAAGCTAAATATTTCATCTGAACATTTAATTTTGTGAACAGTGTCAAGAGGGCCGAAAGGTGGCAAAGGAAGGAAATTTATTTGATGAAAACAACCCTCTTCATTTTTTTCTCTCAATATCAAAAATTAACCTCCCCTCACTGTCTGCCATATATTTCCTATAATTTAAGTTGTGAGAATTGAATGTTCAACCAAACAGTATCTGGCAGTTGATATTTTCCTTCTCCATTCAAAAACATTAATATATATATTCTCCACACTGCTCTCTTTACATTTCCTATACAACTGACAGAGAATTTGTTTGACAATCAGGAGCCTCTTACATTGATGATCATTTCCTATTTTCTCATGACCTTTAAGTTTGATTCAAGGGTGATTCTGTAAGGAGAAATTACAAGTCAGTCACTCTCAAGGTTAAAAAGTTTAATAAATGTCAAAATTGAGGGGAGAAATTAATTAATTGTCACTTCAGGAAGAGGAAGGGTTAAGTGAAGCTTGTTTTAATCTTTTAACTCCTAGAAGTGATTAAATTGTAACTTCTCCTTACAACATCCATACAGTATCTAGTAAACTGGTACTGATAGTATTTAAACTGATAAAAGTTGATATCTTGATCTAAAACCAAATTCTCACAACAAATTTACAAAGAATTGTGTAGCTGGAGGGGAGAATTAACAATCAGATCTTGGGAGTTAAAAGGTTAAAGTTAAGAAATTTTACCTAGGAAAATGGAAAAAGAATGAGCGCAATGGACAAGGAGTTTACCACTATGCTAATGGGGATATTTATGATGGAGAATGGCAAAACAACTGGAGGGAAGGAAAAGGAGTGTATACTTGTGCAGCGACTCAACTCAAAGTAAGTTATTACACATAAAGTTGACAGTTTTACAACCAAAGAATGGGTGGGGCTCATAGAAGTTAACCCTTTTACACCTTGATATCAGTATGTCAGTTCTCCCTGCTGTTCTCTTTACATTTCTTGTGGTAGTTACATGGAGAATTTTTATATTGATCAAGGGCTCCTTGAGTAGGCAATTAATTCATTTGTTCTTGTGACCTTAAAATTTGATTTGGGGTTCATACTCTTGGGAGAAATTAGATGCTCATCACTCTTAAGGATGAAATGGTTAAAGAGGCAGGTTGCAGTGAAAGAGTTGAAAAGAAAAGAAAAACCATTTACTATGTGGGCTTGTTCACTAAACCAATCTCAAATAGTTTTACTTTATTTCCTTGCATAAACACTCGTGTGCCTTATTTCACATTTCAGCTTAAAGTTAGCATAGCTATAGAAAAAAAAATGAAAAGAACTGATAACACAAAAAGGAACTCTAAAAGAATGTGGAGATAGAAATTACTGGAACAGAAAAAAATTACTGGAACAGAAAAGAAACTTATTCTCTTGTGCTGATTCTGCTGTAGTTGAAGCTTAAAAAGTTATAGAAAAATCGGCAATAGAAACGGGTTTTCTTTTTATTTCCGCTATTATAGAAAGTGAAGGAGGAGGGAGGCAGTTATTTGAGGGGGGTGCTTACAAGTTTGAAATTATTGCTTAGGGGGTAGGTGCTTATTCAGGTGCTTATAAGATTATGACTACTTATTCAAGGAAATACAGTAAGGTGATACAAATTATGCTGAAATTATGCTTGGGAGCTCAATAAAAGGGTACTCTGATCCTGTTTACAGTCCTTATTTGGGACTATGATGTAAAGCTGTACTTATTGAGGTTGGTGTGGGAAGCATAGGAACCTGTTTGCAGGTTTGAATATGGATCTCTGTCATTTTAAATGTCCAGAAAACTAAAGTAAAATAGATCAACATAACCAGATAAATGTGTGGTAATGAAATGATGCAGTGTCACTCTAGAAGATACATCTTTAGTCTTCTTGACATCATGAAAAAAGTCTTAGTTTATAACCATAATATTTACTAGGAAACTTAATTTTCATGAGGTTTTTTTTTAAGGCATGTAATTTTGTTTGAACATTTGTAACACCCATAATAAAACAGGAATTTCCAAAATGTGCTCTGGAGACAAAAATGTTCACCTTTGATTATTGTTGTAATTATTATAGAAAAAAAAAAATTTGAGAAGAAGTCATATTGTCTTTATTTTTCAAGTATGATGGACACTGGGTAAATGGAAAACTGCATGGACCAGTCAATATGATTCTTGCCAATCATGTCTACCTTGGACATTTTGTGGAAAATAGGGTTAGTTATCTTTTAAAACACAGCATCTTAAGCGTCAATTAATTCAGGCACTTAAACTTTTGAAAGTTGGTTTGCTCAAATACCTGCCCCCTCCCCCCCATTGACATTTTGAGTTCAAGTTCCCCACCCCACCCCACCTAGGCAAGGTTTAAATTCCCCACTCCCTGCACACTGATAACAGTTAAATGCCCATCTGTTGCCTGGGAGGGGTGGGATATTGTAGCTTTGAATTGACTGGAGCATTACAATAATATCTGACACACAATTTTACAAGAGCATAAGTTGTAATTGGTTCTAGTTCTCTATGTGATTGATTGTAAGGGTGATGTACAATTTCTACACCAATTATACAGAAGGAGGGAAAGCAGCAGCCAGTCAAATTACAGATTACGTTTGACCCTCACCTTTAACTGATCTGGCACCAGTTGTTTGCAGGGTGGATAATGCTATCCACTGGATAAGTCTCCATCTAGGGGACTAACTCTTTAACTCCCAGGATCAAATTGTTAATTCTCCCCTCAAGCTGCTACACATTTCCTTATAAATTAGTAATGAGAATTTGGTGTTAGATCAAGATAACAACTTCTAACTGATAAGTTTGAATATTCACATTACCTATTTGCTGGATAATGTAAGAATATTATAGGGAGAAGTTTCATGTTGATCACTTCTAGGAGTTAAAAGGGTTAATAGTACTGGATAGCAATTTATTTGTTGGATAGTGTTATGCATCCTTTGAACAACTGAGCCCTCACGTTGTAAAAATGAGTTGTAATTCTTTATTGGTAGCCCTGTGGACCTGGTCGATATGTCTTCGACTTTGGTGTGGAGCAACATGGGAAGTACATCTTCCCTAAGGTAATAAACATATGTTTGATGGTATTTCATTGTTCAGATATAATAAATATTCTTCTGTCAGCAGTTACACATTCCTCAATGAAATCCTTGTTAAGTGTTTACCAAAATGTATTTCTACTCCTGGGTAGAGAGTAGCACTGTGAGAGTGAAGTGTCTTACTCAAGAACGTAACACAATGTCCTGCTCCCATCAATGTATGGACAAAGGCTCAATTCCCCATGGGAACTCTGAAGAAATTTTCCAGGATCTTTCTTATTCTGGTCACACTCAATGCCTCCAACACTGAACGCAAAATGCGGGTCTCGTGTAGACCTTGTCATTGCCTAGCTCAATGCAGAGTCTCAGTAGCTTAGTGATGGAGCATGGGAGTGCAGAATAGTCCATTTTACAGTTGTGTGCTTGGTTGAATTTAAAGGCTCTGACCAGTTTGCTTTTCAAATGCAAATTCCTTTGTTATCATGCTAACTAGATACTGGTCAAGGACAAGATTCACAAGGACAAGATTAAAAGACATCTTTCTCACATATTTATTTTGTCTTGTTTCAGAAGGTAAACCCTCATGGGGAGATGCATGTAGACCCTCATGGGGAGATGCCAGACAGAGAGCATCCAGTTTGGCGATGTGCGCCAGACCTTCATCCTCTTGGTTCCTAACTGAATTGAAAAAAAATCTGGTCCAAGACTCAACTACTCCTTGTTGTATGCATATTTTAAGGCAAAAGCTTTCACTCAGTGACTGATTTGACAAGTTATTAATAACATGAAAAATAGTTTTTAGCATGCAAGCTTTTTAGTACTTCATCAAGCTGAGAGTTTTAAAAAAATTGTTTGTTTTAATTTGTAGTCTTCTGTGAAAGATTAGGAGGGGAAAAATTAAAAAGATCTTTTTGCGACATGATTTTGAATTTAGTTGACTGCATGTGTAGAAAGTCTCTTTTCCTTGAGGAGACAGATAAGGTTGAGGGAGGGGGGGAGACAGAATATTCTCCTTACATATAGCAGAAGCTACAAAAAAACCATACACAAGAATTAGTTTTATACTTAAGAGTATAAAATATTTAATAGTAAAAGATATTTATACCTATTCAGCTATGGAAGAAATAGGGAAAAATTTTTGTTTGAATTGTGCAGAAAGAAAGCAGGCATTGTCCAAAATTCTGAACTCCCCTCTTCATCTTGCTGTGACATTAAGAATTTTTATGGCAAACTTATGGGAAAAAATACCATTTGTGCAACATAAAATTATAAACAATTCAAATGATTAGTTCAATAGATTTTTAAAGATTGTATATTTTGAGCTTGGTTGTCTTGTACAAATGTCATTTAAAGCTAAATTTTATGTTGCACACTAACAGTGGTAAACCTGTTTATAAAAATGGACACCAATTTCCTAGTGCTATAAAGCAAGAAATAAATAATGCAGAACTTGTCTCTCTGTTAATGTCATCTTTCCAACTTAATGGATCTGTTATTCTTACATAAAACTTTTCTAAAATTGAAGAGGAGCCTTGTAAAAGAGCATTATATATTGTCTCTATTTTGACATTAAAAAAAATATGTTCTATTTCTTGTGACCTTTACCAAAAAATCTTTTCTTAGCGAATCTTATAATAAAAAATACCCAAACCCAGCTAATTAAATACATTCCTATTCCTCCCAGCTTGACAAAAAGTTTTGGTTTTGTAGATGACACAGTACGATAGCAGAGTAATGTCCCTGGACCAAAACGCCAACAAATGAACATCATCATGAAGATAAAATCATTCACTTTTGCCAGTAATGTTTGATAACGACCAGTTTCTCGCATAAACCACCTCATCTGTAAGAATGGATTTGAAATTTCTGTTCCGAGTATTGTAGCAGCAAGTTCTGGACCAGAATAACCATCAAACAGGACAAAAACTATTCCGCAGGTAGAGATGATGTGATGTAAAAGCATATCAATCCCTTCAGTGCCCATGTAAAAACACCACAAAAAATCAAACATGAAGTAACCCAGAGTGAAGGTGGCAATGAATGTATGTAATGGGGTGTTTGCATCACCCATGGCAACCAAGGGCCATGGACCAGTGATGAACGCACTCCAGAATGACAACAGTGATGTTAAAGCTCCATGACACACTGTAACAAGTCGACAGTTCCATTCATGGCTTCGATGAGGATTGATGATGCACAAGAAGAAATATAAACTGGTCCAGATAAAGAACATTGACATCAGAGGTATTGCAAGGGGGATGAAGCTCATGGTTGTACCTGATCCAAGATGAAGACTACAACATGGATTAGCAAACAAAAAGATATTTTACTTAAAAAGAAAAATTAAGAGATACAAATTCCTTCTTCAATGACAGAAGTGCCTCAGAGGTGGCTCACACTTCTTGTCGGTAATTGCTGTATTCAAGCTTGCAATTTGCCCCTCACGACTCTACCACTTTCCAAGAACAAATCCCCACGAGAAAAGCTACGTTTTATCTTAATTACACGACGGCTCATTGATGCAACGCACCCTGAAAGGTAAGCAAGCTCATCCCAATAGTAACTCTGATAGGTAAGGGATAATTATGTGTGTGACACAAGTTAATGATCAAATTTGTCAAAATCAAATAGATCCGCAATGAACTTGTAATAGTGCAGTGATTGCAGTTGTAACGTAACACGGCTCACGCAATACACCTGGCAGCTTATCGTTGAGGAAAAAAAATGATCTTTTGACAAAAAATCGGGAGAAAAGTTTGCTTTTCAATCCAAATGAGCGACTTGAAGAGGAGCGACCATTTTCATGTAAATTTCAAAACAAACATCACCAGAAAAATTCTTTCGACGCCGTTCAGTTACGGTACATGATCGCAGGTTGAAACTTACCTCACCTTTATAATAGGTTGAAGAGCAAACCAATATTTGATTTTCCGTTTTTTATCTCTGCTCAAGCGAGCCTTGTATCTAAAAGTATGCCACGTTCTCTTAGATTCCGTGCCTAAAGCATTTTTCTGACCGCAAGTTACATCACTTACCCAAATACCACGATATGTTTGAGAAATATTTCCTTATTGGTTAGCGCTTTTTCCACGGAAAAATATCTTCCAACACAGGACAAAGATATCAGTTATTTGTGTGAAAGATATCAGGCATAAACAAATTACTTGTTCATAACTCAGCTGTCACTTTCCCCTCCCATGTTCGACTTCGATACCGGAGCGAAGAACGTTTGGTCACGTGACAGACAGGAACCGGCGCCTAAATCTCAATGTGCGGCAGGTTATTTACTCACTTGATAGGCCTTACTCTACCTCACGCAGAGAGTTTTTGAAAGGGGATTATGCAAAAGCTATGGATAAAGTACTTCTGAAAGCGAGAGTAGCGTGCGAAGCGGAACATACATGAACGCAGTCGCACGAGACGAAAGGGAGCAAACAAATTCAGAGCAAGGGTGGGGTGGGGAAAGAAACGAAATTGCCTGTCTGCTGACAAAAGGTATTTAACCTAGTGGCAATCGCGTTTGGTAAAATTTTCCCCTCGACTGTGGATTTTCCATTCCTTTCTAAAACCTTTTTTTTTCTTTCTTTCTTTTTAGCTCCCTATCGCCCTATGTCCTCTATGAACAGCAGCTTTCTCCCCGCCTCTCTCGCTAAGCTAAAAAGGGGACGGGCAAAAACTGCTCCACAGCAGAAGTAATGGGGTGTTTTCCACTGTCTTTAAAAGAGTGACAATTAGTTCCGTGTTTATCGTGATTAGGTTATTTTGATATAAAAATGTCCTTAGGAGGGCCTAACTGTTTCCATTTTGACCCCAAGAGCCTATTTCCACTCCAAAACCGTTAGCGCTCGACCATTTCTTTCCAAAACTTACAGGTTCAACTCTATGAGGTTCTCGATGGGAGGCCTTCTTAGGTAGAATTTTGTCTGAGAGACGAAAGTGGAATGTGCAATTTACAAAAGCTTCTGTACGAGAAAGTGGTTTTCGTTTAATTTTATTTTAGGGGTGACCGTCGTGAGAATGAACACCCCATGATGGTACAAATTCAGTCATTCCTAGAAGCTGCAGACCATTATGGTCATGGTCTTGAGTTTTTCCCGCCATTGACTGTCTTCTAAGGTGTAGAATAAAAGAAACTGCTCTGGAAAGATAGTCAAAGCCTTCATTGTGTCTGTGCGCATTTGGCAATATGCGATGAACTTTATGGCGAATCGCTGCTTCTTATTGAGTTGTCTGAAACCATAGATTTTGATAATGACTGTCTCTCTGTCTTTGTTTGATTTTTATTTTGGTCTAATTCGCAGCTGGTTCTTCTTTATCTCCTTCTCCCGGTGGTGCTATCTCTTCTTCTTTTACAGGAGCCGGCCCATCTCCATCCCCTGAGGCAGTTTTCTCTTCTCCCTCTTTAGTAGCCCCACCATTTCCTTCTTCTGATAGAGTGCTCCCCCCATCTGCTTCAAACAGAATCTCATCATTTCCCTCCACTGACGCCCCTTTATTTCCTTCTTCAGATGAGGCTCCTCCAACCTCTCCTTCTTCTACTGGAATTTGATCATCTCCTTTATTTGCACTCTCCTGTTTGCTGCTGCCTTCTTCTTGTATCAACACTTGTTCTTCATTGGTATCAGCCAAAGTAGATTCCCCTGCATCCTCACTAGCTGCCACAGTTTCTTCTACCTTGGCATCACCAGCTGCCTCCACTTTCTCTTCATGTGCACCACTTCCAGCCTCAGCCACCTCTTCTGTAGCATCAGTATTTCCTTCAATAGCCCCCTCTTTAGCATTAACATCAGCCTCAGCTTCCTGCTCTTGACCATCACTGCTTGCCTCAGCAATATCCTCCTTGACATTATCCCCTGCCTCTGCAACCTCTTCCTTAGAATTGTTCCCTGCTTCAGTTACCTCCTCCCTAGCCACACTGCCTGCTTCAGCATCCTCTACCTTTGCAGGAGTGTCTCCATCAGCCATCTCCTCCTTGGCATTATCCCCTGCCTCAACAACCTCTTCCTTAGAATTGTTCCCTGCCTCAGTTACCTCCTCCCTAACCACAATGCCTGCTTCAGCATCCTCTGCCTTAGCAGGACTGTCTCCATCAGCCATCTCCTCCTTAACATCACAGTTTGCCTCAGCTACCTCCACATTGGCATGGCCATCTGCCTCAGTTGCCTCTGCTGCCCCTTCCTTAGCATCATTAGCTCCCTCAACTATATCTTCACCAACAGCACTACCTCCTTCTACTTCCTCCTGCTCACAATTAATACCTGGCTCAGCTACTTCCTCCTTAGCATCCCCAGCTACCTTAATTACCTCCTCCTTAGCACCACTTCCTCCCTCAGCCAGCTCCTTCTTAGCATCACCACTTTCCTCAGAAACATACTCATTTGCAGCACTGCCTGCTTCAGCTATCTGCTCCATTGCATCACTATCTCCCTCAGCCACCTCCTTTGAATCACTACCTTCTTCAGCTACCTCCTCCTTAGCATCAGCTTCTTCCTGCTTGGCATCACAGCATTTTTCAGCTACCCCTTCCTCCACATCACCACCCTCCTCAGTCATCCCCTCTTTGTCACCACAGCCTGCCTCAGCTACCTCCTCTTTAGCAACAAAGCCAGCATCCTCATTCTGCCTGTTGTTGTCTTCCTTGGATCCCTCTACCTCTTCAGTGGCTGTGCCATAATCCTGAGTAGGTTCCACCAGGATGGTATTTTGTTCCATGGCATCTCCTTCTAGCACAACTTCTCCTTGGGTTTCTCCCTCTTGAGATGCATTCCCATCCTCTTCAGCTAGTTTCTGGGCAGCAGAGCCCTCTTGCATTACCACTTCTTGGACAGCAACATCATTTTTGGATACCTCTGCCAGAAAAGCACCCTCTTCTTGAGCTATTTCTACTTGTGTGGAACTAATTTGCAAATAAGTTGCACCATGGAAAGAGCTCTTGTCCTGACCAGCTCCTTCCTCCTCCTCTGCCTCATTTTCCTCCTTGCTACCCTCTGTTTCAGCTTTGCCAAAGTCCATCTCCTCTATTACAATCACTGGAGGTTGCTCAGATTCCCTTAAAGATGTAACCTCATTTGAGCCTTCCAAAATTGCCTTATCATTGGCCCTTTCCATGAGCACTTCTGAAACACAGGACTATGATTAGAAAAACTGCATACTGATTAGTTTCTTCTGTTGTTTGTTAACAAGTTACAGTCCAGCCTGTAATACTTCTTCAACTAGGGTCACCAACTTCAATCATTCAGTTTGCCATTTTCCTCCCTGTCAGTACACCAGCATGTTAATTAATTCACAAGCTTTCAGATCCCTAAGGATTGGCTATGGAATAACTGCTAGCCCAAGTTGAAAAATTTGACTGTAATCAAGAGATGGTTAATATTTCTTCAGGAGACACAAGTTTGAAGCACATAATTTTTTTTAGCACTTTTTAATCTCTGGAAAAATTTTCATGTCATTTTTCACCATATCTGTACAAAATTAATCACACCATGCACTCAAATAATTATAATTAGGAAATAAATTAAGTTAAGTGATACAGTCTAATGAGAACATCCTGAAAAAGTATATATTTGGCCAAAGTTGATAAACAAAATTAAATAATACTGCTTGAAATTAACATAAAGCAACTGGAATTGTAGAAAACATCTACCTCAACCCTTACACTCCCAGGAGTGACCAGACAGGAATTTCCCCTCACAAAATACAAAATACATTTAAATTTGGGAGGTGATGAGAGGACAGGAAAATGCAACATTTGGAGATCTAAAATGAAGAGAATTGACATTATATCTTCAAAGTGAAAGGGTTTAAGACCAAACCAAACTAGTTGTCTAACATCTCCCTTTGACATTATGATGGTTTCTTTTAGTGACAAGGGTTACACTTCAAATTTCTTTATATTCCCTGGAGTTTCTTTGACAGGGTCAATATTTTGATTTCCTATTTTCTTAAAATGCAATGTTTCCACAAATGTGAGAGAAATGACAAAATAAGAGTTTGGCAAGATAGAAAACAAGAAAATCGAGAGTTTGTTAATACAAATTGAAGTGATGGAGATGAGTTATATGAATTGCAATTGGGCAACTTTTAGTCTAAAGTTTTTAAGATACACAAGTGGTGATAGACATTGCATCTATTATTAAATCACTCTGTCTTAACTGATCAGTAGAACCAATGACAATAAATGTGAACAAAAAAACTTTATCAAAGAGACCATCATGAGGAAATTCAGCATTACAGTCTACAGATCATCTGTAAAACTTTCATCTGAATCCCTTGATAAAAAAAAAGATTATTTCCTTCACCAAAATCTTTATATTTAAATGCAATTAACCTATTTGATCACAAAGCTTTTAAACTACCTTAACTAATTGGCTCTTTTTTTAAAAGCAGTTATTATTATTTTTCCTTTTGATAAACATGCACTGATTGTTATCAGACTAAGTATCGTAAGTTACATAAATTCTGAAGGGATGCTTTATCATAACATAATCTTCATCACCTTCCTGTAAGTAAAATTTCTCCTTGTTTATTGATAAATGCATTTAAAACATGTGTTTTGTTTGTATTTCTTTTTCCAAGGGTTGGGAAAAAACCTCAAGGAGATCACATGCACTATTACACAGATAAAATATTAAGTGTCACACAAAAAGTATTCAATAATAAACTTACAGCAACTTAGCACGTAAGCAGTTTTGTCCAATTTACACCCACAAACCAAACCTCTCAATTACTGATTTGGAGTTAATGGCCCCATATTGATCTTGTGAAAGCATTGTTCGATGAATTTCATGAAAACTGATCAATTATTCACATGAGGATCACTCTGACAGTTAATTAGTAAAAGATTCTATGTTAAGAATCCATTCTGTGATTTACACCAAATACATATTTAAAGACACTGACATGAATGGTTTATAATTATATGTTATTGAGCGTAGAGAAAAAAAAATCCATGTTATTCACCAAAAAAGAATATAAATTATTGAGATCATACAATCATTAAACTGAAACAACATTACATTATCAACAATGAGGTTGTTTGTATAAATCTAAGACTCTGATTGATAAGGTAACAGCCTAAATGATTGTTTACCCACACAAGAGTTGATTATAACCACCTAGACTAGCACTGGACAATATTTGTTTTTTTTTTAATGCCTTCCATCAGTTGTCTATAACTAACTCCCAAAATAACAAGCATATACACTGTACCTGTACATTAGTAAACTTACAAAATTAAGTTACTATGCACAAACCAAACATTGAATAAATATTATGTACAACAATACACTTTGTGCTTCATTTGTTATAATCATCTTTAAGTTAGTATTCAATGCTTAGTAATCTAGTTTAAAGAAAAGCATTGAAAAACTTTCATCTTGCTTTTGAACTAGATTGGAATTTACACATAAGGAAAGCTGCTCACATTTTAAAAGTAACTATAGATTAAGTTTAATCTTTTTAAAAGCAGAATATGTTATTTAGATATGAGTATATCTACAACAGAATTCATTTTAACCTAATCTTCTGAAGGCTTTGACTCATCAGCCTCCTCAGTAACTGATGGTTCAGCTTCCTCAGCAACTGATGGTTCAGCATCACCATCACCTTTATCTTCCTCCCCTGCTGGAGCTTCCTGTTTTTCATCTACTTCCCCTTTCTCCTCTGATGCTACCTCTTCATCACCATGCGGTAAAGACTCCGAGCTTTTCAGTGCCTTTACCTGCTCCCTTGCCTTATGACCCCTGAAACTTGCCTGAATCTTAACTACAGCACCTTGCAGATCTGGATCATTCATATCGATATCTATCTGTTCCTCCTCACCTTCTACCTTTCCCTCATCTGCTGCACTAGCTTGCTCATCAGTAATTACCTCTCCCTCTTTCTCAACCTTATCTTCTTCTTTATCGGCATCCTCGACAACTTCATCAGCATCTTTGCCAATGGCTTCATCAACAGCTGCTTCTTCTGTTACAGCCTCTTCAGCTGGAACGACTTCTGTCTTCTCCTTGTCAACTGCCTCTCCTCCTTCAGCACCATCAGGTTGTCCTTCCTGCTCCACAGGCTCCTGCACATCAGCTTCAGCATCTTCAGTTTTTGCAGCTGCCAAGTCATCAGGTTGTGTATCTGTGGCTTGCTCGTCAGTGGGTTGGTCCTCTGTAGCTTGCCCCTCAGTATCTTGCTCATCAATAGCATCTTCCTGCTTCACTGGTTTTTCAGCAGCTTCTGCCTCTCCTGCCTGGACAACCTCATTATCAGGTACCTCTACAGAGACAACTTCTTCTGGGGCGTCTTCAGCAGCATCTACACTCACTGATACTTGCACATTGCTTTTTGAAGCCTTTATCTCATTTATCTGCTCACGTGCTTTGTGCCCGCGGAAACTTGCCTGAATTTTGACAGCTGCAGCTTCCTCATCTCTGTGCTTCTTCACGTCCTCCCGAGCTTTGTGTCCTCGGAAGCTTGCTTGAATTTTAGTCGCAGCTTTCTGCACATCAGGGTCATTCATATCAATGTCAACTTCCTCTCCTCTCTGCAGCTTTTCCATTTGATCACCCTTCTTTGCATTGTCTTTGCCAGTCTCTGGAAGTTTGTAAATCACACAAAAGAATGAGACATAAATACATTTCCAGAATAGAAACTCTATTTTAAGGACATAATGAATTTTGTTTGGAGCGATTTGAAGGCGAAATAGTTCTCAAAGTTGTGTTCGAGTGATCTTCTTCAATTTTATTACTGTGATACCAAAATTGTAAAACTACACAAGAAAAATCTTAAAAATTACATTCCTTTCACAAGCTAAATTATTAATGCTTCCTTCCATAAAATGGAAAGTATATTAAAATTTATGGCAGTGAGTTTGTATCAGAATATAGTTTCCCCACAATTTCAATATTCAATATTATTCCACTTAGAAGTATATATTTAATTTTTTAAAGCTTTCAATAAAGATTTACTGCTTTGCAAATAGGTGGAAGGCAAGGAAAAGAAAAGGCCCTTAACATTAACGGGCGGAAGTTCTGCAAAATTTCCTTCAGAAGGAGGGAAATTAAAAACTAGGAAGAGCGATTAATAAACGAGTATTATCCTGTGTAATATTCCAAGTCAGGATGCAAATGGTTAGAACGGATCCGGCCGAAAAAAAAAAACGGAGCACTGAACATTCAATTTAGCTTGCATTTTCAGCTAGCGTCCGGATTGTTTACACAGTCATCTAAATACTGTAGCCACCAAAAGCGAAAGCGTACCTTCACGGATTAGAAGCTGGTTTTTGAAATACTGTGCGGCAAAATTGATGATGTCCTCTGGTTGCTCTCGCAAAACTTCCCTCGCCAAACCCTCCAATAAATTTTGAAAGCCTGGTGGAACACGCAGCTTCATAGGAGCGTATTGCACCGCCATGTTAATTGTTCAAATCCTTCGTAGAAACAGATGGAAACGAGGAAAGATCGATCAAATACAGTGCAATCTAATTGCACTAATGCGCTACATTAGAATTATGGCTAAGTCTCTATGACGACAGCAAATAATTATAATGTATTCGTTAATTGCGGCAAAGGGTCTGGAGGCTAGTTTGTTATTTAGTTCCCAGGGTTCAGCAACTTTGACTAAGTCAACTTTAGAATCGAAACATGGGAATATACTTTTCTGTTTTGGTGTGCTTGTGCATTAAACAAATCTCTGCAGGAATTGCTGAAAGTATCAAAAAGGGAAAAAATTTATATCCCAGTTAGCAATAGTTCTACAGTTTCAGTGCTAAGTACAAGAAAAAGATATTGATTTTGTTTTTTTGCCAGCGAAAGCACTAAGGAACATAGCAGAACACAAACTGAACAAACAACTCTCTCTTTTACGAATAATTATACATCTTTTTACCTTCAGAATATTCCAGTGCTCACTTTCAAATAAAGTAAATATTGGAGGAAATCAATTGCACTGGATTCCTTCCTTCCTTTGATCCATAATTATAATTTGCAGCTAACTGCATTGTTTACAATTTTTAAATCAATTGGGCCGAAAATTTATTTCCAAGGACATTTATCAGTGAAATGGCACATGCGGTAAGTTTAAAGATCCCAGACTTTCTCTCCTAGACAACTTCTTCATCGCAAAAATTTTTTAAAACAAGAGAAAGTTGACGCGAAACAGATTGTTTAATGTAATGCATAACTTGGATAACAATGTGTAAACTTATAGAACAACTAAAGTATAAATTCAATGCCACTTTCTTTAATAAAAAATCTTTGGTGTCTTCTGCTCAAAGGAAAAGTCCTGTGAACTGAATAAGATATGTCACCTCCATTTTGAACACTATTTCTGTCAAATTCATAACGGTAATTTACCAATCTTTGCCAAGCCTGGCACAAATATTCACGATTTGTCGATTTTTCTGTGTTCACAAAGATTGATTGCTTGGTGGCGATCAGAACCACATGATACTGCTGCACATACTTTTGTAAAATGTTAACAAGTTTTCGCTGGTTTGATTCTTGATGACCCAGGCTCTCTCCACCAGCACTTCTGTCAAGCCAATAAAATGCACTCAAACTGTCAATCATAAAGACACCCACTTCAGGTTTGGCAGCTAATAGATTTTCATGTGATAAAACAGTCGCCAGTAATTCTATGCTACTGTTGCAACGAACAATAAACAATAGACTAAGACAAGACTTGATGAAAACTTCATAATCACTGTATTTCTCCGGATAAACAAGAGGACTGCCTTCCGTAGTTTCTTTGTGGTGATTCGTTTTATCGTTTCGTAATGACGTCTCAGATTTATCAGCCTCTCTGATCGCCTTTAAAATCCTGTGTTCCAGTATTGTTACCAGTCGTAACAACTGGAAATGGAAATCAGTGTCTACAAACACTACTCCAACGGATCTTCCGTTCAGTTTGAGATCCTTCCATGACTTTGGGAGAATACAGTTTGCAATTAAATGAAGAAGCATCTCTGTTTTGCCACTTCCTTCCATGCCACAAAATTCAACAACGTTTCCTGGTTGAATACCGTCAGGAATATCTGCAAAGAGATCTAAATCCAGTCCATCCAGAGCCTGTTTTCCACCCAACCGCGCAAACAGCTGAAAATTGCAATGCAGAATTATATACCTTTAATTTTCAAGTGTTAACTGAGCTTGCTCCATAATTATCTTAAACTGGATAATTTTTTTGAAAGAATAACACAGATTCTGTTAAATTTTATGACCATTTCACATAGAAATAAATATTCATTCACCATCAACTACCTGAGCTGCCGACTCAGAAGCCATTTTTACCGGGAAATAGTATCAAAGGCTGGGCTCTACCGGAAATGAGATTAGTAAGCGGAAATGATGTTATAAATAGCTAATGCCCAAAAGCCTACTGGGAATTTGTAGTGACATCAAACATGGCGACTGAATCAGTTCTTTGGACTGTGTCGATATTTCTTGGACTTTTATTTGCTGGTAAGGGATTTATTGAGACTTAGAATCTCATCTAATTTTCTTCATCTACATAAATGTGCCTTATGTTTCTAAATAATCATTATTTACCACAAGATGGAAAACATCTCATCGAAAGTTAGGCATAGTTTAAATCTTTTTCCGTTCAGAGTGAGGCAACCCCTCTTTTCCTGAACATGACATAAAGCACACAGTTTGCAAGTTTTTTAATTTTTTCAAGCACTTCTTCTATTCTGGCTTAAATACCGATGTGTGAATCGCACCATCTCGACTTAATTTACATCGATCGAGACATCGACTCAACGCAAGTTCCTTGATATTAAAATAGATTCTCTTCCTTTCACACACATGCACACTGATACTCACCCTTCTACTTTATCTTCTTTTCCAGCAAATGGAGATAAGGTCGCGCAGAAAATTTACCAACAATTATCAGGGGTGAATCCCTGTGTGCTTCTGACAAATGCTACACATCAAATTGGATGCACTTGTAAGTTATTGTCATGACTAAATGTACCTATTGGCTGGGTGAGAGGACAGGATAAAAAGATAGTTGGCATATGAACAGAATTTACCAGCGGGAAAAACATGAGGGTGGATGCTCCTTCTCCACTAGCATCTGTTCCCTTACCTTTTTAGTTATTGTCTCTCCCCAGTTCGAATCAATTTTTTTTTTATATATTAAAATTATAGCAGAGGTTGAATTTTTATCAGATCAGGGCAGATAATTTAATGTTTTGTTGTATTATAGTAGCTATGGCTTTAGAAAGAATTAGGTGGTGAAATACTTCAAAAGACCACAATGAAGAAATGCATTTTTTTTTCAACAGCCAGCATGAGTGGTCATGTTGGAGTCCTTCACTATATTAAAAGTGAAGCTGATGTTGATTGGATAATACAGAATGGAAGCCATGCACCATATGTTCCATTGTTCAGATCTGATCTGTTCACACTGTAAGTATGATTATGGTATAGTTTATTAGAAACTCTATATTTTGGCACAATCTGTAGTTTAATTGAGACTTATTATATTACTGTATTATTGAAGCTTTAATTGACATAAAGGATATTCCTGTAGGAACAAGATCACCAGATGTGTATTTGACCCCCTAAAGTGACAAGCATCTACTTTCTCCTTAAGTATCACCTCTAAATCACACATTAAGGTCATGAGAATGGGGTAAATGATCATCAATTTGATTGTGAAAGAAATTCTCCCTGTCAGCATCTTAGGAAATGTATGGGGAACAGTTTGGAGAATATGCATACAATTGTTAGGGTGTTAAAGGTTAATGGCTGCTATTGTTATGAGACAAATGCACTCAAACTAAGCTGACAGCCATGATACAAGAAACTTATACACAGGGGTGGTTGTGATTAATGGCTGCCAACCGTGACCTGTGAACCTTCTTGTGTCTGTCCTGGTTTACTCAGCTATGGCAGTCAAACCCAGGTGTATAGGTTGGAGGCTGTTCTGTGCCTGGTACACTCCTGCTAGTTGGTCACAATCTAACCTCTCTATCTTTTTGTGAGTCTTGGATATCACTTAGGATTTGTTAACACCCAGTATTTTGTTATCATGTAATGTTTCTTTGCAGTGAAATTGTTGATCGTCTCATACAAAAGGAAAAAATAAACGGTGCTCTTGTCATAGCTGTTCCATCAGGAAAATACAGATATACTCCTAAAGCAGGTATTTGTTTTGAGGGGGCCATGGAGTGTTATCTTACATGTGGGATGTTAAATGGGAGAAGGGGGTACCCTCAGGGGAACCCATGGGGGTTACCCATGAGAGGGGGAAGCCATGAGAGGGGGAACTCATGGAGGGCAATCCATGGGCGGAAAACCCATGGGAGGGACCCATGCAGGAGATATCCATGGGAGGGGGAACCCATAAAAGGGGTCCTAGATAACTTGGAAAGTCCTGGAATTTTATTTTGACATTTTCCAGGACTGGAACGTCCTGGAAAAAGATTTAATCTGCTTGACTCAGGCAATAAAGTTTTCAGAATTTACATCTGAAGAAATGTGTGTAGAATGTAAGTAGAATTGATTTTGAAATCTTGGGAATGAAAGGGTCAAAGGTGTAATTTGGAGTCCTGGAAAAATCATTCTGGGTCTTCTAAAAGTCCTTGAAATTTGTTTCTGAAAAAGGGTACAAACCCAAACTAATTAATCAAAACAATAATTATTGAAGTTTTTACTTTATCATCATTTATTTTTTGTCATATTTTTTGTATTGCAGATTCCCCTGACTATGAATGTCCTAAAGATAATTTTGGTAAGTCATTAGAACACCACTCCATATGTTGAGCATGTTAAATGGGTGTGAAAGTCAAATATGCACTGTTGTCTCTTGCATACTTTAAGGTCATGTTTCATCGGGATCAACCATTCCAAATGCAGCTTGTCACTTTATTTTGTTATAAAGGGTGTCATCTGAAGCCCGCACTTGACTTGAATAAGCCTGAGTAATCCTTGTGAAACAAGAGCAGTAGCTATCAGTACTTTTACTACCATATCAAACTGGTGCACTACTGGTTGAAAAAGTTGGGCTACCAAATCAAACTAACCCTTTTTTTTTTTCAAAGAACAGCTGAAAACACTATCAACCTAACCAATCTCAAAGAGTTGATCCAAATAGTATGAGACCTAGATCAATTATTTTCTGTTGTGACATTATCTTTTAGGAATCTACAGTGGAGACAAAAAATATGAAAACTGTAAAGAAGTGAAATGGAACCCAAAAGTAAGTAGCCACTGATTCTTTAACTCCCAGAATGTCAGTATTAACTCTCCTCACTGTCTTTTATGTATTTCTTGGAAAATTCATCAACCCTTTAACTCCCATGCGTGACCAAGAGAGAATTTCTCCTTACAATGTCAATACAATATCAACCAGATAAGTGATTAGAGTAAAGAAAAATATCAATTTGGGGATAATTAGTTGATCCAATGCTAAATTCTCTGAACTAATATTATGAGAATTGTATGGTTGACAGTGAGGAGAATTACAAATTTGATCTGAGAGTTATAGGGTTAATAATTCAGGAGAATTATGACCAATCAATAGGCAGTATTTGAGTCACATGTTTACTTCTGTAAACCCCAATATAAATCAACTATGGGGAAGCACAGGGAGGGTTTGAAAAGGTAGCAGGAAAAGGCTGGGGTTAATGAATCATGAATCAGCTGAATTATTAATAGGATTAATTTTCATTAAGATCTCCAACTCCCCTACTTAGTATGCTTAACTTGTATAAAGACAAACCCTAGAAATTTGTATAAAGTTTTTAAATCAATCACTGGTTTGACAAATGATGGTTGATCACAACAATTAACAATAGAGCAAATTGGGAGGATAACCTCTCCATTTTGCTCGGCCACTTCACAAACAAACTTGCTCAACCAACAGTTTAGTGTATTGGCAACATATGCTCTGGTGGAATGGTCAGATCTTGAACAACTTTGCATTTGAGGTCAGCCACTCCAACAACTTCAAACATTGCACATGTATTTTGCTGCTGCTGCTGCCATTCCTCAAAGACTTTTCTACCCCATTTAGTGTTGTATTGTGTTGCTTTCAGAGTGGCTTCAGAAAGTAGACTGGTTTCTTCTTCTTTACTCTTTGGACCATTTTTACTATTAGGTAAAGTCTTGAAAACACTTTGCTCTAACTTGTTGATTTGTTCTTTGCAGGGAACTGGAATGTCTTTCAAGTATTTTGATATTCCCATGTTTGCTTTGAATGACGAGGCAGAAGTGGATGATCTTCTCCAGGTATAAACTGGCATGCTGACCTTTACACTGCGCTTATTGACAAACTTTAAATTCCCTTAATTGCTCTCTTTAAATTTTTTGCAAAACAATTTTTGTGTGAGTTTGCTCAAGATCTGGGTGATACCTCTGTCTGGAGATCAGTAACAACACAACTATTGGTAGTATTGCATCTTAACAAAATAATCCAATAGAAGATTCTAGAAAGTTTCATGTCATGGCATTAGAAAGTTTGTGTAGACATGTCAGTATGACTAGGCACTCTAGAATTTTCTAGAAGCTTATCTGTACAGTTGTCCTAACATGAAAACCACTTTTTACTGACAGTGTTATAAGACGCACAATAGTCAAGAACACCCTGATTACCCACTGTGTGCTGTGCAGTTAAAGGATTTCATGTATGCAGCCAAAGACACTCCAACCTGTGTAAGGAAAAGTAATATACCAAACCCTATTGGGGGTAAGTGATTATGAAGGTTTTTTTTACTAGAATATCATGGTATTACAGTATACCTGCAGTTTGATTGGTCCTTACTTATGATCTATTGGAGGACAGACCCTGAGATGACATCACCACCACCAACCTTTCACTTCTTTGTTTCACCCTTTACACTAGTAACATCAGTATGCATATTCTCCATACTGTTCTCTGTATATTTTCTAAGATAATGTCAAGGAGAACTTGTTTAACAATCAAGGGCTTCTCTGGTGGGTGATCATTTCCCTTGTTCTCATGACTTATATGTTTGAATCAACAGTGATATTGTAGGGAGAAACTAGAAGTCAATCACTCTTACAGATTGAAGGGTTCATTATCAAAATAAAGAAAAAAGTTTTCTTGTTGCTGTGTTTCCCTTCAGTAATACATCACAGAAAACATGAAAATGTGGGAATAACATCAGTAACACACTTGGCTGTGCCTCATGTGCCACTTTTTTGTTCTTGTCACATTTTGACATCATCTGTTATCTGTTACTGCACTGCGGCACAGAAACATGGAATATCTTTGTTATACACTTCAGATAATAAGTAGGAGGAGAACTGGTGGTGTCATTTTGTTGTGTTCTTAGGCAACATGCTTTACTCTAACAAGGCTTATTGAAAATGTTGGTTAAAAATCATTACAATGATTTGTTGGAAATAACTGAAATATAAACTTTTGCATGCGCAAGGACAACAGTATTTATTTAATACCATTTTGTGCTTCTTGTAGCCAACTTTTGTATGCCTCTTGGAGACAAGAATGTTTGGGGTACTCTTTATCCAATAAAGAAGAAAAAAAAGGTGGTAATGCTGGCCACTAAGGTAAATGAGTTGTGGAATACTAACTTAATACAGTTGAACCTTGATTATCTGAACTCTGGGGGTCTGGGCAGAAACGTTCATGTAACAGAGAGTCTGGATTATCAAAAATATGAATATCAATGAACCCAATAATAAAGGGACTTTCTCAAATCATTAAGCATCATTTCCAAAATTTGCCATTTGAAGTATTTACTTAGAGGTTTTGGACCTAAATGCTGGGGTAAATCAGTCAAGCTACTAAAGTGTTTGCACATGGCTAATTCTATCATTCTTTGAAGCTGAACCAATGTAATAGGGTCAACATTGTTTCTTTAAATCTGTTTTGTTTGATGGGAAAAAGTTACAGATGTCAAATGTGACTGATTGATATTTGTGTAAAAGGGGCCTAAGAGGCAAGTCTGGATAATCAAAAATTCCAGACAATCGAGGTCTGGATAATTGAGGTTTGACTGTGTACACATTCTTTGGTGTTTTTGCTGCCATTAACAGTTTGAATTGTATCATCGTTACTTAGTTCCTTGTTTTTATTTGCAGTTGGATTCCAATTCATTCTTTCATGATCTGGTCCCTGGAGTAGATAACGATGGTTCCGGAATAGTGGTAGCTTTGGCTGTGGCAAAGGCACTCGGAGCACTGAAAAGAAATGTGAGTCTTTTCCTTGTAAAGATCACTCAAACCTTCATATTCATTATTAGTTTCTGCAATAATGTGCAAATTACAGTGAAATCTGTTATGAGTGCATCCTGTAAAGGGTGGTTCACAATTTAAAGGGGCAATGCTTGAAATACTATAATCATTACAATAATATTACAGCTTTTTGAAATATTTTTTGTGATTATCACACCAAATAATTTGTTTAAAGAAATATCAAAATTGTTTTTAACCGCCAAGTTTGATATATTTTTAAGTAATCAGTTTGTAATCATTTTAACATGAAACCATTTAAAACTACAACATACAACTTGATTTTTACTTTGTAGGGTTCATTACCAGAAACCAAGAACCACATAATGTTTACATTTTTCCAAGGGGTAAGAACATGATAGTTAGATATTTGTTTGCAAATTTTTTTCATTCACCAACCAGAGGTTTTAAGTGATTCAAAGGCTCTGAGGTGATTGTCAAGGCCAAATTGATTATCTTGTAGAGCTCATTTGATCATTATGGCATAGAAAATGGGTCTCTATATCCATAGCATTTGTTGTTGTTGTTGTTGTTATAATTTACCCACTTACATTTATTAATTCTAGTTAATGTTTTACTTTATTTTTTAGGAAGCATGGGATTATATTGGCTCTTCAAGAATGGTGTATGACATGGATAAAGATGAATTCCCTTCAGATCCTTGGAAGGTACAGGTTACATTCTATTACTCTACAGAATGTATGTGCTGTGGCTGAAAATAATGTGGTTTAAAGTGATTTCAATTCAGATAATTTTGGCGTCGTCAGCTGAGTTGATATTGTACAGTGGTCACTGTAAAAAGTTTCAAAGTTGTCATTTTGAGCAACAGCAAAGAGCTAAGGCTTAAACACCAGCTTTGAAACTCTCTTTGGCTGATCTAAATTATCAACTATGTTGAGAAAACCAAATTACCTTGTTATACTCCCCCACCCTCCCTCCCCCAATGCAGCACCACAGTTTCTCTAGAAACTTACCCCCCTGATTTCAAACTAGTCTGATCTATTAAGCCTTTAACTCCTAAGATCTGAAGTTTAATTCTCCCCTCTAGCTGCTTGATCTAACACCAAACTCTCCTAACTTATTTACAAGGAATTGTATAAAAGCTGGAGGAGAGAATTTATGATCAGATCTTGGGAGTTAAAGGGTTAAGTATCCTATCTAGCTGCTACACATTCCCTTGTAAATTAGTTAACAACTCTACCTAGCAAGTTTGAGTATTTTCGTTACCTGTTTGCTGGACAATATTTTAATATTTTTTTTTTAAGCAGAGGTGAATCGTGGTGGAAGTAGTAGTATGGAATAAAAAATGCTTGCTTGATGGCCATGCATACAAAAATGTTTGTTAATTTTTTTGTTTGTTCAAGGTTGATGGCAAAGACCTTACTTTAAAAACTGGGGATATCAAATATTTCCTGGAGCTAAATCAAGTAGGACTCTCAAGGAACAAGTTGTGGGCACATTCTGATCCAGTTTCCGCTAAAGATTCAGAAACCGAGGGAAAGGTAGGTCATATTCAGAAATTCATGGAAGTCTAGCTTTCGTTTTGTTTTCTCTAGCAAGTTTTCCTCTGACATTTCTGTTCAATGGGAAAGGGTGCAATGAGATCAACTGTTCTCATTGAGGAAGTCCAGATGACAACATTGCAAGCTGTGTTCTTTGATGTTCCCCTGCTACCCTTAGCTGCGCAGACACAGAGAATGCTTCATTCCTTGTCTGTTGAAACTCAAAAAAATTTATCAAAAGGAAGCTGTAGATATTTTTGCTACCATGGTAACAAAACTGGTGGCAACTTGGAGTGCTGTCAATATTTTTCAACCTCCATTTTTGAGATCTGATGAGATGTTCTCTCCTCCAGCTGTTGAGATTTCTGTTTTCTTCCCTATTTAACCCTTTCACAGCCAAGATCTCATTAGTAATTCTCCTTCCTGTCTGCTCTTCAATTTTTGTAATGTTAGTATGGTGAATTGGGAATTGGATCAACTAATAATCCCCTAATAGATGTTCTCCTTTATTCTCATCACTAGTCTGCTTGACATTGTTTTGATATTGTAAGGAGAAATTCCGTTCTGGTCTGTCATGGAAGAGTTTATGAGTTAAAGAAACTTAGTGATATTTCAATGTAATACAGACTAACTGATTGGTTTGTCAATTCTCAATATTTCTCTGCAAGATATCGTAATGAAATTGTTGGAAGAAGTTACATGTTAATCAACCCTGAAAGTAAAGGGCTTATACTAATCCTGTTATGAATCATTAATTACGATACACTTTTTCCATTTGACAGGTTAATAATATTGTGAAAGCTCTTGAAAACGCAGGAAAAAAATATAACCTGGACATCCAGGAACCCGCAGACAAACCACTGCCTCCATCATCTTTCCAGATGTTCTTGAAAAAAAACCGCTCAATACCTGGAATTGTGTTGACAGACCATAAAGAGGAATATTCCAACAAGTGAGAAACAGCAAAAATCTTCTATTCTCTTTCTTTCCATCTGTGAGCTTTTCCACCCTAACATCAATATGCACATTCTCTGTATAGCTCTTTATACATTTCTTAAGGTGCTGATAAGGAGAATTTGTTTACCGATCAGGAGCCTCTCAAGTTGGTGATCATTTCCTTTATTCTCATAACCTAAGTGTTTGATTATGTAGTGATATGGTGAGGAGAAACTCTGTTTTATCTTAAATGAAGTTCTCTCTGATTATTAATTTTTTTTCATGATCCAGCCAATTCATTTTCTCAAAATTATTAGTTCCCTAACCCTGTAAACCCTAAGAGTGACTAGCTTCTAATTTCTCCTTACAATATCAGCCCTGAATCAAACATGAAGCTCAAGAGAATAGATGGGATTATCACCAACTAAAGCAGCTCTTGATTGTTAAAAAAATTCTCCTTGTCAGCCTCTTTGGGAATGTATAGAGAACAGTATGGAGAATATGCATACTGATGTTAGTTTGTAAAGGGTTGATAAGAAGTTTTTTCTTTTGTATGGTATCGTAAGTAATTTAGTTAACACTGTACTGAAACATTTTAATGTGCGTATTGCCAGGTATGTAAAGTAATTAATTAATGTCAAACGTGTAAACTAAATGTTAGTATTTTATTGTCCCTGTGGTTAGAATAAAATTTGATGAGAAAAGTAAGTTGGCGAAACAAGTGAAGCTTAGATGAACCGATGTAGTGAATTTTGAAAAACTTTGTTTTTGTCCTTCAGATTCTACAACAGCCATTTTGACGATCTTTACCAAGTTGGAGGAAATGTATCCATGGATAATGATACAGTTTATGTCATCACAGAATTCACAAAGGTACTCCTATTTTTATAGGGAACGACTGTAAGAGTGAGGTGTTTCAAATTTTTTACCCCAGGCTTAGGAAAATGTATATTCCCGATGGCTGGGAAGGCGAATAATAACAGGAAGGGGTGTCTGGGGAGCTCCTCACCCTTGAGTGATAGTCACCCCTACACTGTGGGGCTCTCCTATTCTTGGCAGACTGTGTTCCTGGGGACTCTGAGTGTCGACAGGCGAGAGAGTCAAATGGGGACTGTACATCTCTTCGTCACTTTGAAAAGTCAGCAGTGCTGGTTAAGCAAACAGCTGAACCGGAAAAGTGAGGCACCTCATTTAAATTTATCCTTGCGCGTATAAGGTCTCTCTCAAACACCAGCCTTCCACCCGTCCCATTTTCTATTCTGTCTCTAGAGACTGGAGTTACCATCACACACTGTAACCATTTTTTTGCGTTTTCACCGCAATATTTACTCTGCCATGCACGTTAATTTGACGAGTTTTCTTTTTGGGGAAAGGGGACTCGAACTCCCCGACGCGCCAGGGGGCTCTTCAGAGAGGAGGAATCTAAACGTGCAGTTGTCGAATCTTATTCTTTCTCCTCAGAAACTTTCCAACATCTCATCAACTGTAGCCACAGCTCTGTACACTCTTGCCAATGATGGAACTGCACCAGACTTTGACATCAAGGCTGATGAAGCTCTGGTGAGTAGATCGTCTCGAATCCTTTGACTCCCAAATGCTCTCTCGCTGACAAGACTGGCTATAATGTGACTCTTTTTTTGTTTTAGGGAATTACTCGTAGGTCTTTTGCATATCGTAGCGTTTTTTAAGTGTTCAGTTAGGAAAACGAGGCGCGATAGTAAACGATGCAATAGGAGTGGCGGAGTGAAAAGCCCGACCCAGACCTCCCTCGTTTTTATTACTTATACACTACGTCAGTAACTAACAAACGTCAAAGACAAGGATGCAGCGAAGAACAGACAAGGATCGGGGGAGAGACTGGCAGAAACCACATAACGAAACTGACTGAACACAAGCGGGCGGCGAGGAAAGGAGATCTCAACAATCACATTGCTGAACATCATCGACTTACGAACCTCACTATTGATTGGGACTCTATGCAATGCGTAACTTACAGCACTGACTACTTTCAACGACTGACTCTGGAAAGCGGGCTTAATGACTTAGAACAGACTCCCTTCAACAGGTATCAACTACTACCGGCACCAAACAAACGACTTATTCACGACATTAAAATTTCAAACTAAACGAACGGAACGAGCTAACTTTACCGACGGATCGAAACCGACCGAAACCTCGAACTTTTCATTTGTGGTGTTTATTCCTTACCTTGACCATGACTGCCAAGTTGAAGTGACACTTGTACGACGGGAGAACAGGCTGTACTCTGCGAATCATTTTGGCCGTCAAGCAGTGGAGAAACGAAGCATTGCGTGATTGACATATTGGTCATTTTGCCACGAATGTGTGACCACCGCTTCTTATTCAAAGGAATGAAAGTGATCTTCGCAGTAATGGCACCACTTAAGCTGCAGTGAAAATAAGCTTTAAGGATTTAAACCCGTGACCTCTGCGATACCTCGCGCTCTACTAACAGAGCTAACAAGCCAACTGGGAGTTGGTCATAATGTTGGCTCGTAATAAACCCGTGAAGTGATGCATCAACGACTGTGAATATATGAAAGCTAATAACTGAAATCGTTGTTTCTCCAACAGGTTGGTCATCTTATTTTCTGTCTTTTCAACCGTTCCGACTGTCCCCTTTACAGACAGGCTTCTGACAGCAACAAAACTTGGACAAGCTTTAAAAAAAGTGAGTAAGCCGGATTTAAAGATTCAAATATGACCATGAGAATCTCGCGCGCCTCTGCACTACCCCTAAGCCACACAGAGAGTCGGTGGTAAGCAAGGGTGTCACAAGGGTCATATAAGACACGCGACCTTCATACAGCTACGATAAAAAATGACGAACTTATGTAAGTAAAAAGAAGAAAGAGGAGGAAGGAGAAGTGTTTGTTTTACAACGATTTGTTTTGTATTTCTTTTAGCCCCAGTCAGTTTAAAACCGTTTCCCCGTTATGTGAGTGTGAACGGCTCAAGCAACGCTCTGACAAGAACTGTGAAGTATCTCCTCTTGTACTTCACTGGTTATCATTTTCCTCCGGGCAAATATGAAGAATGCAAGGAATCTGACGTACGTTCAGTATTGTGTTAGCTTTATTACTTAATTTTTTATACACTGAAATATAATTAATTAGCAATTACTAGCCCAAGCTCGGAAGTTAAAATTATATGATTCTTGTTTTGTACCTCTTGTTTTGATTTTGTTGTTCTTTTCTGTTTGTTTTTGTGTGAGTAGTGTGAATGTGACTGAGTGTGAATGTGACTGAGTGTGAGTGTGAGTGTGATTAAGTGTGAGTGTGACTGAGTGTTAGAGTGAATGTGACTGGGTATGAGCGCGCGTGCGAGTATGTAAGAGTATGACTGTGAATGTGAATGTGAATATGCGTGAGAGTGAGTGTGTGCGGGTGCGAGTAGGAGACCGTGTTCTCTGTGACAAGCTAGTAATAATAAAATGCCAGTAGGCTGGTAATTTAAAGTACTCATCTATTCAGGAAGCTTAACAGAAAATTAGGTAGTATAACAAACATTATGTACTACTGTGTGGATTTTGATAGATGAAGACCAAATGTCAAACAGTTGTACCGCTTAGTTTAACCCACCTTTGAAAACTTATGCATTTGCAGGGCGTCGAAAAAATCAAAGTCCTTGGCCAAAAACTGCAAGGTCTTTGTGTGACTGGTTCGGTGTTCGAGTCACCAGCTGTATCTCCTGCATTTGTTGAAGAAAACTACGATTCTACTGAATATTCTACATGGGCTGAGAGCACGTAAGGTTTTTTTCCCGTTCGTTGCACCAAATGTGGATGAAATTGTCGTGCTACTGAAAACTACCCTTTACCTTCATCTGGGAGTGTTCATTATGTCTTCTTTTTAGTTAATGAGATTATAATTTGTTTTCCTCTCCTGTTCCAAATAGATGGAACGACGATCTTACAGTTCAATTATTTCTTGTCGCAAGCCCCAAATTAGAGGTGAGTTATTTTGTCTTCTTATGATGACAATATAAAGAATGAGAAAAAATCACAGCTTTCTTTTGGAAAGCGCCGGGATAGGACGATTGTTGATTATGACTAGGGGCGTTAAAATCGGATGTTTTCCGACGCTTGTATCTTACTACTTTATTCAGCGCAAGTGTTGGTTTCTCGTTATATTCCGGCGCTCGATGTTGGAAACATTTCTCCGCCTATTTTAGACCAGATAAAAACGCCTGCCAGCTTGTCCGGGCGTTAGTGGTCTCTTGACTTTCCGTACTTTCCATTGGTTACGTGTTTTCCCGCCCCTGCCATAAATGTTAACCTTTCCTGCGCTTGAAACAAGCCTCATATTTTCCCATTTACGTTTTTAAAATTCTCCCGCCTTTGTCTATGGGAAGTGGTTTCTTTTCGTTCCGCGGTAGCCACTGGTGACATGTACTCTCGCGCTTAACACGAGTGTCATGTTTTCCCGCCTTTTTGTAGAGATATTTTCCCGCCTTGTTGGATTTCAAGAGGCTACGCTTGCCACTTGTTGCACGTGTTCACGCACCTGACGCAAGTTACACGTGTTCCCGCGCTAGACACATGTCATGTTTTCCTGCCCAATTTTTGACATATTTTCCCGCCTTGTTCGATGTCAATACGCCACGCTTGCCACTTGTAACATGTTTTCCCATCTGTTTGTTAGCATACTTTTCCTACTTGTTCGTTGTTGTTGTTGTTTTTTTTTTACTTTCCGCACTTTACAGTGGTTACATGTTATCCTGCCTGCTTCTTAGCTTATTTTCCTTCCTTGTTTCCTGTTTTTTTTAACTTTCCGCGCTTTACAGTGGTTACATGTTTTCCCGCGCTTTGCACGCGCTTACCACCGAGTTAGTGTTTAACCGCGCTTGTTGCGGTTCATTTTCTAAATAGTTTAGTATCATTATCTTATCATCCTTTGTTTTGTTTTTGTTCTTGATTGTTTATTGGTGTATTTTATTCTTTTCATTAATTTTTTTTGTGAGGCCAATTCATCTGTTTCCTTCATGTTTCAGGGCGTAACACTGGGTGCTGGACTCACAATTACCTTCCTGTCTTTCGTACTTGTCTACTTTATTAACAAGAAGGCTGACGTGATCTTCACTTCCACTGATCCTCTAAGTTCTGAACTCGACAATTAAAGCTTTTTTTACAAGTCCAGCAATACAAGTTTAGAAATCCTCCCTATGACAGCGTAATAAATTCAAGTGACAGGTGGCGTGAAGTAAAGATCTGACAGGGTCTCGGCTAAAAAGGCAAATTCTCCCATGGAGGTTATAAAAGAGTACGTTAAAACAGCATGGCGAATTGAAGTCGATCATGAGTTTGACAGAGGTCAGCAAATAAGTTCTCACGACACTAAACAACGGACCTGATTAATGAAGAATGTCACGAAAGCAATTAATAGGACACAAGGCTGCCCTTTCTTAAGGATTCGGAGGACACGAGTCGTCTAATCCTTGCAGCTGTAGTCTCCGATGACGAGCGAATCACCTCCGAGGATATTTCGAACCCGCGATGATGTGTCGACGAAAGCGGCTATCGGGCAACTTAGATCTTGTTAACGAGAATAGAAACTTCATTTTGTCAAACTGAGAATTGTGTTGATTATAAGAGACGATTTACTCTAGCCTTTTCTCTCTTTTTGTTTTTTTATTTCCTTGGAGTAGATAGAAAATTATTTGTTGTTGGGAAAAGATTAATCGTCACAAATCAACATCTCGAATGTATTTAAAAAATGGTCGAAATTCTTAAGAAGGCTTATGTCTGAAATAAGACACACTCATGACATCTATTTTTCTAAACAGTTTTACTGATTTTTTGAAGCCTGAAATCTTTTTTTTTTTAACCTCAGAACAGAGCGCTGGTAAAATCCGGTTTCTTTCGTAGCTATGAAAAGAAATGGTTGCACATTCCCACCCAAAGAAGTTCAAAATTGTCTTCAGCTGTTCAAGAGAAATAAATTTATGATTTATGAGTGGAAGAGATAAGCTTTCAGTAATTAGCTTTGGAGACATGTCCTTTTTGTCTTTGCTCTTACCAGGTATTCAGGATCTTGATTATTTATGATTATTTGTTATTTGAAGGGAAATTTTAGTTTCTCATGCAGTTGTAAATACCGAGCCAGTGTGCTTCCCTCTTTGTATCGAAACATATTTTTGTGATACGTTTTTTTTTTAAAGGGAAATTTAGTTAAAAATCTCTCAAACGTACTATTGTTAAATACTATTTGTAGAATTTTCTTGAAGGCAACGTATGATAAAACTACTCAAATGTTATTTTGCCACTTAGTGTTTAGAAAAATTGTCGAAAAATATAAAGTTTTCTACAAAAAAAGAAACTGATTAATGGCATCAGCTTTCCTTCTGTCCAGCTTAAACCTTAAGAATTTTGCTTATAATAAAACTTGCCTCCTCAAACAAAGGCCAGAAGGTTCTAACAACAAAACACGGTGTGGCAAATGTATTGTGATTTCGTCTCTCTTTACAGAGTGCGTTTCGATTGACTGTAATAAAACCAAAACCAAAATAATAAGGGAGAGCGAAAAAAACTATCACAGGCAGCCAGTAAGAACTCAGGTTAAAAATGAGCAAACACCTGAAGCGCAGATTGATCCCAATATTCAACTAAAAATCGCTCTCTGTATAGTTGTGTGCCTCCCAAACTCTTTCAGGAAGTTTGTTAGCAAATTGGAACATGACCAAGGGAAGTTGTTAAGTTTCAACAAGTTTGTTTTGCAATTTTTAAGCATTGTGGCAAGCGCTCAGACGGCCTGCAAGATTTTGCTCCTGTGTGATTCCAAGCCTGAGATCGTTCCCAAGATCTCGCTCTAGTCTCCTCTTGATGTAAACAAAAACATCAAAAACACTATAGCTGAGATTACCCACTCCCTGAACCTGGCCCTCCAAGAGGTCTTCACGATTATGCATATTAGATGACACATTTCAAACAGCATACATACAGCAAATAATAACAATCTGACATGGCGGAAAGAAGTTGATGAATATTATCTGCAACAACGATTTTGCATGCGTTTATGTCTCAGACAACATGGCTGTGGTGGCAGGAATGGGACTTGGAGTATTACTAGTGCTGATATTTTGGGCTCTTGGTATTATAGGATGTGTCGTTTTGTCAAGAGCCTCAGGGGGGTTGAAGTAAGTACTACAACAATCTTTGGAGAACGGTGCTCTAGTGTGTCTTTCCCCGATATTTTTCGTCCTAGTTCTTAGTTATGTTCATAACTGTGCTAAGAACAACGTGAGAGAGTAACTGTATTCACTTACATAATGTGTTCTGTAGAAATGTCTCTGAGTTGAGAAATTTCATCCATAAGTGCTGCTACGAGCAGTTTTTCCCGGCCAGCGTCTTTTCGTGGCCAATTGTGAACACCCCATCACATTAAATATCAGTGCATTGTAGAGAATTTCGTAAATTTCATAATATTTCAGAACATGAGTTAATAAACTCAGCAATATTGAAAATTTTGAATCTGTCAGCAAAAATTTTCCGATGACATTTCCTTGTAGCAACAACGAAAAGAAAATCAAACATGTTTATTGCGTGAATTCAATAGATGGCGCCATCATTGAGAGTTTTTTCTTCCTTATCAAATACATCAAATAGATTCTGTGTTGCTGTAGGTCTGTCCAGATCACAGACACAAGAGATGAACAAATGTGGTAAGAACAAAAGTGAAACACTCAGCTGGGCTTCCAGTGCCACTTTTTTATTATTGCCACATTTTGAAGTCATCTGTGATCTTTTACTGAACAAGACCCACAGCAACATGGAATCTATTTGTCAACCCTTTACACCCTAACATCAGTGTGCATATTCTCCATACTGTTCTCTATACATTTCCAAAGAGGCTGACAAGGAGAATTTGTTTCACAATCAAGAGCTGTTTTAGTTGGTGATCATCTCTTCTATTCTCATGACTTTCATGTTCGATTCAGGGGTGATATTGTAAGGAGAAATTGGATGCTAGTCATTCTTAAAAGCTAAAGGGTTTATTAGCTAATTTTCATAATGGTGTTTTTCTCGTTTTAGAAATGCAGTGGTAGGGATATTCTTTCTTCTTGTTCTTCTCACTGTGATTTTGGTTCTCTGGCCAAGAAAAACTCCTGAGGAAGAACTGGCAGGATCTACAGAAAAAAAGGTTGGTAAAACAGTGAAATAACCACAGCTTATAGTTTGAACCTGCTGGTGATAGTTGATCATGTTGTTTGATCATCTTATTACAGGTAGTTCTAAAAAAGTCAAATGTCCTTGATAGTGGTTGATACTTAATCCTTTGCCCCCCCCCCCCAAGAGTGATAAGCATCTAATTTCTCATTACAATATCACCCCTGAATAAAACATTAAGGTCACGAGAATAAAGGATATGATCACCAGCAAAGAAGCTCTTGATTGTTACAAAAATTCTCCTTGTCAGCACCTCAGGACATGAACAGGGATCAGTTAGGAGAATATGCATTCTGATGTTAGGATGTAAAGGGTTAACCCACTTAGTGATCTTTAATTCTTCTGTGTTTTTCCAACAGATTGAAGTTGATGAACTGATTATTCCAAAGACAGTCCTGTTTGCGTTCATCTGCATATTTTCATTAGTAGCTTTTGTTTTCCTTCTACTGCATTGGATGGAACCAATTTATTCACCTGCCCTCACCTCCAGAAAAACCTATGCTTTCTAAATAGAAAATCATCATTAAAAGAGCCTTGCAGATGGAATCATAAGTTCTGCATGCTAGAAACACCCAGTGATGTGCAATCCATACTAGGAAAGCCTGTGCCTTGCTCACTTATTGTCCAGGGCCCACTTTTATGAAGGTCCTATTCCAGTTAGTCAAAAAGGTTCCAAAGTTGAAAAGAGCTGGGCACTACAAGACTTGGCACTATTCATCATCACAGGGCCTCAGATGAAACAATGCGAAACTATCAGCATTTGGAGAGGAAGTACTATGATGCTGTTGAAGACTGTTTTAGAGTACCACAAAGGGTAAACAGACTGTGTGGTACAAAAATGGTACGGACTAGATGGACTCTAAAGCGTAGAAATGAAAGGAAGTCTTTTGCCAAATCAAAGCAAAACAGTTCATAACAGATGATCAAAAAGTTTGTCAAGAGGAAACTTGCGAGAGTAAAAACATTTTTTTTTTTTAGCCAGAGTGCCTCTTTGTCTTTTCGTTGATTTACAAGATGTGCCGAGTACAGAAACCCTCTGTGAAAGGACGCCTAAGGTCAGCCAGTATAACGGCTGTTAATTTATTAGAGGCTCGCAGACATAAGTTGCAAGCTCCTGTAGCACATGCAAGAGGAGCCTTACGTGCACGTAACTCGTCCTATGCGCAGGCTTCGTGCCTCTTTCCCTTCCCTTGAAATGCAAGAGAAGGAGGCTAGTTTTAGCTTAATTAAGGGTCGGAACAGTTTGACTTTGTAAGTTTTGTTTTGTGTTGTTTCGCAAGCAATCACAAAACAAGCGTTACAGGCATCGATTGATTTTTTCGCTCAACTGACCTCTATTTAATTGCGAACTAAGATTAAAAAACCAAACAAATAAAAAACAAATGAACTCTAGTATAGTTGTTCCGCGTCCACTTTTCAGTTACATTTGGTACCCCGTGGTTCCATAATTTTCGTCCGGGTCGCTATGTGGAAACTGGAACGACTTCTGGCAGAATTTGTGCTGGCAATCATGTGTTTTCCGGTTGGAAGCACTCTTGATGAAGAGCTGACGAAGGCCGAATTATGAATCAACTCGTAAGTGATGTTGAAAATGCAATTCGTAGCAAATTTGAAGGAACATCAGCGCCATCCAGTGCCTGTAAATCGGGCAAAGAGGCCGTAAGACACCCCCAGACCCAAGCTGAAAGAATGGCAGTTCTTGGACAAAATGTTTGCTACATTGTGACTGCGGTTGTTATCAACGAGGGGCGCGTTCTGATGATGAGAGAGGCTAAGAGATCTTGTCGAGGAACATGGTATTTACCTGCTGGTAGAGTCGAAAAGAACGAGTCTCTCGAAGAAGGCGTAATTAGAGAAGTATTAGAGGAAACTGGACTTGCTTTTCAACCAGTATCAATTATTTGCATCGACTCTCAAGGAACCTTCTGGTTTCGATTCACTTTCGTGGGCTGCATAACGGGAGGAAAGCTTAAAACTTTGGATGAACAGGACAAGGAGTCGATGGAAGCGGGCTGGTTTCCGGCTGAAGAAGTGTTTACTTCTCTGCCTTTAAGAGCAAGGGACATTTGCCCGTTGATAGATCTTGGGCTGAAATGGTATGAAACTAAACAAGAACAGACCATTTGTAGACTGCTTCCTGCAAAGAATTCCCAGGGACAAGTTACTGTTCGCCTGTTGGCTGTTAAAAGAGTTGAAAAAGATGATGAAAAATCGCTTTTTTGTCTGGTGTGCCACAACTCTACCGGTGATGGTAACCACAACTGTCATCCTTATTTTCCAAGCAAGTCTGTGGGTATAGATGGCTCAAATATCACTCATGTCGTTGACCAGCTTATCAAAGATTTTGACAGTAACCTACAGTACAAAAAACATGGCTACGTTACTGTTGAACACACCGGAAAGCCTCATGGAGAAGCAGATGGAGTATGTCTTACCGTTCTTGTAGAGGTGTTTCCAGCAGTTGAGGAGGGAGGTTTGAAAGGAAAATATCAGTGGTTTAAAGTAGAAGAAAAATCCTCGACAGAAAATATTTGGAAACTCATAGATGTTAAGGGTTTTGTTGAGTTTGTGGAATCTTAATTGACAGCCTTTGCTTGAAGGAGGGTCGGGGGGTTATTACAACAAAGGATCAGCAGATTCTGACAGTATTTTTGGATTCATAGCAAAAGCTTAACCCTGTAACTCCCATGAGTGACCAAGACAGAATTTCTCCTTACAATGTCAATAAAAACATTAACCAGATAGGTGATGAGAATAAAGAAAAATATCAATTTGGGGACAATTAGTTGATTGAATACTAAATTCTCTGAACTAATATTATAAGAATTATTTGGTAGACAGTAAGGAGAATTACAAATTTGATCTGGAAAAAAAGGGTTGAAGGATTTGCAGATCCTGAAATCACAGTGGTTGGCGGTTTTCATGGATTTTTTTGGGCCCAGATTTTCAATTTTGCTTTGGACAACAACTCTGAATCAACAACAGGTTTCTAATGTAAAAGTTGATCTTTTACAGTACGGCTCAGAAATATGTTAGCTGCACAGATGTATTTTATATACTCAGACACAGGTAGTCAGACAAGCATATATGCTTTTCATGTGCAACGCATGTGTCATTGTTGTGTAAAACAAAGAAGTTTTGAGTTTGAAAAGGAAACAAATTCACAACAGAAGATTTTGATAATGAATGGCATGGCTTTGGGGATTTGTTGAATAGCAAGCAGTAGCAGTAGACTTGCTTGATTTGAGCAGTTGATAATTGAGAAAGAAAAGGGAAATGTCATTTACACAAGGCATTTAAGATGTAAATCATTAATTGAACAACAAAGTAAATACTCACTAATATGCTACCTGATTTATTCTGTTTTAGTTTGTTAAAGGTCCTATAAAAAGTGAAAACGATTTTTAGAAAATTGTTTAGTTAACACACAAAAGTTCAAGGTGCCTTTTCACAAATCCAGGTGTCAAGTAGCAAACAGATTCAGTGTTAACTTTTTTTGTATCCAGATCTATGGATTTAGTTATTAAATTACAGTGGATCTGCAGATTTGCATATCCCTATTCACCTCCCTCTTGAGGAATGGATAAGAGAGCTGAGATGCAAATATCTCAAATTTTCAGACTTTTGCCTTCCCCATGACCAGATTTTTAGTCGTTGGCCAAAGACATCTTCAAACAGAAACAGGGTAGATTGAAACTCAAACCTTTGGTGCACCAAGTTGAAATGTCTTTTAGGATCAGTCCCAGCAATCAAGTTCAACATTTGACTCAGACACTGAACTTGATCAGTAAAACTTATGCTTTAGTCAGAGAAGCAAATTATGTTATGCAAAACTAACTTTCTACTAGTTTGTGCTTAAGATTCAGGAAATTAAATTTTGCTGTTTGAATCAATTAGTTGCTCTTTACCAATAAACCTCCTAGGTATGCAAACTGATCTAAATTGGATGTTTCAAACTTATTTGCATTTAATGTGAGTGTATAGAAGAAGGAATTATGCTTGGTACATTTAAGTACATGAAGAAGATTGAGTCAGTAATTATTTTGGTCAATAACATGTTGCATGGTTCCCAAGTTAATGTGCGATAAAGTTCTGTAATGTTAATAATTGTGTATTTTAGGATGTGATGTTTTTTGACAACTGATTTTTTTAAAACTGAATTAAGAATCATTACATGATGCAATAGTATTATCATTGGTATTATCATTAAGAGAACTTGTATAATTTTGGCAACAGGAAGCCTATACTTTTGATTTGATATTTTTCATCTGAAAGTGTATTATACATATGTATTTTTTTAAGTCAATAGGTTATGCAAAGGCTATAAATTGTAATCAATTTTTTTTTTCAGTAGAGCGAAAAGCTGCACTCCAAATCTAGTTCTGTTCCATTCTTGATTTGGATTTAGTTGATCCATTGTTGGATATTTTCACTTTTTTTAATCTGCCTAACTTTTTAACTCCCAGATCAAATTTGTAATTCTCCTTACTGTCAACCATACAATTCTTATAATGTTAGTTCAGAGAATTTAGTATTAGATCAACTAATTATCTCCAAATTGATATTTTTCTTTATTCTCATTACTTATCTGGTTGATATTGTATTGATATTGTAAGGAGAAATTCTGTCTTGGTCACTCATGGGAGTTAAAGGGTTAATTCTACCCTTAAACTGCTATACATTTCCTTGAAACTTAGTAACAAGAATTTGGTGATAGATCAAAATACAATGTAACAAATTCTATACAATTAGTTTGAGTATTCTTATCACCTGTTTGCAGGATTATGTATGGATATTTTAGGGAGAACTTACATGTTGATTTTTTCTGGGAGTTAACAGTTAATATTGAAAAGTATTTAATGATTATTATAGTTATCACTCAATGAGGTGTATTAATTGTCGATTTAATACATCAGTTTATTTTTTTAGAGAAATCTTCATTATCTTGAATTAAGTTCATAAATATTATTTGATGAATATTAAAGTATGTATTTGAATTATTTTTTTATGAAAAAAAACTATGTTAGCATGTAGAGTGGTATGTTACTTACACCAATCAGATCACTACATTTGGGTATGTATCTCGCACCAATCATATCACAGCATTAAATATCTTGAGCCAATCACAGCGTTTGGGTATTGTTTTCTTGTAAATGATGTCATGTAATCAGGGGGCCATGCACAAAGAATAACGTTAACCATTAATTCTGTGCTCATTTCACAAAAGCCTCGTCAATTAAGGTCAAGATTTATAGGGATATAAAAGGTTCGCATTATTTGATTCATTTTAAGTGAAAACATGTTTTTCCACTCCTTTAAACACAACTCACACACCAAACAACTTACATTCCATCATATACCATGAAAACAATGTCCAAAGTCCAATCAGAACATACCCAATCATTGCATTACATGAACATTAGGCAATATTTCATATGCTTGAATTGTATTCCACCAATCAAATTCCATTTTGCCAAATTAGACTTTCCTCCATCGCATATCATTTTCATGTGAATAACCTGCATTTAATCACATATTCTAATTGCATTGTCCAACCCCACTGAAAAAAATTCACATGGAACTAAAAGCTACTGATTGTGAATTTTTTTACACAGTTCTCCCACTTTTTACTTTTTCTACAAATAAAATTGACTTTTGGCTACATTAGAGCTATTCCAATTGCATGTTAATTCCTTGTAAACAACCTACATTTTATTGTGTATTTCACACACCGAGGGCAAAGTCCAGATAAGCAACAAAAGGAGCCCTCTTTGAAATATTATCCTTGTCTCTTTTTCAGTGTATCTTCACTTATTTTAGATCGCAATATATCTTTGGGTAGGGCCTGCTGAAGATACAACAGAGTTTCAGATTGCTTTTCATAGTAGAATTACACAATTATATTTTTCAGGTAACTAACTGTAGATGAATAATTTTTATTTATCTCTGTTCAAGGAATAGCAGTAAGCATAGTCTCTTTCGCAGCTGTAATTTGGTCTCATTACACAATGCACTCTCCCTCTCAATCTTTTTGTAACGAATAGCCAAAATCACAACCATGGTACCAGAACAGCTAGTAATTATTGAACACATTTGTGCTGCACAAATCTCAAGCAATTTACAATTCTTTACCAAGGTCCTAAAATTTGGAACTCTCTTCCTGTTTCAGTCACTCATTTGTCAAACCTTCTTAGTTTTAAGACGAAAATGCAAGAGTTTTTACTTAAATAATCCTTGAATTGGCCTTGCCACACATTCACAGCACTTTATCTTTACTTTATTTATTAATGTAAGTGAGGTGGCTCTCCCATAAGCCCGGTGGCTTCCTGGGTCTCCTCGCCTTCTAGCTATAACTGCTGTAAATAAATTTTTTTTGTATTGTGTAAATAAGGCAAACAAAAATATGATGATGATGAAGATCAAACAACTGTTGCAAAGGAGACAACAAAAAGTGTGGCAGCGAGGCATTTTACTTTTGCCTAGAAGTATTTACACAGTAGAGACAATAGACCACAAAATATATGTGTGAGTTTGGAAAAATTAAGTTTTTTTCTTTCTCTTAAGGTGAACTAATGCAATATTTTTGTCTGTTTGAAAATAATGCTTTTTTACTGTTACAGAAATGAAAATATTAGGTGCATAAAGTGCCCCATGCCAGTATTTTTAATTTTAAATCACATTCTGCCATCTTGGCTATTTCTTTTTTTGACTGAACACTCTCAAGATTCTCTGAAAATATCAGATAGTAGGCTAGCTGTAGACTACAAGCAATTTTCATAATTTTGGCTTGCCAGCTTTCTCCTTTTGTGGGCACTTTGGTGAGCAAAGCATGTCTGTTTTATGTCAGTAATGAAAACTTCAACTAGTAAAATCATCAAAAATATTTCTTTAGTAATGTTGTCAAGGAACAAACTTCAAACTTCAAACTTTTTAACGCTTTTGACAGTTGTTGTCAATGGATCGGCTAGCTACTCCTTAGCGATTTCCGGTTCCCACCGGAAGTGGAAATACCGGAAGTTTTGAATGTCCTAACTTATCACGTGACCATTTCTACAGCTGTTGTCGCGTTCTTCTTAGTCATTCATCTGCAATCACTAATTTCGCTTCCTAAAGCTTTTAAGATGTCCCTTGTTAATCGCATTTTAGCCAGGGGGTGTCGGTTGTAATGGTTACCACGCTATAAATATGGATGTTGTCCAAATTTTCGTTCTCTGAGGATTCGAAGGCGGCGGCGCTATCACACGACACTTAAGAAATTGATGACTTGCTAAGCGGTAAGTGCTACTTTAAAAGCAGTTATGATTTGTCACAGGGGCAGAGTAAGATCGTTTTCCTTACTCGTTTGCTCTGAGTACATTAAAAATTTCAGATAACACGAGAGTTTACTACTCAAAATATCGGTCAAGGCCGTCACAGACTATTAATTTTACATCTGGGAATTACCAGAGTAAAAGCTAGCTTTCTTCGTGAACATTAGACGTGGCATCCACTGTAACGTTTTCGCTGGATTTCCGTTTTCAGTTGTATCAAATTCCAAACTAGTAGGCCAGTTTATTTACAAGAATAATCTCGGAAAGAAATTACGAGATTACCGACTCGGAGGTAAATGAATGAAAATAAATTATTGCTTTCGCGGGCTATGTTGTAGTTATAGATTTGGATGATGATAAATATTTGGAATTTTTTTCGAAATACTCATGTTTTGTTTATAAACTGTAACAGTGCAAACGAAGTTGCTGAAAAATTAGTAAAATATTTTCCTATTATTGTGGGATGTGAAGGACGCGAACGATCAATATCAACATCTATTCTCGGATGGATTATAGCGGCGTCCTCATAACTTTGTTTTATGAAAGCTCTGTGGATGTTAATCTTGAATTATTAAAACCTTTTGTTTTCCTTTTTGTACTGGAATATGGAGGTCTGTAAGTTCGCAAAATTAACTTCGTTCCCGGAGAACTATTTCCTCATCTCGACCAAATTATCTGTGTTTAAATCATCGGCGGATTCGCTGTGAATACTTGATATTATCGCGAAATGTGTACAAGTCAATTTTTCAGGAAAGAATCACAGTGACTATCTTTTTGTAACAGGGGCTAGCGTAAAGTAACTTTTAAAGAAACAAGGTGAATTTTGACCTATGAGCGTAACTTTCACTGAATATTTGAACTAAGAGAAATGGCTTTTAGAGGTCACCTCTTTTGCTGTCAGTCATACTCATAAAGTTTTTTGATGGACGTATATTACTGCTTATATGGAATTTGATATTGGATCACGTACAAGTCTAATTTCCACAACGTTGACATAACAAAATGCGGAAAACAAAAATTAAGAAAAGGAGATAAACCCAGACAGAATTTCATCTGCATACAAATTTTTTTTAAGATCTTTACAGTTCCAAAGGATATTCCTCAAAAAACTGAGATAAAATAGTCAACATCTTCCTGAGTAGTTTATTTTTGATCACAGATGTATCAATGATGAGGGTTTGCTATCAAGGGGAAATTTGGTTCTGTCACAGAGTTGATAATGTAAATTGAACACCATTAAGAGTTTAAAGCTGACATTTTGAGCAGTAGCCCTTTATCAGGACTCTGACAGTGATCAGGGCTCTGACAGTGATCAGGGCTCTGACAGTGGCCAATTTACATTATCAACCCAGTTGATAATACCAAATTATCTTGTTAATATTTTTAAGGTTTCCAGATAATGACCAAAAAAAAATTGAATATATGTGCACATGAAGCATAGACAGATGACCGTCATCACAGCCCTGATAGTAATGATAGTGATAAGTCATTGACTGTAGGAGACCTGGTGGCATGCAGTTATTCCTTTAACTCCCTGATCAAATTTGTAATTCTCCTTACTGTCAACCATACAATTCTTATAATGATAGTTCAGAGAATTTAATATTGGATCAACTAATTATCCCCAAATTGATAATTTTCTTTATTCTCATCACTTATCTGTTTAACATTGTATTGATATTGTAAGGAGAAATTCTGTCTTGGTCACTCATGGGTGTTAAAGGGTTATTCCACAAGACTTGGGATCAAGATGTCTAAGGGCAATACCTGGTCATGCTGTTGTTTTATCCCGAAGAGAGATACCTTGATCTTACTGTGTCTTTCTCCACCCAGAGGTATAAATTGTGTAGTGCTGCGCTTTCAGGGTAATTGACAGGTGGCGTAACTGGTAATGGTTGGCATTCTGTCGGTAGAGGCCAGCTACTCTTGGTGAAAATAAATACAACACATCAACTTGTATGAGTTCAGATCCCTGGTATTCTTGTAAACAATGACCACAACCATTTATGTACAAGTATCCATCCAGCAATTCAAAGTTCTTGCTTCTTAAAAATATTTCGCTCAAAACTAAATTTGGAAAAATCTACAAGCAATATGCATGGCATGGGAAACTGCACTCTGGGTATATTATCAGTGTGTATGAATGCAGTAAATCATGTGCTGACCAAGGAGTGTAGCTGTACCCCTGGTCACCTCATTCCACAGAAATTGAGATAAGTTTTGTTTGTGCAGAGTTGTTGATGTGACTTACTTTTTGTGCTAGGAGCTGCAGTTTTCTGACTGTTAGACAAATTATATGCAAGATGTCAAATCCTGCTACTTTACCAACACCTGTGAAGGACGTTCAAGGTGATAACAGATGGATGAGCATGGTGAGAAAAATAGGGAAATGGAGACTAGTCTCTAGGAACTTTGATTCTCCAAGTTTCCAGTCTCTCTCTTCATCCTTCCCTCCTGGAGTGAAAGAAGCTGTGTGAAGAGAGATCCAGGAAATTAGTGTGCTATAAAAAGCTCTCCCTGTTAAATTCTCAGTTATTTATGTCTTAATGATATAACTTTTAATTGCACTAAAACCATAATTTTTTAAGTTATTAATTCATTTGTTCCTTTTGCTAGCATGAGAGATTTTTACATGATGGCAAGTTTTCTCCATGTAATGTTTTATTCATTGGCGACTCACTGATTCGCAATATGAAGGAGACTGAGGTAATTGGTTAAGCTGGTAATAATATTGATCTGAAACATATCTTTTATATTGGCTAGTTTTAATTAACAATTGGTTCATATGTCAGCGTGCGTTCATTGAGATATGAAGCACATGGGAAGTTTGGAGAGCACAAAAGATGCGTAACTTCACAAGTGCTTCATATCTCGATGAACGCACAGCTGACGTATGAACCAATTGTTTTATCACATTTTCAACCTAAAGGAAAATTTTTTTTTGAGGGATTCGTTTGCTGATGTCATGAGCATGCACAATAGGAATATGAAGCATGCTTGCACAATTGAATTTGATTAGACAAATTTACTAGCTATGTTATAAACTGAATTCTATCTCAATCAACTCCAGAGTGAAGATATAACCTTCATTTGAACTGTAGAAATGATTCTGGATTGTAGCCTTCCATATAGCAGCTACAATTTTCCCACAATGGCTGGTACTGGCCAATATTAACCCACATTAATTTGGATGAATCAGTGTAGTTGGTAGGGGGGGAGAACAAAAATGTATTCAAGGTATGGTGGGGGGGAGGGAAAGAGGGCTAAAAGAGAAAAGTAGGTGCTGGTACTAGGGCATCTGGGAAGTTTCCAGGTTGAGACTGTAAGAAAGTGACTTTCCTTCCCTCCCCTGGCTCTGCCAATTCTTGTCCCTTCTGCGATGGAAGGAGCCAGTTTCTTGTGGCTTCTCGTAGGTAAATCATGTCATTTTTTTCTTTTCCTTTCATCCTATAGGCTTGGGATACTTACTTTGCACCCCTAAATTCTCTTAATTTTGGAATTGGAGGAGATTGTACAGAGCATGTGTTGTGGAGAATAGAAAATGGAGAACTGGATAATATTAATCCCAAGGTAAGGAGGCAGAGGTAGCAGCTACTTGCCAAGTCACCCAAAATTAACTAATATTATTTTCATTCTTTATAGCGAAGATTTTCAAGACAATACAAGATAATTTGGTTTTATCAACTGCATTAATAATGTAGATTGAAGATTGGAAACAGTTTCTAAAGCTGAGCATTACCTCTTCCTAAACCATTCAAGTTAATCATTCATTCTGATCAGAGAGCTAATGCTGGAAATGTCAACTTCAGAAACTCTTCATGGATGCCAATTTCCATTACCAATGTAGTCGATAAAACCAAATTAATCTTATTAATTAAATTTTTTTGATTTGAGCACAACTTTTTTTTCTTGATTTCAGGTTGTTGTATTATTGATTGGAACAAATAATCATCACAGTACAGCAGACCAAGTTGTAGAAGGAATTGAATCAGTTGTATGGAGTATAACAAGCAAGCTGCCTTCTGCAAAAATCATTGTACTGGTAAGATAAGATGGTTCTTTGCATTTTACAAAATGCCATGAAGTAGGATTGGTGGAATGCTATGCTTATTTAAGTGGGTTTGTAAGGAAATATTTAAAAACCATCTTAAGGAACATCCCATTTTGAAAGAAGGACATTTTGGGTGGGAAGCCTGTGTTCAATCACAGCGCCTGCACAGCTTAACCAACCTTAAAAAAGGAACTTATCTATATCTCCTCTCGTTCCAGGAACTTGTATCATCTTTCTTTTTCCAGCCTAAGGTTTTAATTTCCTTTCCTGATTAATAGGGTCTACTTCCACGAGGAAAACAGCCAAACCCTCTCCGCGAGAAACATTTTCAGGTGAACCATTCACTCAAAGAACTGATTGAGGCCATACCAAACTCTCTATATCTGGACTCGGATCCAGGCTTTGTCAGAAGTGATGGAGTTATTAGTCACGAGGACATGTTCGACTATCTTCATATGACCAGAAAAGGATACAAGAAATTCTGCAAACACATCTCAGAAGTCATTGTTAAATTTCTGAAATATTAGGTCTTAGTAAAGACAGTTTGTGCGTGACGTCACGTTTACCATTGTTTGTGCGTAAAAATGGGAAAAAATTTATAAATCGCCCGTATTGGTAGTCTCCTTCGCAAAGGCTGTTTGATATTGTCACGCAATAGCGCGTTGCGATATCAGATATTGCGTTACGAGATTTTGCGTTCCAAGATATTGCGTCACAAGATTTTGAGTTACGAGATACTGCGTTACGACACTTAACGTTAGGAGATATTGCGTTACGACATCTTGAAGTGCAAGAAATTAATTTCATCAATATGAGTGATTAAATAATGTGGTAGGGAATAGACTATTTTTTATTCAAATTATTTCTTCTGGTTTGATTCCCTGTAAAAATTTGACTTTTATCCATGTGGGTAAAAGGCACCTGTGTTCGCCGCCTTTTTTCAATTCAAGAAATGCCTTTAAAAATTATGTATTTAAAGACGAGGGTATGAAATTAAGTTTTCGAAAGTAAGAGGAATAGCTTAAATTATTTCTTCCCTTCGTGGAAACGAAACTAACTTAATATATGAATTAAGAGTAAAACTGCCAGTCAAAATTCAAAAAGGAATTTAATTTCTCAGCGTTATACATTATGAAACGACTTCGCTCGTCTTCTGGCATGAGCATGAAGTCGCGTCAAATTCATTTAGTGATATGACATCCCGAGACTGGATCTTCGCAGATCTTTGGTCGTTAAGTACATACATTACAATACAATGAAAAATTCAAACTATTAAAAATAATTTAAAGGTCACTGCCAGAACAACCCATTCAACTTTAATATTTTAAAACATTTGGGAAGCAACTGACTAGTTTCTTTTGTCGTTTATGGCTTAAAAATATATTTGCATTTTTTTTATAATTGCAAAAATTCGTGTTTACAGTACAATTCACCAAAAAACATCACACGTAAGTTCAGTGTGGGTAAGACTAGTTAGGAAGTGTGAGGAAATATGTCAATTAGATTGAAAATAAAAGATGATAGCGGTGTATAATATCCAATAGACTTATCTCGTGTTTTTTAAACCATGGTTTTGTCGAGCACTTTAGAGAAAGTAATGTAATTGTTCTTTTATTTCACCCTGTGATTGGTTTAGAAAATTTGCACGACCAATCAAAAGAAGAGAAAAAGAGCCGATGAGAACTCATCAGGAAAGCAAGCAAACTTCCTAAATCGCTGTAAAGGCGGGTGATCGAGTCACGAATAGATTTCAGTTTTGAATCTGATTGGTTGAGAAAGTTACGCGAGTTTTCTGCACCAATCATAAGAGAAGTAAAGTAAAACAGATTCAATCTCAGATTACTTTTAATGAACCCGTAGCCAGTGTCAATCTAGTCTAATAGAGATTTGGATCGTTCTCTGCCACGCGGTGAGTGAATAATGACCAATTCTTCAAACTTGGTTACCATTTCAATGCGAAAACATGGCGATATCTGAGGTGAATGACCAAGGACGTTCTCCGGGGAACTGGAACCCACTTCAGACTCGTCACTTGATGGTGGCTTTAAGGAGAGGAAACTGGAACCGATCTCATCCCGATCACGTGTAGCGCGGCCACTAAATTTCTTTTCAAAACTGGAAACCATATTTGACTGATCACGTGGTGATGGTCCTGGAGAGAGAACATCATCAAATTCATCTAGTGGAAGTGTTATCTGCGGAGCGCTGATTGTCTCTTGATCTCGAAAACTGACAACCTTTGACAAATTTATCTCCACAGGGCCACCTTTCTCAGTTTTAGATTCATTCAAACTACGTTTTTCTCGTCTGCGTCGAAGAAGATTCGACTCTCTCACGTCAGTCAAGCAAAACCTGTTTCTCCGTTGATTCAGATTATGTAAAATGCCTCTTTGTTCCTTGTTTCGACCAGTCGTTGCTCCTTCTTCGTTGGCGTTCAATGAGCACCTCTCTCCCCTTTGCCTCGCGTACGGAAATTCAGAAATATTCTTGGAATATTCATAGTTTTCTGCCAAAGTCCTTGAAGTCACCAAAGTCACCTGTATTTCCGTGCAGACCCCACTGATGGGATCAGATTCTTCATTAGCCAGCATCCGTTGTGCGTCGACACAAGTTATCCTTTCTGTAATTTCACCACTCATCTTGAAAGTAACTTCGTTTCTGCTATAAAAAAGCGGATGAAAATTCTGCTCTTCGGTTCAGTTAATCACCTCCTATCACGGGAAACAACCAAGTAGATTTCCAGAAAAAAATGAGGAAACAAATAATTAGGCACGATTTATATATCGGTAATTAAGAGTCGTGTTGGGATTCTTTAATCAAAAATCAGCCGACACGACTTGCGCAACTTTTTGTGACGTCTAATATGTAAGACAGATCATTTCGCAATATGAATTCAGCTTAATTGTTATCTAAATTAGTTTTCTCTACTCTTGAAGTTTATTTCATGGAACAAAAATTATATTTAGTGGTCATTTTTTTTCTCAGGGAGGGGAGAGAGGGATTCGGTGGATTTTTGTTGAGTCACGATAAAATTCACCTGGTCCCCTCTAGGGCTCTGCGATATTCTCACGATCCCCCTCGTTGACAGTGAATTTCCTATAGTCTCTCCTTTAAACTACGTTGGCGACAACTGACCTCCTACGTTCCCCTGGAAACTAAGTGTTCCCCCCTAAAATTCTCCAACCCACCCCTCCCCCGCGACAAATAATGACGAGTTTCTTACCTAAAAATATCTTTTAAATCCAAGTTTTCTCTCTGGTTTTCCACTTTTTTTCAGCGTTAAGACTTTGTCGGTGTTCAAATCAGTAACTGAAGTTCATTTATAAGTCCTTATTTGGCATATTTCTTTCACAATAACTTCTCTGAATAACCCAGCTCCTTAATTGGAAATCTGATCAAGCGAGAACGTTGCGCAATCTGGGTGTGCCAAACACCGTATTTTACATATAAATCTGCCATTTAAGTCTTAGAGAGATTTAACAACAGCAATTTCGAAGAAAGACCTCTTACTGCCGTCTGTTTCGCCTACGGTTATCCTGTCGTGGTTTGGTTTCGTCTTCCTCTGCTTACAGTCCCTTCTCAGCCGTCTGTTACACCATCGACAACTGCTTATGGAAAAAATTATTGGGGATAAAAAGACCGTAGTTACACCCTCGATAAAGATCATTAATATTACCAACTGTCGTCGAGAAAAAGGTGAGACAAGAATTTGGTCTGTTTGATTTCTATGGTGACATGAGGTGACCCACCCAACGACGTCAATCATCAAGATAATTTATTCTAATTGACGACCACAAATCAAGAACCTTCATATTTTCCATGGTTTGCTACAAATGAAGGATGTTCATACGCATCGAGGAAGTTTTGAAATCACAGTGGGTATACTACTTTTCCATATTTGGGTCAATGTTAAGATGTTCCTGTTTTTACCAGCCGTTTCCTGAATTTTGCTTTGGACGGAGTGTTTACTACATGTAGTTCGTCAATAAATGGAAAAGTATTCTTTTAAATGACTTCTACGATTAACTAATTCCATATTTGGTCATGAGAAAACGCGGGTAGAAAAAAAATGCATCTCATTGGTTGAGAAAATGGTGCAAGTTTTCAGGACCAATCACAAAGCGTGGTGATATTAAAATGAAATTCCGGGTTACGATCGACAATTTTCAATGGAAGCACTGTTCAAATGAGTGTGGAAAGTAATTCGGATTGCTTTGGCCTAAGTTTGCTTCGTGATTGGTTGCGAGAACTCGCGCGCTTCTTACTCGACCATTCGCATTCAAAACTGAAACCAATTTTGACTTGGTTACTCACGCCATTCGGCGCTGAGAGCACTTGACTTGTTTTAATTTGAGTACTCATCGGCTCCTGGTGGTATTTACCTTTGTTCTGATTGGCTGTGAACGGGCAAGAAAACGCGCGCTTTCTTTTTCAACCGATCGGATTCAAACTATGACCAATTGGCGTTTTTCCGCGCTATGAGCTGTTGGCTTGTTTTCATTTTGAATTCTCATTGGTTCGTTTTAATAAAACTCGCGCGCCCATTTTGTTCAATCACATGCAAAACTCCAGTCAACTGTTACGTGGACAGTCAAAGTTTTTAACTTAAGTTCCCATCGGCTCCTTGTGGTATCTTCCTTTTCATCTCACTGGCAGGTGTAATAACTTTTATTCTGATTTTTAGACACTTGCGTAAAATACGCTTTTCTTTTAAACCACAATTCCAAATTGCTTTGGATCAACGCAAAACATTTTACCTGTGTCGTGTATGATGATAAAATAGCTGCAATATTTGACAACAGTTTCGGTAGTTTACATGGCGCCTACAGTTCAAATACTTGCTTCCTTTCCTTCAGGAAACATTATTTATCCTTGGTTTTGATGGATCAGTTCATCCGAAGCACAAATAATTGTGTCAATAACAACCTTTGAGCCGGATTTCTCTGCTGCTTTCCGCTGATGTGTTCGCAAATTTGAAAGCTGGTTAAAAAACTTGTCACAATGGTCACATTTATATGGTTTCTCTCCAGTATGAACTCGGAGATGTGTCTGTAAATTTGACCCGCGATTAAAACACTTGTTACAAAAACTACACTGAAAGGGCTTTTCTCCTGAGTGTATTCGCTGATGTCTTCGCATTGTGGACCCGGTCTTGAAAGTCTTTTCACATTGATCGCACTTGTAAATTCTGCTTCCACGATGCTTCATTTCGTGTAGTTCCAAACTTCGCGAATTCTTAAAGCACTTGTTACAGCGTAGACATTGAAAGGGTTTCGCTCCGGTATGTATTTCCAAATGCCTGCGTAGGCTTGAAGACTGCGTGAACTGCCTGTTGCAATGGTGACACGAAAAAGGCTTCTCGCCGCTGTGAGTTCGCAAGTGAACTCGCAAATTAAGCGATTGTGTGAAACGCTTGTCACACTGAGTACAATGATAGAGTTTTACTCCGCTGTGCATTCTTAAATGCCTTGTCAAACTCGACAAGCGGTTAAAAAGCTTATCGCACTGAGTACAACTGTATGGTTTCTCGCCGGTATGAACAACGATATGTCTTTGATAACCTGACTGAAGTTTGAACTCTTTGTCACAGTGTGGACATTTGAAGGGTTTTTCGTCGCTATGAACCACCAGGTGCCTTTTCAAGGTGGTCGAGTGTCTGAAGCGCTTTTCACATTGATTGCACTGGTATCGCTTCTCGCCAGTGTGAACCAACATATGCCTCTTCAACCCTTGCGAGTCTTTGAAAGACTTGTCGCATTGAATACAATTGTAGTTCTTCTTGTTATTTGACATTTTGTAATACTGGAAAGATAATCTGAAAAAAAACAAAAAACATACAATATGTTGCTACCAGGAGTCTCACCCCTTAGACCCAAACATCAGTATTCATAATCTCCATACTGCTCTCCATACATTTCTTTAGGTGCTGTAAGGAGAATCTGAGGAACAATCAAGAACCTCTCTTGTTGGTGATCATTTCCTCCTTTCTCATGACCTTAATTTGTAATTCAAGGGTGATATTGTATGAAGAAATTAGATCCTAATCACTCTTAGGGGTCAGAGGACATAAAAGTTCATAAGTGCAGCTGTCAACAATGTACTTGTAAGAATAGAAAGTCATAATATCTGGAAATTATTCAAACTGATTTAAGGATTTTCAGAAAAATGCAAAAAGAGGTTGAAATACGGCTATCTTGACTGGCTGAGCTTGAATGATTAAGATTTCTTATGTAACTAAGAAATGGCGACAAAATGGACAACCCCCAACAGGCATCATGGATTCATTTTGTTCACTCAGGTAGTCAGTCAGAACTTGGGATTCACTTCACCTTACCAGCTTGTAGAGTCAACTTTACAAGCCAGATATAAAAGTCAGTTTGTGAGTTGAAAGTCCATTTGGCTTAAACCAATCCCTTTTTCAGTATTACAAGTACCTAGTAGCATGACTACAGCAGGTTACCCCTGCTCTTTTGGCAGGTGTTCTCTATTTTGCTAGTACTGATAAATACATTGGAAGAATAGGAGCACAAAGAGAGTGCAGAATATTGCCCAGGAACAAAACACAGACACTCAGCCAAGGATCAAATCTGAAACCTGCTAAAACAGTCCAGAAAGCAGTTGTAACCTTACTTAATACATTCTGAGTGGAAGAAAAGATCACCTGCAATAGATACTATAGCAAAGGGAATGAAATATCTGTGATCAGTGACTGTGATATGGGCCTTGCTCACTACAGAGTCCTTGTGGCTCAGTGGAAGAGCATCGGAGTGCAGAATCTAAAGGTCTTAGAATGGATTCTTCATGGGGACTCAGTATTTTTTCTTTGTCCCATGTTCATGACAAGACAAAAAAAACATCTTTCTCTATTTCTTTAGCAACCTCAAAAATTAGCATCTTTCTTATTCGATTTACAAGACAGTGATATTGTTCCTCAACAAAAATATGGTAACGTCTGATATGGATTACAAAGTTTCTACTGTACACCTCAAGGCACCTTAAGGTGACAATGTCACACCTTTATCACAACCTTTTGGAGTTCAATCTGACAAAGGGCTAACACTCAAAACATCAGCTTTGAAACTCTATGCAATGGCCAATTTACATTATCAACTCAATTGATAAGACTAAAATACCCTGTTATACTCTCCCACTGACGCAACAAAACAGTTTGTTTGGAAACTTACCCCCTTTAATCGTTAGGAGTAATGACTACAAATGGTAAGATGAACGGTAATCATGTAACACAATTGACCACAACCCCTTTTCACAGTGTCTATGAACAAATTCCTAAGTTTCTTCAATTTCCTTTTCAGCAAACACAGGAGTGTCAGTTTTTCAAGTGAAAACTCGTACGCGTGACAAGATTGCACCTCGTTACTCCTGCTTGCGAGTAGCCCAGAGGGACTGGGTACAAATAACAGCGCATAGCTAGAACTGCAAAAGCTAAGAGTGAAACGATTGCTTGGGGAAAAAAGAACCCGAAAAAATAACGTGTTAAGCAGATGTTGCAATTTTTACAGTACAAAGACTAGACGATTATCAAATGTTCGATCGATTTCGACTGTATTACAGTTGATATCAACAGTGATTGTACGCCGATCAACAGTCGAAGCTAATCATTCAATAGTTCGCTTTGGTTGTCAGATCAGTCCAAATTAAGGTCGATTTCGTTCCGATCTGTTTCTTTTTCTCTCGCAAAGTAATAAAACATAAATAATATACTCAACCGGCAAATAACGCACGGAAAACCATCAGACCTCAATTTCACATCTGACTGGCCCGTACATCTGAGCTCAAGCTCAAATTGTTACGTGATACCAAGAACGAACGAAAGTCAAAAACAGATTAAAGTTTACGTAATGGCCAAAATGAGACATTTGAGGCTGATTACTAACCTTACTCAACGCTCGAAAATCAGCTCAATCAAAACAGGAGCAAAACCTCTTCCACAGCTGAGCACGTGACCGAATCTTTGTCACGCGCATGCTTACACAGTAGAATTTCGATGATTCTCAAACGAGAGCCTGTCTCGGGACTCGAACCCTCGTGGATTCGATCCCTCCTGAGGATTTTTTTCCTTGCCCACGCTCGTCACAAGACGAAAAAACGTCTTTCTCTGATTATTTTTGTTGTTGTTGTTGTTGCTTTATTTGTTTGTTTGTTCTTGTTTATGCAGAGAGGGATCGAAACAGCTCATATGCAAGTTTCCCGGCTCTAATAAACTGAATTTGTTTTTGTAAACTATTAAAGAATGTAATTCAGCGAAAACAGGTCGAAAGATGATAACAGTTTGAAGCAAGACACTCTACGAGCTTAATACGATAAAATCTTTAGTAAATTTCTCTCGTCCGTACCAATGGGAATCAAGTATATCACAAATTTAAAACAAATACGAATTTAAACATGATATTTTAAGGAAAGGTTCGGGTTACAGGGGGAAGAGTGAATTGTTATTGGGAAAGGCCGAAGTTTGATTGGAGATTTGTTCATTAAGGAGGTCCCTTGCTAACGAAGATTTCTATTTATCGAAAAAAATTACCGAAACTGCCGTATAAACAATCTTAAATTGGCTAAATTCTCTTGCTAAAAGGCATTGCATCAAAAAACGTCTCCGAGTTTCATCAGTTCCTTAATGGAGCTACGAAAAGAAATGGCGCAGTAACTTTGTTCAACGGCATTCAAAACATCTATTGAAAAAAAGAACAAAACAACCTCATTAACAGTTAAGCATCTAAACTGAAAAAATATATCCCATGCCTAGAAAGTTAGAAAAAAATTTCGAGACCCTATTGTTATTATTTGACTTTAGAGCTCGTTATTCCAATCAACCAAGCTGAAAAATACTTCGACGATTAAGAAACAATAAGGTCGCATATTTTCAGTTTTTTTCCCTTTTTTTCATTCTTCTTTCAGAGGGTGGGATTTTTCCTTCTCTTCACAAAAATTAACTGAAAATACCATAGAGCGCTTAAACCTTCTTACAATCATCGACATTCATTAAATCTAGGTGTCGTCTCTTCTAGAGTTCCAGCCATTGAAATTCTACTCAACGTTCCCGATGATTGACCAATTGATCAGTAATTGTGTTTTTTGTGGTGACGCTCGCAGTTTCCTCAAATTTCGATCCCAAAATACGTTTCTTTTTCGTCCGCTTTTCTTTCAGAAGTGCTGCAAGCTGTTTCGGATTACCTTGATTTGATGCCAGCTGCATTTGAAACTTGGGAATTGAAAAATCGCTGACTGAGATTCTGTTTGAGGAATTCCCATGATGGCCGGGCCAAACTTCATATTCCCCGCGTGGAGGGCTTAGGAACAGAACTGTCGATAAATTATCATCTCCTTGGAGAAGGTTTGAAGAGTCTGTCTGGTTGAAACTCCAAAAGCAATCTCCTGATATTTCATTCATTTTCCCAAATGCTGTTGTACGTGTTGTAAAAATATATTTTTCGTTTAACAGTTCACAACACTTCCTGAACTGATGATCAAAACAGGATCTTCGATTAAGAAATTAATAATTTGACACATATTCTTCTTATTTTCTTGCGTGTGATGACCAAAAATGGAATTATTTACTTCCTATAGCAGCTCAGAAAATAGGCGAGTTTTGACATCATCCTTCAACGTACGTCACTCAGCGAGTTGCCAGGTAACGTACCAGTACGTGGTGGTCTTTGTCGGCGTAGAGGTGTTGCGTATTCCGAAAAAAAACGTAGAACGAAACTTACTAAGTTTTTAGCAAGATTAAGGTCGTTACTCAATACTAGGGTCCTGGAAAGGAAGTGGAGTGGAAAAACGGAAGATGGGAGGGGGGAGGGGGAGAGGGGGAAAGGGGGTGGGGCAGGGGGCAGAGAGCAAACAAAGAAAAAAATTAGGAAGGTAAGTCTGCATACGAACTTAGTGGCCTATTCCGTCAGAGCTTAAGAGGTGACAAAAGGTATTGCTACTCTCCCTGAAATGCTACTCTAACACAGGTTGCCCAGTACCCATTTGGACTCTCAGATAGGTCGATTCACCCCTCTGGATTGTGAGAATTAAGTATCTTGCCCAAAAACACAACACTACAGATTGGTTTTTTACACCAGGTCTCACCTAAACCTCAGTTTTAGGCTAGCAGTGGACCTCAAGCTTTCTCTATGAGAGGGTGGATTTAATCAAATAAATTTCCTTCCACTGCAAGCTTTTGGCCTTCTTGACAATGCCAGTCACAAAAATAATTATTCAGATAAAGACTGAGCCAAACTGAAGATAGTTAGGAACATGGTTTTGTTAAACAACAGCTGAACTTTGTTTAAATAACAGTTACTGGCCTATGACTCAACCAGGACTTGAACCTGCATTGCACAGGTCGAAAGCATCACTGGAAAAGAATGAAGGTCCATTCAAAAATTCCTTAACATTTATTTTACCTGAATATGCAATTCAATTCAGACAATTTGGGAAAAATTCTAGTCTAAAAAAACATAAAATCCTTGGTGATGTGTCACTCCCAATAACAGATAGGATATATGACAGGAAAAATACTAGGAGTTTGATGTTAACACCAGGGACTGTTTTTTGGACTTTTATAGTGGAAAAAATATGGACCTGTTCCAGAATTTTCTCATAAATAATCCATTGTGTGAATGTAAGCTCTAACAAAGAGCTGCCCTCCAATGTGCTCTTGGTTCGACTTTCAGTCCTATTTGTGTTTTAAATGAAACAACAATAGATATTTAAATCAGATTTACATATTTGTCAAACTAGAAAGTCTATAATGTGGTCAGTGCAAAACTTAACCCTTTAACTCCCAAGATCTGATTGTTAATTCTCCCCTCTGGCTGCTACACATTTCCTTGTAAATAAGTCATGAGAATTTGGTGTTAGATCAAGGGTACTAACTTTTACCTGATAAGTTTGAGTATTCTTATAACATGTTAGCTGGATAATGTGTGGATGTTATGGGGAGAAGTTATCTGTTAATCACTAATGGGAGTTAAAGGGTTAACAAAGCAAATTAGGTGTATTTTAGAACTCCTCTGCTTCCCTATATTTTTTCAAGTCACAAAATTCAAGTTTGATTCACAGGAAATAAGCCAGTGCAGCAGCAGCACCCATGGAACCAATAAACACAAACCAACCAGTCTTGTAGAGAATATTCATGTCAAAGCCAAAACCAAGATCCCATGCCTGAAAAATAAAACCAAACAAACAAACAAAACACAATAAGTATTGTTGTGTTAATTTTCATCAACCCTCTTGGCCAGGGGGTTGTCCATGTAATCTGCTGTTTTGATTTGTAATACATACCAAATGTCTGATCCCATTGAATGAATGGTAACACAGTGGCCATGCCAAGGCAGTTTTTCCACTGAAGATTATAAAAGCTGGGATTTCTAAAGCTTTCACCAAATTTAAATAATGCTCAAAGTTCTCTGGCAGTCCAAGAGCAGCCAGGGCAAATCCAGTTGTCACTGAAAGCACAAACAATAATTGTTATGTAAATGTCATAGAACAGATTATGAAATCAGTACACTGACACTTCCAATTTCCCCCATCTTCCATGGGCAAGGAGAGTAAAAAGACCATCCCCCATCATGGACATAATTCATCTCTATTCAGTTACCTGTTGTCATAGCAATTCCTGTTCCACGGTGAGTTATTGACAACATTGAAGTCAACTGTGGACTGAGTGAAATAAATGAACCAATAAATCATCTTCGTTAAAAATGGAAAAAAATTCACACATAACATCATCAAACACTAAGTCTCACACATAAAGCATATCAGTTGGTCTTCTCTACAATTTCCTAAATCTCCAAGAATAAAAAAAAATTTGGAGAAGTTTCCTATAAAAAAAGGGGATAAATCAAATTGGACTTCTATTTGACAAACAGCTGGATATTCTTTTAAACTATCGGGTTTAGATCCAAAACCTTGCAAAAGGGGGAGGAGGGGGAGGGGGAGAAAAATTTAAGCAAGAGAGCAAGCCCCCCCCCCCCATTGCATTTAGTGCGGATTTTCGGGTGAATTTTTGTCTATAGCTGTGAGCTTTCAATTGCAAATTTTGATTGTTGTTTATATATTTTTGTTGACACAAACAGCACTTGATATTAAGAAAGTTCATTCTTGTCCATGAGAATGGGAACCAAAATTCAAACATCTTCAGATTTCTAGGGATGGGCATTTCAGAATTTTTCTTTCTTTTTCCTAGAATCAGTCAATACTTTTTTTTTTGGAGCATATAAGTTGTAAAATGAACATTGTACCTGTAGATTGTTAAGTGAGGTGACATTGGTCTGTTCAAACGAGTGTTTTTGGACCAAAAGTTTTCCTGCTTTCGAGCTAAGGTCGAAGTAGTAATTGGAATACTGAAAAAAAATTGAAAAATAATGTTTGCATAACAATAATCAGAAAAAAGAAACGAGTAGTAAAAGCAAAGTAAATTAAAGACGTGGTAAATGACACACACAACTATCCAATCCACTTTACCTTCGCATTAGCGCGGATGATGGTCGATAGCATCCTTTGACTAACACTGAAGGAAGCCTGGCTGAGTTCCTACATAATCAAGAAACGATTTAGCAACAACAGTGACTGAAAATCAACAAACATTTCGCTCGTAGTTTGCCACAAACCTCAGAAGAGCCGCCATCTTGCAATACTATCGTAGTGTATTATGGGAAATATACGAATGACGAAATTTGGGGGAAATGTTTTGGAGAAGAATCCAAGAAATTTGAAAGAGACTTGGAAGATATCAATAGCCTTCAAGTATTTTGCTTCTTGACCCCTAGGAGTATTTCCTTTTTTTTTTTCTTAAAAAAAGCAATAATGTTTTTATTTTGTGCATTATTGCGTGTTACCCATGAATCTTTTAGAGGCTCGAATCTTGAGAAGCCGCACGCGTTACGTAAGAGAGAGCTGGGACGGAATTAAACTAGCAAGATGGCGGCGATATTTTACTCTCGTCTTTGTATAAGAAACAGTGGTCGTTTAGGTCAGAACTTGCCATTCTTCGAACGTAAATATACGAGAGTTTTCGTAATTAATTATTTGTTTTCTTATCAACAGTGAGTTCACTTGCACGGCCTGCTTTTGCTTCCTCGCCTATTTCTTGCTCACCGAGAGTTCAAAGTGGTAAGTTACACAATTTTGTCAGGGGTCTGAATGCTTAGAATGAGATCTTTACTTATTTTATTTGTATGATATTTTTGTTTTTTAGTGGTTTTCAAAAAGACAGTGCATTCCTCGGCAAATCGCAAAGCTGAGCTTGGTAAGTAAAAGAAAAGTTTTCGTGTACATTTTGTAGTGAAAATTTAAGATTTAACTCTTGCACAATGTTGTTATCATAACAGAGGATAGGTAAGAAGTCTGAAATTGCTTCTTCAATAGCTAATTTTAAAAAAATCTAAAAATAAATAGTACAGGAAGAGTTTATTCCTGATGAAAAAAATGGTGCTGTATTTTATTAAAGTGGGTATTCTGAGTATCATGCCAATTAATAAATATTCACCTAGTGGAATAATTGTTTTAGTATATACTCAGACAATTATTGTTATGACCACTGAGCTATCAGAGAAACCAGACAAAATGCGCAGAGACAATATTCTTTTTTTTACCCTCATCAGAAATTTCCCCATCACAGCCATCAGCCCATTGGAAGGGAGAGCGCTATGTCAGTGTGGCACTGCTGACATTGATTCCTGCAGGAATCATTTACCCATCAGCTGTTGTGGACTGGGCTCTAGCAGTTGTTGTTCCTCTTCATAACCACTGGTGAGTCAGATCTGATCAGAGTTTCCTGTTTCCATAGCTCATTCAAAATGCATCAATAGTAGGCTTTGAAACATCTGATCAAGCATTGATATGTTCAAGCCTCTTGCACAGGAGAATTTTTATCACAAATTATTTGCTTTCAAAATATTCCTTTCAATATGGAGTACTACAACAATTTACATTCTCCATTAATTTAAACTGGAAAACTTTGAAAATTGTGAACTCAGAGAATATTTGAATAACAATCTGTCTAAAAAATATTGCCAATTTGGCCAGAGAGAAATAAACTGCAAACAGCAGTTGTACTAGCTTGTGGGCTAATGTTTGCTTGTTGCAATGTCCTAAACTTTATTGTGATTGGTCAATAAGCAGTTGACGTGACAAAATAAAATCATCGGTTTTATCAGTTTTATAGCGTGGTGACTAGAAGTGGACTTTGAACTTTGAATGAGATCAGAGGATTTTTTGTATTAGACAGGATTCCTTTGTGCTACCAAGAGTTTAGTATATGTTTTGAAAAAAAAGTTAAAAAACTAAGAGATTGTGAGGTCCTTTGTTGGTGTCAGCTAATTTCTGACAAGGATAAGAAATTGTAAATTATATACATCTCCATTATTCTGGACCTTAGCATAATATTCTTCATCGATCCACAGGGGTGTAGGCCAAGTGTTAACAGACTACATTCATGGTTCATCTATGCCAAAAGTAGCCAAGGGAATTTGGCTGGCTGTGTCAATCTTACAGTTTATTGGCCTGTGTTATTTCAATTATGCTGACGTTGGAATCTGCAAAGCTGTCAGTATGATTTGGCATATGTAACAACTGATATGATTGTAAAGTTGGGATAATTGTCAGTATCTAAGTAACTGAACACCTATCCTTCCGTAACCCTGCATTAACCTTACTTTTCATCAGTTGACTATTTTAAGGTAATAGGGGAGGGGTGGATGCACAGGTCCTCAGTTACAGACATTGATCCTAAAGTTGAATATTTTTTCATTTGATCTGTTATGGATGACATGGTTAAACTTCATGTTCATGGACGCCCTTCCTTTTAGGAAGGGTATTTACATAAATAAGTTGTTAAAATGCTGTTATGGTCACATCTTATGGTGATCCACTACTTACCAAGGTCTGTATCAGATTATCAAAATCCAGAATTGTACAATCCTTTTATTTGTAACTAACAGCAGTCTAGGAGGATTTGAGGGAGTCCATCAAGCTTTAAAGATGGGAAATTCTTCAGCTTCTATAGAGAATTCTCTGGCTAAATTTTGATGGCCTAAGCTAGTTTTTATTCAGACTTGGAGATCTTATTACCCTTTTAAACCCTAAGAATGACCAGCATCTTATTTCTCCTTACAGTCATACAGAGATAACTGTAAGCATTGACTGATTAGTCTGTTTGTGATAATCAAGTGTTATTCAAAGCCAGATAGCTGTTTTTTATGTGACGATACTTAAAGTTAATCAAAGTCATAGCTACTGACTGTAAGATGCTGACCAAGACCCTTCATCTCTATCGCAAAATATCGCATCTCTATATTGCAGTATTAGCCAGAAAATGCATTCTCTATGGCTTTAGGTCTTGTTACCGCCCATAATATTCACACATGATTAGCACAGGCAAGTTGAAAATTGATAGCTTTATCTACAGCTGGAGCTTTCCATAGAGTTACTGAATTTTCAGTATGCTTAAATAAGTAAGTAACTCAGAGCAGCAAAATAAGGAGTGATTAATATTGGGGTGCAGTGATATTTAACAGAAATTAATAAATTCTACAGTTTTGTTGTAATAATATCTGGGCAAGTATCTTGAAAAAAAGGATAGCTCTTTTCAGGAATAGTACTCTTCTTTCAGTTAAGTGAAATATTCTGGTGACATTTTGTTGCACTCTCTTTGAAAAGTTATTACATGATTGCTTGTTTCTGGTTTGTGAATGCAATTAAGTTTTACACCTTGATTATAGTGGCCTTTGTTTTGATGCATGTCATGAGAGCAGAGTGCAAAAAGTAATATGGGGTTGCTTTGATTTTGGTTTCTTTGCATAATGATTGGTCCAGGAAATTTGGGACATTTCCTTGACCAAGTTGCTCTCCAGACAGTTCAGTCAATGGAGCATATGATTGTGAAATTTCAACTTGCGAGGGCTCATACCTCCTTGGAGACTCGACTCTGATGTTTTTCCCTGCTCCCACTTTCTCCACAAATGTTAAACTTTTTTCTCCTATATGACCAAGTTCAAAATTTAAGATCTTCTTAATCAGAAATTCCAAAGGAAGAAGTCAAAGAAATTCATATTTTCCTCAAAAAAAAGTCAACGGGTTATCCCTCTCCGCTTCTTTCATTCGTCAGCTTCGTGGACCCCATAGTCGTAAAAAACGCTCCCGTCTCCCTCTCCTAGAGTGGATTCGTTTATTTCCTTAGTCTCCAAGCCTGCTTTAAAATTACCTGGTTACCAAGACCTGCACCTGTTCTTCTCTGGCTCGTCATGTAAAAATTTACTTCCTTTAAAACAAAAGATCAAGTGATCAGATGGTAGCGAGGTTTTACTATGATATGGTTCTCAAGACTGAAAAGGAAATCCCGCGGTAGTATTGTTAAATTGTGGTGAGATCGAAGACGTAGAGGTAAAGAAAATAGTCGTTACGCGCGAACCTTGATCGAGTGGGTGATTCTTCACATAACCGTGAAATGATCTATGTTACTGCATTGTGGCATAACTTCAAAAGGAAATCAAATAAGATAGACAAACTTCTGTGATAAACCAGCATGGAATTCGATCACGTTTTGCGGATAATTGGAGAATTTGGTCCACATCAAAGAAGGTTGTATGCGTTGCTTAATTTATCGCTTATTCCCGCTGCATTTCAACTGCTATTACAAGTGTTTGTTGGAGCCGAACCAAAATGGATTTGTTTGAATTCTTTGTCGAATGAAACATGCCCCAGGAATAAATCACACTGTTCGGAAGTCCAGTACACTTCAGAATTTACTTCAATCGTCACAGAGGTGAGATCAGTACTAATTTTTATTTTCAATCTTTATTCGATAATTTTTTTTTTGCACTGCACAGAGTGTAGTATAAATTAGCATTTTGGCTCCGATAAAACATTTAATGAACCAATTTTATGCATGAACGATAAAGCTTTCTTGACGAATTTTTGTGTAACTTGTATTGACTTCTTTAGAGTCAAATGTTTTCCAAGTTGTGGATTCACACACCATATATCGTGATTTCTTTTTTTTTTTAATAACCTTGTCATAATTTTTATCGTTGCTAAGTTATGCACTTGCTCTAATAAAATTCCCTCCCGCTGAATATTTTTAGCGGATCACTTTTGCTCTGCAGTCCATTGTTTTTCATTTTTGGTACTGTCTATTTTCCAATTCGAACGTGTTTGTAGCACAGAAAAAGTCAGGATTTTTTAAAATTTTTTATACTATTGGGTCTAGCAACCCATTCATTTGCCGCTTTTACGGTCCATCGCACATTCAGCTCTTCAAAGGATCTTTACTATTGAATTACATAAAATAATTTAATTTAGAGAGGGTAAAACGCAGTATAGTTGTAAATTGGTATTAATATTTGGTCCTCTCTTGAATAACAAATAACTTAAAAATAAAAAAAAGGTTTTTTAAAAATGATTAAAACGCAAAAAAAAGTAATGATAAAAATATTCCACATTAACCCTTTAACTCCCAAGATCTGATTGTTAATTCTCCCCTCCAGCTGCTACACATTTCCCTGTAAATTAGTGATAAGAATTTGGTGATAGATGATAAGTTTTAGTATTCTCATCACCCATTTGTTGGATAGTATATGGATATATTAGGGGGAAGTTACATGTTAATCACTTCTGTGAGTTAAAGGGTTCATGATCTAAAAAAATTGGGTTGAAAATATAGATTTATGGTATTGTAAAGTGATCAGAGTCTATTTACATCATTCTTGAAAAATTTAAAATAGTTTTGCTTAAAAAGCAAATGGTGAAGCTTGATCTTTTAATTACTGAATAAAAGTTTTGAAATGGGTATTACACATATTGCCTAATTTATTGATAATATTATCCACAGTTCATCTCTTTTGGAATGGGAATGGATAGGAAGATCCATCTTCTTACTTGCCCCTTTCCTCGGCCACAGACACGCTGTAACTACAATATTATTATCAATTGGAAATGAATTAACTTCTTCAAGATAAATAAATCAACCCTTCAACCCCTAAGAGTGACTGGCATCTAATTTCTCCTTACAAAATCACCCCTGAATAAAACATTACAGTCATGAGAATAATGGAAATGATCAACAAATAAAGAAGCTCTTGATTGTTCAACAAATTCTCCTTGTCAGAACTGAAAGAAAAGTGCAGAGAGCGTATGGAGAATATATATATACTGATGACAAATTTGATCTGGGAGTTAAAGGGTTAAACCAATAATACGACGCATTAGACCCAATTAACTCTAACTGAAAAGAGAGTAATATTATTCGAATAATTCATTGTGATAAATTATTTTAAATATGTGAATTTTTTTTATTTTCAGTGGAACCTGATATGTGAAAATTCATACAAAGTGGATTTAGTTCAATCTGTTCTCATGGCTGGGACTTTAGTAGGTGCTGTTATCCTTGGAGCCTTGGCCGATAAATGTGGAAGAAGGAAAATTTGGTACATTTCATTCACCGGGCTTGTTTTATTTGGCTTTGCAAGTTCATTTGCTCCAACGTACAAAATATATGCTTTATTGCGATTTTTGACTGGATTTTGTATTGGTGGTGAAATATTATCTGCCTTTGTGTTGGCAACAGAACTGATTGGTCCGTCTTACAGAGGGTTTGCTGGCACTATGGCACAATGTTTCTTTACATGTGGGCTTTTAATTCTCCCAATTGTTGCATATTTAATTCGTGACTGGAGGACATTGTCTGTTCTGCTGTCTTTGCCATTTTGTGTTTTTATATTATTTTTTAGGTAAGTACAAATTCTTTTTTCAATTCTTAGTTGTTTTGACTCAGCAGGTGGTATTTGTTTTGGAAGCAATCAATATACAGAAATTTGTCTTTTACTGTGACCTTAACTTAACTTAATTTATTTATGGTCTCACTCATTTAGTCATGGGAAAGCAAATATTTTTGGATAATCTCTTCAGTTAATTCAAGCTTGAACTTTGAAAAAAACAATGAGAATCTTATGACTTTTACATCACATATTGAAGTCTGAAAATAACTTCTTTAAAAGTGTTGAGGTAAGGTGAAGCTTTAAATCCCAGAAGTGATTTACATGTAATTTCTCCCTATAATATCCAGACATTATCTAGCAGGCAGGTAATGAGAATACTCAAACTAACCAGGTAGAGGTTTTTATCTTGATCTAACACCAGATTCTTATGACTAATTTATAAGGAAATGAATAGAAACCAGAAAGGAGAATTACCAAACAGATCTTGGTAGTTAATAAATGGGCCATTAACTGGCTGAGTTTTGAAAATGTAATATTGTTACTACCACAGAATTGTTCCTGAGTCAGCTCGCTGGCTTATAATTCGTGGTCGCCTGGCAGAAGCTGAGGACATTTTATCCAGTATAGCAAGAAAAAATGGTATAGCTGTCCCGAAGATTCTGTTACAAGTCAGTCGTCCACTGTCTGTTGTTGGAAACAGATATGGCTGCTTAGACCTTCTTTCCAATATGAAGATTGCTAAAATCACAATAGTTTTGTTCTACTTATGGTGAGTGTCTTTGATGTTTAGAATTTGTGTTATAGTCACTTGTAGTCTGTAATATAGCTTTGTTTACAGCTTAGCATGTGATACCTAAGAAGAGTTTGATCAGCTCTTCTTACATAGAAATACTTAACAATCTAGAACATTCTATATACTATTACATCATGTTCTATTTATAAATTAGGGACAGCTTGACTAAGTGTGATAAATCATAACAGACAATGGAACATGTTAATATTTTGGAGCATTCAAAAATATCAATCTAGACATGCATCTTGTGTACTTTAAAATAGATAGCCTTGGTCAGTGTGTCAAAGAGTTTCAATTGGTATCTCAGCCAGTAGATGATCACTATATCAGTTGATAGTTTGTGGACAGTCAGTCGATAGGTGTTTCAAGGGTTGACTGATAGAGTCCTAATGAGAGTCTCAATGTCCCTATAGTAACAAGAGTCAGTTGATCATTCACTGGCTGCCTTATAGTTGACTGATAGAAAGTCTCAATGAGAGTCTCAATGTCCCTATAGTTACCTGAAATCCTACTTGATACATTAGCACAAGTGTCAGTTGATTATCTGTTGGCTGCCTGCCAGTTTGACCTTCTACAAACTCTGGACCTAATACTTAACAACCAATATTTTGTGCTGCATATATCATGAGTCTTAATCTCTTTACACCAAAATTTTTTTCTGTTTTAGGTTTGTGAATACACTGGTTTATTACGGCTTATCACTCAACACAAAGCATTTGGGTGGTGACATTTACAAGAACTTTTTTTTATCAAGCCTCATGGAAGTTCCTGCATACTTGACAAGTGTTTGTCTTATCAACTGGTGAGGAATTCTTAAATTAATTTTAAATAACATCATTTAAAGTTGTAAATGGTTTTGTTGGTTTTTTTGGTACCAGAAATTCAGAGAGAAAGTTATTGAAGAGAAGTCTGTACTGGAACAAAGACACCCAACCAGTCAGAGCTTATCCTTACCATGGGGTGACTAGGAGTATCACTACTCCCCCCTGGATGGAATGTTAGTCCATCACAAGGTTACCCCTCGGCATTTCATCAGGCTTCCCTGACAATGCCCCAGTACCCATTTATACTCCTGGGTTTAGAGAGGCTCTGTGGGAGTAAAGTATTTTGCCTAAGAACACAACACAATGACCCATCCAGGCCTTGAACCCAGACCTTGTAACCCAGAGTCCAGGGCACTGAACATAAAAAAGGCCACCAGGTTGAATCCTTAAAGGGAAAGATGGGGGTGTTTAAAAGCGAATGTTTTATCATTTTACTCCCATGGGTGACCAAAACAGAATTTCTCCTTACAATGTCAATACAATGTTTAGAAGACAAGTGATGAGAATAAAGAAAAATATCAATTTGGAGATTATTAGTTGATCCAATACCAAATTCTTAGAAACAACATCACAAGAATTGTATGACAGACAGTGAGGAGAAAAACTAATCGTGAGGGATGAGAAAGAGGAGTCAAACTAAAAGTCCTTTGTGGGGATGTTCTGGAATAATATATAGAATACACAAATATATAATATATTGAATAATATTTCATGTGTATGTTTATTGAGGATGATGCTGTCTTTGTAGTTTTTGGGAAACGTTAAAAGGATTCCTGGAAACTTTCAGCAGAAGAAATCTGAATGTATAGAAGAGATCAGTATGGTGAAATTTTTTGTCTATGAATCTGTTTCAGGGTGGGGCGTCGCCGGAGTCTGTGTTACTACATGATGATTGGAGGAGCTGCATGCTTGACCTGCTTATTTTTTCAAACAGGTCACCATCATTTTTTTTGTGTTTTTCAAAAGTTCAAATATCACTGATATGAAAAAAAGTATATTTTTTCATTGCTGGGTTTTTTTATTTCATAGGCACTCAACCTGTCTATCGGGTGTTAACAACAATCTTTGCTATGATTGGCAAGTTTGGAATCTCAGCATCATTTGCTGTTATTTACATTTATTCAGCGGAACTTCTTCCAACAGTAGTCAGGTAAAAATTTAGTTTTGCTAGGTATTCTGCTAAATATTTTGTTAGTCAGAGCTCATGAAAGCTTTTATCAATATTGTCTTTTCATTCCTCAGTAGAAATAATATGCACTCACCTGCGATAATATATGCCATACATGTGATATGTCAGCTAACAAACTCTAATTTTTTAATTATTTCATTTTAGGAATGTTGGAATGGGGGTGTGTTCCATGGCATCTAGAATAGGGGGCATTTGCTCTCCATTTGTGGTATTTTTGGTAAGTTAGACTGTGATTTAATGTTTTGAACTAATTGGGCTGTGACCAAAGTTTAAACCAGTAGTAGTTGTTAGAAAGTGAGAGTCTGTTTTGTAGAAAATGTTTGTTACAGATTACTTGAATCTTGGGTCTGTCAGACTCGCAAACTCACTGTTCTAAACCCTGGGAGCTTGCTGTCATTAAAAATACTGTTAATATAAATAATCAGATGCTATCACATTGTGTCTAATTTTAAACTTTTCAGGGCATTTATACTCGCCCTCTTCCCATGATGATCTTTGGAATGTGCTCCTTTGCAGCAGGGCTTCTAAGCCTTGTGTTGCCAGAGACTTTGAATAAACCACTTCCTGAGAGCTTGGAGGAGACTGGGTTTGAAGGTGTGGATGGATTGTTGTATGAACAGCTGGAAATGGAACAATTTACACACGAAATGGAATTTAACAATGACGCATTTCAAACTAATGATTCAGACTTTGATGATGATATTATTAGTGAAAAGACAACATTTATCTAGAATGATGCAGAGGAAATATTCCTGTTTCTGTTGAGGTGTAGATCAAATCTTTCTTATTTAAAGAGTAGGATATAATATGGAATTAGAGATGGACCTTTTTAGGCCTTAACAGACATGATTAACCCTTTAACTCCCAAGATCTGATTGTTAATTCTCCCCTCTAGCTGCTACACATTTCCTTGTAAATTGGTTATGAGAATTTGGTGTTCGATCAAGGTAATATCTTTTACCCGATGAGTTTGAGTTTTCTCAATACCTGTTTGCTGGGTATTGTATGGATATTATAGCGAGAAGTTACTTGTCAATCACTTCTGGGAGTTAAGAGTTAATTATTACTCACAAATTATTTATAAAGAAGATATTTTGCGAGGCTTAGTTGGCAACGTAACTTATTTATAATGACTTATTTATAATTTTTCTTAGTGTCGAAGCATCGCAGGTGTTTTGGACTTTAAAACCTTTTTGTGTAGCATTAGTTCTGAAGAACTAAGACCTCACAAGGACAAAGCTAGTTTATAGTATTACAATAACCTTCTGAAGTAAATTTACCATTTTTGCCAATTGAAGGTAACCAAAATTTGTACATAAAGAAAATACAGCGATATTAAGGGTTTAAGTTTAGTTTAGAAGTTGTAACAAGTAGGATTCTTTGCTGGGATTTTCCATTCATTCAGTGTGTGAAACAGCACAGGGAAAGTATTGGGGAATAGCGATCATAACGATAATCAACAACGATGGATCCGTATTCTGAGCCCAACGTAAATCGAGCGTGGGACGTGATATTAATAAATCCCTTCGGGATCGCCTTGCAGTTCTTAAACAAAAAGTAGTTGTTTGGATTGTATAGGTTCTCTCTTTGTTTAATTTTTGAAAAATATTAGACTGCCGAAAACTTTGGCAGGGTGTTACTGACCGCGGAAACTTCGGAACCCATGTTTCTTTTTGAAAGAAAAGTAATCAGATAAAATGAACACTGAAAAGGACCTTAACACTGACTGGAAGTTGGTTTTCGGGAATAAAGAAGAATACCTTAAAAAGAGAAATATGTTGTAACTGTCCTTGACGTCCCAACTTTAATTGTGGCGACATTCACAGTACTAGTAAAAGGGTATGTAACATCATTAAGAGCAATCTGCAGTCACCTTTCCCGAGTGTTAACAAATAAACAATCATTTGAAAGCTCTAACGGTTTGAGTACCGCGGTATCCGAATAACGCCTCATCCAGAGGCTCGCAGCAAACCTTTAGGCTGGAATTCATTGTACATGACCCTGGAATGAGGAACACGAGCGTAAAGTAACATCGCCCGTTAAGCTTGTAGAATTTCGGGGGTGATCGGGGCGTCCGGAGTGAATCTACAGCGTTTTGCTTCCAAAGGATTCGTTTGGTTGGCGTTACTCACAGAGGTTTAATCTTGGAAAGGATTACGTACAGAGCAAGGCAGATGAACTAAAACCGAGCTAAACTGCCCTGAATAAGCTCCAAAAATACACACGATGCAAAAGAACAATCTCTTCAGCGGAGTAAATTTGTTCTTATTCGAGAGATCTTTTTAAGGTTGCAACCGGGACTGTTTATTACCCTACAAATCCTTAGATTTCACCCATTGCACAACATGAACATATTTGCATATTCACAGATGGTCACTGTGTGAGTTTGGGCTTCCTGTAGTTGGACGTCAAGGAAGATTAAAAAAAAAACATTTACCTGTTTATGCCTGAACACGAAATCTCGAACAGTGTTAAGGTATTTTTAGTTTTTATTTCATCTCATTATTATTATTTTTTTTACAAAAACTTAAAGGTTCCGCGGTTCCAGAGGTTTCGCGGTCATTCAATTCTCAGTTTAGTAACACCCAGCCTTGACTGGCCGCCTGACATATAGCCACAGCGAAACCGAATACCAAATGCTGAAAAAAAACGGAAAATCTGTAAACCAAAATAAACACCAAAACTAAAAAACCCAAGTTTTTTGGCACAAAAACCGATCTAAAAAAAAGTTTAAACCTTAAAGGGGGAATCTCAGTGGGTGGCCCAAGCTCCAGCTGTGAGACGATCATCTTGCGAAATAAGAGTCGTGGCGAAATTATAAGGGGACTTCTCTTATGTAGTAAACTGAGAAATGGAAAACTTGCTAAAATGGGTTCTTTTCAACATCAGTAAGCGGTCAGATAACAAGCGATGCACTGTGGAAGTAAGGTGAGGTATTTTTTTTGAGAATTTGACTGAATTTTTGTTTTCCCTAAGAGCTGTGGTTGTTACGGTATAATCTAACCGAAAGAAAAACACTACAATATCACAAACTCAACTACTTAATTGAACAGCGAGTAATTTTCGTAACAAGGAGCTACTCCTAAAAGCAGTACAATACTTATCGTTGATAAACTTAATTAAGCTCACCTTAGTCTATATCCTAGCTCACCACTGACACAATCTCACTGCTGTCTCCAAAGTTCCTTGAAATGAACAATCTTCCGCAGTAACTCTCTCTCGGTATAACTTTCAAAACAGTCGTCGCTCCGACAACAACAACTACTCTTTCTACTACATAAGTGAGTCTTTACATAAATTCACAAAGTGTTCTGGAATATTCCAGAAGCTTACATAAGAACTATTTTAATAATGCGTGACTTGATGAAATGTTCTGGAAAGGTATGCAAGGCAGTGTGACTCAGCAGTCTGGAGATTTCTGGGAGCAGCAACAATTACCCATAACATCGTAAATATTCCCATACAAACTCTTATAATTTCGCCATGACTCTTATTTTGCAAGGTGATCAGCTCACAGCTGGGGCTTGGGCCGCCTTTGATGTACACTGCCTCGCATGGCCTCAAGTGTTTCTTCCCTGTCAGTCCCTTTCCTTTCGTACAAGTAATGAGTTTTGCATTATGTCACCCAGCAGCTTTCTTCCTATTGTAAACAAAACTAGCTTCAGATCTGAGACAAGGATCCAGTAGATTTTGCATTGGATAACGCATAATCTCCATTCATAAAAATTAATGATTAACGGCAGTGTTAATTTACATGAAGAACGCATCACGAAACTTGATCTTGGACGATAAGTTGAAATCATGGCTGTGAAGCAGTTTGTTTCAGCGTTTCTGTTTACTTTATTTCTTGTGCCAAAAAGCAGCGCCTATCTCGACGAAGGTGAGAATTGTTTTGTTCTTAATTTATTAGGCTTGCTTTTGCAAGAGGAGCGATATTGAGGTGCGCGACTAAAAGAGAGAACATTTTGGGAAATAAGCCTTCTGAATTCTCGGAATTGCAAACAGTTACAAATGATGCGCGAGGTAATTCTTGCATTGCAGTATCTATAGGTACCTTAAGCAATCGCAATCAGGACAGCGACGCCAAGGAATACATCGATTAAAAACCGAATATATGTTTTTGCTAGTATTTCTCGTAGTGCTGAATATGTTTACCGTCTGTTCCGGCGCCATGCATCAACTTCCGCATAGGACACGTTTAGTGAGCAGTGTCGAAATTCGAATGGAGATTGAAATGAGACTAGGCAAATTTTGGCGATTTCACGTTGTGTTTGGTAGAGGACTGGTAGAAATGTGTTTCAAAACGCACAAGCAGAGGTATCGTCCTACTCAGAGTTACACCATTTCACGAGTCAACTTCGAGCCCGGGTCACATCCGAGTCACGAATCAGGTTCTAGTCAACTTAAATTTTTCCTCTCTCGTGAAGTAACATCGTAAGGCAATACACTATTATTGTAGCCATTAAAAAATTAAAATGAATCAAACAAACTCGCTTATTTAACTAAGTTTTTCACCTGAAACTTCAGCTGAAACAGCCGAATTCATCACTTTCGATTTCACAGGCCACAGACAACAATTTCTGCCTTGTAAATTGTTACTAAGTGCACCTCTCTCCATCTCACAGAATTATCGCAAAGTTTACAAAACGTTCCAAAGGCTGCTATTTTCCGTTGAGATTGAACCACAACTGATGCTCAGGCTACGAAAAAATTTAGCTCGTCAACCTTCAATTTCTCGTTTCTTCTTACGACTCAGCGCGTATCATACGTTATGCACTCCATACGTTATGAAACATGGCTCGCCTCGAAAATTTTGAACAATGAACACTCGTATATCACGAGAAAACCAAGAAGTGTTAAACATGATTATTCTGATGAAACAAACGTTTACAGAGGAATAATGAACGTTCTGCCTCCGGCGCGTGTAATAAAAAAGAAGTCGGAATCTATCGGGGAAACTCATAGACACCATGGAATGTTCACTTCTGCGAACGCAACTGTGAATGAGTGCAGATTTGACCCTCGCAAACGGCCGTGAAAAACGTTGAAGTTTAAAACTAGACGTTTTTGTACTCCTGCTACATGATTTTGACACCGAAATAAAAAAAGAGAAAAAACCTAAAAACAAGAAAAAAGGAACAATTTTAATCGCACTTGACTCGTGATATTGTATAACTTGTTTTGCTCATTAGATCTTTTGTTTTGCTAAGTCCTCGTTGCCGTCGCTGTCGTGATTTTTGTAAACTATTTAACGCTGCGTCTACTTCATCAAGAAGAATATAACTTTACCTCGAAATCACCGGGTTTAAGAGCATTTTACTGAGTAGATAGTTGAACGATCCACTTTATAACAACGCAGTTGTTATGTAACCCTTTAACTCCCAAGATCTCATTAATAATTCTCCTTACTGTCTGCCATATAGTTCTTATGATGTCAGTTTGGAGAATTTAGTATTGGATCAACTAATAATCCCCTGATTAATATTTTTCTTTATTCTCATCACTTTTATGGTTGATATTGTATTGATATTGTAAGGAGAAATTCTCTCTTCGTCACTCAGGGGAGGTAAAGGGTTAAACTCTGAATTTTTAATTGAGAAGGAGAAGTTACCACATCAAATATAATTCGAGCTGAATTTTACCAGTTTTTGACTTCTGCCCTGCGGTGATGTGGAATTTTATCTCGCCACAACAAAGTTTAATGAATTCGCCAACGAAATACCACCTTGAGGAGCCAGCTGGTCTGAGAATAGGTGTGGATTTAAGGGCACCTATGGGGCCAGTTTCTTCAGAGTCATCTTGCATGGTTTTTCGAAAGTCTTAACTTCAAGGGCCCGAGGGCATATTTTAGAACAAAAAAAATTAAAGAATAGAGAAGCAGATTCTAGCACCCTAACCTTTCCATTTTGTTTCCTTAGCTGACAGTTTTGTTGCAAAATTTTAAAAAAATTGAAACCCTCATTTTGAATGAAAACAGAACAGTTTTGCGTCTTTTACGGGCCTTCTAACCCATTAACTCCCAGGATCTCAATAGTAGTTCTCCTTACTGACAGCCATTTAGCTGTTGTGATGTTAATTTGGAGAATCTGGTATTGGATCAACTAATAATCCCCTAAATAATATTTTTCTTAATTCTCACCACCTGTCTACTTGATATTGTATTGATATTGTGAGGAGAAATTCTGTCTTGGTTACTCATGGGAGTTCAAGGGTTAAGTTGATGAGACGTTCGAGAGACAGGTCCGAGCCAAAAACGAGCCAAAATTTCAGAAGAATACCCTCATGCGGGAGTGGCTCCTCGCATAGAAACCTGCAGCCTGCAGCCAGACAATGACATCTTCTCGTATAAGAAAGATTAATAGTACTTATTTTCTTTCAGAATCTTCCACCAGAATAATAGATGGGCTTATTGTTGGGATCGCGAATGGGTTGGCTGACAATGATGGGTGTGTGTCAATGGATCTCCCAAGAGACTGCACCATAACAAGCGACTGTTCTCAGATCACGTGTTCCACGTCCTTAGGCGGGGAAAGTAGTTCTCTGACAGTTACTATTAACAGGTACGATACCAGCAAATATAGGTTGTGTCACAATATCTGATCCCCTATAAGGCTCTTTATATTCATACGACCCCCCCCTCTTAATTGGGGGCGGGGAGAGGGGGGGGGGTAGTCTTTAAAGGTAAGGACAAGAATAAGCGATAAAGTAAATCAGCGTGTGACGTCAGGATCGGGTCGAGTCAGGCCCAGGTCACGACGGTCGGTGGGGAGCATTCTCGCTATCGCACCTGTAGTAGTTCATTTTTATTTCCAATCTCACGCCTGTCACTGGCTATGAAATGAATAACTTTTTCACAGATGCGATGAACCAGTCACCGTGACCATCCATGTGAAGGTCAGTGGAGAAGAAAATATCGATTGGACCCATGTCTTCACTTCCGGTGAAGAGCTTCCTGTCCCAGGGCTGAAAGAAGCAAAGATCTTCGGAGCAGAATTGTACATCAAGACCTCCATAGAAACAAAAGACGACACGTTAACTTTGAAGGTTTAACTAACATTAACATTTATTTTCTCTGCACTGTTCTGGTCACATTTCCGATGGTACTGACAAGGAGTATTATTTTGAAAATGTAGGGCTTCTTAAATTGGTGATTATTTCTCTTATTCACATGACCTTTATATTGGTTCAAGGAAGATTCTGTTAGGAGAAACTAAACTAGAAGCCAGTCACTCTTAAGAGTTAAAAGATTAAACGATTTTGTGAGAGAGGACAAAAAGAGTGTAACATTCAAGGCAAATTCTATCACAAATATTTGTGGTTTTTTAAAGCTCGAATAAGTTTATAGCACCAAATTTTTAAGTTCAAGATGTTGCAGTAGAACTGTGTAAGTGCCTTAGTTCTTTAAGAATTAAGAACTCTTAAGCTACTACGATCGGATTTTTCAACATCAATGATTTTTAAACACTTTGTTCTGTTTAGGTGACACTACGAGGAGGAATGAACATAGATCTGATCGATCAAAAGTTGCCAATTTCCACAGATTACTGCGGTAAGTTTTCGTTTAATCGTAGATTAATTTGCAGTTTTATGTGTGATAAACACAATGTGTTTTAACACATTTTTTTGGAATAAAGGGAGAGGAAGGCAGACGCCTAAAAAGAGTCTTAACTTTCTTTTGCATTTTCAGGAGAGTAGAGACAAATGCGAGTCTTAATCCTTAAGAAATAATTTATCGCTTTATTTCGTTTAACCTGAAAACAAAACAAGAAACACAACAGCAACAACAATAATCACAAAAACGCGCATGCTGTACCAGATTAGAGACCTTTTTCTTTAAATCAAACATCGTGGCTCGTTGAGATATCGCAAGCTTACCAAGGTGCTAACCCGTGTCATTTTTGTTCCCTAACAGGTTTTGTTCGCTGGTGGGAGAGCCGTGACAACGCTGGACGCATCGCGCTGCTCGTGGCGTCTGCATTTGTGGCCTTGTCAATCGTTTCTTGTTGTTTCTGTTGCGGATGTTGTTGTTGCTGCCGTTGTTGCCGCAAGAAGAACTCTGGAATCGTTTGATCCTAACCCCCCCCCAAGTCAGAGATGGTAAGGTTGTGACAAAACCCCCCTGAACTCCCACAGTGACTAAGTCATAATTTCTCCTTACAATATCACTACAATGTCAAACAGACAAGTGATGAGAATTACAAAAATATTAATTAGGGGATTATTAATTGATTCAATGCCAAATTCTCCGAACTAGGGTCACAATAATTGTATGGCAGATAGTAAGGAGAATTACCAAGAAGATCTTAGAGATGAAAGGGTTACTAGCGCATTTCTATAGAGCGCCTCAACTCTTCCTGAGTTTCCTGAGTTTACTGCGATTGTATGCAGTGTACAAATTAAAAAAAAAATAGATAGAATGTTATTTAACACTTCCCTCTGACTCCTCTAACACAGGTTTTAACTCTGACTTTTCCCGCAGGTTCTAAGCTGCTCTACCTGGTCTTCAGTAAAACAAGTTTGCCGCTTTTAGATACGCGTAGTGGTTACGTGACTATACGCTTCTTTGTTATTCGCTACCGTGAATTTACAGTCAAAACGCAATCATGATACTATAACCTGATTATAAAGATGGCCACTAAATGTCGTAGTACCTAGTAAAAGTCGGTTCCATGCTAAGTCGTAACTCTCTCAGTCTCAGTCACGTTGTGCAAATATATTAGAATGTTAGCTTGGCTCTAAGAGTAAGCGTGATTTTTTTACCTCTTTTTTACGTTTTCATTCGGGCGAACGCAAGCGTTAGGCGAGTGCAAAGAGTGGATCACATGTGGGAGGAAAATCGCGATTTTTTCGCGTTTATCCTCTCGCGCGTGACTTGCCATTCGTGGTCGCTCAGCGCGTGCTTCTGCTCGTCTGAAAATACAAAACGTCAATAATAATGATAGTAACGATAGGTTCAAGATTTATGAAGATAAAAAATGATAATGATAACTTTGATTTAATAACTTAACAAGGTCAAAAGTACCTTTTTTCGATAAGACTGTTCGTAAGATTTTGATTTTGATGAAACTGTAACCAAGAGAAAGTAAAGAGTATTTTTGGAGTCAACTTTTCAGTGAGTTAAAAGTTAATGTAGATTGCTTGAAACGTACTGTAAGACAGCTGAAGTATATGCAGTTCTTTATTATTTTTTTTATTAAAAAACCTTTCTACAGAATAAAACTTTGTAGACACTTATTATCGTAAGGTCCTGCACCAGTTTCTCTGCAAATTAAATATGCGCCTTCTTTTATTTCACTTTGGTTTTAGTCACCCCTCCCTCGCCCTCACCTTCGACTTTCCCTCTTTCGCCCCCACTACACCCCCCTTTCCTTCCCTCGCCCCCACCTCCCCCTCCTTCTTGTAGATCAGGAGCACATATGTAAGACCTGACATAAGTTTGCATAAGCTCTTATAAAATTCGGTTACTCGTCTCTCCCCTTTCCCGTAATTCCGCCAGTTACAATTTCTAACTCGCAGGCTAAATCTTAAATCCCCACGGTGTAGGGTGTAAATTGTATAGAACTGCGGCGGATATTGTGTAGCAGTGCTCGCTCTCTCCAAGCAAGCCACATTAATTATGGTTTGTTGTCCTTTGGAAGTGCGCCTTTACGAATTCGAGTGGTCCTTTTCGTCTTAAAGTTGTTGAAAACCAGGGAAAACATGAATAATTTACCCACATAAAGCGGTCAACTTCCACTGCCGAACGCACGCTTTCTTTATTTTTACTCCGACTTTGATACGCGCTCCATTCTGAGGTTTTCGAATTCGCCCTGATTAAAAATAAACATGACGGAAATGAAACGACATGAATATTCAAAGTTGATTGTTTGCATATATTAGGCAGATCACATGAACTCACATTATGGCGGTCAACTTTTGTACCGTCTTGGCCTCGGTTTGCCTTCTGTGTGCTGTTATGGGTAAGTGACGAGAGGTTACGACACGAAAGTACAAAATTGGCAATGTTATGCAGCGATTGCAGTGTTCAAAGCTCTGTTAGATTACAGTGCGATCTAATTTCTGGGGCACTGACTCACGCTACAAATCTATCGGGCGAGCATCACAACAATTCCATAAATGTTGTCATTCCAGCGAAAGATTAATCGTTTTACGAGGAATATTTATAAAGAGTTGTTCGATTATTTTTCGTAATTTTCCGTTGACTTCATACGCATCGATGGCTTTGGAGTTTGTGCAATGTCATGTTGTGACGGCGTGTGTAAAATCTTCAGTTCAACAATAACAAATCCTATTTACTATTCAGAAAGATGATGGCGGAAACATTATACGTTTTTAAGCCTTTGATATCAATATTTCCGCTTTGACATAGAATTTAAATGTGAGTTAAGTAGTAAAGGGAAGGTTTTGAATTTATTTTTTAATCTGCGAGCTCTTTCAAATGAAAGGGTCGGGTTGAGCCATATGGCACTTCGCAAGGTTGAATTGCAATATTCTGCTAAAAAACTGGTAATTTTGAATGACGCTTTGCCGACATTCTGAACCTAAACGTGCGTTGCCCGAACAGATTATTTGAAAATATCTAGTTGAGCGTGCACGTTCAACTTCATGCCCAGAAAAGTGAATTGTTGTCCATAATTTCTGTTTGTTATCACTCTTGTTTGCGGCAGCAACATCGAATTCTGTCACAATGTTGGGTGAGACACCATATTATGAAGACAGCGAAAATATTCCCCCTTCAGATGCTATCTATTATTTTCGAAAGTGAAACTTTCATGTGCTTAGTTAGCGAAAATAAGTCGCTCAAAATAGAATGTTGGTGATGCATTCATGACACAATTTAAATACTTCATTATTCCTCCCATTATCCAACTGGCTACGTTGGTGGTAAACTTTAATCATGGCAGTTTAGTAAGATTTGCGACCGGACGCTGCTCCCCCCGCTCCTTTCATACCTATGGATTTTTTTAATACTTGACCAACATTTTTGCAACAACAGTGTTGCATCTTGCTACTAAAGTGTCTGACCGCGCAAACGAAGGTGGGAGGGGGGGGAGGGGCGGGTGGAGTGGTTAGAGTATCAAAAATTCTCGGATCCGCCCCTGAAAATCATAGCTACTTGAAACTCCATTTCTTTTCTCCTAGTGGAAGGAAACGATGAAGACCGTGATTACAGAGACTTTTATGAGTATGATGACGACGATAATGGCATCAAAAAAGCTGAAAAATGCCCCGATATTAACTTACCTAGAGGTCTTGGCGGCCCTTGCAAAGTCAGTGATTTTTGCAGCAATATTACTTGCGAGGTGAAGGTGGGGGAGAAGAGTGCCACCTTAATTTTCAAAATAAACCAGTGTGATGATCCCATCACTGCCACAGTCACTGTCAAGATACAAGGTTATGCAGTTGATTGGTCGCATACATTTAAAGATGGTGAAAAGATCAAGTTTCCGCTTGGGAAGGAATCCGGTGTAATGGCGCAAGGATCAGTTTCACTTTTGGTTGTGTTGAAAAGAGAAGGCAAAAAGTTGCATTTTAAGGTAACATGTTTATTATATATAACTTTACTTCATTGCAAGGGGGGGGGGAAGTAGCCGGTGAAAAAAGGGTTAGGGGGTAGAGGAAAATCAATCACCGGAAGAAAAGGGCCTTGAGATGGGAAAACAAAAACAACTCTTGGCAGTGAACGGTTATTTTGAAATACGTACGTCACCATTAATTACCGAAAGTGTAAATATTTGCAGCAAAATGGATTAGAGATTCAGACTTGCCAGTTCCCCACCCCTCCCCCCCACCAACAAATTTTATTATTATTATCAACATCATCTTAAAGAAATACCAGCGGGTTTACTGATTTAAAAGATTGATTTATTTCAGCTTCAGTTGTTGGGAAAAGTTGAAGTACCATTATATCACAAACTGGACGGTCCCATCGATAAAACTCTGATCGACGGAAAAATTTCGCTGTCAGATAAACATTGCGGTGAGTAAAGAATTATGTGTTTATTAGGGCTGCAAGTTTTCTCCTTCATTTAGAATCCCCTGAAAATCACTCAGCTGTGAATTTAGAAACACAACCTTCTTTCACCATGACAGGAGCTCATTACTTCCCAACCATGATGAGTATATCTATCACTTTTCCCCCCTCTTCTAAAGCGATAAAAAATGACTGGTCTCTGAGAGATCATGATTTCTGGCCACTTCCTTAATGCTTCGTAGAAGTTGTTGACACGTTTTCTGATTACGTCATCAGGTTTCAGCGCTTGGTTCAACAAACAGCCGCGTTACATAAAGATTTTGGTGATTGCGGGCCCTATCTTGGTCTTTATCTTTCTGCTCGTGCTCACAGTGTACTGTCGTATGAGATGTAAGCGCCGTGCGCCCACACGCCTTCATGTGGAGATGCCGAGTCATCGTGTCCGGATCACCACGACCAGAAGTAAAGTTCCTATGCAACGGCTGATAAATCAGGAATAAATATGTGTGCATATACCCTGAAAACCCAGGGCGGGAAGCACGAGATGGAAAAATCAGTGAAAACTGAAGAAACTTCTTCAAGTACAAAACAAATTAATGACCATAAAAGACAATTAAACTACGCGGAAATCTGCGAAAACTGCAGAAATTACCAAAAAGTAAATTTGATAAAGTATTGGAAACCGTACGATACGTTAATTATTCTTAATTTGATTGACATTTATAAATAATTTCTTTTATCTATGCATAAGCAAACAAACATGTATGCGACACGTGTTTCATCGCTTCATATATGGCACTGTTCCACGTGCTTACAACGGGACGTTGAGTGTTTTTTCTTTCGAATAAGCCGAGAGTTAACCCGAAGCGTTGTAGTAAAATCTTAAAATCAAGTGAAAAACCATGAGTTAATAAGGAAGCGTGGTACAGCTCTTTCACGTTTTCAACAAAAGGAGTTAAATATATACTTTTCATAAGTGATCAATTTGAACTAAACTTATATCAAATTTTAGTGTTAAGTTGGATTCTGTCGAGAAAACAAACATGATATATGATTCATTATATTATTATACAATAAAAACGATAATCAGTTCAAAAGCGATCGTAAGATAAAGTTTAAGTCAGTGCAGATTTAGAACAATTTATCGAGTTGGTGGGCATTGTATGCTTTTCAAGCTTAAATAAGAAATGTATAACCGTAGAATTCTGCTTTGTTGTTAGCAGTATAAACAAAAATTTCCATTATATCAGAGGAAACTGAATATCATGAGCTTGTTAATATAGTTATAAGGAATTCGAAAATAAAAGTCAGTTGTAAAGTATGAATCCAGTTTTAAATATACCATCAATATAACAATATATGCAGTGAGTGCAGTCAGTCAGTGAGTCAGTAAGTGAGTCGGTGAGTAAGTCAGTCTGTCAGTGGGTCAGCATGCCAGTCAGTGACTCAGTCAGTTGGTCAGTCAGTGAATCAATCTCCTGTCACTGGCGGTCAGGGAGTCGTCAGTGAGTTAATGAGTCATTCAGTCATTCAGTCATTCAGTCATTCAGTCATTCAGTCATTCAGTCATTGATTCAAGTTCCGTACGTGGAGTTTGCACGTGGAGTTTCCCACGAGGGAAACTTACGACATATATGTATCAAGCAAGACGTTTCAACAATCCCTCGCGCGCTTCTTCACCTCACGTCCTATAATTCCTTAGGTTGGCGAACTCCTCACTTCTTCATGTGTCTCATTTTCTAGAGGCGGTGACTTAATGTGTCAAAATGTACGATGTTAGACCACATTAGGATTGTGTTTCTCTTCGACGCAATTTTGCCAGCCTGCCTTACCTGTGAAAGCGGAAACTGAGACTGATACAATCTTCAGTTCCGGTGTGCCCAGTCCTCTAGACGACAAATCACTTAGTATTGAGGTAACTTCTTCCTCCGAGACATTGCAAATTTGAAATGAACTTAAAAATAAAAAATTTTAAAGACCAAACAGGTCATGACTCTTATAATGTTTTCTTCAAAAAAACCAAAAATACGCTTATAAGTGCTACTTTTAAGAAGAGCGCAAACATTATGCTCCTTTTTCCAAATATGCCAAAAATGATGCTAGCATAAACATATTCAAGAGGATGAAATAGTTCCGGTCAATCAGGTAATGACGTCACGTTCGTGTCCCGGCTCCCAACTCGTTCCCAGTCGCCTCGTAAGTATGTGCTTCTCTCAAAGGAAGAGAAGAGTAATATATCTTGCTTTCTCCAGACCCATCACATCTCGCGCTCTTATCTAACCCGCACCAGTTGCTTCTGCTTAGAGGAGGACAGAGTATTGTCTTAAATTGTTTTTGCTCTAAGAACAAAGTTCCCGCTGAGCTTAAAATTAGTAAAGGGAAAAAATTCGCGGAAAACAGGATTCATTTACAAGGAAAAATGATTTAATTATATCCGGATTACTTCCACTTCAAATGGAAATTCGCCAGTATACGTGAGATAATTTGCATCCGGGATGGGCCACAGGCTTCCCAAGCTTACGTTTCGAGAACACTTCACGCATTCTGTAAACAAACGAGTGATCCAATTTTGGCAGAGAGCTTTTACTTCCAAAACACAATTTAGAAATAACTTGTAGACACCTTCAAGAGTTTCATAATGAGTTACACCGCTGAAAATCACATTGCGTGCATTACTGTGAATAAGGAAAAAAGTTTGGTCACGTGTCCCGCCCACGAGAACGAACGTCATAATCAGAAGAACTAACAAGGTTTTGGACGCAGAGTTCAAATCCACGAGTATCTCTAGCATACTGCCGAGGTCAAATGGCTGGATTACAGCTTCTGACAGCATTTCTCTTGGCAGTCGTTTCTACTGTGCAAGGTAAACTTCCATACGAGTCGACAGCCTTACAGAAGTGTCCGTGAAATTTTACATTTGCCTATTGAATTTTTAGAACTAAAGCTATCACACCCTGTGATTTCCATACATTTTACACGCGACTGCAGATCTGTTCAGCTGTGCGTCTGTTCCATGAATCGATAAAAATTTTTGGAAGTAGTTTTTTCCTGAGAAGAACAAGTATGGAAATTTACTGAGGAAAGAAGCAAGCGCTGTTACATGTTTTTGTGCACTGGAAAGCGCTTGCGAGCATGCAGAAAAACGTTTTAGGTTTTTTTAACATGTTAGTTGCGGGTTTCAAAAAAAAATTCGCGAAAAGGTGTTCAAAATTATGAAATACAATGCGATACACATGAGAAAACTGGTTCTAAAATTTCGTTGTAAGTAATCGCTTTGAGTTAAAGGTAGAATTTAATAAATATTTAATGAATCAGTCTTGCTGTTTATAAAATAGAAACAATTGTTACGCACAGGTTAGAACGGATATATGTTAAGCACATGTTTTTTATTCGCACGATTTTATTCCACGAGATAGCTTTCTCTCTTAAAAACGTATGGGCTTACTGAAGTGAGATCACTTTGAAATTACGGTATCAAATATGTATATTCGGCTTACCTTTGATGACAGAATTATTTGGGACTGAATTTCGACTGAATCATTTGGGACTGAAAGTTTTGCATAATTCTTTTTCCGTAAGAGCTCATTAAAGCAAGATCACTCGTTTAAAATATTGTAAAGTTTACAAGACAAAGAATAATTTGTGGAAACTAAAAATGTCTCTTAATAAAATTGAAAGAAAGAAAATTTGCAGGGCTATGAATTCTTCAACAAGCTATGGACATGGCTAGTGTCAGACGATTATGCCGGCATAATTTTTAGGCATAATGCTATAGTTTAGAGCATCGAAAATAATGTGTTTACTCAATTAAATGCCACCCTCAAATAAATGCCGCCCTCAAATAAATGCCGCCCTCAAATAAATGCCACCCTCAAATAAATGCCGCCCTCAAATAAATGCCGCATTTAAGAGCAGAAGTATTAATAAGCGCCACCCTCAAATAAACGCCTCATTATGATGCAGCATTTACTCAAATATTAGATTAAAATAGCACACAGCCGTGGATGCTTCAACCACAGTTGGAAACTTTGAGGGAGCCAGACACAAATCCTTTTGAACGTATCAGTTCTGCGGTCCAACATATAATCTTTATTTACTTATGTATTGCAGTAGTATTAATGTGCAAATTGTGAAATTGAGAATGATATAAAAAATGACTTTTTAGATGAGAAAATAGGTTTCTTTTTTTTTTTAACTCAGATAGTAAGTTGCTAGACTATTGTTTTCTTTTGTAAGAAATAAATTAGATTTTAACTAAAGGCCACCCTCGTGTAAATGCTGCCCTTATATGAAAAAAGCACAAAAATCATGAAGAATTTAATGAATGCCATGGCATTTAAACAAATAAATATGGCAATACTGGTATAATGTTTAAATTTCTGAGAAATTCTCTTTGTGTTACCATGCAACATGAGGTAAATTCTGTAGCCTGATGACTGTCAATAGCGAGCTTGCTCTCTAGCTTACGATTCAGAAGTTGATCCAGTAAAATGCATATTCTCCATGCTGTTCTCTATATATTTCCAAAGAGGCTGACAAGGAGAATTTGTTTTAAAAATCAAGAGCAGCATTTGATCCAGTAAAATGTTGTCTTCTGAACTTTGACAAGCTCTACTTGTTCACTGTTGGAATGGGGGGAGAGGTGGCAGTTTTTTAATTCATTAAATTAAGCGTAAAGAAAAATTTTTAAGAGCTTGATTAGCCGCATTATGATGCCATATTTTCAGTGGTGATGCTTAAAAAGACAATGCTCAAAATTTTCAGAGTTATGATTATTAATCCTTTGACTCCCAGATCAAATTTTTAATTCTCCTCACTGTCAACATACAATTCTTTTAATATTAGTTCAGAGAATTTAGTATTGGATCAACCAATTATCCCCAAACTGATATTTTTCTTTATTCTCATCACCTGTCTGGTTGATATTGTATGGATATTGTAAAGAGAAATTATGTCTTGGTCACTCTTGGGAGTTAGAGAGTTAATCTGACGTGAGACATGACCTGTCTGAAATGTTGAAAAACTAATTGCAATAAAAAATAATAGCATATGTTTAACTTGCTTGAACTGACCCTTATTCAGGAGCAAATCATCAAGGGAATTGTCCAGAAATTCAGTTACCCAATAACAGTAATGGAACATGTCTTCTAAATGACCAATGTAGCCAAGTAACATGTACGTCACCAAAAGATGATGATAACCCGTTTGGACGCATGGTTTTGGCTGTACGAGTGACCAAATGTCAGAATAAATTGAAGGCTGCTGTTTCTATTGACTCAAATGACCATGTGTGGGCACGTTTGCTTGGAGATGGTGATAAAGCAGAACTTCCTTCTCAACCTGGCATGCCTGGCCCAAAGCCTTACTTGAAGGTTAATCTTAAGGAAAATGGTGACAAAGTCCACTTCAAGGTATACATTCTATTGTAGCCATGTTAATTAAAAAAAACTACTGTATTATGATGTTTTTGCTATTAACAAATATATTGCTTGTTTTTATCATGTATATAACTTATATTCTTCTCATCATGAGTCATCCTCTGTGTTATTGTGTAATATCAGTTCTGATAATAATTGTGAACATCCTTATTACTATGATGTGAAATATCACCGTCAAAAAGCAATCATCCTTGCAGATGAGCCGCAGTTTAACCCTTTACCCCCTAACATCAGTATCTATAATCTCCTTACTATTCACTATGCATTTCCCAAGGTGCTGAGAAAGAGAATTTGTTCAATAATCAAGAGCTTCTTCAGTTGGTGATCATCTCGTCTATTCTCATGACCCTTATGTTTGATTCAAGGGTGATATTGTAAGGAGAAATTAGATGCTTTAAACACTCTTAGGAATTAAAGCTGGTTAAGCAATTGCAGAAAAGAAGCCTGAAAAATTCAGGCTTTCATGGGATTAGAACCCATGCCTTCCAGGAATTAGCTGGGTGCTACTAGCAACTGAGCTACCAAGCTATATGTTGGATGTGGGGCACATTTTAGGAGGGTTCCTTCTTTCCCATTATTAATGTGTCATATGATATCTAAACAATGATTTTTGTTATTTAGTTACTGATGCTGATGGAGTCAGCAAATTTCAGTGTTACACTTGAAGGAGAATTACGTGCTCTTGAGTGCACAATTGGTGAAGGTAGGTGACTGATAAGAAAGCAGACAGACCTCTTTGTTACTTTTTTTTTAAAGGGTTTTAGACCTGATTATAATGCACAAAATTCTGTTGAATAATCCATCCATTTTAAAAAATATATATTCCCTAAGAGCTCATTTAAAGAGATAATTTTGAATTCTTAGTATTGTTCAAAAGGTGAGATATTTTCACTTGATAAAGAATACTTTGTTCGAACTAAAACTGCCTTTTAATGAAATGAAAAAAAAAAAAAAAAATGATTGTGTGCTAGTGGATTTTTCAATAAAGCTATGCACAAGACCTGCCTATAAAATTGATGAACTTTTCAATAACCCAGTTGCTCCCATAACTGACCAAGACAGAATTTCTCTTTATAATATCGATACAATATCAAGCTGGTAAGTGATGAGAATAAAGAAAAATGTAAATTAGGGGATTATTAGTTGATCCAATACCAAATTCCCCAAACGAACATCATAAGGATTGTATCACATGCAGTAAGGAGAATTACTAATGAGATCATGGAAGTGAAAGGGTCAAAAGAGCAGCTGATATCTTGTATTCTGTGACCCTTTTTCAGAAGCAAATCATGATGAAAGTTGTCCAGGAATTCAGTTACCCAAGGAAAGTAATGGAACATGTGTGTTAAGTGAAAAATGCAGTAAGGTGACTTGCACTTCGCCAGAAGATGAGACTAAACCATTTGGTAAAGCAGTATTGACAGTAAAAGTTGAGGAATGCCAAGGAAAATTGAAAGCCATAGTTTCTATACGCTCTCCTGGTCAAATGTGGTCGCATGAGTTTGAAGATGGTGACAAAGCAGTTATGCCTACTCCACCTGGGATGCAAGGCAGCCCAGAACTAAACATGATGGTCAGTCTGAAGGAAAATGGTGACAAAGTCCACTTCAAGGTATACATGCTACAAATGTCTTGTTAATCATTTTTTATTACTGCATTAGAGTTTGTGTTCTTTTTTTCACAAGCTTTATATTCATATATTATCCTGCAAACAGGTATTGAGAAAACTCCAACTTATTAGGTAGAAGTTGCTATCTTGATCTAACACTAAATTCTCATTACTGATTTGCAAGGAAATGTGCAGCAGCTAGAGGGGAGAATTAACAATCAAATCTTGGGAGTTAAAGGGTTAAAGGCTTAACAAACTTTCTGTTTTTATGGTGACATTTAAGTGATGAAATTCAGTTACCATGAGCAAATGAATCTTTATCTTGTCCTTATTTTAGTAGTTGTTATACATTTTATCATCATCTTTTCTATCATTGGCTTCAATATCATAGTGTTATTTTGATATAAATAACCATTGTTATTACTATTATTATCCTTTATAATCATAACTGATATTATTAATAGTGGTAATTGAACTTAGTGGAGTGCAGTTTGGGCTGAAATCATACATGTGATTTCAAAATCGAATGAGCTTGCAGTGCAAGTTTGATTTGAAATCACAAGTATGATTTCAGACCAAAATTGCATGATACAAGGTTCAATTACCACTTTATTACATCCATTTTGAAATTGCCCAAATACAGGACTTGGTCAGTTCAATTATTTTATTGATGCAGTACTGAGCTGGTCTGAAATTAAATTCATCCATTTTTGGGGGGAAAAAGTAAGAGTTTTGGAAACAAAAGTTGCAAAATTTGTCACATGATACTCCTTGTCTTTCATTTTCCTGCAATTTGATCAGTTAGTTTAAACAAGCCTTGAAATCTGATTGGTTGTTTTGTTTTTAGTGTAGCCTCCTCATTGGCTGGGAAAAAGATGGGATTTAAAGCCAAAAAAATGGTGCAATTTGTGAGTAAATTGCATCAATTAGAGCCAGTCAGATTACAGGGACCACCAGTGATTTCAAAATGGGTGTAATAAATATCAGTATTTATTACACTATTTTGGGGTTTCATGATGTTATTAACAGTTATATGTTTTGCAATTTAGTTAGTGGTGTTGGTGACAAATTACGATTTCACACTTCTTGAGGGAGAACTACATGCTTCCAAGTGCGGTGAGTTAGGTTTTATGAAGTTGATTGTTGTTGAAAGTGAAATAAATTCATGGATTCCCACCATGGAGGAATTTAATTCATATAGGCCAAGTTTTCTTTTCCACTTTCCATGCTTCACCTTTTTGCAAGTGTGCTGTATATAATATTTTATTTAGTAAACATGATGAGATCCACTATCCATTCAAAGGATTTTAACAGCAAGACTGAGGGGAAAAAATGTTGAAACTACAAAAAAGTCTCTGTTTCTAAATTTACTTGTATTTAGGTTATATAGCTCAATGCTAGCATAGTAAGTAGTAGTATGTGACTGATTAGCAAGCCAACAGATTTCTTTCTTATTAGTTATTTCCGTTTTACTCCCATCAGTGACCAGGAGAGAATTTCTCCTTACAACTGTCATGCAATATCAAGCAGATAAGTGAGGAGAATAAAGAAGAGAACTCAGTTAGGGGACTACAAGTTGATCTAATGCCAAATTCTCCAAACTAATATCATAAGAATTATGTGGCAGATAGTAAGGAGAATTACTGATGAGATCTTGGGAGTGAAAGGGTTAATTTATGGTTTTTTGACCCAACTGATGCTAATAGTTCTGTAGTTCCACATCTTATTATGAGAAAAAACATGAAAGATTTTCTTTGTCCCAGGCTTGTGACAAGATGAAAAAAAGTCTTTCTCCATCTCATTCCTAGCTCAACATCTATCATCTTTCTTGGGAATATTAACAAGTAGAGCAATAAAATTTTTCTGCAGATGGTGAGGGTGGCTCCAAGCAAACCAAACAATGCCCAGCTGTTGAGTTTATTCCAGACAAGCCTGGTGCAGGCAAATGTTCCTTTAGTCAACAATGCAGTAAGCTTGAATGTGTTGCAGAGGGAGATGGCCATAAATTAATCACTGATTTTAAAGTGAGCAGATGTGGTAAATCTCTTGTTGCATCAGTCAAATTACAGCAGCCAGAGGAGGACCTAGACTGGTCTGAGAGGCTGAAAGATGGTGAAAAAGCTAAATTGCCTATTAAAGCCAGTAGTTTTACTGGAGGATTACCAGTTTCTGATGCCAAATTGTTTGTCCAAGTTCATTTGAAGGGGATGCAGGACAACAGAGTAAATTTTACAGTAAGTATTCCCAGAAAGATTAGGTTTAATATTTGCCTTCTCAACTACATGCATCCTACAGAATAGACAATTTCTGAATTCCAAAAGCCTCCCTTTCAAAATGAGGCCCAGTATGAGAACCCTCTTGGGACAACAAATTACATTTGCATGAGAATAATTTTTTTTTCGCTTCAAAAGCTTTGCACTTAGGTGCCTTTTAAAACAGAAGTTTTCTGTACCCAAAAAATGGCCTGTTGGAACCACAAAGTCATGGAATTTAAGGAAGTCATAACTTTTGAAACTTGGTATGTTTATTTTGTTAGGTCAGGATGACTGGGCATCTGACAGCCCTAGGTGAGACTGTGCAGGTGAATACTGTGCTGATACAAGGACAGATAGCTGTATCATCTGTTGCGGACTGTGGTGAGTATCTTGACCACAACTCCTCCCCCTCCTCTCCTCCCAGGGGCAGCAGTCTTTAGTTTAACCTTAATGGGTATGTGCTACTAATCCAAGGGTGGAAAAAGGATTTTTCAAATTGGGTGGGGAGGGGGGGGTGCATTTTGTCACCCCTAGGATACCTACTTGATGGTAATGTTAACATCCACAGTATGTTTTACTAAAAGTGACATTTTTTTGTGGTGTGCTTTGTATTGACTTTTCAGAAAATTTTGTTAGGGGGCATCTTAGATGGACCCCTTTTAAGTCTAACAGGGTGTGGTTTTTGGGTCTTTATACCCTAACATCAGTGTGCATATTCCCCATACCCTTCTTTACACATTTCCTTAGGTGCTTACAAGTAGAATTTGTTTAATAATCAGGAGCTCTTCTTTAGTTGGTGATCATTTCCTTTATTCTTGTCATCTTAATGTGTGGTTCAGGGGTGAAATTGTAAAGAGAAAGTATATGTTGGTCACTCTTTGGAGTCCAAGAGTTAAGACAATCTTCTCTTCTGAGAAATTTATATTAATTTAATATTTATCTTGCAGCGAGGATTTTACTGTTAAAATGAGCGTGAACTCAACTCAGTTCCAATTTAATTAATTTTTTATATCTCTCTTGTTGCTTCAGGTTCGTGGTTTAGTGAACAGTCAACAGCCGTGAAAGTTCTGGTGATTTTGGTCCCAATAACCGCAGGGATTTTGCTGACTCTCACTGTTGTCTTTTGCTGTTGTAAAAGACGTCGTGATGGCACTCGCCTGTATGTCAACATATTTAAGTCCCGAAATGATGACTATGGAATGCGACGTTTGTCTAATGAACTTTGAATTTTTTTCTAACAACAAAACCATTAATTGTCCGTGAAGACAAGTTGTAGAACTTAAAACTATCCTGTAGTTGTTTCGAGTGCATTTTTATTGAGTGTCTCGAAACAAAAATCCAAGAGATCACATTGACCGAGCAGAAAAAAGGTGAATCTCATGAGCCAGTGAAAATAAAATGTGTTCTGCAGCGCAGAAGAACGCGCCTGACCGAGTCGCGACTGGCTTTAGTTTTGCTTCTGATTGGTTGAGAATTTTTTTAACCAATCAGTGAAAAGTGAAACTGATGCTATTATGAGTTACTTCCGACACTTATTTGAACTTGTCGAAGCTAGAGCTCCGTTGACTTAATTACTGAGAATAAAACAGGTAGCGGTTATTTAAATATTTATCTCCATTGTACCGTAATATCATGACTTTGACACCGAGAAATTTCCCAGGGTTTTTTTTTAAGGAGCCGGCAAAAGGGGGGCATTATGATGGGGAAGTTTTTTGCAGCACTTGCTGAGAGTGAAGTGTCTGGTAATAAGCTTATTTACTGGCTTTAACTAAAATAAAATAAAGTAAAGCAGGGCTTTAAAAGAAACGTTAGTGGTATCTGTCTATTACCCAAAGGAAGAACACAGAGTAAAAGTATCAACACAGCACAAATTTAACTTGAATTGAATGCATCAACCTTAAACAGTCTCAGACCCTTTTTTGTGGGAGCGATCTCATAAATGGATGGCCTTTAAAAGAAGGGGGGAGAGCCTCCCCAGCGAGTTTGCAATTAAGACACGTACGTCGCGCGTGACAGTCTAAATTACACGCACGTGGTTTACTTCAGCGTCTGTTGTGCAAACTATAGATGGGCTTGTGTTACTATAGAGGAAATGATCTCGGTCACTGAAATAAGTGCATGCGCAAAGCGAAGGAGATAAGGTAAACCAAAATTAAGAGCGCAAATTAAATTTTTTTAGTTATACGTTGTTACCAAGCAATGTTTACTATTTTTAAATACGAAAAATTAACACATGCTGTGGAACGAAGGGAATTCATTCATCGCGCGCACACATTTTTTTCGCTACATCGAGCTTGTTTAGCTTCACAAAAGTGTCTAACTGAAAACCTGAGAACGAAGAAGTTTAACACATTAGGCAAAAATCCTCAAAGACAGACTCACTAATTATGCGTATATTCGAACGTTTACTATGCACGCTTTTGAACTACGACGTAATTTAAAGTCTTGTCGACAAGGGTACAGTCGAACGCGAGAATGACATGTCTTGAGATTCAGTTCACTGAAAGAGGATTTTTTTCTAACTATATTCCAGTAAATAGAAAATTCTAACTATATATGGCTTATGTTTAGTTTCTTTTCGGAAACCTACCCGACGCAGCGAAGAAGAGGCCCAAACATATCTGTTGTGGCTCGCAGTCTGTATAGTGGTTTAACTATATATGGCTTATGTTTAGTTTCTTTTCGGAAACCTACCCGACGCAGCGAAGAAGAGGCCCAAACATATCTGTTGTGGCTCGCAGTCTGTATAGTGGTCTAACTATATATGGCTTATGTTTAGTTTCTTTTCGGAAACCTACCCGACGCAGCGAAGAAGAGGCCCAAACATATCTGTTGTGGCTCGCAGTCTGTATAGTGGTCGAATGCTGATATTACCTTCGAAGCTGATTAATATACAGACTTATTAACACGTATACTGTTGCAACTACGACTTCCTCAACTGCTGTTGCATGACGCAACCGTAAAAATAACTTGTGAAGTATTCTTCAACAAACATTTAACTGTCCTGATTAGTATTAGAATATTCGTTCCCTAGTAGCTGGAAATGATCGAGACATGGCTTAGAGAGGGCTTCACTAAACAAGAACAAACTTTTCCTCCATTTTGAATAAATTGTGACAAATTGAAAAAATTGTAATTTTGAGAGCCAGAAAAGTTTCACCATTTTTCTTTAAGTTAAGCTGTGTCGTAAAACATTTAGAACGACAACAGTTTTTTTTTTTTTCACCGCGAAATATTCCATAGTTAGATTTATCGAAAGGCAACGATTCACGAGGGCGAAAATGTAATTTCAACCTGCAGCCCGTATTCGCGATAATGCCATGAATTTTCGTTTCACACTATTGCAAAACATTTTCATTTAACAAAAGAAGCTCTTTCGAGGGGGGAAAATAGGGAGAGCTACCGTGCTATAAGAAATATGGAAAATGAATCTTACTATGGTGAGGGCTGGGCACGGACGTAAATTCATCCGAAGGGAAGGATCAACTTTGTAGAACTTCTCAACAGAATCTCTCTGACACGTTTGTTTGGTATTACGCCTGTGTTGATGTCAAAGCCGTCATTCGAGATGAAGCAGTTTCTCCATAAATTGTTCTTGAATAAATGCATCAGAATCAATCAGTTAGAATATTTTGACCAGAAATAAACTTTTGTTTGCTTTTTTTACAGCTTGACTTGACAAAGATCAATCTATGGCAAAGCGTTGATTCCCGGATACGGAATGTTTCGCTGCGATAAAAACGCAAGAAAACAAAAGACAGAATGGGTTTCTTTGTTTTACTGTACCATAAAGCTGATGTGTGAGACTTGTAATCCGCAGAAAAGAAACAACTCGCAAGAATTGTGCTCTTAAGTCGTTGCTATGCAACGACGTTTAATCATTTAGGTAACAAAGCACTACATCACACACTGAACGACATACAGACTCAACGTATTGTAATAAAAAATGTGCCAAATAAAAATAAAAGTTACAGCTCTCATGAGTTCACGCTGTGAACTCATCACATTATCAAACTACTAAAAACGTGCACTGTAAATCAACCAGATCTCCGAGGAGTTTGAAGTTAACCCTTGTCTCTGTCACCAATTTTACATTTCGTCTTCCTCTGCATGAACACACATGATAACAGCTAACTTGAAACTATCGAAGACAATTTCTATGATTTACACGAAAAGTTAACTAAGTCTACTGAGAGCTGAAACGGGGTGCGGGACTTGAGTATTACTCCTCGTTGACCAGCGGTTCCATGGGAACCTTGGACTTGACCTCGCTCGTGGCCTCGTCATAGGATGGAGGCTTCACCTTCAGGGCGCCAATGGGTGTGGCTCGGCGCTTCTTGCAGCAGTAAACCATACCAGAAATCAACAAGGACAAGCCTAAGATGGCGCTGATGATAACAGCAGCCTTAACGGCTCCAGGTTGGCGTTTAAACCAGGCATAAGCCCCTGAAAAAGAAAACAACGGTATTACTTACGACAAGAGGTTATAAACTGTTCTCTCTCTTTTATAATCTCTTACTTACGATGATTGCGTTATGATAGCAGACCGCTCCACTAGAGGCGCGGTTACCTAATGCTTAGCGCGCCCTTCTCTCGATCGAAAGGTTTGAGTCACTCTGCTTTGTTAACAGGAAATATACTTTTCGTCACCAACTCTTTATCTTGGAGCTCTCTCCTTTTAACTGCGCCCAAATTCCCACCCCTCTCTCCCCCACAAACTTTCTTTTCTTGTCCCCAGACTACAAAGAGAAACAGGCAGTGCTAACGATGGAGTTGAGTACTTACTGCTGCATCGTCCCTTATGATGACCTTTGTGCCCATCATGGTGTCCCTCGTCATCATAATCTCCCCCCATTGGCAGTTTTCCTTGTAACACTGGCTCGTCCAACTCTATACCATCCACAGACAAGTCCAGCTGAAGAGAAAATGGTGAAACAAGATAAAACGGATTGTATCACCTTCATCCCTGGATATTCAGAATAAAAAATTGAATGCTGGACAAGACAAGACAAGATTAACAACAATATTTTTCCATTGATTGGCGCGAGAAAAAGTGTACAGAGAAAAACGGAGCTTGGATGCAAAATCGCTTCTAAGTATAAAAAAATATTTCTATTCGTTGCCTTTCACACGATCCTTAAAATATTTATTTGTTGGAACAACCTCTCAAAGATAATCGATACAATACTCTGTCAGCATCTTTACCTTGAAAGCAATTCCTTTCGCGGTTTTTTCCATTGTCAAGGACACAAACATGCCCTTCACTGGAGAACCTTCCACCTCATACTTGTCCCCACTTTGGAAGGTGTGTGACCAGTCGAACTTAGGCGACAGAACGTATACTTTGATCTCCGCGCTCAGTGGTTCTTTGGACCTGTCAATCATTAGGAAAACCTTCACAGTTTTACCCAAAATTTCACGGTGGCAGGAGAAGGTGTCGCACTTCCCAGATACGGTGCATTGGAAAGGCAATTTGTTGGATGTGATCGGTTCAGGGCATTTAGGATGCTCTTCACCCTTTCCCTTTCTGTGACGATCTTTATCACCACGGCTATGGTGTCCACCTTTAGCTGAGATGAATTAAAATTATTCTTGTTAGATTTGGGATGGCAGGTTGTTCTGAAGCCTGAGATAAGCGCCTTAACTTGTTCTAAGCGTAATAATCGCAACAAAATGTGGCTAAATCCTAATGTTTCTTACAACTTTCTAAACAACGAGCACACACAGAAACACACAGGAGATTTGCACTAACCCTAAATTCGTGACGCGTTAAATACTGTCTAGAGAACACGTGACGCGTGAATTTTTCTTAATTTCGTGCGTGGAATGGTATCAGGACCCCCCCTCCTTGCCACCCTCTTCGTAATTGTTTGATAACTTGAACTCTTCTCAAAACAGAAGGATTTAACGAAAGGAAAAATCAGCTTAAGGGCTGTTTCACTCAGCTTCCTAAGAAAAGCACGCAAATTGTTCTGATGAAAGTTATCTCAGGCCGGAATATCTAACTTCTAGCTCTAGTAACGGACCGCTGGTTTGACAGATGGTTCCTGTACTAAAATCTGCGGTTGAATTTCGATAAATATCTTTCTTCGAGTGCTAGGTTTTATGAACGAATTTGAGTTTTTTTTCCTCTAGCTCTGCTCGCTAGGCGAACTTGGTTTTTCTTCGGTAGTCGAATTCTTGCCTCTGGCGACAAACATTCAAAGAATTTCTCGAATTATGGCGACTTCGCGGATAATTACATTGAGGGAAACCTGCAATTTCTTTCAAAACATTGCAGAGTAATACAAAGGTGGTTTTGATTCTGCCAATACAAGGAAAGTCACAAATTCTTCTAAGTAACCTGATTGCAAGAAATATATTGTGTCGCCTGTCCCTAAACGAAATGGCACGAAGCTTGATCCGTGACCAGCGCTGTTCGGGTGCGAAAACCGGACTCGCGCGAAGAAAAACCTAAAACAAGCTGAGGCCAGTTGCAACCGGTAATGTTACATTATTCTTGCATTATTAACGCTCTCTAATATGACAAATTCACTAATACGACAGTTTCCTAAGAAAGGAGGAAGTTTTCTAAATTAAGTAACAATCGAGTCGGCAGCTTGTTTTGGTTAAGCTAATGTTTCTTACACAGCTGAAAGTCGGACGACATGAATTACTTGAGCTAAAATGAAAAAAGGAAGGATGCACATAAAAATTAACTGCTTTCAATTAACGAGCCGGAAAACCTTTATCAATGTGGAGAGATAGCGGGAATCCATTCGTTACCGCTACTGTTATGTAGTTGTAGCTTGTGGACGAAGTAGGGTCCAAGTAAATGTGATGTAAGGAAATAGGGGTGGGTAAGTGAGGCTGTTTTTTAGTTGAAGACATTTTCTTCGCTCTTTACAGAGCAAAACTGCATCCTATTTGAGGCTAGGAGCCGACGAAAATCGAAATACAGCAATGAGTTTTTCAACTGTCATTACAGAGGTTCCGAGCAGGTCAAGCGGAACCAAGTTGGAGTGGAAACCGAATGACGCAGCAACTTTCGAATCAATTTTTTCATCGGGAAACCAAAATAACATCGTAGATCTAGAAAAACGCTCATATAGAAGAATATATTTTGAAGAAATAAATAACAACCCACGGTGCAAGCACATAGGACAATAATTTTCGATGAAGTAAGAAATTTTATGCATGCAAACTCTGCAGCATTAACATTACGTCACAGGACAAAAACAGCTGCCATATACCGTGTTTTGCAGCTTAAAAACGACATGCACGAATTTCTACAAAGTAGTTCGATTAAAAGTTAAAGGCAAGCTACAAAAGTTATGAGAGACGTCGACATAGCGCAGAAATTCTAGCCGCGAGCACCATTAACCACAACATGCGTATAGCCTAATAAGCTCTCCAAGTGGTTACAGGGCCGAATGAAGAAGCTTGCTTCGTTTCACTGCAGATTTTAGTCTGAAAAATTTTAACGCAAAAATTTTTCTTAGCCTAAATGCACATATCCTCTATGTAATAGGATAAAATCATTGCAAGGTGACGCCAATCCAAGAGGTTTTGCACAGAATATTACATAACTGCTTTGTTGTTCAGGTTTCAAATCGCCTTCAGCAATACAGCTTATCGAAAATACCACGAAAATGTGAGACTAAGCTCAGTATTTTCTCATAAATCTAAATTCAAATAATTTGCTTTCAACTTCCTGTTTCATCTGTAAAAAAAACTCACCCAAAACAGTGGAAACCAGGCCCAAAATAAACAATGCAATGCAAAGTTTCATCTCCATCTTTTCGTCTTCGCCACACACTGACACCTGATAATAAATATTCATCACTAGACCTCTCACGGATTTCCGTCATACGGTTACCAGGCAACCAAAGCAAAATAAATAAGGGAACAAAAGAGGTACTCATTTTCTTAGAACACCTGAACCAATGAGTTACTGCAATAAACAAAGAGAAGGCTAAATTGATCAAAACAACTGAACGTAATGCACTTAAATTAAGATTTCGCGAAAGTTGGAGGAATTATTGACACGCAACTGCACATCACGTGAAAATACTTACATAGGGGGTAACCGCTATATTTATTGATACAGAAAAAGTAAATATTATGATTGGTTATATCATACGAAGAACCCTAGGGCGCTTCTGTTGAGAAAGAGATTAAGTGGGAGGAGAGGTTTTGTGAGTGTACATAGACGCAAAAAGGGATTTTAGGGGTTTTAAGGAGGGGTAACAGAGAAGTAGGATAGAGTTTAATTCTGGTTCATCCGTCTGTTTTGTGTCTTGTGTTAACATTCAATTCACCTCGCCTGATGCAATGCTACTGTAAACCATTAGAAGATGGTAAATTGACATATTTAATATTCTAAAAAAAAATACTCTCCTTCACAGACACTTTTCAACAGAGCAAATATTTATGAATATAAATGAAATATTAGCAAGATGTTAAGTCAGAGACAACTTGGTGTTTTTAACACTTCGTTTATTGTCCAGCGGTGGAATATCAAAGTGGATCCTTGTCTATGATCCTATCAAAAGTTTTTGATTAAAAATGTCAAATGTTTTATGATACAACTCATCAAGAAATGTGACAGTGAGAGTGCACACGTTACCCATGCTTTCACTCTTATTTCCAATGGCAACAGTCAAAAAGAAAACCTTTATTGTATATACTAAAAATACATGACTTCCTCGTTTGAAATACATTGATGAGAATAGCATTTCTACGACTTGAAAACGGACCCTAAGGATCCAAAACTGCATAAGTAACTCAGAATAAAACCAACAACAGTTAAAATAGAACGATATTAGAAAAAACTAAGTAACTACAAGTAAATACTCGGTGTTAATGTTATAACTCGTTTAAGGTCGCTCTTGCTCTCACTTGTGACTTAAATTTCGTTGACCAGCGGCTGCATCGGGACTTTGGTTTTGGTAGAGGTAGCCTCGTCATAGGATGGCGGCATGACCTTAACATGGCCAGTGGTAGTGGCTCGCTTCCTCCTGCAGCAATAAGCCACGGTGATTGAAAACAAAACCAAGAACGCCACGGCACTTGATATTATCAGCGCCTTATACGGCGCGCGCAATTTTTTAAATCTGTTGATATGCCCTGAAAAATAAAAGAAAAAAGAAATTAGTATACTAAGGAAAAACCCCCTTGCCTCTTCGCGCAACGGTATCTTCATGGCGCGGAAGGCCAACAAGAATGAGACTGGAACGCATGGTTTCCTTCCCATCATCCCTTTCCATATACACCTTTTACGCGCTGTGTGAACTAGGCAAACGACTGGGAACAAGCCATGTGCCCGATTGAAACAAAACAACTTGTTTGGTTATGAGAAACTTACGTTTGTTACAGAAGTAAATCTGACGCTTTTCTGCAGCAAAAAGGAGACTTTGGGGGTATGCCGAAGGTCAGAACATCGAATTTGCTTGAAAGTCAGAATAAGGTCGAGTTTTCTTGAAATATTTAAGTAAGATCCCTTTTTAAAAATGAGAATAAGTTTCAGTCTGCGAAACCTAAATTTCAAGTAAAAGTGGATAAAATATATCAAACGAATAATCAGACTTCAGTAAAAATAAACGTAAGATCGCTCTTTTTAAACACGATGAGCGCCGAAAACATTGTGGGCGTGGTAACAAAATTTTTCAAATTTAATTTAAGAAAGAGGACACGGATAACAGAATGGGCGTAACTTTACCGGATAACAGGAATCTAACTTACACCCGCACACTACCATTTGAGGCTCCTCAATGGCTGGAATTTTTCCTTCAATGAGTGTTACTGTGTAAGGCTTCTTTGTCAATTCTGCCCGGCCTACCAGGTCAATCTAGTTGTAAAACAAGAATTATTGAACTTTGAAAATTTCACTCGAGATATATAAACAATAACCTCCATTTGGCACGAAAATATTTTCGGATATTTGTCCGCGGACATCATCTGATCCGAGATGCGAAGAGTTTCTGAGAGTGAAGCTCGAGAAAAACTGCGAGCTTCGAGGAAAAGATAATGTTCAGGAACAACTACACGAGCACATTTTTGTGCCAAATGGAGACTAAATTAAATGTGTTTATCATCCTTTTTTCACCTGCAATGCGGGTGTAAAACGTAAGCAAACAGCTTTCTGTTTTGGGATATTGATCAAATGAAGCCTTTAAGTGCTACTGTGGTTCTTTCTTTATTCACTCCGAGCTTTCGCCGTTCTACGGCATCATCAGGGATCATGCTCCCTGATGATACCGTAGAACGGCGAAAGCTCGGAGTGAATAAAGAAAGAACCACAGTAGCACTTAAAGGCTTCATTTGATCAATATCCCACATCATTACGACATGCTACTAAAGGACACGTTCAAACGTTTAGTTTCTGTTTGTTCGTTGGATGTTTACTTTTCAGTGTTCTGTGGTAGGACTTAATTAACAAACAAACATGTCGCTTGTTCTGTGACAATAGCTTAACGCTCTCTCATTTTGAATTGAAATTTAATGAATGCTTTTATCGAAGTAAACGTATGCTTTGAAAACTGGGGAATATCACTTGGGGATGTCCTCAGGTATTCTTAGCGTTAGCTCGGGCATATTCAATCACATGATGCGTTTATATCAATCGCGCTCGAGAAAAAATATCAGATGAATTTTAAAAATCAATGTACTTGACTTTAATATCAACTAAAAGAGAACTTTTTGAGGGAGATGGGGTTGAAACAGTTCTTCAAATGGAAATGAGAGTGCAGTTTACCTTGAAACTTAGGGTGCCATTATTTTTCGTCATTGCAACTCGAATGGAAGCATCAACTTTTCCGAATGGTAATCCTTTAATATCCAGTGGGAATCCGGGAACCTCAATTTCCTCTCCATTTTTTACCCTGGCCGACCAATCAAATCCAAGCTTCGGAACTGACATGGTGACGTCAGCACTCATGGGATCATCCCATGTTTCAAAGTTCACAGTCACTGTGATATCCTCGCGACTGAAGGGAATTGAACACGTGATTTGGTCACAGTTGTAAGACGTGGCGTTACATTTGATAGGAAGAGGAAAATTGGGCACCAGTTCAAGACGACATTCGTCTTGCCAACCTGCGGGGAAAAAAATCAGTTGATTGTGAATAATCAATGATAATCAATATTAAATAAATGAAATTGTTTGACAGCAAATAGGAAGAAGAGTATATGTGTTTTTTTTTTTTTTAAAACTATTTCAGCTGCTTTGAGATTGGAAACAGGGAAGCAGGGAAGCAGGGAAGCAGGGAAGCAGGGAAGCAGGGAAGCAGGGAAGCAGGGAAGCAGGGAAGCAGGGAAGCAGGGAAGCAGGGAAGCAGGGAAGCAGGGAAGCAGGGAAGCAGGGAAGCAGGGAAGCAGGAAGCAGGGAAGCAGGGAAGCAGGGAAGCAGGGAAGCAGGGAAGCAGGGAAGCAGGGAAGCAGGGAAGCAGGGAAGCAGGGAAGCAGGGAAGCAGGGAAGCAGGGAAGCAGGGAAGCAGGGAAGCAGGGAAGCAGGGAAGCAGGGAAGCAGGGAAGCAGGGAAGCAGGGAAGCAGGGAAGCAGGGAAGCAGGGAAGCAGGGAAGCAGGGAAGCAGGGAAGCAGGGAAGCAGGGAAGCAGGGAAGCAGGGAAGCAGGGAAGCAGGGAAGCAGGGAAGCAGGGAAGCAGGGAAGCAGGGAAGCAGGGGAAGCAGGGAAGCAGGGAAGCAGGGAAGCAGGGAAGCAGGGAAGCAGGGAAGAGGGAAGCAGGGAAGCAGGGAAGCAGGGAAGCAGGGAAGCAGGGAAGCAGGGAAGCAGGGGAAGCAGGGAAGCAGGGGCAGGGAAGCAGGGAAGCAGGGAAGCAGGGAAGCAGGGAAGCAGGGAAGCAGGGAAGCAGGGAAGCAGGGAAGCAGGGAAGCAGGGAAGCAGGGAAGCAGGGAAGCAGGGAAGCAGGGAAGCAGGGAAGCAGGGAAGCAGGGAAGCAGGGAAGCAGGGAAGCAGGGAAGCAGGGAAGCAGGGGAGCAGGTAAGCAGGGAAACAAGGAAACAAGGAATTAGGGAAACAAAGAATTATGGACTTTCGAATTTTTTCTCCGCCGGCGTTTATATTAGAGACCTCGTTAAGCAAACAGCAACGAAAGTATGACAAAACAAAAAAATCTAATGGACAGAAAAATAGCTCTACTCGAGCGTTTAAAAACTTTGAGCCACCCTCTGCAAAACAACAAAAATTTCTCCTCTTCCCGTGAAACTCCTGTGGCAGTTGGAGTTCCTTCAGTGTTAATTAAATATATTTGGTAATAACGTTAAGTGAAGTACAAGAACCCTACCTCGATATCGGCCCTGCAATAATTAAAATAAAACTACCCACTACAGGTAACAAGGTAACAATATCGATTCGTTTGACCAAAAAGGTATCCCGTTTACAACGTTTCATTTGCAGCAGACAGCAAAATTAAAACTACGATTTTTCCGTCCATAGCATTCGGTTGGTACTGAACCTAAATTAAACTTTCATCTAATTTGCATCGATTAAAATTCTGCCCGTGAATGTAGGTTTAAACGAACAACAACTTTACTATATTGTATCACGTTTGATCGTTTCGATCATCATGTGATTTCAAACTGAAAAAAAAAATGTTCGTTTTATCGGAGAGGTATTTGCTTATTGTAAGTCGCCTCAAATTGAATTGCCTAACGCCGCTGGCTTTGATCGAATATTAGAAATTCACCAATTTCCGAATGAACCGTTGAAATCAATTGTCGTTCATGTCTCCTAGTTTATCGGCCTGGTTCAGAAAGACGCCAAGTTCATCCAAGGATAATTGGTTACATGTACAGATGAATAATTGCAGATTTTGTAAATTTAGATTCTGATGAAGCTAGAGAAGCGACCGCGTCATCAATAAATTACAAGAAACGGAAAAATAGTCAAACAACGAAGCTTCGATTACAATCAATCAATGACGCAAAGGGACTTTTCAGACGCACTACCGAAATTTTTTACCGAGATCACCCAAATTTCCTTGGACTACTTATTAAAGAACACCTCACTAATAAAGCTCTTGATTATAACCTCAGCGTTTTTTCAACATTATATAGCCCAAAAAAATTTAAACGTCAAAAGTGTGGCGCTGAACAAGATGTTATGGTCAATTCTCTTCTCCAACCTTAATGTAAACACTGTGAATGCGAGTAAACTTGAAAGATAAAACGCACTTTTGCATCACACAGATGAATGAATACTTGTAAAGACATGAATTCATCTCCTACAATCGAAGACGAAACGATCTTTCCTTGCTCTGTGACTCCGAAATGATTCTCCTTCGAGTTATCAACACTAGCTACGTTGGTGCGATTCGTGATGGCAGAAGTAGTTATATAATCTTGAAGCGAATGAAAATCATATCACCTTGTTGAAGGTCTTACCTAATGTTGTCGATAAAAGACTAAACACCAACAGGGAGAGAAAAATCTTTGTCATCATCCTTTGGCCTATAGTTTAACTGGGGAACAATCGGATGTGTTCTTGTTTTTATACAGATCTGCCCGCTCACTACGCTATTACGAAATTTAAATTGGAAATTTATTCAGTATGACGTTATAATCCCAGAGTCACGCGACCCTACGCCGCACCCAAAACCTTTTCTAAGAGACTAGAGAGGTAATCAACTTCTTCTTTTTCATGTGCAATGATTGATAGAATGATGAGAGAGTCTTCGTAACTTGCTTCCAAACGCTGATGAAGCAGTTTGCATCAAATGCCATTCTTCGAGTTCGTTGTTTTGGTGTGATTTTTTCATATTTTTCTTTATACACATACATATATATATATTTTTAAAAATTTTTTTTTTAATATTTTTGCTGCGGGAAAGATCGAGTCACGTCCTAAATACGACGTGTCCACAAAATCTCCGGAAGTGGCAAGGGTAAGTCTATTTTTAAATTTCTGCCCATGACTTTCATTTTGCATGTGAAGGTCTTGACAATATCGCGATAATTGAAAGGGGTGTTTAACTAAAAATAATCTCAAAAAGTGAGTTTTGCGCGAAAGAGTTGTGGCAAAAGAGAAACTCGGAAAGGAAGGTAATTTAGATGTGATATGAAAGGCTGCGTTACTTAACAAAAGAGACTGTACAATATTTCGTATTCAAGATATTATAATACGTAAAATTAGACAAAATGTATTTTTATTTTAGAGCGTTGCCTCGCTTCAACTTTATTTTAAAATCGAAATTTCAAGCCGTATGTCCGTAATCATTCTAATTTGATTTGTATGTGTTTTTCATTCTATCTGAGTCGGTCACACAAGAAAAGTCACAAAACTTATCTATTTTGGGGTCAGGGGGCTGGAGAAGATCAACTGATATTCTCTTGCTTATAGAAATGTTTCATTATTTATCGCTTGTGTGGGAAGATGGAGGATTTTTGGGGGGTCACACGGGATCAATCGTCGCCATTCGTCGGCCAAAACGACAACGATTTCCGCTGACGAAAAATGCATTTGCAAACAAGACTTGTAATCTTTGTAACCGATTAGGACTGGGAACTAGTATGGTCTAGCGTTTGAGTCCACAGGTGTATAAAATATGCAAATGCATTTTATTCAATTACAACACAATTCCACGAAAAGAGAATGTACTTCCGGAAACACTGTGAAACCGGTTAAACCGGAAAATTCTAGAATCTTTGCATTTTTAAGCCAAACCGACGTTCAGGTTGAACGCCAAACAAAGAAGACTCCACACCATGGTTGCTTTTGGTAACGGTTTTCAACAAGGTTTATGCGTTCTTATTTTAAGCCAACTCATTTGCTCAGCGTCAGGTACATTTTTTCCGTTTCTTGATCTGTTTTTATTTTTATTTTTTATCTTCTTCTTGTTTTTCCAATTTGTTGTGGTCCATTGATAATCACTATTCATGAAAACGAAACACTAAATTAGTCTAAAATGAATAGCACTTCCCTGAGGTAAAACAATTTTTGGTAGGTATAGTTTGGTATTTGTGGGATGTCGAAATAAATTATGGATTTACAATGACGAATGTGATTTATAAAAATATTCTCGAGCTCGATAAATCATGCTGTTAAGATACTGAAGATGGAGCGCATAAACTGAGTGTCAATACTGCAGCAGCGCTCGGCGCCTCCGCAACTCTTTACGTTACCTCGGCCTGAGCCCAAAATTTTGCCATTACGGACCTTTGGTGGTAGGTGCTCAACCTCCGCCCCCTAAAAGTTGTTAATGGTTAAAAATAATAATAAAATTGCGATGAAAAATTGTCAAATACTTGTGAAAAATTCGTGGCTGGCGTGACGCGGCGTTTCGTCTCGGCCAAGAGACTCATCAGATACCTTTCGTAAAGAGAACTCGTCGAGCATCGCACTCAAAGTCCCGTTCGCGAAGTCAAGATGTTACCAGTCTGGTCCTTTATCGCTGAAGGATTCCCTTCTGAAATTTCGCTTGGAGAATCGAAACTTTTCTATAATAATGCAAGGACATATTTGGAGAAATAACTAACAAAACAAACGAACCAAAAGTTGCAAAGCAAAAAAAGGAAGATTAACAAACGAGGTTTTTGTTTTGTACAAGACATAATTCTCTTTGCCCAACACAGAAAGATTCACTTAGGACTCCATGATAAACAAGTATTTTCCTGCCAACTGAATATTTACACAACTAGACGGATGTAAATTTCTATCGTAAAGCCAGTGATTTGAATACTTGCTCAAGCGCAAACAGCGATCAGAGCTAGTAAACCGTAACGAAGAGTTAAATTCAGAAACCCGTACAAGACTTGAGCAATTATGAAAAGGTAACGTTGAAATTTTCAAGATAAAACTGATAAAACCAAAATGCATTGTTAAGTTTGTTTTCTCAGTTGGGGTTGGATGTTATGTGATGAAAACAATCTAACTTTAGCTGTTTTCAAATCTGTCTGCAAAGCGAAAAGGAGCTTTACTTGTGGCTCCAATACACTCGATGATGGCTGCAGTGTCGGTGATGACTGCGACACAGTCAGCTGCAAAATGAAGTTTGTCGACGAACCAATAACATACAAGTTGAAGGTATTTGTGTTCATAGACTTTTAAAGTTTCTTCATCAGTTTTGTTTCTCATTGAAAGAAAAAAAATATTGTGAGTGATCTGAAAGACCTATAAATTAACCCCAAAATGATTGAAATAAAACCTGAGTGCCTAATCTATCTAGTTTCCCATTGTCACCGAATTAAATCTGATATTTTATCCTGCCCGCAAGGTCAATAGTTGTGATGACCCAGTCAGTGTAACAACTTCAATAGATGTACCTGATCTACGTATCTCTTGGTCTCATACTTACACCAGTGACGATACCGTAGAAGTCCCAGGATTCACCGCGTCGGTACCCGGTTCTTTATTGTCTGCCGGTGTGTACCTTCAAGTCTCTCTCACTCCGGACGGCGAAAGACTACGTTTAACGGTCAGCGTTTTTCTAACCTCGTATAAGACATGTTATGAGAAAACGCAATCGCAAGGGAGGAAATGCTCACGTGAGCTGATTTTACTACGTGAAATCTGTTAGTTTAGAGCTTCCGGGAAATGCATGAGACAGAGAACAAAATGGAAATAATATGAAAAGGACCTCTTCGAGGAAAAAGCCTAGCTATATATCCCGAGAAGTCTACTGATCTCGTGCACAGTATTTGCGCTGTGTGTCCACAACATGCGGCTACCCAACGTAACTCTCTTCTTGACGTCGTTCTCGCGGATCTCTTTATCCGAGAGACACTGGGAGCGATATAAAGCAGAGAGCTAAGTGTACTTTTTAATCTTTCAACAGGTAAAACTGTTGGCTGGAGGAAAGATCTTCGGTAAAGAAGTTTATCCTATTAAAGCGACAGTGTTGGAGGGGGGTCTACCGATTAAGACAGACGATTGTGGTAAGTCCTTAACTCTGAATCTCAACACTCATCCGATTACACTTTCTAGACCACGCTCATAGTTTCAAATTTTATACTTTCTTCTCTGTTGCAAAAATCAGTGTGAAAATTTCTTTATTGTATCCATTTTGAAATCACTGGAAACCCTTGTGGTCTGATTCGTTCTCAGCAGTGCGATTTTGTTCTGAAATCACATTGGTGATTCAAATCGTGTGGGATTTCAGACCAAAGTGCAGTCCACTTAGTTTATTTATTATTGTTTGTATTTTGATCGAGGTGTCTTCGGTTGGTGGCACGAGCTGAGTGACGTCACTAAGGCGTTAGTGATCGGTGGCTGGGTAATAATCATCATCTTGATGGTCTCAAGCTGTTGTTGTTGCTGTTGCTGTAATTGCTGTAACTGTCGTTCATCCGGTCAAAATACCGTTGTGGTGCGACCTGCCCCTGCGGTGGCACCTGCTGTCATGGCAACAACTTCAATGACCACCAACGTTACTATTCCAATGCAACCAATGGTGCACAGATTTTGAGTCGATTATTCAACGTGTTTAAATGTTTGTTTTATCAAAGTAATGGCCAGACGGCTGGCACAGCGATTTGACTAGTGTCTACATTAGATGAATAACAGATTCTGCCGCTTTTAGCACAAAAGATAACAACTTAAATAAGCAGAAGCACCTGAACGTCTCGTCGCAATTTAGTTTTCTGCTGTCCGAGTCGAGGTAGTCTAGTACCCAGTCTTCACCTGCACGTGATTATTAACCGCAACTGCTGAGTTAGAAAAACCCTATGTTCTTTTGAAACCTGAAAAGGGATTTAAGCCAGCAAAGTAACATACTTTTTTTGTTTTTATGAAAATTTCTCGTCTATTGTTTCCGTTTCTGGGTTAGTCACCAGTCTTTCACTTCAAGCTCAATGTTCACTTCTCAAGGTGCGAGAGCATTTTTTCAGAATTGGGGTACCTCGTCAATTATACTAAATTCATCGATGGCAGAAAATATGGCTGTCACACACGTTGTTACACAAACTTGATCTGTGATTACCTGAGTAGCCCACATCATTCTGTTAAATATTCCTATATATAGGTTGCCATTTTCAACGGTCCGCATCGCTCGATTCATTCGTTCAGTCAAAGAAGATTATGTTGATCACAATTTATAGCAGATATTATTGAGTTTTTATTGAGTTTTACAAAAGGAGCAACTGCCAAAGCAACCTCGTTCCTGGGGTCCTCTCTCGGAGGAAAGGAGAGAACCCTGGGAACGCAGTTGTTGCCATAACACGAACAATCCCCAGAGATTGGAACCTCGCTTCTAGGAACAACGTCCAAACTAAAGCCCGGCGCACACTAGAGCTATCAGCTGAGCTGAGCGTCACTCGTGGCTGTTGGCGTAAGCTGTTTCCTCAAGTGTGCGGTGTCATGTTCTGCGATTTTTGTCACGCGTGCCATGAGCTCAGAATATTCAACATGTTGAATATTTTCGTGCACGAGTGAACATTGACTCACAGTGTGCGCGCGTTTTGAGCTATCAGCTCAGGAATCAATGCGAACGCGCATGCGTCCTTGCCATGTTTTATTGAAGTCAAGATGGCCGATGTCGGTGAAAATCTAGATTCAAGCTCGTCGGAGGATGAAGAGGTTTTGCTTTCCCTTTTAATGCTGCGACGAAGACGAAGACGCTTGATCCAAAAGGCCCCAAATATTGGTATTTTTTACACTAATAAAATTTTGAATTATCTTACATGTTGTTCCAAGTTTTTCGGCCAGTTCTTGAAACGCTTTATCTCGTAACTCTCGATTCTTAAATTCTGGACACCGAACGTCGTAAAGACAAGGATAATCGGGCCATAAATCAGCTAATTCATCTTCCAGCACTGCATCAGCAACTATCGAGTTGTTTGCCGCCATCTTGACTTCAATAAAACATGGCAAGGACGCATGCGCGTTCGCATTGATTCCTGAGCTGATAGCTCAAAACGCGCGCACACTGTGAGTCAATGTTCACTCGTGCACGAAAATATTCAACATGTTGAATATTCTGAGCTCATGGCACGCGTGACAAAAATCGCAGAACATGACACCGCACACTTGAGGAAACAGCTTACGCCAACAGCCACGAGTGACGCTCAGCTCAGCTGATAGCTCTAGTGTGCGCCGGGCTTAACCGGTCTCACCAAAGCCCGTCTGACCAAAGCCTGAGTAACTGTCACGGCAAATTGGACAAACACTTTACACCGAAGCTCTACGTTTGCTGAATTCTTCATGGTATAAAATGACTGTGCTTAGAAACGTTCTTGTCAACATTTTTCTCGTTGCTCTTTTTAGCCAGTTCATTTCCTCAACTGCAGGTAGGTGTTTGATTTGTTGACCAATCTTTAGCCGCTCAAAACTGCGTCTGTTGTTTACGTCTTCGACTAGAAACAGTCGGTTCTTTAATCTACCAGAAAACTAAAGAGCTTATCTGTTTCCGAGTCGAGTCGCTATTCTTTAACTGCAGTTGAAGATAAGCTGCGAGTTTTATACCGAAACCTTCTAAGCGAAAGTTAATTTTCACTTTGAATACGCCGCCGCGGAGATAGATCTTCAATCTTTCCGAAACATATTGTCATGCCAATATAATTGTCAGTATTTTGTGACCAAAGCAGGCGAATAAAATAACATTCACTTTCACCAATTACTATCACTATTTCTGTATTTTCGTCAAGAGGAACAATTTCAGTTTTCTGTATGCTTTACCCGCATTCTAAGAATTACGAGACTTGACCTTCACCAGATTCTCGGAATCGATGCGGCATAGAACTGAGATATGACCGCATGCCACATTAGATCTTCGTCTTCATAAGAGTAACAACAGTAGAAATAAAAAGTATTTTTAAGCGTTTGTTAGTTGGTTCAGTATGATCCACCGTAGTTAATCGGCTATGAGCCGAGCGATTTTTTCAGAAAATTTCCTGAAGTCTTACCAAAGTTTTTGCCGAAAAAGGGTTTCGCGTTATGGCATTTTCTCAGAAGAGAAGTACCTCATGAATTATGCGCAACTCGTCAATCACAGAAAATATGGTTGTCACGTACGTTCTTACGCAAACCTGTTCTGTGCTTACCTTAGTAGCCCATATTATTCTGTTAAATATTCTTACATATAAGTTTCCATTTTTGTCTCACTAGTTTAGTTTAGAAGATCGGTACCCGTTTGTCTAAGTTTTATCCCGTAGAATTCTTTATATTTCTTTAAATTCTTAATTTAAATTCTTTAAATTTCTTTTACGTGGCAGTGGTTTTCCGTTCGCTACCATGTGACCTTGGGAGTTTACCTCGATTCAATGTTTGATGTTATCTTGAAGAAAGAAAATGTTGAAGATATGAAATCCTACATTTTTTTTACGTGGGGGGTGAGGGTGGGTTCCAGCGTAATGAGAAATGCGTGGACGAAGTGACCCATAACCTACATCCTGATATAGGCTTGAACACCGATCATCAAAAATCTTCCATACTCTTTTCCAGATCACTACGTCGTAGTATTTCCTTCCATTCCAACAACCCGACGAAACAATCTGAAAAAATGAAGACCGTACAAATAGTTTCCGTTCGTTTAAGGGAAAATCTCTTTGGCAATATTAATACTACATATTAGCGATTTTTAGTTATTGACATTTTTGTTTTAATGTTTACGACAAAGCGAAGGTGATCTTATATAGTGATCTCGGCATTACACTCCATAATGGATGCAGCATCAGCGAAGATCGTGGTACAATCACGTGCAACATGACGTTTGTCGATCATCCGATAACAATGGATTTGAAGGTGACTGCCTGCTTTAGATTTGTGATTTTCGTCTTTGCTTTGTTTTGAATTCATTCTCTGCAGAAACTGGCCAGTGGCACTTAATTGAGACTTCTCACGCACCTGTTTATACTCAATACAAGCCGTTTATACCCATAAACAGGCGCTCGATTTAACAAATCGACAGTGTTCTGCGTGGTCTTTACTCTTATCTTGACGATGTTCGTAATTAAAGTGGTCAAAATGTTGTAACAATTTTTACCACTGCGATGACGAACATCATTGTCGACAAGAGTATTGACCATGCTAAACCATGCATTGTTGATTTGTTTTTTACCACAATATCGATGTCAAATAAAAAATTATTTTAGTGCGTGACCATATTTGAGAGTTGAGAAAGGTATTGCGCGACACGCTGACGCGTGCGGCGTTGTCTGTCTTCATATCGACACTGACGGCAAATTGGCAAATAAGATTGCAACATTACTGCCAATTGTGGTAAAAAATCAGATGATCAGTCTACGAAGTAACTAAAAGAACTACAAACAAAAAATACACACGATCAGGGAATGAGTTCCTGACACGACAGAGGAAGAACAACAAGAACTAAGGCAATGGTTAATTAATAGTCTTTCCTCCTTTATAAATAAACTAAACATGATCTTATCGCCCGTTAGGTCAATAAGTACGATGACCCAGTCAGTATGACAGCCTCAATGGACGTACCTGATCTGCAAATCTCATGGTCCCACACTTTCTCCTTCAGCGACACCCAGGAAGTCTCGGGTCGTAACTCATCGGGTGTCTATGTTCAAGTGCAACTCACTCAAAAGAGCGATGACCTTCGTTTAAATGTAAGTGCTTGTTGATGGGTCATCATGAACGGTAAAAGAGTGTAGCCAATCAGAGAAGCATATTTCGCTTATGATGAACCCTTCAAATTAAGTTAAATTTTAATCATTGACAACTATACGCTTTACTTATATTTATACCCGCCCCAGTTTTACAGGAAGTTGAGAATAATACATATCTAAAGAGTTTTCTTTCGATCCCAAAAGTTACAGAAATCTTAACCTGGGTAAGTTCACTATTTTGCTAAGGCAAACGCTTACATAAGTTGCTTCCGAACCCTCTCCCAGAAACTCAATTCTACCGAGTCGAGTTTCGTCATTTATTGATCATAAATAGCCCGGGTGAAAACTGAGAATGAGTTTCGTGCAATATTCTCACACTGTGCAACTGTACAACACGTGTTACTGCCAGAAGTAACACTATTCTTACCTCTTGGAGCCGCTGACTTTATAGTTTTTACCTTCAATAGGTAAAGCTGTTAGCCAAGGGTAAGACCTCTGGTCAAGATCTTCATCCTACAGAAATGACCGTAATAGAGGGAAACTTTCTGTTAAAGTCAGACGAACGAGGTAAGTTGTTATAACTCCTTCAGAAGCCCCGCCACAATCTGTTCCTGGGAAAAACCATACCTAGGTTTTTTATGTTTTATATGAAGTTATCCCACATTTTAAGAACCTACTTTGAAATATTAAAACAATTTACTACACATTTGAAAATTCAGAGCCACTGAATTTGCGAGTTAAATTTTACTCTCAGTGGTAATCGACTTTGCTTTTCTCCTATGAAAGTTTCACATGGGGCCACCGATGACTGGATCAGAATATCCCGTATTTATAGCCTTCGTGACCTTGACGGAATGTATTTTGGATAATTCGGTGTTAACTGGGTAGATAGTCAAGATTATCGATATTGGAGACACTTTTTACTCTTTGTGGTTGACTCCGTCGAAAGAAATCCATTTACCATTAACCTGTATTTATAGTCTTCATGACCTTGACGGAATGTATTATGGATTATTCGGTGTTAACTGGGTAGATAGTCAAGATTATCGATATTGGAGACACTTTTTACTCTTTGTGGTTGACTCCGTCGAAAGAAATCCATTTGCCATTAAAAAAAATTCAGAAAATCGACCATCAAGGGGAAAACACCATGAGAAATCCGTAACCTCATCACTGTGAGGAATCAGTAATTATATATTATCCGGGGGTTAGGGCTCGGAGGATTTTACTTGTGTCACCATAACATTAAACTCGTAAGGCTCCGTACTGAACATTTTTCTGACCTCCCCACTCCATTGGCAGTTAACGGGTGGTCAATTTTCTAAAGTTCCCCCTTCATACTCTGTTTATGACGACTGATATCCTCTCCGTTCCCCCCTGAAAACCACGTAATCCCCCAGAATTCTGCACTTGTTCCCTTCCCCCCCTTCCCGGGCGATAGAAAATGACTGGTTCTTCAAATAGTAGAAATTGACGGCTCAGAAAACTTTATAATGACAGGAAAAAAAAGAAAAGAAAGAAAGAAAGTGGAAACGAGTCTGCCTCAAACGGTCTCTCACTGTGTCTCGGTTTTTGTCGCAGGAAACTTCGAATGGTGGCATAAGCTGACCGAAACTGAAAAAGGGGCGGTAATTGGTGGCCCCCTCTTCGTCATTTTGTTTGTTATTTCAATCAGCTGCTGTTGCTGCTGCAAGCGATCCAACTGTTGCAGCTGCCGCTGCCGCTGCCGGTGAGGCTACAGTTGTGACATCAGCAGTTGATGCCTATCCGGCGAAAGAACCATCGTGTGTAGTTTGTTGAAGGCATGAAAACTAACAATAAATAAATCTTATAGTCTCGGTCCTCTACTTAAGTTATTCCTTGAACGACTTCTTCTGATATCTTTCCTCGGACTCACTCAAACGGTTTAAGGTCGGTTCAGGTATCAAAAGTTCAGTTTGAGGAGTAATAGCGTAGTTTGATTAAAATGATTATCAATCAATGGTGAACCGCTGTCTTGATTTACGACTGTTGTTGGATTTTTTTTTCCTCTTTTCTGCGGGAATCACCAGCGGAATTCTGCTGCGAGTTGGACGATAATTAGATACTGATCATTCATTATTTATCGTCAGGGGAGTAGGGCGAGGTGGATTTCGGTTAGTTCACAATAAAATTTACCCAATCCCCCATAGGCCCATAAGGCTTTGTGGTCTTCTAATGATCTTCCCTCATTGGCAGTCAATTCTTAATAGTCCCCCTTTAAATTCTGTCAGAGACAACCAAGAGACTAAAATCTCTTGAGACAACTGATTCCCACACCACTCCCCCCGAAAATAATGTGATTCTCCAAAATCCTCCCAACCCCCTCCCCCCGGGCAATAAATAATGAGTGGTCTTTTCGGTAGATGACCATTTATGGCTGATGTTAATGAACTTTAAGGCAAAGGAGTACTTGTTATAGCAACCTGGTTCTCAGGTTCTTCTCTTGAGGAGGAGAAAGGACCTTGGGAACGAGGATGCTGCCATAGTATTATCATAACCGGAAGTAAGACTTTGCATTACGACACAATTCCGAGGAGGAACGAAAGAAAGAACTCTCTTGAGGAGGAGAGAGGACCTTGGGAACGAGGATGCTGCCATAGTATTATCATAACCGGAAGTAAGGCTTTGCATTACGACACAATTCCGAGAAAAGGGATTAAGCTTCCGGGAACACTAACCAAACAAGTCGAATGAAAATTCTGAAGTTACTTTTAATAATACAATTTAAAGGTAGATGAACACTGTATATCGAATTGTTACATTTGCTAAATTCTTCTCTGTACAAAACGGTTGCACATGGAACTGTTTTGGCCCAAATTTTTCTCGTTCTTCTTTTCATCCGGCCGGCTTCTTCGAATGAAGAGGAAATTTTTTTATGCGCAGGTAGCTATTGGGTTTTTGTCGAGGAAAATGCTGTGAAATTCGACGAATTAGAAGAACAATTTTACTTTTGGAAATTTTTTAAATTGCAGCCTAGGAAAATAAATGTGTTCGAAACATTACCTACTGTCTTTTTCTGTGAGAGTAATCTACAGCCCGTACCCGATTGTGAGCGACATTATCGCGCGGGTTATGGAAGTATACAGTTCTCCCACAATCAGGCAGAAGTCGATCTTGGCACGATGCCTTTGTATTCCCAAATTCCGAGAAACACAACCTCGCTTCTACGAGCAATGAAAAACCGGTCATACTGGAAAATACCAGAATTGCTGTCAATCAAACTGTCGCTAAGCCGAAGCGTGGGTACCGAAAAGACACGCCATTTAGGAACATTGAGGCTTTCTATCTCTTCGTCGTTCAAAATGATTGCGTCTGGAACTATTCTGACCAAAGGTTTTCTTATTCTTCTTTTCAGTCAGCTGATTTTCACAACTGCAGGTAATTATTCAATGTTCAATGTGATCTTTTTTTTCGGTCGTTTATATGTTTACTGTGGAAGCTCTGATATATTTTTTCTTCTTCAATGATAAAAAGTGATTGATTCTCAATTTGGAGGAAAATTTGAATGAAATTGTGTAAGTAGCGAGGGGCCAAACAAGTCGAATAAGGTGGGAAAAGCCACGAGATCAGTGTTATTATGTATTTTAATAACAGCACATTTCGTGGAAACGCCAACGCTGAATCTTTTCGAAAGTTGAAGTCTTATAAATCAGAAGGTCTATAGCTGGTTACAGTTACGTAATTTGATAGAAGACCAAATGAAAACAGGGAAAATATTCCTAACGCAAAACTTAACGTCAGTTCAAAGTCCTGTGTTAGGGGCAAAACATCTGTAGTCGGGTCAGCCATTATTATTTATTGACCAGTATTTTTTTTAACTTATCGAGAAACGTTTGCGCATGAAAACACATAATTTTCATCCTATTTAACGTAGAAACCTTCAAAGCAGAGGGTCAACTTGTATATATTTCGAATTCAATCGAGGATAATTGACACAATTCCGCAAACTCCTAACGAATTCGAAGAATTTCAAGAGTGTTCGAATTCTCGGAATTGATGCGTCATATCGGTCTGACGGCATACATGCATGCTTCTTGATAGAATGTATTCCTCAAAACTGTTATCCCCAAATAAAGGAATGGCCGTCCAAACTATTCTCTGTATAGAGTAAACTGGAGCGGGATTAGATTTTTAATCGTTCGAGTGACTCGTTAGAAAACTAGAGCGGGATTAGAAAAGAACAGAGCGAGAATATTAATTATGCACGTTGCCGATCAGGGTTCGCCGACCGAGTCGTCGTTGAACACGGTCTAGAAAGAACGGTCTTTTCCAGATCCATATTGCGCGACAAAGAAGTTTTGAGAAATGAAAAGCAAAATTAATTTTATCGCCAAATTTTTAAGTACCTGCATTATACATGAAACCCTACAGAGGTAAGATAAATAAAATGTGAAAGATTTGAAAGGAAATTAGTGGACTTAATCTAACTTTTCTACCTGCCACTGTGACCATTCATTGGAATTCAGCACTATATTGCGACACCTCAATCAAGCGAATTTATTGAGGACCGCAAATCACTAATGTTTTGTCGATATTAGGAGTAGAAACCTTATATAATGTCATTCAAAAGTTAATTGGTGCGACGGTCTCAGTTTCCTTGTGACCTAGAACAAACTGGAGATTACATCCGTTGAACTCGAATACTGGTCTTCGTAAACCGATTGTTTTGACAAAGTGCTTGGCGGAATAGTAAAACAACCACTCAGTTCAAAGCTTTTTCAAATCATCTTGATCACATCGGAACATTTCATTCTTTTGCATATCAGTCGTGCCAGTTTGTTTGCAGCGCAAAGAGATGTATTAATGTTAGCGAAACAGTTTTTGCACAAACCCACTAGTCGGTCGTAACTGATCAATGAATTGATGTTGCCTGCCCGGACTGCATCGTAAAAGATCAGCGATCATAAAATACCTAATGTATCATGAATTTTTTATTGTTTGTTTATTGTCATTCCCTATCTGATGATTTAAACTCTGAATAAATTTAATTTTACCTCAGAAGACCTTGCACATCGCTGCAGTTGCAATGATAAAATCCGTATGTCATCCGTAATATGTTTCTTGACAAAAATGCGACGGGAAAAAATCTGATTTTTAGAAAACTGAATTTTAGTATATTCCTGAAGACCTTTGTAATAATGTTATAGGTATCCCGGAGTCACAATCACAAGTTTTCTTTCTGTAAACACAACTGTTTTTAACTCCTAAGAAAAACACTCCCTCTAAAGCAACATGCATGACTGCACTTATGTGCAGTGTCAATCAAAACTCGACTACATTCAGGCTCAGTCTCCGTCATACGTATTTTGATTTACAAAGTTGGAAAGAAGAGTTAGTTTGTGAGTAGGTTGGCATGGGTTAGCGAATTAAAAAAGGTTAATAACGAAACAAAAAGAGATCCAGCGGTTGGTTTACAGTAAGAGTTAGAAAGGGAATGAAAACTCATAACCTTATTAAGACAATTGGTAAAATCTATAGTCTTATACAGCTTCAGAAAGGAGTTTTGCTTAATAGAAATATTATTATTTTTAGCTGACTTCTCAGATCAGGACAGCGACAGTGATTGGGATGACCAAACCATTCAGGGTAGCGATTCCTGTGGCACCTCCACACTTGATGATGGTTGCAGCATGAGTGATGATTGCAGCACAATCACGTGCAAAACAAATTTCGTCGAAAAGCCGATCACACTGAAGTTAAAGGTAAGTTTGCGCTTCCCTTATAAACGAAACGTCATTAAAAAGATCTAGAATTTCTGCTGTTAAGTAATTCTTTATTGGAAAGCTAAATTAGCAATTTAATCTACGACAAACAATTCGTGTTTGTTTGTTTGTTTTTTTCCACATGCTTATCTGTTTTTTTAAGCTGATGAGTTGAGATCCTGTTTTCATCTCAGTCCCTCTCGCGGGAGTATTCCGAAGGGAATTGATGTAAGCCAAACTCTAACAGGAAAAGTAATGCGTGCCGTTACAAAAAAAAAGAGAAAACGGCAAATACCATGTGAAACAGATTGAGACAATTCGTAATTTATCAGGGTGAAAGTCAGATAAATGAAAAAGCACGAAAAAAAGCTGAATTCGCGGTGAGAAATCGAACCTCAGACACAACAAATTGGCTCTTTGATGCTCTGCTTTAACCCTTAAAAGTGACAAGTATATAATTTCTCCTCACAATATCACCCCTGAATCATACATTAAGGTCATGAGAATAAAAAAAATGATCACCAACTTAAGCAGCTCTTGATTATTAAACAAATTCCGTTTTCAGCACCCTAGAAAATATATAGGATCAGTAAGGAGAGTATGCATACTGATTTTAGGGTGTAAATGGTTAAGCAACAGAGAACTCGTTGGTGAACCACACCAATATGAAGTTCAAATTTAACAAGCGTCTTTCTATAACTTCAGGGGAAGCGACTGACAACTTTCTTACTCTAACGGCCCCCATCGACCAGCTTTGATCTGAAAATCACGAAAAAGCGCAAAATTAACTTATTTTACTGCCCATTAGGTCAACAAGTGCGATGACCCAATCAGTGTAACAGCCTCAATGGATGTACCTGATCTGGATATCTCCTGGTCTCATACTTACACCAGTGACGACATCATAAAAGTCCCAGGATTCACTGCGTCGGTACCAGTTCTCCCAATTTCCGCTGGTGTGTACGTTCAAGTCTCTCTCACTCCAAACGGCGATGAATTGAAACTTACGGTCAGTACTGGATTGACGATATCATGGTGACTGACATGAGACAATTTATTCCCAGTCTAAGTTCTGCAACTTTCATCCTAGCTCTTTGATCTAAGAGTGACTAGCGTCTAATTTCTCTTCACAATATCACGACTGAATCACACATTATGGGGCAAGAGAGGTTAATTAGGTAAATGTAAAGAATCTAACAATTGTTGTTTCTATTTGCAGGTGAAGCTCCTCGCTGGGGGCCAGGTTGGGGATAAAGGAGTTTATCCTGTGAAACTACCTGTGATAGACGGTAACCTGCCCATTAACACCAACGCCTGCGGTAAGTGATGATGTATGTAAACTGTCAAGAGCATTCCCAACAAATGGATTTCTTTCACCACTCGATAGGACACTTTCGACAAGTGTTAAACCTTTCTTGTTATTCAGTAATAATTGTTATTCAGTGAAAGGGCAAGGGAATCTCGTGAATGGCCTGGTTAATTTAAAAGGGAGGAGGACGGGCGTTCATTGGGGGCCTGGGAGAGCAAGAGGTGGGAGCCAAAGAGAATAGGGGATGGTGCCGTGGACAATAAGGGGGGTGCTCAGGGGAAGCCCAGGAGAAGAGGTGATGGCAATCCGCCTCAAGAATCGGGTGCGGAAGGAGACAGAAGGAAGAAGGAAATAAAAACAAATGCGGGCAATCGTCATCATTAATCTACAATGCCTGTTATCAGAGACAGGGGGGGGGGGGGGGAATAAGGGGGAAGACAGAAGTTAAAGATGGACTAAGGGCAGGGTGCGAGAAGCGGAAGATTCTTACCCCGCCTTCCCCTTACCCATTTCTTGTGTCTGATCAAAGCTGAACGTGTATTATCTTCCTCTGGTTCAGGTATTCTCGCCTTGTGGTACAATATGAACGATATGGAAAGAGGAGCTGTGGTCGGAGGCTCCATTCTTGTACTCATCATCCTCATCTCTACCTGTTGCTGCTGCTGCGGCTGCTGCGGCTGTTGTAAACCTGCTCGGCCCAATCATGGAACCGTGTTTATCCAGCCTCCTGTTAGTGTGGGGCCTCCTGTCATGGCAACCAGTACTAAGACTACTGTCCCCATGCAACCGTTTGTTAACGAGGCTTAAGTCTTTGCCGTCTTCACTGTGCATGCTTTGAAAACGTGACGGGGTGGGGAGAGGAAACAAGGGAAGGGGTTACTCAACATTCAAGTTTCAATTTTTCCTCTTTAAACAAAGAAGAATTCCTAATCATATTCTTCCAAACAAGGCCCCTTAGCAGGGTGATAACATATCGTTCATTTCATTTCTCTCTTAATTTTTTTTTAATAGTCTATTATTTAGCAAAGGCTACACGATCGTAATTTAGCAGGCAGGTCAGTTTTGAAACCAGTGATGTCCATTCTAAGGAATCATAATCGAACATATCTTAGCGTTTTCATGGAGTTCGTGAAGAGGTCATCTCAGTTTCCGAGATATACTGTTCATGCCATGAAGTATAGAAATTTAATGAGTTTTTTCGAATGTGGATTTTGCAGATAGTCCTCAATTCACAAAGAATTTAAAAACCTTCTGAAATAGAATCCCGCGAACCAAGACGCAAAACCTTACTTCCGTAAGTCCATTAAAGAACTTTCAGTAGTTTTTAAGTAGCTAGTATTGCATTTTAGGGTTTTTTTTTTTTTAATGTTTTGACCCAATAGAGTGTGCCGTAACTGAAGTTGTAAAGGATGATGGTTCTTTTACTTCCTAACTAATTTTTTGTGAACTTGAGAGGAAAATTGCAAAAAGGGTTTCCGTTCCGCAAACTTTTTTATCGCATAAAATAGGATGCCGATCAGCGCAAGTCAACGGAGTCGATTTTTTTGTGTAATTATGGAGTTGCGCTTGCAGAATATCTAATAGAGAAGTCATGAAGTTCTTTACATTTTGTTTGATGTTTTTCCTAAGTAAAAATCTTCTCCCATGAATTTTGCTTTTCATGATAATACTTTGTATATTGATTAAAATTGTTAGAATTAGCCATGGGTGACTATATTTGACACAGGGAATGTTTTCACAGATGACAAGTATTTCAACACATATCAGATTGTGCGCGCAGTTTTGTTATATATTTCCTTTTATTGCTCTTACGTCACCACGTGCAGGAGACCTCAGCTTATGGTTATTATTAGCATTTGATAGGCAGGCTGTTTACATATCAATGATCATTAATGGTTACTAATTTGTTGATTGTCACTAGTCTAGTTACTTCTACAAATAAATGATACTCACATTTTGACTTATGGATATTTATAAGAAACGAAATAATCCTAAAGGATGAACTGCAGTTGAGACAATTGCAGAAAAAGCTGAGACGAAAAGATCAGGCTATAATAGGATTGGAACCCATGCCCTTTAGATACTTGTTTGGCATCACCATCAATCGTCTCTGGGAGGCATGGATTCAAATTCTCTGGAAGCCTAAAATTCTTAGGATTCTTTTCTAGAATTTTTTCAGATTGCAGCTCATTATATTTTCAATCTAACGTTCCCAACTTTCACGAGAAATCTCGATATTCTCTTGTGAGATATGAAATGGCTACTAAAATTTTTCTGGTCCTTTCTGAAGATTACTACTCTAGACACGATTTAGTTTTCATTCACCAAAATCACCCTGAGATCATCTCTGTAGATGTGAGCTGCTCCAGTAGGGAACTGGGGCGGTGAAGGTAAAGTAGCCAGGTAGCGGGCGTGCTGCACACGTAAGCTTCGGTTGTGGCACCTGTAGCATGCGTAGATCAACAAGAGGACTCCTAGCATACCGGTTCCTCCAATCACCGTGTAGATTACCGGGGATAATGTCTGGCTGAGAGTATCAACGTCATCGGGCAAACAGAACTCGTCAGACCAGTTGCCACTGGCAGCTCTTTCATTTGACACTTGGCCACTGCTTGATGTAAATTCTGTTAACACGAAATTGCAAAGTGTCTTAAAAAGTATCTCGACAGAATACAAGAATTGGAAGTTTTTCATCATCCTGACGGTTTAATTTTAAATAACTTGGAAAAAAAAAACCAACAATGACAAAATATAAAATGTATCGTCATCAACCTTCCTACCACGAATGTGTAATGGCGGGGTAAGCTCGAGTCTCCTAAAAGACTGGGCACTATTTAACAGTAGCTCCCTCCAACGAGGCCCTTAAGTAAATTACCGCTTAAAGCGATAAGCGCAGGACCAAATTCGGATATCTACTCAAGAGGGGAGAAGCAATCGGTGGCCTGAAGTTTTCGCCTATGCGGAAGATGTAATGGCGAAGAAAAGTGTATTTACAGGCTGTCACAACTAACTTCTCTGCCGGGAGTTATAAAAAACCACACGTCAAAAGTCGTACGGTTTTTGAGCGAAGCTCAAGACAGTGGTAAATTGACCCAGGGCAAATTGTTTTTAAGTGAAATCTAATGCTGCTTTATTCTTCAGTTAAAAGCAAATCAAGTTTGTTGTTCTGTTTAGACAGAGAGAGGCAACATGATGCAAAAAGCTTTATTTTCCAGCTAGAATTTTCCAAACTCTGTGAGACGCGATTCCGCTTATCTTCACCAAAGTTAACGAATAAAAAGCAACACAGAATAAACTCATTCAATACCCTCTTTCCTCTGTTAAAGTGAAAGCTATTTATCAGTGTTATGAACCTAAAGTCATCAGCATTTGCACATTTTCTGTATCGTTATGGCGATTTTTAGAAGATAAAAATATTTCATATTTTACTCACCTTCTCCCGCAGATTCATTGACGAACAGAAAGGTAAGGCCAAAAACAAGCCTGACAATAACTATCCCAACTGCAAGAATTACCGATTTTCTTGCTAACATACTCCTTAAAATGAACTCAACAAGACTCTTTCCTTGGAGATGAAGAAAAATTGTGACGAAATTAGATAAACGTCTTCTTCGAATCAATAACTCTCCCAAAAGATATTTTAAGTGCTGTTTTATTATCACTTGATTGTCATCTCGCTAAAATGTTCGGGTAAGTTTTCTGTTTGCTTTGTTTTAAAATAATGAAGTTCGCTGAAATCTTAGACTGGGGTTGTTGCAGCTGGTTACATAATGTTCACTGCACTCAAAAATCGGCTCGAGATTGATTGGCGCACCGTCCAAGCAAAAAAAAAAAAAATAATAATAATAAAAAAAAACTTAACGAATTTTAACCATGTCCGGTTGTGTTAGATTTTAAAGTCAGTTAGCATTTCGCAATGCCATTAGTAGGAAAATCATTTAATGCGCAAAAAATGGAGCAGGCACTTGCGTAGGATGCGTTCCAGTTTACTTTTCGAACGTCATATTTCGCGCGCTTTTCCGCTCGTTTTCTCTGACTGAGAGCCTAGAACAGGCTACTTGAACACCAGCTCGCGAACATCTTATCGAGGATAAATGAATCCCATGGGCGTAACTATGAATGACAATCCCCCCTTCTTTCAAGTATATAAACCTTGTAATTTTCTTTCAATTAAAAAAAACTTTGTAATTAGGCTTGACATCTCTTTTAGCGTCAGATACTTCATTTCCTGTTCCTTCTCGCTGCGAGAACACGAGCCCGCTAGTACACAGGGAAAGGCAGCGGTCTGAGCCATTTCATGAAATCCGTCGATGTGCCCCACCCCCACCCCTATAAAAATACTACACTCTCAGAAATAGCCAGCTGGGGCTTCTCTTTGGAACTCCACTAATTTCGTTTTTTTACCTCTCTTCCTATACCAATATTGTAAATAACCAGTTTGTAACACAGTAGTTATGTGAACAAACTTTGAAAAGGACTGCGAAGGCAGCAAATGTCTCAACCAATGTGTTTGGGATTAAACTATGAGCAGTGGCTCCTTTTTAGTAAAGTCCATCCCACGAGTCAAACGAAATCATTGGGAAAAGGATTGAAGTTAGCATGTTGCACAGAACTCTGGGATTGAGGTAAACAAGAAGCAGGCCTTGATGATATCTTTCGTTTAACTCGCATGAAAGACTTCACCAAAGAGGAAGAACTGCATGTAGTCCAGTCTAGGACTGTAGCTACACTCCTTGTGATCTAATTTTGGACCTCAGAAGGGCAACAAGGAACCAACAGTGGCTTGACACAATGAAGACTTCTTTGTCTTTTTTGACTCCATAGACAGGACTCTGACAGTAATCTCAGGGAGGGATGGTATAGTGGTATAGTACATGCTTCCCTAACACCACGGTTAACTTTGGACCTTAGCAGTACAAGCCTGTCCTTACAAGAGATTGACAGTATTTTATGATAATAGGCGAAAAATCCTTTGTAAACCAAGCTTCAGCATCTTATTTCACCTTACAGAACCACTACTGAATCACACATTAAGGTCATGAAAGCTCTGGATTGTTCAACAAATTCTCCTTGTCAGCACCTTGGGAAATGCATAGAGAACAGTATAGAGAAACTCACATTGATGCTAGGACGTAAAGGGTTAATCTGGAATCCTCTGTGAGGCTTTGAACTCACCCATGGGTCCTTGTACTTGCACAAACTGCTTTTGTGACCAGAGTTCTTTCAGCCTTTACTCCCTAACATCAGTATGCATATTCTCCATACTACTCTCAAGACATTTCCTAAGGTGCTGATGAGGAGAATTTGTTCAACAATCAAGAGCTTCTTTAGTTGGTGATCATCTCCTTCATTCTCATGACCTTAATGTTTGATTTATGAGTAATTTTGTAAGGAGAAATTAGATGTTAGTCACTCTTAGGGGTTAAGGGTTCAAGCACTTATTTGACATTCTTCATCTGAGCCATTGCTATCTTGAGATTGGAAGGAAAAATTACATTCGAAAAGTCATAAACAATTGAAAAAAACACCCTTGAAAGATGATGGAAGTGTCCGATTACCCATATTTGAGGCAGATACATCACTTCATCAAAATGTTTTCACGACAGTCCTGTTGGCTTCTGTACACCACATAACATTTGACTCACTTCAGAGTTACATTTTCCATGTAGACCATTTCAGAGCTCAATGCATTTCTCCAAACCAGTTCACTCCTTCAAGCCTTTTCATTCTTCACAATGGTGAATCATTTTTCTTCTGCATAAAATTCTTGCATGGACTTTCTTCTTCTTCTTGACTCTTCCAAGTTTTTTCTTCGTCTTCTCAAATCCTGTAAGGAAAAATTTTTTAAGGTTGAAAAAACTCCAGTCGTACATAAGGTTTATTCACAAACATACTAACACTTTAACTCCCATAAGTGACCAAGACAGAATTTCTCCTTACAATATCAATACAGTATCAAGCAGACAGGTGATGAGAATAGAGAAGAATATCAGTTAGGGGATTATAAGTTGATCTTACACCAAATTCCACAAACTAACATCACAAGAACTGTATGGGAGATAGTAAGGAGAATTACTGATGAGATCTTGGGAGTTAAAGGGTTAAGGTAACAGAGTAACTACACACTACAGGGGCACTTTTACAGGAGCATATATCTAAATGCTCATTTGGGTCAGCAAAAAAAAAAAGAAAGGAATACTGAATTTATGCCTTAATTCTTAGGGCTATGTATTTTGTAGCTTGTTTGGCTCATTTGGCTCAGCAGCGGATGAAAGAATGGGGAACAGTTTGATTGAGTTATGTGTAAGGTCTATATTTGTAGTGGCTCCTTTTGCGTTTTTGGCTTGTTTGGCTCAACAGTCAATGAAAGAACAAGAAATAATTTTTATGCAAGTTATGTCTAAGTTTTATACATGTAGTGGATTATTTGGCTAGAGGCAGCAGATGAAAGTAAAAATAATTAACGTGCACATTACGTCTAAGGTCTATAAATATAGTGGCTTGTTTGACTTGTGTGGCTTGTTTGGCTTGGCAGTGAATGAAAGGACATGGAATAATTTATACACATGTTATGTCTAAGGCAGGGTTTGAGCTAGTATTTGATCACTGGGGGACAATTTGTCCCCTTAGCAAAAATTTTGGAGGACAGTTTCATTTTTAGGGGGACAGACATATTAATTTTTATTTGACATTTTCTTTTTTTACATTCATACAGGCAAGCTGACAAAAACATTTTTTTACCTGATCCTTGTAAGACTTGTAATACAAGAAAAGTGATACAAAAAAGAAAAGTTGTTATTGATGTCAAATTTCTTTTTCTCGCCATATTTAAACAGAGGATCAATGACTATGCTTTATACTTCAAAACATTACACAGCAGAATCTCATCCCGGCATCGCCTTGTAAACTTCAATTCCTTTCTTAATCACTGGTAAACGTAAATGTACTAATTCTTCAGTTGGTTCTAGCTCAAACATCAAGGGCTGTAGAAAAGAGTTGCTGCAGAGTTGAGGTTCTAAAATTTGTACACCCTTCTGCTGTTGCAAAGGGGTTTGTCTTCTTAGATTTCTGACAAAAATAGCAGAACATCGCCTCTTTTTCATAGTGCAACCATGTGTGATCTTGCAACCAAGTTTTCAGGAAAGTTCGTGATTTTTTCGGTTTCCTTCGATCCTCATTCGTTTCTTCCCGATTAATACACTGTTCTTCTTCTGTATCATTTTTTTCTGATTCACTCTGGCTTTGATTCCGAGCGAAAAAGCTTTCTAATGTTTGCACACGTTTTCGATGTGACATGTTACTGCACTTTTCACAAACATGCGAATTTTGAAGTTCAAAAGCCAACTGACGATTGCGTTTTTCGCTGCCGTCAATCATCTTAACGGAACTCTTAGGAAACAAAACTTTACTTTCACGGGTTCAAAAGGTCATGGTTTGTGATTTGTGATTGGTGGATTTCAATCCGTTTCGTGTGTTTCTGTGTTTCAAGGTTCGTTGCTTGTGATCGTAATTATGATTGAGGGCAGTGAAAAACGTAATTGTGAAGGTGGCTTTTGAACTTTTGAGTTTGCATGTTTGTGAAAAGCGTAGTAAAGATTGCCACGTGCATTCACCACACTTGGTTGAGCATGAGACGTACGTGTTCAGTAAAGTGTGACTGAAACATGACTTTAGAATGAACTTTAAATGTGCAAGAAAATATACTTTCCACATTCTGTTTTAGCTTGCAATTTCTGTACCGAGATAAAACTCTTCGTGTGTGCTTCCTTTCGAGTTTTTTCCCTAAATTTTGAAGGCGACAAATTGTCCCCTTGACCATTTTTTTAAGGGACAATTTCAATTGCAGTGCGGGATTGGCGCAATGGTGCGGCCTGGCTCAAACCCTGTCTAAGGTCTATATATGTAGTGGCTTGTTTGATTTGTGTGGCTTGTTTGGCAGTGGATGAAAGAATGAGGAATGATTTATGTGCACATTGCGCCTAAGATCTCTATATGTAGTGGCTTGTTTGGCTGGGCAGTGAATGAAAGGATGATGAATAAACAGTGTGCCTTTTTCTGTTAACAAAGAAGCAAACAAGCCAAACGAATTGACTCGTTTAGTAGATAGTTAAAAGTGGGCTTGTAATCTGTAGTCTAGCCATGGTAACTACGACACTGATTAAACTAATCTCATAGTCTGTACCACACAAAAATACACATTACTGAAGTTCAATTTATTCCTGGACAGAAAACTTATCACTTAAGTTTGTGGGCATGGCAGCCAAGAGAACTCGCAAAAATCTGAAGGAAGTATAAAACAGAAACACAAAACATTGCACGTTTGTACAAAATTACCAGTGTAACCTCACCTCTTCTTTCAAGCACGCATTAAGAGTCCGTTTAATATCGTTACACATTCCGACGAACTTTCGAAAGGGATGCTGCAAAATAGAGATAAATATATAGGAGTAAATGAAATATATATTTTTGATTTTACACACAAAAAAATATCAACAATATGAATGCCTGTTACGTAATTCATTTTAAGTTTTCATGGGAAAAGGAGGACGTACCTCTTCGTGACAACGATGCAGCTCTTCTATAATTTGTAAACAATCGCTGTGCAGGTGAGGAGCTAAAGACGGATGCATAACTTGGAAAAGGTCTTTATAAGTGATGCAGCAAGACCTATGATTCCAGATAACTTTCCTTGGACATACAGCTTAGCCACCTGGCATCGAAAGACTACTTTTATGTAAGGAACAACGAAATGTCAGGGGATGTGAAGTGTAGCTATTTTGAGGGGATAACGCATACAATCCTTTAATTCCCAAGATCTGATTGTTAATTCTCCCCTGATACTGCTACACATTTCCTTGTAAATTAGTTATGAGAACTTGGTGTTGGATCAAGATAGCAGCTTCTACCTGATAAGTTTGAATATTCTCATTACCTGTTTGCTGAAGAATGTACGGATATTGTTGGGAGAAGTTTTATGTTAATCACTTCTGGGAGTTAAAGGTTGATGCAATTTTTAATGCATAAATTAATCGTCTAACAAATCAATGCAGTGTAATGAAGGTTCCAATGTCTTTGTGATGTGTTTGAACTTCAAGGGTCGGATTCCCTATTAATATCTCGCCTTTGCAAACTTTTATGTCCAAGAATGTAATTTCTAATGTAGATTTATCAGCCGTGAATTTGTTCATCTGCCTGTTGTTTATTTGACTTGTTCCTGGTGTGTTGCCAGCATCCTTCTTCCTTTGTCTCTGTTTTCCTTTGCGATTTTTAAACCGCTCCTTTTTCTTATTTGGGTTAGGTTTCGCCCTCGTTGTTCGTTTCTGAAGAGACAGAGAATGCGGAAGTACAAGATTAAACTTCTCTACTGCCTGTTTGTTATCTCAAATTTGCAAGAAGCTTGTCGACTTCGTTCGGTTTAGCTTTCGATTCCGAGGCTAGTTTGTTTACATTAATTTGTTTCAATTTGAAATGGACTGAATCCATGGCCAATGATTCTTACGTTCTTTGATAGTTCTACAACATTTTTCTTTCTAGTTTTTCCTTGCTTCAGTTTTCTGAGCTTTTTTGTAAGTCTCTCAACGCGTCTCACGGTGGTAAAATTTCACAAGCGCTCCCATAAGGTCATGCTCTGCTTTCTTTTTAATCGATCTTAGGTCTGATTTATAATCTTCAATAATCGCGATGTTCGCCCTTATCTGGTAGCTTAGGCCTTTTGGTCATGTGCCCTGCTCTAAATAAGCTTGTAAGAGTCCGAATTAGTTCTTTCTCAGTATTGTCAGGGATTTCTTGACTCCATTCCATTGAGGCCTCGCTGGCAACCGATTTCCTCCATCTCCGCTTCATATTCTAATAGACTAGAAGCTTCGAATGCCTCGGAGTCATAATCACTGTCCGAGTTTGAGTCTTTGGATGACATGGCTTTCTTTAGATACCCTATGGAGCGTCTTCGATTTTCAAAGAATGGAAAAATGCCCAAAGCATTTCTTGTCTCGGCAACGCACCCTCAGGTTTTTCATTGTAGCGACCCTGTTTGTTCAAGTGCGTTGTGTCCCTCGTGCCAACGGGATAAAAGTCTATTTTTTGACCTTCAATACCCTTTGCAATGGACTTAAAATGTCACTCAAGGCTGTAAAAAAAAAAAAATTTTGCCTTAACTGGCGTGAAATTATACAATCCTGGGTTGTGGTAAGTTTTGTCACAGACCCTTGCACCGTAAAATTTCTCTCTCGATTATTAAATCTATATAAAAATTCTTCTTCCATTAATTACGCTGTCTTTCGGTTGCCTCATAAACATTGTCTCAAGTTGGTGTCCCTCTGTCCCGTGACACCCACAAGACAAGCTGTAAAAACACCTACTACTTTTCTCAAGAGCAACTCTCTTATGCAAACCATTATTGACAACTTGATTGCACATAATGGAGAAACGATGGGTTTCTTTGCTATTTTTACTGAGTGGACTATGCTTGGAAGGTAAATAAAGTTTTAATGTAATTCCATTTGTATCATCAGTGTCACAGATTAAAATCTACCATATGTAAAGGCAGTAGGATAAATTAACCACGATGTCGCTGTAATTCGTAATTGTCAATTTCTGTCAAAAGTGTTTCGCTAAATGATTGAAGACAAACTATTATATCGAAAAACTTAAAAATGTTTCGGGTTTTAGTTTCTCTTGCTTATCCTCAATCCGCAAAAAATTTTTCCCGCATAACACAGACAATCGTTGATCGATCTGCATAATAAAACGACTGCAGAATTTCATGTCGCAGGGTGAGTGGGTACAGAGTCTTAGCTTCGGCGAATGGTATTTTCCCTGGGAAAGTGATGTGTCTTGAGTCACAAGACGGCAATGTGTTCTTCAAACAATCACGAACAGGACATGTTATTACACTTGCCATGAGTTTTGTATCGATCAGAGTCAAAATCATAAACATGGCCTATAATGTAATTATTTAGTTATAAAATAATTCAAATAGGATGCGCGCTCTGATTGGCCATAAAACCATTTTACATGAGCGTATGTAAACACGGTTTTCGTTCCTCTTTCATTAGTTATTTTATAAAAGAAATGTAAAATGGTTTCCGTGTTTACATAGCCTAATGTAAACACTTGGGAGGTTGGGAGAACGGAAACCATTTTACCTTTCTTCATTGAAGCATGAAAAGCTTACTAAGTTAGCGTTTTCCGAACGATCAATATGAATTGTTTAATATTCCACTCTCTGTAAAGTTCAGTATTTCATCAGTATCAAATTGGTCTTAATTTTCTTCTACATCCGCCGTTTCACTGAAGGAAATATGCAACGATCCGTTGAATTTATTTTTGTGGTCAGATCATTTATCCGTGGTCTAACTTCACCTGTAAAAATTAAATATGTTCTTTCTATAATTGATAGTTTCGTTTTTAACTCGTAAAATGGCTTAAAGCCATTTCCATTTCATGACTCAAAATTCACACCTTTCTCCTTTCTATCACTCCGTCAGTCCTTCCTATGAAAATTCCGCTGACAAGCGCTTAAGCAATTTTGCATATTCAATTTCATCGTAAGGCTCAATTGAGGTCAACTGATCGCTGAGAATTGGTCAAAACTTTAACAGACTGCTGATATATAATAATAGAGCAGCAAATTTTACTGATGGGCATTTGATGCGCTCTGATAAAAACACTGTTCGAGGCCGATAAGGCGTCTGACATTGCAGTATTTTTGGGATCTCTGTACAGCACTTCTTTATTCTGAATTTGAACATTGGATTGCCGAAAACACCAAATCGGTGAACTGTACTCAGGAATGAATAAAGCATTCACTTTTTCCAAAAACAGGAGAAGGAAAGACAAACGCTGCGCTTTGGTTATTGATACTTTTTAATGCTGCTAACTGCACAACAAATGGTTATGGTCTCCACGAAATGAGAAAAAAAAGCGAATGCTTTTGAAAGGGAAGGTAATCGATGACATCCATTGCGCCAAGATAGTAGATAGTAGCTTTTCCAGGAGTACAAGGTACGGATACAAAATGACTTTCCATAGGCAAAAACCTCACAATATGAAGTCTGATCAGGGAACTCGGCACTACATCCTGCATCAGTCGTTTTCCACGTCTAGTGGCTCGCAGCTACTCTGACTGGTCGCAATAACGGATCACTCAAAATCCTTAATTTGTTCATGATTTTTTTTTACTCATTTATTTATTTATTTATTTATGGTGTATTATTTACTAGAAGGAGTCCATGCAATGCAGTGGTTTGTTTCAAGACGTGATGGGAACTTTGCTAACAATTGCGGGCTCAAAGCGTCATTGCCCTGTAAAACAATTCAACAAGTGATTGCGCATGCATCTGATGGTGATGTTATCAATATAGACGGCACAAGAACGTCCCGTGGCCCTTATCCGTGCGAGAATTGGACAGAATTGAATCTAGCCGCTCCGGCAATACGCAGTTACAACACTCGAGCATTTCTTTCTTGCAAAACTGAGGGCCTGCGAGTTTTGTGTAATTCGAGAAAGAGAGCCTTTGGTGGAGTCTCTGTGGACCAAATAACCTTCGTCAACACTTCACTTCATCTCTCTGACTGCTCCTTAAAGCTCAACGACTGCAGCTTTATAAACAGTTCCGTTGCCGCGCTTACGTCAAGATACGCCACTGAATCTGTGAAAAAAATGTTCAACTCGATGGATGCACCTTTCAGAACAACAGTGCTAGTAGTGTTACAATTTATGGCAATTCTATGGTCAACTTTAACATTTCCAAAACTACGTTTGCTTAAAATAAATTGCTGAGTGAGGAAGACGCAATATTGTACTTGTCCGACAAAAACTTGCATGGGAATCAAAGTGGGGAGAGTTGTTTTACATCGAAGTATTTTAGGTGAGTATTCGTTTGCTTTCATTTGATTGGCATGTGCAAGTGTAGTGGGCGAAAATGTTTGCTCTCAGGGAAAAGAGAGATCACAAAAGTAAAGATCCTTTTTACTCTAAGGTAAAAACAAACCAGTTTGCCCGTATTCCACTGGCATGAGTCACTCTTTTCACTATCAGAAAATATCTTTTCCCTTCACTTCCTCGCTTTGTTTGAGCATGAAGAGGAGTTTCATAGACTAAGCTAGTAAAAGAGATACATCGGCAAAATGAGTGCGCTTGCTTTTAACGTGCGAGAAATTTACACATGCAAAAGAAAGGGGATGGAAATATTCGTATAGTAACACTATTGCAACAAAATGGCGGCATTTTTCGAATTCCCGTTGTTTGTTTTCATTTTGTGGGGAAAAGCTCAAACCAAAACAGGTAAGCTACCGTTTTCAGGTAAAAACAATAAATAACATGTAGCGGTCACAGGTGTTATTTTGCAAGTGATATTCCCCAATTTGAAACCTTACGTCTGCTACGATACGGCCGGGGCAAGGCGTTGTGCCCTTGAGACGTGCGGGAAAAAAAATCCGAGCTCCGCTTTTAGGCTTGGCTAAATGTATATATTTCAAATTCAACACAGAAAAATATATATGACGCAATTTACTTCAAATTTGAACAGAGAAAAAGGACGCACCTCTGTGTGAAAATGATACAGGTCTTGTATAATTTGTAAACAAGCGCTGTGCAGGTGAGGACCAAACGACAGATGCTTAACTTGGGAAAGTTCTTTAATAAGCGATATTGCAAGATCGATAAGTTCAGATGAATTCACTTGGACATAGAGCTTAGCCACCTGGCGTTCAACGACTACAATTTATGTAAGGAACAATGAAATGTCAGGTCATGTGAACAGGGGCTAAGATGATGAGGGGGAGGGGGATGGAGGGGTATTTGAGTTGGGATCACATGGTTTTTCAGGGATAACAGAGAATGATCAATGATCGTGGAATTTACTTTCGGAAAGTCGACAGACGCGTTCCAGTATTATTTGGGAAACTCGATATTAATTGGTTTGCCGTTGACATATCGAATTGTTCTCATTTGTGTGCGAGACAAATTTGCATATTCTTACCACTAACAATAATCCTTTCTGCGCTTCGCGTATCCACGACTAAAAATGCTAGTTTTCCTAAAATAGGAAAAATGACTGCTCTACTGTATAGAGGCCCAGCGTAAAGCAAGCATCAGTCCCCGGCAGCAACAAGAAAAAACTTATTATGGTGACAACAAACTCTGATGTATAGTTCTATGATGGCGGGTGTAAGTTACAAATGCGTACTTGCTGCCCGTCACGAAGAAGCCCCATTTTATCTGAGGAGGAAACCTGAAACCTCCCGAGTACAGAGCCAGACACTGAACATGAACCTTAAGGGAGAGAAGTTGAACTAAAGTATGTAAATACAAACTGTAAATATATGAGGTACCACCTGCAATCAAATTGAAATAGACGTAAAGAAAAGAAAGCACAAATGCCAGCGATGTCAGTGACTTGACCCGGTTAGATCTCGCCTTTTAATTCCCACGTCTCCATGTCAACTGTCAAAAAGTCATAACCGTGAAAACAATGATTTGCTGCTATTCTTAGAACCGCAGCGAATAACACCTCTTGGATTGTGACCAATAATTTATTCACCCTGTACGTCTCGTGACATTCCAGTGAGGAATCCCATTCTCGAATATCGCGTGAATTTTGTTTTCGAAAAGCAGCCGTTAAGAACAGTAGATTGGCGTTGTCTTGTTGTTTTGCCGACTCACATAATGGAGCTAACAACGTTTTATTGGATTTTTCTTTGGAGTGGAATATGTTTGGAAGGTATGTGAAATCTCGTTATGATTTGCAGTTATATCTACTCAGCATATTGCCTTTAAACTTAGCCACTTATTGATGCAAAGATACCCTAACCAGTAGCGTCGATAAGGTTTCGCTAAATTGTCTACACCAAGAGCTGCTGGTTGAACGACTCGTAAGAGGCCTTGTTTCCACTGATGTTGGTTTTTTTCACTATACATGTCATGGCAGATCGCCGTTGTTGACTCAAATAGACACTAGTTTCGACTTGTGGGGTTCAAGCTCCTGGAGTTAATCCGTGTACCTTAGCGCCAACCAATTTTTAATTGCGTAGGAAAATGAAACAAAAAAGAAAATTAAAATCCGTTTTTTTAAGAGCTGCAGAAAGAGAAAAACGAAGAGCATTAAGTGAATTCGAATGCCGTTTCCTTCCCAGCGGGGAATAAATGAGGAACCAATTTGGTTTGTTTACAGCGCAAAGGAAAACGAAGAACAAAGTTAAAATTTGAATTTAATTTTCCTACGCGATTGAAAATCGTTTAGCACTAAGATACACGGATCCAAGTAGTATTAGCAAATTCAATGAGAATGTTTCCATTCGGCGTAAGTATAATTTTTGAAGTTGGGTGAAAATTGGAGAAGCATGGCTCTTTGTTGAGAGTTGGTCTAACCTTTTTAACGAGCAGGAGAGTAACTTTATGACCAAGTTGACATCCATCGTTGATTGCATCAGCTTTAACGAAACAGGAAGTGGAGGGACTTTCCCCAGGAAACTTGTCGTGTGTCACAAAGCAATCTCGTGATTTCTAAAACGGTCAGAATAGCAACATAATGGTCGTAATTATAGAAAGTGATAAATAGAAGAGGGGGTTGACAGCTAATCTGTAAGAAATTGCGTGACGTTGCGTGACGTGGGTTTGTTAATTTTCATTTCATAGACAGTCACGTTGAACAACATGACAGTAGTCGGAAAGTTACTGTTGTTACCTTCCGCGTTAGTTAGCGCTCTTCTTGTCAAAATAATCAGAATCTTGTTATATAAGCAACATAGGCCTTTATTGAAAAGAAAAGTTGACTTCATTTTTGGTGAACACTTTGTCATTCATTCATCAACCTGACAAAGTGGCACAAAGGGCGAGTGACGTGTCTGCAGTTGATTGGCGATATCAAACACAGAAAAAAGGCATCGTTATTTTAGACGTGTATAGTTACGTCTTTTCTCTGGGCTGGAAATCCTTGAAAAAAAAAACAGTTTAAACCATAATCTCTATTTATTCATATTTTTCTTATTTAATAGAAACTATCCATGCCAAGCAGTGGTTTGTCTCAAGATACGATGGGACCTTTAAAAATAACTGCGGGCTCAATGCGTCATCGCCATGTAAAACCATTCAGCAAGTTACTATGCATGCGTGTGATGGTGATATAATAAATATAGACGGCACAGGAACGTCACGTGACCCTTATCCGTGCCAAAACGAGAAAGGATTGGATCTAGCTGGTTTAATTCTGCGCAGCTACAATAGTCGAGCATTTATTTCTTGTAGGACGAATGGATTTCGGTTTTTTTGCGGCATGGCTTCTCGAGGGGTCATTTTAGAAGAAATCACCTTCGTTAACACTTCAATTCATCTCTTTCAATGTTCTTTAAACGCGGTCGCCTGCAGCTTTATAAACAGCTCTGTTCCTACACTCACCTTGAAATACGATGAATACTTAATGATGAGAAATGTTCAACTGAATGGATGCACCTTTCAGAACAACAGTGCTAGTAGTGTTACAATTTATGGAAATTCTTCCGTTGACTTAAACGTTTCGAATTCTACATTCGTCAGCAATAAGATACGTAGTGGAGGAGAAGCTATACTTGACATGTCTATTCAAAACTTACAAGCAAATCAGAGCAGTATCAAAGCTAATTTTACTGATATAAGAGTGTTGCATAATATCTGTTCAGGTCAAGCATGTTTTCGAGTTTTTGCTGGCATAAACGGAACTGACTTAGTTCTCGTTATGGAGAGAGTACTTTTTGAAAACAATGTGGCTGAAGTAAATATCTTGGACGTTCATGGCTTTTCAAACGGGTACACTGATTTCAAGTCGTCACAATTTCGAAAAAATAAAGGCAGAGCGGTCCAAGTCCATGATGGGATCTCAGTTGAGCTGAAAATCGAAAGAGCATTGTTCTCTGAGAATAAAGGTGGAGCAGTTGAGGTCAGCAATTTTACAAAGGAAGCTTCAGTTTGGCTGCTCAGTTCAAACTTCAGCTTAAACAAAGTTGAATTTGGCGATGCATGCATATTTGAGGATATACCGTCACTTTTAATGGATGTAGAGGACTGTAAGTTTGTGCGAAACGAAGGCCGGCATTTAGCTGGCGCCATGTCGATGAGAGTCATCAACAGTTCTCTTTCGATAAGTATTAAGTGCTCTCATTTCATAAATAACACACTGATCGGTAGATACGCACCTAAAACCGTTACAGAAGGAGGAGGCGCCTTAGCGTTGATCGTGTCATACATGGGTAACTTATCACTAATCAATAACACTTTTGCGTATAATCAGGGTCTACTGGAAGACAGCCCCACAAATATTTCTGGAGCTATTTGTGCTAGAGTGCACAAACTCCTTGGGGACGTGGAAATTCGAAACAGTGAATTCCTGTACAATTATGGCTCGTGTGTCAGCATTCTTTCTCTTGACGTTGAAAAATCACAACTTCAGCCACGAGTGACATTACAAAACTTGACCTTTATCAACAACAGTTATAACTTTAACAATAGTGAAGGTTGTGGCATTGGCATCAGTGAAGGCATGGGCTTCAAAATAATGAGCTCCTGTAAATTTCACGGAAATTCTGGTGGGATAGTGTACGTTTGCGAACCAGATATGGGTTTAAGGTGCAGAGGGAATGTTCTCGTGGAGGACACCATGATAAGTGGAAATATCGACTTTACTTTGGCAGTCGTAACTAAGAGTTTTCACTTGAAAAACGTTTCTTTTGTTAACAACAGCTGCATTGGGCCATGTAAAGATTCTGTTTTGCAAGTAATGAGTGCGGTTAGTAATAGTTCGTTCCACTTGGATCAGAGCACTTTCCTGAACAATTTTGGAGACGAAGGAGTAGTCCATATCGATCTGTCCTTTCTTGACAAAACGACCGCCGACGGCCAGGTGATCATCAATAACACTGAGTTCCGAGGTAACTTTGGAAGATCTGAAGGCGTCCTTAAAGTGCTCAAAGTTAATACGACTAAAATTCAAAACTGCAAATTCATAAATAATTTTGGTGGCATAAGTAGTTCCCACGCAAACGTGCAGCGGTGCTTAGGAGTGTTGATAATCAGAAATACCTCCTTTAAACAGTTTAACAATTCTCAAGTTTTTGAATCAGGAGGACCTTCCAAACATGTGGCACCATACTTGGGATTTTTGACGGTGACAAATTCTGAAAACGTCGTTATGAGTATACGTAACAGTTCGTTTGTTTCGGATCCTTTCAGCACAGACAGCATAGATCTCATTGTTGTAGAAGAAGTCCGCCCAGGACTGTTGGACAACTCTGTGCGAATTAAAACTCCGATCAACACCAAACTTAAGCTGCGTAATATTACGGAAATCTACGAAAGGATACCATTTGGAGATAAAAAAGTCACGATATCGACTATATTTACCACCGAGCGATGTCCTGAGGGAACCTACAGCATTCACAGGGGAACTCGAAGAAGACTTAGTGACAAGCATGTAAATTGTTATCCCTGCCCGGTTGGTGGAAATTGCTCTTTACCTCTCGCTGCTCAGCCCAACTTTTGGGGTTATCCTGAAAACGAAGACAACGTTTCCTTTCAGCTTTGTCCAGAAGGTTACTGCTGTTTGCCATCTGCCCATAACAAATGCTTTTATAACAACAACAGCTACCTGGATTCCGGTTGCCAAGGCAATAGGACAGGCATCCTTTGCGGACAATGTAAACCAAATTTCACTGAAGGTTTGTTTACAACAGAGTGTGTTCGAGCGAAAGACTGCACCCATAGTTGGTATTTGGTTGTTTTTTTCGCACTCACGTCATTATTTGCCTTGTATCTCGTTAGAAAACCCCCAGTGTTTGAGGAAGTGGGAAAACAATTAACATGGTTCATTCCGAGACGCAAAGAGGGCAATAACCAAGTTATTTGCAGCCTAGACAGCACGGCCAGAAAAAGTGTTTCTCCGAATTATGGCTTTTTGAAAATTATCTTTTACTTTTATCAAGTGGCTGGAGTTTTGACTGTGTCGTCATACAGGGTCAAAAACATATTGAGAAATAAGATTGTCTTGCCCGTTACTAATCTTTTTAACTTAAAACTTTATGCTAATGCTAATACAAACTGGAGGATTTGTCCTTGGCCGATTTTAACACCACTTTCGAAAACAATGTTCCACTTGGTGACAGTCATGACAATTCTCTTCTCGATACCAATTATTTACCTTCTGCACAGCGGTCTAAACAAACTACGCAAGCGCAGGCCAACTCTTCCGCCAGCTGGTCCTTACTTTGGAGCTGTCTTGGAAATAATGTTGCTAGGTTACTCAGCAGTGACTGGTACAACAGTGCGATTACTTCACTGTGTAAGCATTAAGGAAGTGTCCCGCTGGTATTACGATGCCCAATACCTTTGCTGGCACCAACGGTGGCAGCATGCTGCTTTTGTCGTCATGGCCCTGAACTTGTTTCCGTTTATACTCACGATGTATTTTACTTCGCTGCAGCTCTATAAAGGCAAGATTTCAGGAAAGATATTTCTACTTGCCAGCATCCTACCTTTTCCTTATCTCCTCTTTGTTTTGTATCACCACGTAAAGAAAAAAATAACCAGGAGACCGGACTATCAAGCAATCCCTTCAACTGCAAGCTCAGGTCATGACGAGGAACATGACTCAAACTCTTCCACAAGCATCAAACAGTCACTACTTGAGGTTCTATGCGGTCCATTTACAAAGCCACAAGATGACCAATCAGACGGAAGGATCTACTGGGAGAGCATTCTCATTGGTCGTCGATTCCTCATAATTGTGATTGGTTGGTGGCAGTTGGACCATGCGCTTATGCGTTCTGTGTGTCTGACGATCCTTTGCCTCGTTTTCCTGTTGCATCATATCTCCCAGAGGCCCTTCGTCCAGTGTCGTGCCAACATCATCGAAACCGTCTCCTTGGCAACCTTGGTCGTTGTAGGAGTACTAAACGTGGGCCTTGCATCGGCAGGAAGTGACGTCAGCGGTATCAATCAACGGTATTTCCGCATTCTTTTGATGTCAGAGGCAGTATTACTGAGTGTTATACCTCTTGTTTCCGTTACTTTCCTCATCTTGTGCCTTCTTTCGCAAATTGTACGGGTGGTGATCTTCTTATGGAAAGCTGCTCGAGCAAGATGGTTAAAAAGAAAGTATGACATACAGTTGTCCGTCCAGGGTGAAGACGAGAGTTAGCTTCTTTCTACGTGATCGTAATAGAACTTTACGCAAGCTACTTTCAAGTTTTGAGTAATATCTAATGAGTGTGAAAGTACCTTTATGAGAATGCTTGGAAAGGCTTATCTAAATATTTCGTGAGTTTTTTTAACTACAGATCATGGGTATCGCAATTTGAAGATCTTCTAATTGTACAAACCACATTACCTATGTTACAGCGTGGTGTGTGTGCGTGTGTGTGTGTGTGCGTGGGGGGGGGCCCTTTGCGTTAGTCATGTCCATTGTAGGCGACTACCCTATATTGATAAATGCGCATGCTCCGTCACTCCGCCTTTATTTGAACTTTGAACAGTGCAGAGAAACCACGGCGTCCTGTGTGAATCCACTAACCACAACTGCTTCTCCAATTAATATTCAAATTCTGGATCGATAAGTTTAAAAGCGAAGTCCTAAAAACACTAAAATGTGCGACGCCTCATTGGCGTAGTATTTTTATCAGAGCGCGTCAAATGCCCAATAAGAGCGCAAACCAAATCCACACAGTCTTAATTTCAGCCCATTTTTCATCCATCAGTGAAATTTACTGCTCTCAGATCTCAGTAGTCAGTTGAATACGCGTTCTTTTTTTATCAGCAGTCTGTTCAAGTTTTGACAGAGTCTCAACCTTCAGTTGAGCCTCACCTAGAAACTTCACATGCAAAATGCTTATGCGCTGGTCAGCGCACTTACCGAAGAGAGGAGTGACGGAGTGTGCTAAGGATACTAACTGATTTTATTGATTAGTAATTACCTTGATAACGTTTTTCCTCTTAGTTACGATCTTCGTTACAATGTTTATTAATGTTTATTAATGTTTATTTGCTCATCTATTATTCTTGAAACCCGACGCTTTAGCGTCCTTTTTGCGTCCCACGCACATATAAAAGACGACCTTGGCGTCCTTTCTTCAGTTTATTTAGTAATTCGAAGAATCTTGACCTTTGCTCCCCTTGTAACTTTGTAACCTTTGGCGCCAGGGGAACCGCTATGTAAGTTTATTCTTTTATTTTACTAAGGTTTAGTTTTCTTTTATTTTGATTAGATAAAGACTATTGTACTTTATACCTTTTTAATTGCTTTGTGATAAGTGGCGAAAATCACGCCTGGTGTTTACGACTGAATGCCCAACTTTTAGTTTGACAACGCTTGGGCTATTGACTGTTTGCGTGAATCTCTTAACGTAGTCTTTTTTTGCCTTTTATATTTTTATCGCGATTTTGAGTTGTAATTAAGTTAGATTTGTTTTACAAGCCTTTATCTTATATTTCGGAAGTTTTCGCCTCGATTGATAGGAATTCACCGTATTATTTCAGTTTACGGTCGCTTTTAGCCACTTGGTTGTTTTAGCTTGTAGTATTCTGGTTTTCATCGACAATAAAACTCCGTTAATTAACCGTCACTTTGGTTCTCGTGATTGCGAACCGTAAAATAGTCCCAAACACCTTGGTAGCCAATAGCCGACCTGTAACCGTACCCTTCCCCCGCAAGGTGAAACGGAAGCGAGGGAATCTTCCCTCCATTTCACCTTGGGGGGGTGGGGAGGGTACGGCTCCACGTAGGCTAGGTGGCCATACGCCCAAAGCGACACCTCGTTTGAATTTTGTTTCAGTCGCCGCAAGTTTAACAGAGTGACTGAGTGATGGAAGGACTTTTAAGCCATAACAACAACTAGGAAATGCCTTTCATCCATGTTCTGAGTTAGAAACGAAACTATCAATAATAGATAAAATATTTTAAAAATTTTTGGGAAGAGTTACACCAAGAATAAATGATCTTTCCACAAAAATAAATTGAACGGATGGTTACCACATTACCTTGAATAAAACGGGGAACGTATAGGAAAACTAAAACGAATTTGATACCGATGAAATATTGAACTATACAAAGACAGGAATATTAAACAGTTCATATTGATTGTTCAGGAAACGCTAACTTTGTGAGCTTTACATGTTTCGACCGAAAAATAACAATATTGGCCGTGTTTATAATTTTGACTCTGATCGACACAAAGGTCGTAGCGAATGGAATAACACGAAAACTCGGTCAATTATAGTGATACAGGGAAATAATTTTTAAGCGGAAGTTTTTAAAAAAAATGAAATGTCTAACCTGAGATGAGAATTTCCAAGTCCGAGTTTCTTTCATTTTAATAACACAATCAATTGGTATTGGGCATTTAACGCGTAATTGTACTGGACGTAATCCTACTAACTCTACAAATAATGAGTTTTACTCTAAAAAAATATAAATGGGGTCAAAGAGAAACTTCACATTCCTTTCAATCGAAGTCAAGTCAGCGAAAATAGCAAAGACACCTATCTGTTCACAACTATGTCCAGTCGAGGCACTTAGACGTCAAAACTGATTTGTATTGATTTAATGAGGGTTTTTCTTGAGAAAAGAAATACCGTTCTACGTAATAGTTTGTTAGGGGTTGTAACAGCTAATTTTTTGTCTTGCTGGTGTCACGGGACAGAGGGGACTAACAACCGGAAGACAGTGTTTTTATTGTATGAAGGGTTTTCATAAATATAACCTAAATTTTTACACTGCAGTATAACGGTGCAATGGACTGTGACATAACTAAAACCCAAGACTATGTCATTTCACGCCAATAAAGACAACACAGTGTTTTTTCACTGCCTTAAGTAACACACCAGTCTGCTGCAAAGAGTATTGAAGTTTAGAAAATAGACTTTTATCCTGTAGGCATCTTTAATTTTCCACGAGGGACACAACATACTGAATTTCCAATGCCTTTATTCTTCCACATACGGAGAAATTTTAAGCCATAAATATCGCATTTAAAAACATTTTTTACGATAAAATGTATGAATATATCATTTAAGTTTTTCTTAATTTCATACATGGAAATATATGAAAATTTTATACACCTTTCCTCTCATGTTGTTTTGTTTCACTGTACATGTCTTGGCAGATCGCTGTTGTTGACTCAAATAAAAACTGGTTTCAACTCGCGGAGTTCAAGCTCTTCGAATATTTAGCAAACTTCCTCTGTTATGAAAATAAGTGGCAAGGTTGTAGTTTGCGCCTCTCAACTTGATTCTTGCGCAATGATTGACTTATTTCTAATTTAAAGGAAATAAGCTCTCTTAGAACTGAAATTCAAGTATAATAGTTTCCTTTCCATTCGGGGGTAAAGATGAACGTAAATGAAAAAAAAATTTTAATAGCAAATTCCATGAGAATGTTTGCATTCGACAAAAGTCAAATTTTTGAAGTTGGTTGAAAATTGCACACGCATGGCTTTTATTTTGTTGAGAGTTGGTCTAACATTTTTAACGACCAGGAGAGTAACTCAATGACAAAGTTGACATCCATCGTTGAGTACGTCCGCTTTAACTAGGGACTTTCCCCAGGAAACTCGTCATGTATCACAAAGCAGTCTCGTGATTTCTCAGAATAGCCACATAATGGTCGTAACCATAACAAATGATGAATAGAAGGTGCGGTCTTCTACTGCATCAATCGTTTGACAGCTAATCTGTAACAAATTGCGTGACGTGGGTTTGTTAATTTTCATTTCAAAGGCAGTCGCGTTGAACAACATGACGGTAGTCGGAAAGTTGCTATTTTACTTTCCGCCTTAGTTAGCGCTCTTCTTGTCAAAATAATCAGAATCTTGTTATATAAGCAACATAGGCCTTTATTGACAAGGAAAGTTGACTTAATTATTGGTAAACGCTTTGTCGTTCATTCATCAACCTGAGAGAGTGGCGCAAAGGGCGAGTGATGTGTCTGCAGTTGATTGGCGATATCAAACAAAAGACGTCGTTATTTTAGACGTGTATAGTTACGTCTTTTCTCTGGGCTGGAAATCCTTGAAAAATAAAGTTTAAACCATAATCTCTATTTATTCATATTGTTCTTATTTAATAGAAACTATCCATGCCAAGCAGTGGTTTGTCTCAAGATACGATGGGACCTTTAAAAATAATTGCGGGCTCAATGCCTCATCGCCATGTAAAACCCTTCAGCAAGTTACTGTGCATGCAAGTGAAGGTGATATAATCAATATAGACGGCACAGGAACATCACGCGACCCTTATCCATGCCGGAACGAGAAAGGATTGGATCTAGCTGGTTTAGTTCTGCGCAGCTACAATAGTCGAGCATTTATTTCCTGTAGGACCAATGGATTTCGGTTTTTTTGCGGCATGGCTTCTCGAGGAGTCTTTTTTGAAGAAATCACCTTCGTTAACACTTCAATTCATCTCTTTGAATGTTCTTTAAACGTGGTCGCCTGCAGCTTTATAAACAGCTCTGTACCTACACTCACCTTGAAATTTGATGAATTCTTTGTGGTGAGAAATGTTCAACTATATGGATGCATCTTTCGAAACAACAGTGCTAGTAGTGTTGCAATTTATGGAAATTCTTCCGTTAATTTAAACGTTTCCAATTCTACATTCGTCAGCAATAAGATACGCAGTGAAGAAGACGCCATACTTGATATATCTATTCAAAACTTACATGCAAATCAGAGCAGTATCAAAGTTAATTTGACTGATATAAGAGTGTCACAAAACAACTGTTCAGGTCAAGCATGCTTTCGAGTTTTTGCTGGCATAAACGGAACTGACTTAGTTCTCGTTATGGAGAGAGTACTTTTTAAAAACAATATGGCTGGAGTAAATATCTTGGACGTTCATGGCTTTTCAAACGGGTACACTGATTTCAAGTCGTCACAATTTCGAAAAAATAAAGGCAGAGCGGTCCAAATCCATGATGGGATCTCAGTTGAGCTGAAAATCGAAAGAGCATTGTTCTCTGAGAATAAAGGTGGAGCAGTTGAGGTCAGCGGTTTTACAAAGGAAGCTTCAGTTTGGCTGCTCAGTTCAAACTTCATCTCAAACAAAGTTGAATTTGGCGGTGCATGCGTATTTGTGGGTATACCGTCACTTTTAATGGATGTAGAGGACTGTCAGTTTGTGCGAAACGAAGGCCGGTATTTAGCTGGCGCCATGACGATAGGATTCATCTTTGCACGGATCAACAGTTCTCCTTCGATAAGTATTAAGTGCTCTCATTTCATAAATAACACACCGATCAGTACATACAAACCTTCCCCCGTTACAGAAGGGGGAGGTGCCTTAACGTTGTTCGTGTCATACATGGGTAACTTATCACTAATCAATAACACTTTTGCATATAATCAGGGTCTAGAAGAAAACACCCCCACAAAGATTGCTGGAGCTATTTATGCTAGAGTGCGCAAACTCCTTGGGGACGTGGAAATTCGAAACAGTGAATTCCTGTGCAATTATGGCGCGCTTACCAGCATTTTTGCTCTTTACGTTGAAAATTCACAACTCTCACTTCAGCCACGAGTGACATTACAAAACTTGACCTTTGTCAACAACAGTTATAACTTTAACTATAGTAAAGGCATCATCATCACTGAAGGCATGGGCTTCAAAATAATGAGCTCCTGTAAAATTCACGGAAATTCTGGTGGGATAGTGTACGTGTGCGAACCAGGTATGTTAAGGTGCAGAGGGAATGTTCTCGTGGAGGACACCATGATAAGTGGAAATAACCAATTTACTTTGTCAGTCATAACTAAGAGTTTTCACTTGAAAAACGTTTCTTTTGTTAACAATAGCTGCATTAGGCCATCTCAATATTCTGTTTTGCGAGTAATGAGTGCGGTTAGTAATAGTTCGTTCCACTTGGATCAGAGCACTTTCCTGAACAATTTTGGAGAACCAGGAGTAGTCCATATCGATCTGTCCCTACTTGAAAAAAAGGCCGCCGACGGCCAGGTGATCATCAATAACACTGAGTTCCGAGGTAACTTTGGAAGATCTGAAGGCGTCCTTAAACTGCTCAAAGTTAATACGATTAAAATTCAAAACTGCAAATTCATAAATAATTTTGGCGGCATAGGTAGTTCCCACGCAAACGTGCAGCGGTGCCTAGGAATGTTGATAATCAGAAATACCTCCTTTAATCAGTTTGACGATTCTCAAGTTTTTGAATCTGCGGGAGGACTTTCCAAACATGTGGCACCATACTTGGGATTTTTGACGGTGACAAATTCTGAAAACGTACTTATGTGTATACGTAACAGTTCGTTTGCTTCGGATCCTTTCAGCACAGACAGCATAGCTCTCATTGTTGTAGAAGAAGTCCGCCCAGGACTGTTGGACAGCTCTGTGCGAATTGAAACTCCGATCAACACCAAACTTAAGCTGCGTAATATTACGGAAATCTACGAACCTATCATTGGAAATAAACAAGTCACGATATCGACTATATTTACCACCGAGCGATGTCCTGAGGGAACCTACAGCATTCACAGGGGAACTCGAAGAAGACTTAGTGACAAGCATGTAAATTGTTATCCCTGCCCGGTTGGTGGAAATTGCTCTTTACCTCTCGCTGCTCAGCCCAACTTTTGGGGTTATCCTGAAAAAGAAGACATTGTTTCCTTTCAGCTTTGTCCAGAAGGTTACTGCTGTTTGCCATCTGCCGATAACAAATGCTTTTATGACAACAACAGCTACATGCTTTCCGGTTGCCAAGGCAATAGGACAGGCATCCTTTGCGGACAATGTAAACAACATTTCACTGAAGGTTTGTTTACAACAGAGTGTGTTCGAGCGAAAGACTGCACCCATAGTTGGTATTTGGTTGTTTTTTTCGCACTCACGTCATTATTTGCCTTGTATCTCGTTAGAAAACCCCCAGTGTTTGAGGAAGTGGGAAAACAATTAACATGGTTCATTCCGAGACGCAAAGAGGGCAATAACCAAGTTATTTGCAGCCTAGACAGCACGGCCAGAAAAAGTGTTTCTCCGAATTATGGCTTTTTGAAAATTATCTTTTACTTTTATCAAGTGGCTGGAGTTTTGACTGCGTCGTCATATGGGGTCAAAAACCTATTGAGAAATAAGATTGCCTTGCCCGTTACTAATCTTTTTAACTTAAAACTATATGCTAATATAAACTGGAGGATCTGTCCTTGGCCGATTTTAACACCACTTTTGAAAACAATGTTCCACTTGGTGACAGTCATGACAATTCTCTTCTCGATACCAATTATTTACCTTCTGCACAGCGGTCTAAACAAACTACGCAAGCGCAGGCCAACTTTTCCGCCAGCTGGTCCTTACCTTGGAGCTGTCCTGGAAATAATGTTGCTAGGGTACTCAGCAGTGGCTGGTACAATAGCGCGATTACTCCACTGCGTAAGCATTCAAGAAGTGCACCGCTGGTATTACGATGCCCAGTACGTTTGCTGGCACCAATGGTGGCAGAAAGCTGCTATTGTCGTCACTGCCCTGAACTTGTTTCCGTTTATATTCACGTTGTCTGTTGGTTCGGTGCAACTCTATCGGGCCAAGATTTCAGGGAAGAAATTTCTGCTGGCCATCATCCTACCTTTACCTTATCTTCTCTTTGTTTTGTATGACTGCGTAAAGAAAAAAATAACCAGGAGAGCGGACTATCAAGAAATCCCTTCAACTGCCGGCTCAGTTCACGACGAAGGACAAGACACAGATTCTTCCACAAGTATCAGAGCGTCACTTCTTGAGGTTCTATGCGGTCCATTTACAAAGCCACAAGATGACAAACCAAACGGAAGAATCTACTGGGAGAGCATTCTGATTGGTCGTCGATTCTTCCTAATTGTGATTGGTTGGTGGCAGTTGGACCATGCGCTTATGCGTTCTGTGTGTCTGACAATCCTTTGCCTCTTTTATTTGTGGCATCACATATCCCGGGAGCCTTTCGCCCACCCTTGGGTCAACTTCACCGAAACCGTCTCCTTGGTAGCCTTGGTCGTTATAGGAGTACTAAACGTGGGCCTTGCATCGACAGGAAGTGACGTCAGCGGTATCAATCAACGGTATTTCCCCATTCTTTTGATGTCAGAGGCAGTATTACTGAGTGTTATACCTCTTGTTTCCGTTACTTTCCTCATCTTGTGCCTTCTTTCGCAAATTGTACGGGTGGTGATCTTCTTATGGAAAGCTGCTCGAGCAAGATGGTTAATTTTTAAAAGAAAGTATAACATACAGTTGTCCGTCCAGGGTGGAGACGAGAGTTAGCTTCTTTCTACGTGATCGTAATAGAACTTTACGCAAGCTACTTTCAAGTTTTGAGTAATATCTAATGAGTGTGAAAGTACCTTTATGAGAATGCTTGGAAAGGCTTATCTAAATATTTCGTGAGTTTTTTTAACTACAGATCATGGGTATCGCAATTTGAAGATCTTCTAATTGTACAAACCACATTACCTATGTTACAGCTTGGTGTGTGTGTGTGTGTGCGTGGGGGGGGGGGCCCCTTTGCGTTAGTTATGTCCATTGTAGGCGACTACCCTATGTTGATAAATGCGCATGCTCCGTCACTCCGCCTTTATTTGAACTTTGAACAGTGCAGAGAAACCACGGCGTCCTGTGTGAATCCACTAACCACAACTGCTTCTCCAATTAATATTCAAATTCTGGATCGATAAGTTTAAAAGCGAAGTCCTAAAAACACTAAAATGTGCGACGCCTCATTGGCGTAGTATTTTTATCAGAGCGCGTCAAATGCCCAATAAGAGCGCAAACCAAATCCACACAGTCTTAATTTCAGCCCACTTTTCATCCATCAGTGAAATTTACTGCTCTCAGATCTCAGTAGTCAGTTGAATGCGCGTTCTTTTTTTATCAGCAGTCTGTTCAAGTTTTGACAGAGTCTCAACCTTCAGTTGAGCCTCACCTAGAAACTTCACATGCAAAATGCTTATGCGCTGGTCAGCGCACTTACCGAAGAGAGGAGTGACGGAGTGTGTTACGGATACTAACTGATTTTACTGATTAGTAATTACCTTGATAACGTTTTTCCTCTTAGTTACGATCTTCGTTACAATGTTTATTAATGTTTATTAATGTTTATTTGCTCATCTATTATTCTTGAAACCCGACGCTTTAGCGTCCTTTTTGCGTCACACGCGCATATAAAAGACGACCTTGGCGTCCTTTCTTCAGTTTATTTAGTAATTCGAAGGATCTTGACCTTTGCTCCCCTTGTAACTTTGTAACCTTTGGCGCAAGGGGAACCGCTATGTAAGTTTATTCTTTTATTTTACTAAGGTTTAGTTTTCTTTTATTTTGATTAGATAAAGACTACTGTACTGTGTATCTTTTTAATTGCTTTGTGATAAGTGGCGAAAATCACGCCTGGCGTTTACGACTGAATGCCCAACTTTTAGTTTGACAACGCTTGGGCTATTGACTGTTTGCGTGAATCTCTTAACGTAGTTTTTTTTTGCCTTTTATATTTTTATCGCGATTTTGAGTTGTAATTAAGTTAGATTTGTTTTACAAGCTTTTATCTTATATTTCGGAAGTTTTCGCCTCGATTGATAGGAATTCACCGTATTATTTCAGTTTACGGTCGCTTTTAGCCACTTGGTTGTTTTAGCTTGTAGTATTCTGATTTTCATCGACAATAAAACTCCGTTAATTAACCGTCACTTTGGTTCTCGTGATTGCGAACCGTAAAATAGTCCCAAACACCTTGGTAGCCAATAGCCAACCTGTAACCGTACCCTTCCCCCGCAAGGGGAAACGGAAGGGAGGGAATCTTCCCTCCATTTCACCTTGGGGGGGGGGGGTAGGGAGGGTACGGCTGCACGTAGGCTAGGTGGCCATACGCCCAAAGCGACACCTCGTTTGAATTTTGTTTCATTCGCCGCAAGTTTAACAGAGTGACTGAGTGATGGAAGGACTTTTAAGCCATAACAACAACTAGGAAATGCCTTTCATCCATGTTCTGAGTTAGAAACGAAACTATCAATAATAGATAGAATATTTTAAAAATTTTTGGGAAGAGTTACACCAAGAATAAATGATCTTTCCACAAAAATAAATTGAACGGATGGTTACCACATTACCTTGAATAAAACGGGGAACGTATAGGAAAACTAAAACGAATTTGATACCGATGAAATATTGAACTATACAAAGACAGGAATATTAAAAAGTTCATATTGATTGTTCAGGAAACGCTAACTTTGTAAGCTTTACATGTTTCGACCGAAAAATAACAATATTGGCCGTGTTTATAATTTTGACTCTGATCGACACAAAGGTCGTAGCGAATGGAATAACACGAAAACTCCGTCAATTATAGTGATACGGGGAAATAATTTTTAAGCGGAAGTTTTTAAAAAAAATGAAATGTCTAACCTGAGATGAGAATTTCCAAGTCCGAGTTTCTTTCATTTTAATAACACAATCAATTGGTATTGGGCATTTAACGCGTAATTGTACTGGACGTAATCCTACTAACTCTACAAATAATGAGTTTTACTCTAAAAAAATATAAATGGGATCAAAGAGAAACTTCACATTCCTTTCAAGCGAAGTCAAGTCAGTGAAAATAGCAAAGACACCTATCTGTTCACAACTATGTGCAGTCGAGGAACTTAGACGTCAAAACTGATTTGTATTGATTTAATGAGGGTTTTTCTTGAGAAAAGAAATACAGAATCCGTTCAACGTAATAGTTTGTTAGGGGTTGTAACAGCCAGTTTTTTGTCTTGCTGGTGTCACGGGACAGAGGGGACCAACAACCGAAGGCAGTGTTTTTATTGTATGAAGGGTTTTCATAAATATAACCTAAATTTTTACAACGCAGTATAACGGTGCAATGGACTGTGACATAACTACAACCCAAGACTGTGTCATTTCACGCCAATAAAGACAACACAGTGTTTTTTCACTGATTTGAGTGACGCACAAGTCTGCTGCAAAGAGTATTGAAGTTCAGAAAATTGACTTTTATCCTGGAGGCATCATTAATTTTCCACGAGGGACACGACATACTGAATTTCCAATGCCTTTATTCTTCCACATATGGAGAAATTTTAAGCCATAAATACCGCATTCAAATTAATCTTACAATAAAATATATGTATATATCATTAAAGTTTTTCTTAATTTTATACATGGAAATATATGAAAATTTTATACACCTTTTCTCTCATTCCACTCTTACGGCGTTACGTATACAAAGGAAGAGATATTTTAAACATTTGCCTAACACAAGTCTTCGCGATACATTACATCGTCAGATCAAAAAAGTATTGCGTGACACTTAAACAGCGTGACACTATATCCAGCGTTCAAAGACAAAGCTGACACGATGAGTCCGGACGCACACAGTTAATGTAAGAAACAATTTATTTAAAAGATATTGGACTGTCCAGTTGACGTGAACTCAAAGGAGGCTTACCCGGATAGTTCTTCACCACGTTCAGATAACACTAAAAACTACCACTGCTTGAGTCAGGAAAGTCTGTCATCTCTTTCGCAGGCTTTTTGCGAGCTGAAAGTTACCATAAAGTAAAATGTCACGCGACGCTTTTTTTTCCCTTTTTTTTTTAACGCAATTGCAAGGTTCCAAGGTACATTGGCCTTCATGTGGCAACAAACGAAATCAATTGGCATAAACCAAGAAACTCACTTTTCTTGTATGCGTTCCATATCCTTACAGTTTTGTCCCAAGAAGCGGAAATATACTGAAAGAACAACGTAAGGTAACGGGTCAATAAAAATTGAAAGCATACCCAAGAACATTCAAAATTTGACATGCGAGGGGTCTGGGGCCTGAATACCATGAAATTGAGGCAAAGAATTCTTAACCTCATTTCCACGCCTGAAGTTTGTACCCTATTCTCAAAATCATACCATACAGTTCCTAGCAAGCTAATAACTACAACCGTAAAAAAAAACGATAAATACCTGACTCCTCTCAGGAATATGAATAATACATCGCACAGAATCGCTGTGTCCAAGATTCTTCTGCACAATCTTGCGTGTGTCTGGATCATAAACCCTGGAAATGAAACAAAAAAAGATTGGGTGGCATTTGCCCCTGTAATTTTGCTGCAACATTCGCCACACACTCTCATGGCCTGTTTGCGTGACACAGTTCCGACACTACAAAAAGACATCCAATATGTTTCTTGAACGTTTGCATTACCTGTTTGCGTGACAACGAACGGCCACTCTGACAAGATATCTTTGTCATACATGTCACGAAATCTTTACCTGATGATTTCTTGGACTCCAGCCACAATACAGCCGTTCACTTGATCAATACACAGAGCTGAAACAGCTCCTTGAGCAGTGAGCACCACATCGCACCCCATTCCATCTCCTCTCTGCGATCAGCAACAACATCAAAAGTACAAATAAATCAGAGCGGTTTTCGATGAACTATGATAATCTCACAACCAGAGTAATCGCAATAGCCAATCAGCACAAAGGAAAATATCACAAGCAGCCAATGAGAACTCAGAGCAAAAACATTTAAAAGCTCTCACAAGCAGTTGCCGAGTCGCCATTGATTTAATTTCGCGCTTTGTTGATTAAGAGAGAGTGGGGCGAGTTTTCAAGATCAGTCATAGCCCTGGTTTATTATGTGGCAAGGTAGTCCTGAGGTAAATCTCGGCGTTCTGATTGGTTCTTAGCTGGTCGGGATTTTGCCATACGGACCTTTTCCACGGAAACGGTCATAAGCCGTGTATTTTTGCTCCAAAAAGCCGGCAATTTCAAATCAAACAAGTTTTTTTTTGCGAGTGCCTTATATCAAACCACTTCCATACCTCGCTTGCACAAGCCGTACTGGGGAATATTAGCCCTCAGTCGTTTGTCACGGACCTCGCTGCACTCGGTCCAAACTGCTACGACTGCCTCAGGCCAATATTACCCAGTATGGCTCTCACACTCGGTCAGTAAGAGGTTATTAGGTCCTTTCACACTTACTGGTGCTCCATTGCACCTGCTTCAAAATATACAGTTTCAAGATGTCAGTCACACAGTACACGATGACCTTACCCAGATACGAATAGTTCCATCTTCTGAGCCCGTGATCCATTTGCTCAACACAGCATTCCAGCGAACCTTTCGACAAGTAAAAAATTCTTGATCACACAAATAATGTCGTCGTAAACGCTTAGCAGCTTGATGACTCGAATAACTATACTACATAAATTTTTTTTCTGCAAAAAGATTAAATATAGTTAAGAAGCAAATGATACGTGTTGGAAATCATTACGCGATGCATGTTCATAAAAACTAAACCCGTACCCTGAATACACCATTGGAATAAACGCCAAGACCGAGAGGAACCTGGCAACGAGTCTTGATTGAAGCGTTCTCACCTGTGTAACTTCAGCCTCGTGGCCCTGTAACACCGCTGACAAAGTCATTTCTGCACCGCGGTCAGAGAACTGTCTAATGTACACCAACTTGTCAGACGAAGCATAAGCGAACTCATTTCTACAGAGGGCAGAATAACATGGATACAAAGAACTTGATATGCGCAAAAAGGCTGTTGTCCAAAACTGCCCAAGTGTTTCATCAAAAAAGAGTTCTTCTAAGATGTCCCTAACACTTATAGAGGCGGTTCGAAAGCGCCTCTTTGCCTCCCCGTTAGTCCTCTTTCCTCCTCTAGGGGGGGTACAATTTTTTGCAATTACTCATTATACCTTACCCTTGCCGTGTTCCGCTGACAGCTGACAATATGTAGTCCTAATCTAAAATTACAATATTTTGACACTCTTTTGGCCTGGAACTTAGGCCTATCAATTGGGGTCCAGTGCAACAGTCAAAACCCAACATTTCTCCTTCTTTCCTTTCCAGCGTAAAATGTCAGCCGGTTCCTCGCCCCAATCCCCGGTGACCAATTTACATTATAAACTCAATCGATAACACTAAATCATCCGATCCCCGAGAGTCACCGAGGTACCTTGAGGTACTGAAGGATAAGACTGACTCCTCTCTTCAAATGAAAGTTTGCCGTTTACTGAATCGAGCGTTGAATACCAAGTCATACCTTTCAGCGCTGTACGTTAGGTCCATAATGATACCATCGGAGGCCAGCTCATCGCTCTCAAGGGCGCTGGGATCAGTGTTGCGGAATGTGTCGTGAAAACTATACAAAATGCAACGTAAAATTTCGTTTTACATCATGTTGATAACTTTCAAAGAAAAATGCTAGGACGACAGCAAATAGCTTGTTAATCTTGACAAGTAGGTATAAGTTAGGTATAAGCATTAATTGAGTTATTTGGAAGAATTTTAGGGTTAGAAGTTCTTAATATAAGGGAATATTAAATGGTGTGATCATATTTCACGAGTCTTACCATGATGCTTCCAGGTCCCACAAGAAGATCCGTCGATCCCAGCCAGCACTAAGCTGAAAGACGAAGAAAAGGTACAAAATAAACTGAGCTGTTACAGCGCTCAAGTGCATAAGTTCCTACTTCATCAGTACTTTAGCCTGTTTCAGGCATTCAGTTGATAAAACGAAGCGCGAGAGTAAAACGGCGCCATAGAAGCGGCAAAGCGAAAAATGTAAGGAGGTTTGGATCGAGTCGCGTAATACGCCGGTGAAACTTCTTAACAAAAGATTGTTTCAGTAGACCAGAATCTGGTACACCTCAGTGATTGATCGTTACACGACTCATCCCAAACATTTTTTTTCCACCTGACCGAAAACCTCGCGCCTTTTATCGCTCAGCTGTTAACATTATGCCCATCGAGCTCAATTTTATATTTACTAACTGAACGCCTCGAACATGGTTCCGCTGTTCAAGAATATTCTCTCTCTCAATTGCGCCCCGCTGTGTAACAAAACTGTCGTTCAAGAATGCTATCTTGAATAGATCGGAAAATAATCTTGAGGATTGCCTAAAACCTTAACTTTAATCAACAGTTACAACAAAATGAATCTCACCAAGTATGTTGTATTGTACCCAGCCTCTCTCCCCACAACAGCCAGCCCGGTTACACAGCTGGAATGTTCTGTGAACACGTGTTTACAAATGAATCCTGCCACCCTGTTGGTTACTGAATCGTGCTCCTTAGAGCCCTGTTAATAAACATGACACATAGTTAGACAAAGTAAGTAATTATTTGGAAACAGGCTCTCAAAAAGTTATCCAAACACAAACAAGCAAAACAGAATATCTGACAGATTCAACGCCTATTATGTGAACACAGCAAGAAGAAATGATCAGAAGGGGAGGAAAGCCAATTTGCGGGTCAAGAATACTAATATCAAAAGTTCTGCTTAATATGTGAGAAGTTTTAAATATTGCTACCACTTATCTACTTATTAATTTATTTGTCAGTTCGCCAAAGGATACAACAAGTAATGTTAAGATTCTAGGTGACGTAGATATGGGTGGTAAATAAGGAATATGTCATTTAGTTATTGTGAGAAGACAAACTGTAAATACTTACAAAACTAAGATTTAACTTCTTAATATGTATGTCGCGTAACTGAATAATGCGCAATAAAAAAATAGAGCTGCCCATGATACATTTTGCGTATGGAAGATGTGCATCTCTTAACCTTTTAACTCCTGTCGCTGACCAGCATCTAATTTCTCCTAACAATAAAACCCCTGAATTACACAAAAGGTCCTGAGAATGAAGGTAATGATCATCAACTGAAAAAGCTCTTGATTGTCAAAGAAATTCTCCTTGTCAGCACCTTAGGTGATGCAAACAAAACAGTATGAAGAACATGCATCCTGAAGTAAGGATGTGAAAGGCTAACACGTACCTCTACATCTTTTTTCACAGGCTTGAAGGCCTTTTCACCGAGCAGAATTGCGTATTTGTAAATAAGATTTTCGTCTGCAGGTCTCATGTTTTCCAGAACCTTGACAGCGTCCTCGTCAAAGCCCCACACATCTGTCCGAACAAAAGACACAGCTTGTTACTAAAGTCTGTTATTAAAAGTTATTAAAAGTTACAGAAATTCTGCAACTTCTGATAAAACAAGTGATATCAATCCTTAATTTTACGAGGAAGCATAATTCTACTTGTTTATAAATGAAATGGTGATTCTTTTCTTTTATTAGGAAGGTCACTTTCATAGGAGGACTTTTCAGTGTTCAGTTAAAGTCAATGAACTGTAAAACGTACGAATCAGCTGAACGGACTTTTATCTAAGTAGAACAATGCAAAAGCAACGAAAACAACCCTGCTGAAAAAATTTCGCCAGCAATGAAATTATAATACTTTTAAGTATAGTCAAGCCTTATTTAATGTTTTTAATTTCAAGTAATTTTACCCGGGGTGGTCCCCTTAAAACATCCAACCCTCAACATTGCATTTACTTACAAATATTATTGTCTTCTGATGCCACTACTAATAAATCAAGGTTCTCCACAAAAACGGATCTCAACAGGGAAATGTTGCTGGTGTGTTCAGAAGCAGACGACATCTGAAACATTAAAAGGAATTAAAGACACAAAATTGTCAAGTTAGAGAGTCTTGTAAGAGCTATGTCTTGCTTAAAATCGAGTACATGTTTTTCGTAAATAAAATCGCACAATCGTAGAACCCACAAAGCTACCTGGCGATTTTCCCGCCATAATGACGTTGGCATACGTGCATTTTGGCGGGAAATCCTTTTATCTTTCAATATTTTCACTCGTATGGTTAACTAAGGCATCAGCGAAATGGCTGAAAACAATGCGAGTACCAGGGAATTTGTAAGTGATTATGTTGTTCAGTTCGGTAAATTACTGGCAAGTTCTTTTATGGCGGGCATCTGGAGAGATTAGTTTTCTTTATTCACCAATAAGCAAAATACTGTAATAAAACTACTTATAACAAACGCAAGTAGCATGTTGTGGGCGACACGGTGTTCACGTGGTTTGCCCGCTGGACTCCAGTTAGTGTCATTGTGTTGTGTTTCTGAGGCAAGACACTTAACTCTCACCATGCCTCTCTCTGCCCAGGAGTACAAATTGAAACCGAAAAACTCGCGATGGACTGGCGTTCAATAGGAGTAGCAATAGTCTTAGTCGCTTCATACTTCTGACAATGGGATAACCGACACCAGGATTGGTTTTACAAGCCAGCTTGACTTTAAACCTCTTTTTAAAGTTACTTTTGGATATATACCTGGTTTATAGTATTTAGGAAGGAAGGTCTCGGCCTGTTTTCACCACTAGCACTCCTGTTTGGACTGCGCCAATCGAACTTGGCCGCGATCTGAGCTGCTAAGCGAGATTTAGCTTCACTCTGTAAGAATATCTCTTTGCTGTAAACGAAAACACACAGAGCATGGATGTTAAGGCCTATTTACACGGCACGACTTTGTCGCATGCGACAAGCTTACGACAGGCCTACGACATGACTTAAGAGTCGTAAGCGAGTTGTAGGTTTGATTTACACGAAACAATTCGTGTCGTAAGCCTGTCGTACGCTTGTCGCATGCGACAAAGTCGTACCGTGTAAATAGGCCCTTACACATCTAATGACGTCAAGACTATTTCAGGAGATTACACGAAGACTTCCGAGGTTTCCTTTCGATCGACCGAAGAGTTTTCGAGTACATCGTGTAGATTTCTGTTATTAACAAATACGCAACACAAACATGCAAAAGGAAAATCACAGGAGAGCTCGAATGATGTCCAGTGATAGCGCGATGGCCTCTATATTTGTCAAACATCCCAGCAAAATTGAAAAGTCACAAAAAATATTACTTTTAATAGCATACATCACATTTTAAACATGTGGCTCTTACTCGAGTCTGACAAAGAAAAAAATAAACCGATGAACAAAAATTTCGTAAAATATCTCCCTTTCTGTGAATCTATCTATAAATCCATTTCTTCATGAATTCATTCATTTCACTTCATTTTTTACTCATTATTCATTCGTTTATTTAAGATGATTTTAAATTTTCGAGTATAACATTCAGGGAGGGGAGAGCGAGGATGATCTTTATTTACCTGTACATGAAATTGTTTGACTGAAGTCGTTCCCACTTGGACACGTGACCATTACTACCTCCACTGAATATCAAAAGGGGAACTTTCCGAGCTGGAAAATATTTCGAAAAATAATGATATAAGTAACCTAGCATGGCTAAGGATAGGTAAACTTTCACCGTAACATGGCATATCATGTGTAAGGTATCAGGGAACAAGTTTTCTTGTCAGCACCATAGAACAGTTTGGAAAATGTGCTAACTGATTTTTGGGTGTAAAGGGTTAATTTCGTCTGTAAGTTTGTACGTTGCCGGAAGTTGTTGACATCTATAGAAGGATGTTTTTTTTCGCCTCGTCATCAGCATGGGACGAAGAAATTTACTGAGCCCCTAGGAGGAATCGAACCTAGAACTATCAGATTCTGCGTTATGATGCTCTCCCACTGAGCTGCAAATTACTCCTTCTTGAGCAAGGTTACTGGTTTCATCTTTTGACAAATATTAGTTCAGTTGTTATCCACAGAAAATATCAATATGGAACGCGAAATTACGTACTGTAAGTAAGAGACTCCATTGCACACTTGTTCTTTAGTGTTGTTAAACATCCAGATGAATTGTATTTCCACACAATCAGATGTCGTCTGCTGTTTGTTCCTGAAAGATTTCAAGTGTTCAATCATAAATCATATGCACCACAACTCACAGAGACACCATGGCCAAATGGTTAAGACACTGATATTTGTAGTCTGAGGGCCCTGTGATCCTAGGTACAAGTCCTCCCCTAACTGTTACTTAATGGGCAGTCAAACTGTCAAACTACAGCGCATGTGTGAAGTTTATTGCGTCTACTTGGCGTGCTTTCAGGTTGTTGGAACAAAGTTGTCACGCAGGAATTAAAAAAAACAAGCCACTCTCCCCTCCAGTTTGCTTCTAAAGCATAGCTGATGGGAGGGGGCCTTGTGGTGCATTTGACATCCCCTTGTCAAGAAAAAATGATAACTTATAACAATAAAACAACCTGGCATTCCCCTTACTGCCAGTGAGCTGTCACTTCAAGACCTACCCCCTTCCTCAAGAAAATCCTGTCCACACCCTGGCCCCTTCCACAGTAAACATGTCATTTCTATTGGGTTACCCTTGACAATTTGCTGCCAATCATGAATAATTATCAGAGATCACGAGCTCAGAAACCCAAATGGAAACAAAGAAAATCTAAACAGAAGTGATTCTCACAGCTCATTCTTCACTAAAGTTCAGTAGCTTACAATTTCTGACAATCTTCTAGAGTCTGAGTAAGTTAAAAGATATAACAGGAACTGTGCAGAGCACCTACCTATTACATGTCCTAAGTCAGAGATATAGTGAAATAACACCAGAGGAAAACTAGAAAAAAGGAGGAAACAAATTCAAGATGGGTAAACATCCCACAAAATAACAACCACAACACTTTCACCAATTACAAATGAATTGTTCCAAACAGCATAGAGATAGACTGTACATTTTTATCTGAAATTTGAGTTCTCATGGCAATGAAATGTGATTGAATCTCTTTATTTTGCTTTAATCTCTCGTACCCATTACTTTCCTCATCTTGAAACGTTCCTATGAAATCTGTCACCTGCAAGAGATGTGAATCTTGTTCACCTCAAGTATTTTCATTTCACTTAAGCTTGATCAAATAAAAAAGTTGTGTTATGGCATATTAACAAGATGTTAATGAGTAATTTTACAAGAGGGGAGGGAGGGGACACTGACTCACATTTTCTCCAGATTTTGGATCATACATAGCAGCTTCAGCAGTGCCTGCTGCTGCCCAGATAGTCTTGATTGGTCTAACATAACAGACTCCAGTAACTGCAGTACTGCAAACAGCAAAACAGTCCAGTAAACAAAAAATCAGAGACATTAAACTTTATGTCAGCCGCTCTTTCGAACTTTATGTCAGCTGCTCTTTCAAAACAGTAATTTTTTTCTGACAGAGGGTATCTGGTAATAATGTGAAACTGATGTACAAAGACTTGCTTAAGTACACATCTGGTTCAAAGTCAAATTATTAAAATTTGATACCACTTCAATGTTTCTGTAAAAATCAGGATCTTTGAAAAAAAGGTGATCCTATCACTCCTAAGTTTTAATAATTTGTTAAAAAGATAGTTTCTGAGAATCAAGAATTCATCAAATAGGGGACATTGTTCTTTTATACACAATTGAAATTAAATTCTCAGTAAAGGCCAACAGTAAAATGTACTGTGTATCAGTAAAGAGACTTCATCTTGTTTTAGATCTTGTACCTGAATCCATCAAATTTATGCATGACTTGTCCATCTTGAGACCAAACTTTAACAACCTTATCAAAAGCACCACTTAACACCCTGAAAAAATTCAACAAAAAGGTTGCTCATACATTGTACATTCAATAAATGGAAACAACAGTCTTTATTCAAGCCCAACCAAAATTAGACATGTGACAACTCTTATTCAAAATTAAAATTGATAAGATGCCCGAATTAATTCACCATTTATATGTATGAAGTCTGTAACTTACCATGTATTGTTGTCTGAGTCTCGTGCCAGGCACATGCAGATTATTCCTGCATCATGTGCTTTGTTAACCCTGAAAAACAAATTTGCAGAATGTATGACTATAATAATCTAAGTCTGCATATATGCCATACATTTAATTAATATATGCACAGAATCTAAGCCTACAGTCATAAGCTATGAAAACGTTTTTAAAGTGTTGCTAAATATTCATTTACAAGCTCTGATCTGCACATTAGGAAAAAATCCAGAATCTAAATTATGGCCAAACTCAGTTTATTTCCTAATTAAATGCAATTTTTTTGGCCAATAACTTTGAACCCTATTTCAGAGTAAATGTTGAAATGGGTCACAAGAATGCAAGACTGACAAAACCTGAAATTGTTAGCATCTAAAGTACAGAAAGAAGGGAGCTACCAGAAAAAAGATTATTTACCATGGTCTACAAGCTTGAAACTGAATGATTTTCAAACCTTACTTTGTTACGACTGATAAACTCTTGTTTCCTTTGTATGAAAAAGTGGAATCGTAAACAACTAACTTCTGGTCATACCTGTAAAATACATTGATAAAACACATACAATCTGAGCAAACACTGTCCAGTAACTCTGATACTCAAAGACTACTTTGTAGAATTATGCAGTTTGGAAGATTTAAAAATAGCATTTAACCCTTCACATCCTAACATCAGTTAACTGCACTTGATTGATATTCTCCATACTGTTCTGTATACATTTCCTCAGATGCTGACAAGGAGAATTTGTTTAACAATCAAAAGCTTTTTCAGTTGGTGATCATCTTCTGTATTCTCATAACCCTGATGTGTGATTCAGGGGAGATAATGTGGGGAGAAATAAGATGCTTTTCACTCTTGGAGGTCAAAGGGTAAAAAGATCAAAGTAGGGTGAAACTTATTGGGATTATATGTTGTAATTTTTCAGGTGACTACACATTTCAACAGTTCACCTGTCAATATAGTTCTGTAGTTTGTTTGTCAAAATTAAATGTAGTTTACAATGGAGTTATAGGTTATGAAAATTTCAATCTTAAACTACGTCCTTTAAAATGTATAAAAATTTACATATCTTCTGTGAAATCTTCCTGTGTTTTTGAAAAGTCTAACATTTCTCTTTCTCTAAGTAAACCTTCAACAACACAGGTTTTGGCTTTCTGTAATGTTAGTTAAATGTTATTCAATCTAAACATACCCTCCACTGTAAACTCTTGATTCATGACAAACTACACATTTCACAAGATCTGAATGTTCCTTACAGACATAGGCTGAAAAAGATATACAAATTAGTAGCTGAACTATTACGAAGAACACCAAACTTAAAAAAGATGTTACTTGTCTCACTGTGAACAAAAGAGAAAGAAAAAGATCTAAGTCCTTATCAGGAATCAAGCCCCAGACCTTAGCATTCTGCACTTCCATGCTTTACTTCTGGGCTACAAGTACAGAGAACTTGAGGGAGAGAAAGGCTGTCAGCAGGATCATATGTGACAAATCCTACACAATGCTAGGATCAGCAATGTTGAAAGCATGATGAGTGTAAATAGAATACAAAAAGATAGTACTTTTTAATAACATGATTTCTCCAAATTACTGTCTAATATCATAAATGTACCAGCCTACCCTTTGTGTCTATTACATGTCCAATTTCTCTTCCTGAAATCCAAAATGAATGAAAGTACTACAATTAGCAGTAAGCTTCAATCAATATACTTAATTAAAAAATGAGCAAAGGAAATACCCACATACCCACCCTAAGGAGGGTCATAGTTTGGGAGGTATCAGAAGGGGGGGGGGAGATAGGGGATGGAGGAAGATGGGTACATGAAGGGGAGATGGAGAGGGATGGAGGGGTCATGGAAGGGGGGTGGTGGGAGATGGGAGATGGAGGAGGAATGGAAGGAGAGGGGGATGGAAGGGGCTGGGGATCTCAAAAAGCTTAATAAGTTTTTAAAAAGGAAAATTAAAACATTCCTTCCAAGAGTTCAATTGAGGTGAACTAATTAACTGAGAGGGAGGGCTTAAAGGGAAAATATCTGGTTTTGGGTCACAACTTACAGACTATCAAAGCACTAGCAGGGCAGAATGGGCCAGATGATCATTCATTTTCTTCTTATTCATAAAATTACCTGGATCTCTCATGTTGAATACTTGGACTGTTGAATCCACAGCTGCAACTATTTGGTTTCTCCTTACATTCCATGCCATGCAGTACACTGGAGATCCAATCTAAAAGAATAATCATTGGTAAAAAATTCATTAAATAAATAAACAGCTCTCTTTCTCTGTTTACCCACTCATCCTTTCACTCTTACGATATCAAATATTAATTCTCTCTTCTGTCTGTCAAACCTCTCTTATGATGTTAGTTCTGAGAAATTGCTTAGGGTTAGATAAATCCACATAAATAATATCCACATTTGATATCTTGAAATTCTCATCACCTGTTTACTTGTCAATGTATTCATACTGAAGGGAGAAATCACTGATTGATCACCACAAGGAGTCAGTACAACTACCTTTTAATTTTTTACCACTTTGACTCTTTGCAATATAATTAGACATAAATTATCCTCAAATATTTCATATACTGTCAGGAAAATAGGTAACATTGATTAAGAATATTATCAACTTAAGCATTTTGTTTGAGTAAATAACTAGACTCTCCTAATCAACCAATAAAGAAAAATCTTGCATGATTATCATTGAGGAAAATAACCTAGTTATGTACAGCCCCATTACCACTGATTTCCCAAAGACAGAATGTTGAAATACCAGTGAAAAAATTTACTGAAAAACTATCAACTTACATCTCATTGCAACATTTATTTCTTTATAAAATAACATGCAAATTAGTTGGTAAAAAAAAACACCTTTATATATATATTCAAACTTACTGGAATCCTATCATGTACTGCACCTCCAGAGCCCCAAGCTATAATAGCACCATCATTTGCTGCCGAAAAGAGAAGTTTTGCATCTCCCCTGTTTAAGGAAAAATTATGGCATATTATGAATTATTATAACTGTCATGCTACTCTATTTTGATAGGTTGAGTTCATACTCTGTCAGTGTTGCTCGGTGAGTTTATTCTGTTATGTTAAGTGCTACCGGTGTACCAGTACCTAAATCTACAAAGCTTGACCGTAGCAAGCGTTCAGCAACATGTTCCAACACCGCCATCTCGATTCCTCAGTCAGTCATTTCCACTGAACTTAAAGCAGTAGTGACAACAGAGTAGAGTGCGTCTTACAAAGGAGAAACATTTGTACAAGAGACAGAAGTAACTATATGCGATTACAGAGGTGCGTTGGAACTCTGGTCCACAAATAGTTATGCACTGTCCGAAGTATAAAACAATTTTGTTGATAGCTGACAGACAGAGAAGAACAACAAGTAAACTTTAGAGCTGTTATTATTGAATTGTGACTTGCAATTTTCATTTTTATATAAAGAAGGACTTGTATCCCTTGCGAACTGAATTCCCAGTTTTCTGGGAATTCCTAGGAATTCCTAGGAATTCCTAGGAATTCTCAAAAATTCCCAGTTATGCAAATGACCCTTGCAAACTAAATTCCCAGTTTCCAGGAATTCCCAGGAATTCTCAAAAATTCCCAACTATGCAAATTAACTCTGATTTAAAAAGCTTGGAATTACTGGGAATTTCTGGGAAAGGAAGACTCCAGTTTTGTGAGGACTTGGAATCCCTAGGAATTCTCAGCTTTACAAACTACCTATAATTTAAGAAGTGTGGAACTTTTGGGAATTTCTGGGAATTGAATTTGAGGCAATTTGAAACTCTGATCTGAAAATATTTATCAACAAGACTTGTTAGTAGTGAGAAGTACCAACCAAGTTTCCTTACATAACTTAATTTCTTAAATGTCCCAATCACTGGATCTCCCAAAAAATATTACATCTTTTTATTTTTGGTGCAAAATACAAGTCCTTCTTTATATAAAAATGAAAATTGCAAGTCACACTTCAATAATAACAGCTCTAAAGTTTACTTGTTGTTCTTCTCTGTCTGTCAGCTATCAACAAAATTGTTTTATACTTCGGACAGTGCATAACTATTTGTGGACCAGAGTTCCAACGCACCTCTGTAATCGCATATAGTTACTTCTGTCTCTTGTACAAATGTTTCTCCTTTGTAAGACGCACTCTACTCTGTTGTCACTACTGCTTTAAGTTCAGTGGAAACGACTGACTGAGGAATCGAGATGGCGGTGTTGGAACATGTTGCTGAACGCTTGCTACGGTCAAGCTTTGTAGATTTAGGTACTGGTACACTGGGATCATCTATGTATCTCTTATACTTCCTAATGTGGTATCCTTCTTTTATAAATATGAGGGTAAAAGACGATTTGTAGTCCCATTCAAAACTGTGATTAGCTTGTATTTCACCTTTGAACACAACTCAAGTGAGTTTCGAGTCTTTGTTTCTCGACAACTTTCGGCCACAAATCGTGCATTTGTAATACGATCGATTCTTGTCGATTATTTCTACATAGAGTGAGCTCACATCATTATTTATATCACCAAGGTATCCATCGTCTAGAAGTAGAGAACCGGTCGGAGAAGTCAGAATAAAGTTGTGCGCTTCTCCTAACACTGCAATCGGCAAGCCAGCGGATTCACTTTGCTAGCCAATTACAAGTCCTAAAAGATCCACGTGATCATGCCCGTGATCGGAAACAAAGAAGACTCCATTTGGCGCTCACCTTTGAATGTACTTTTCATCGGTTGATCGTTTTTTTCAACTGTTTTGCTTAATATAACATTTCTAAAGATAGCCTTTATTGTGGTTCAATGGGAAAACGAGAACAGCGTGAGTGTTGTAAAAGAAATGAAAGTCGTTGGCGCCGTGGAGTTAAAAGAAGGGACAACAGTTGACTGGTACAAACAAGGGTCGAGTGGCCATCTGTAAAGCTACGATTTTGAAAGTTTGTGGTGAGTAAAAATTGCGATATTCGTTACGTGATCAAAATCTTATAAAAGAATAGATGT